AGGGTTTTATGGCACATCGTCTCGTTCGGACGTTCTTCGCCGGTTTGGAGTCGAAGAATTTAATGGTTTAAGAACCAGATGGGAGCACTAAATAACTGGTTCGTACCCATGAAAACTCGCTAGTAAGACTAAGAACGGCCTGGAAAATAATATCTTTGATACATACGAACCAGAATTGAGAACTGAATCTCTAGGATTCCTTCTGCAGCGAGCAATAAGTTCTGAATTGGGGATTCTGCAACCACCATTTATTTACATATGGTACACATAACTGTAATTAATAGACACTTTATATATTTAACCCATGCAGATTCAACCCCTAACCTCCTGCGAGAGAGCCACATTACTCAGCGAACGACTCAAATAATCCGCAACTTTATCGCCATTTCATCAGGATCAAAATTACCATGCTCAGATACCATGGATGAGTCTCATATCATGAATATCTCATTAACGGGATACATAATATCAATGCTGCAGTCATTTCCCATTAATCAGAAGGATATCGACGAGCTGTTGATTTTCCATTTCCACTCGTTGTATAATTAAAAGGTTTCGCCGTTGTTTACTCAATGTATACCTACCTACCTACCTACCTAAAGATAGCTTCACCGATCGAATCTGAAGCTCTTTTTTTCAGATAAGAAATATGTTCTTGAGAATTGACTGGGCTAATGGTGGGCTTAATGTAATTAAGTTCCACTAGTAGGAACTATTAATTAGCTAGAGAATTTCTAATTTTCTAAAAGGCAAGTGGAATCCCAAACTGGCAAATCTCAGATTATTCAGGGCAGATATGTGTCAACGCGGTGAATCTTTAAAATCTTATTAGTGGGGAAATTTAAAAGCTCAAGGTCTGATGATGCGAATAGTTGAAAATATATTGCAGAATGAAGTGCATAAAATGATACTTTGGGTATAAAATCTGATATTGTTATTAAATTCTGCCCTGACGATTTAATGTCCTAGAGATATTCGGTAATTATATAACAACAGCGACAGGCGGACGCAAAGCTAGCATATTGTTACTTGGACTTGGAAGCTTAAGTGCTAATATTCATTCACACTTATTTTTCAATAGTGAATTGTAATCTTAGTTCAGAATAACGTTCTTGTTATTTTAGCCGGGTAGGAGAAGGGGGCGGGGGTTGAGTTTTTATAATTTTATTGAGTAGAAACCTAAAGTTTGTTTCTTTTTTTCTTTCCCCAGCTTTTCGATATAAGATTATTTGTAGCAGAGAACGTTAAAGATTAATATATTTTTGAGGTATCATTATAATCATCATCATAATAGTCCTTTTAATAATCCTATTTAATCCTATTCCTCTTTCTTTTTCCTCTCAATCTAATCTCACATCTAATCTCACATCTAAATCAAGAAATTATTTTGAACATTAAATATTAAAACCAAACATTATACCAATCCCCAAATCATCCATCCCCATCCCCATCACCCCATACACAAAAAGCGCATTCGATACCCATTTCAAATCCCGCACATCAATGAGCATACATAAACACATGCAAAGACATAAACACAAACACAAACACAAAAAACGCCCCGCTCCCCCAGCTCCCCCAAAGCAACCCAAAATCCAAAATAACAACTCAAACCAACACTAAAAACAACAACACACCCCCAACAAGAACCAGCATCTTTAAATCCCCCCCGCGCGGCGAAGCAGCACTTTGTCTTTGTGCACTTTGTGCATTAATAAAACCACCCGGGATACTTTTCGTGCCAAACGATATGTTGAAATTCGTGAAAGAATCGAGACGAGGAGGAATATGATCTTTATCCGTATAGACGACTCCGGGATATTGCGATATGGTCCTAGCGCGTGTTGTGACGTCTCCATGGGGCAGGAAATATGGAGAGGAGAGTGGAGGGATATGTGATTTGGTGGGAGAAAATGCCGATATGGCGGGGAAGAGGGGAGGGAAGATGAGTGATCTTAGCCGCATTTGAAGAGGTAAAGGGAAAGAGCTTGGTTGGCCGGGTATGGTTTATGAAATTTTATTATTATTTATTTATTTGTGCGCATGTTCTTCTTGAGATTATCTGGATAAATTGAAGATATGGTTCTTGCTTCTAAAGAGGGTAGAAGTTTTTGTGTAGCAGGAATAATTGGAAGCAGACAGATATGTTTTAGTTATAGAATATGCACATGCAGACAATTGTTGGGATAGTTTACTTGGAAGGAGAGCAATTGTTAGTTATTGTGAATGCTGTACCAAATATTCAGGGAATTCATTCCTAAGAATGGCTGAACGGGAATTATTTCCCATATCGATAAATTGGGAAAATTCCAGAGGCCATATTTAAAATCTGAGTACAATTAATGCATGACTAGAAACAAGTCTAACGATTGCATACTTCGCTCACTGCAATTGCAGCAACGGAATGGATTTGGAGAATCTACATGTCACGTGACATACACATTCGGATTGGAATGTTGATTTTTGGGATATCTTTGTAAATGGAAAATATATGAATAGCTAGGTAAAGTGTAAAACATTTATTGACCAACTATAAAACAACGAGATGTATGCATGGAATTATACAACTTGACAGACACACTAAAAGTATAGACTAGTCTAAGATCACGTGGAGTATTCTGGCCTCGTTGAAGAGCCTATCTCAAGTAGTTCTTACCCGCTCGATAAATCAACTTTTTGCTGCGACCTTGTGTCATAAAAGAATATGCAATAGAACGGCTGACTTCGGAAAAGCTTCTTCGAAACCAAGGTAACGTACGCTCGAACCCCTAAACATTCAAAGCACGATTCGACTCTCCAAAGTCGAGTTTGATTCGTACCAGAAACTTCCTGTGTTTCTCGGCTCATGAGATTTTAGAACCATACTCCGTAGTCCTCTATTTCAAATGATTTCATTTGTTCTCATATTACTTACAATGAATGATACTCGGGTTTGAGCTTGGCGGCAGGTTCAGCCTGCCGAAGTCTGTGCTTACGACAATTTGTAAGTCGGAGATATCAATCATGATTAGGACCAAGTCCTGAAGAGTCGGAAAATCTAGAATTGAACATCTTTATAAGCAACAGTTCGGTGGTTCTACATCGGGATGCGGGGGGAAATGGAGGGTTCGAACGAACAAACCCACCGTGGCCGGCGGTTTAACAAAATGAAATAAAATAAATAATAATGATGAGATTAAATGAAAATTTGATTCAGCAAGCACACTAGTACTTCTTCGTAGGTCCAATTGAAGCGCAAAGGCAGTAAGTAAAAGTTGTTTCGTGTAGATGAAACACACGTGATTGTTGACACGTGTTTGAGCGAGAATTTGCATGAATTTGAAGTCAAGACTCTTCGTTTCAAGGTATCAATATCTCACACATAGCTTTAGAAGTGAAAGAAATGGATACGATTGTAGATTGATTAGAGCTCAGTGGACGGACGATACATGTCTTCACACTTGTGAAACTTATGCATGTGGACTACATTGACGCAATACTTGATGAATTTTCATCAAGATCTGCATGTTCTGTGGGCTGTCAAGAATCTAGCAAGGTGATGCAGTACACGATTAATTGACAAAGTACGTGTTCATCGTTCCTTGAAGGATATCGATCATTTCGCATGGTAGCGTGGTTAGGACGACTCGAAAAATGGAACCAAAGGCTGTGTATGTGATTGAACTTTGAAGTCGACTAAAACTTCCTTCCCACATAGGGCGGCTCATCCCAATATTACGTACTCACGCTCACAGCCTTGTAAGCTTTTAGAATTTCTAATATTAGACACAAATTTCATATGGGATATGGGTCCGACCTTTGGTATCTCCGTATAGAATACGGAGTAAGGAGATGTTCCCTCCCTGCTCCCGACCCCCGACTCCCGACTTTCGAGTTCCTCTCTACCGACTTGCTTGTTTCACAGTACAACAGCTTTTCGTGCAATATCAAATTATATAAACCATCGTATCTGATACAATACTGTATGAGCCAACGCCTGTTAAAATAATTAGATACATCGTTGCCAATAATAGAACACACACAGAAGATCGTTTAAGTGGACGAAATAACTTGTCTTATTCATGAGTATTAAATTTTGAAGACACCCCGGGATCATAAACTTTTCCGAGCTGACGAATTTTGATGACCGGCCGATATAAAGGGAATTGATCCGGCGCATCGTTTGACTGAGATGACTGAAATGAATGTGATGAATGTGATAGAGATGTGATTTACTCGTAATGCGTGTTGTGGATGATAAGTCCGCTGGGTTGTGTAGAATTCATGGTTCATGAAATGAGCTTTTCTTGGCGGAAGTTCTCAAGATTAGAGAAGTTGATTTATTACATATTGATTCCTGTGAGAAAAGGAACGGAAGTACTGACTTAAGTCCACGACTCCATTCCCGTACAATAAGGACGGTTTCATAGTACTCTCACGTTGCCCTTTCTCCATTTATCTATTTTTCGAATTCGAAAAGGAAGCTAGCTCCGTATTCACGACATCGAAAGATAGCGTAGGTTGATTGAAGACATTAATTAGATGAAATTGATGAATCAATAACATTTTCCGAGATCTAGGATTTAAATGAATATAGCCTCCTTGGTAGCTGTGGGTAAGAGCAAAGCAAAGTACACCCGTTAGAGAGAAGGTGTTGGCTATGGTTATGGTTATGGTTATGGTTATGGTTTTGGTTTTGGTTTTGGTTTCGATTTTGGTTTTGGTTTTGATGTTGCACAGCCTCGTTACAAGTTATTAGTAGAAATTCCATAACAAGCTCTGAGCCAGCCTGTGCCTGTGACCCCTTCTGATGATCAATCAATTAATCATACTACTCCGTACATACTCCGTCCATACCCTATCTATTCTATTGGGTAGATCTCTCTCTCTATGAAATTTCATTTGTGAGCCAACCATCAACCATCAACCATCAACCCTCCAACCATCAACCCTCCATCCATCAACCACCAACATACCCCAAACCCTTTACAACCTTTTTTCACTTCCTACCTACAATTGCTTGATAATACGTGCAGCTCGTAAACTTGCACTGCAAGAACCGCGGTACCTTTTTTTACCTTGAATTTTTACATTCCTTGTCATCACATCCCTCCTTTCTCTTTACTCACTCATTCACTCACTCACCTCACTCGCTCACAACTTCCGCTTCCACTTCCACTTCCACTTCCACTTCCACTTTCCATTTTCCGATTTCCTTCTTCACCTAGACCATATTCGAACTTTTAAAACTTAAATTTTTTCACGCACTGGTCTGCTACCTAGATTCGTAGATTTCTAGATCTCCTTCGGGCAAATCCAACTATCCACAAATTGTCACCACTTCGCACATCGGTCGACCTTTCATGTCCGTCAAAACCCATTTGAATACTTTGATACCCATTTGAGCGAGCGAGCGATACAGTCACGATTAGACTTAAATAAATCACTTCCTTTCGATAAGATACCCTTGTCTACATTCACCAACATTGGCCCGTAGATCTACTGTTAGATCCCGCAAACAAACAAGTCGCCATTTCCCTACATTTTACCCGCTGCGATACAACCACGAATTTACGCACTTCCCCCTAACCAACACGACTATATATCATACGTATACATACACAGAAGGGATAGGCATACATTAAGACTATAGGAGAATCCAAAGGCAGGCTGGAGTTCGAAGACAACCTACGCTGGCGACGACGGGGCTCGAGTTGTCGAGCTGTTCAGCAGTCCATCGGCAACAACAATCGTAGCAGTCATGTTCATCAATACAACATGTAATGCGACGCTGGATGATATGCGAAGTAAGAGTTTTCTTCATGCAAATAATAAGGAAACATGCTGATGATGATGGTAGTTGGGAAGTCAGAAGTAGTCTTGGTAGGAAATTTAACATTCCATGAGTTGGGAATATTTGTTTCTTCGGCGACTGCCTTGATCGCCATTCTTCTATCGTTATATCTCATGTGGATGCATGCTTTGCACTATACGAAGCCTTACGAGCAACGGCAGTACGTGTTCCCATATATGGAGTATATGATATACTAATTCTCTTCAGCATTATACGCATCCTTTTTATGGTTCCCATTTACTCAGTGGCGTCCTTCCTTAGTTTTTGGCAATACTGGCATGAGATATATTATAGTGTGATATCAGAGTGCTACGAAGCATTCGCAATCGCGTCCTTCTTTGCTCTTCTATGCCACTACATCGCCCCAGATCTTCACCACCAAAAAATTTATTTTCGAACCGCAGTGCCAAAGCCATGGGTTTGGCCTATTACTTGGATGAAAAGGTTTTGTGGCGGTGATAAAGGCCCTTGGAGGACACCAAGAAGTGGTTTGACATGGTTCAACATTATTTGGGCTGGTGTCTATCAGTACTGTTTTATTCGAGTTACCATGACTGTTTTGGCTGTTGTCACTCAATATTTTGGCAAATATTGCGATTCTTCGGATTCTCCAGTATTTGCTCATATCTGGGTAATTACGACTTTCTCCTTTGCCTGTAAGTCCGCTAACCATTCCTAGATTCTTGTGATCGAAGGTGCTGCGGTAACAATCGCGATGTATTGCCTTATCCAATTTTACATTCAGTTACGGACCGATCTTGCTCCACATAAGCCTTTCCTCAAAGTTGTTGCTATCAAAGCAGTGATCTTCTTATCCTTCTGGCAAAGCTTTGCCATCAGCATTCTGATGTCATCTACTATTGGCATTGTCAAGCCAACCAAATATTTAGCTTACCCTGACCTCAAGATTGGAATCCCGAACTTATTACTCTGTATTGAAATGGCTATCTTCTCGATTTTGCATTTGTTCGCATTTCCTTGGAGGCCGTATGCATCAGATGCAACCCCGGTTAGATACCCAAGCTCACCTGGAGGTGGTTTAGAGCCTATTGGTCCCAAACAAGGTGGTCCTCTTGGCCTTTTGGCTTTCGCTGACGCTATGAACCCATGGGATTTGGTCAAGGCATTTGCTCGTAGTATGCGTTGGTTGTTCGTAGGTGTCAAAACTCGCGAGGCGGATTCTTCATATAAACCAGCAACTTTCAATAATGACAATGACATGTCCCTCCAATCTGGAAACTCGGAACCCGATACATCTTACAAAGGACGGGATGCCGGCTTACCAATTGCCAACGACTACGGGAGCAACAACTTCAGTAGTAGTAAAGGGGTTATGGAAGGTGAGGAAGGAATTGGTCTAATTGATAATGCACAACCTGACCCCACAAACCTCAATCATTCAGGCTACATTCCAGCAGCTCAACGTTACACCCCTGAAGGACAGGATATCAACACGAATGGTGCGCGGTACAACTACAACCCGGACCGCCTGGTCGTCAACAATCCGACACCCACCTCAATGCAAAGACAGGAATATCCCGCTGGGATGGCAGTAATCGCTGAACCAAAAGCATACCTAACTCAAGTAGCACAACCACCATATGCTGCACGGCCCTCATCACCATATGGCGTGCGACAATTATCGCAACCAGAAGTGTTCCTCGAAGAGAAACGAGCTAAGCGAGCTGCCGAAAGAGCCGCACGAGATCGAGCTGATCAGGGAGCACATGAACAGAGCGCGGCACCATCAGAACTGTGGTCTAATTCAATAGGACCGATGCAGCCCAATGAACCGCCGAGTCATATCCATAACGCTTTATGGGGATCCCAAGCGCAACCACAACGGAGGGAAGATGATTATTGATTGGAAAGAGTTACGGCCTCTTGTATAAAACTTTTTTTTCACAAACAAATCCGATATGCGCCTCGCCGAAAAAGAGAAGCTTTTAATGGATACTTTCTGCATGTAAAACTGGGACTGGGACTGGAGGTAAATTTTACTGGAAAGGGCGTTCAACGGTGTTTTGATGAGGGAAGCTTACGATTTCATGCGCTTGCGCCAACATACATTCGTGTGGCATCTGCCTGACATCTTTTGGGGGGAATGGGCAGAATTTGGCCGTTACGCTGGTTGCATTGCGTATGGCAGCTGTATAATCAGTGCCAGCTCGATGCTTATTTGTCGGATGTTTTTTCTGAATAGCTCAAAAGGCTTAGGGTGTTGGAATATGGTAATTATTGAGCCGGATTCATGTGGAATACCAGGTCATGGCGTTATCAATATTGATGGTTACTTTGGATTCAAGGCCCAATGGGTGGCGCTGCAACTCGAAGGAAAGAAGCATGGAGGGCAATGGAAACTGTGTGTGATAGTCAGAATACCGAACTGCTCGATGAGCTTTAAAAATGACCGATTTCTCTTTTGATAATATTGTGATTTCCTTGGTGGCTGGCTGGCAAGTGCCACAACTTGAGCAATCACCCATTATGAACTACACAGCAATCAAGCATGCAAGAAATATTTTAAAAAGAGGAGTGGGCTAAGCGAACTGCTCCTTCGGTGTACAAGCCTTTCGGGATGTAAATATAGGCGAAACAGGCGCAAGGGGACTCTGATCGAGGTCATCCAGGGCAGATAATATTGTCCATTATATACCGATTATGACCTGCAGCCTATGTCGGGCATCTTTCACCTAACCTGCACCTCACGTTTCTTCACACTCTCGCACTTGTACTTTGCGGAATGGCTGCAGTAGCACATTTGGAAATGAAATAAATTCTGTCGCGAGCAGTTTACTGATCTGATGAATTTCTGGCTTGTGTATGCAGATGTGTTCGATAACGTCATGGTGAAGATGGATGAAAATTACCGAGCAGCTAATAGCTGATGAGACCGCTTTTTGATTGGATGGTAGATTGGCGTGTTCTGTTTTGGGAATAGGGTCAGGTACCGTGTGACTAGCTTTCGATTTAGCTTCTGGAGGCGTTTCTTTGTGCTGGTTTGTTCAGCCTTATATGTAATTGACTGTTTGTTTGCTTTGGGATCGTGATTTTAATTGTGTGTGATGAATGATTTTTTGTCGGGGGGCTTTTTTTTCTCTTTTTGGAAATGACGGTCGGGTTTCAGCTTATTAATGATGATGTGGATGATGATGATTTAATGAGGCGATTCGGGATTCAAGTCATGGATTTTACATGTTAATGGACATTTCGCAGTTAATATTATTTTCAGAATCCTTATACCCCCTTGTCGTATGATTTTCTCTGGTATAGTCCAATGAGCATGGACGTTGTTGCGGGTATGTAAATCATAATCCTTTTCAATGTCAATTTTTTGAGTTTACGTATCGCTACCAGCTCAGCAATCTAGCGACTGGCCGAAGCACGAAATTATTCATGGTGGAGCGGCCAGTTGTGCACCTTTTCTTGTGTGGATGTCGTAATCGCAAGCGTCGTGGCATGAACCCTATGGGTACAAGATGTGGAGTCCTGCTAGCACAGCGCTCGATTCATACCGCAGTGGACTGACTAGGTTTGCAAATGTGGTGGGGTTAATGAGGGGTACGGTGTATAGTGAGGGAAATGTTGGTTTGTTGCATATCGCGTTTTGGTACCCCACCGTTTAGTACTGTGTGTTTGATATGGTGGGTGGGGGTGCTATTGAGGGGAGGAGAGGAAAGAGGGGAAGAGGGGAGGAAAGAAAGAAGCTTTGTTGCATGTCGTAGTTTTGGTGCCCCACGGTTTAGTATGCTGTGGTATGATGGGTGCGGGGCGTAGCTGAGGGGAGGATGGCAAAAGAAGAGCTTTGTTGCATATCGGGGTTTGGTGCCCCACGGTTTAGTGCTTTGTGATTTGATTTGTGTGGCTAAGGTTAAAGAACTGAAAGGGTGTTGTCCAAGTGTGGCAATATGAGTACCTGAATAGCGATTGAATCAGCTGATGGATAATAGGCAGTGAGTATTCTGCATCCCTAATTTCATGGTCAGCTGGCAGTAGCCGATGCCGGCTGAAATATTAAGATGTGCAACAAGACTATTTTGATAAGATTGACTGGTTTTTCATCCGCCGATTTTCACACATGTGCGATGTATTGTCTCGCAACTGCGTCATGATATTCTGTTGGGGCCGTGGGGTGATGTTCATTGGCGAAGGGGAAACAAGGGGATTGAGGATAAACAGCCATTTGCTTTAAATGTTGAAAAGCTTGGTCGTATGAACGGAATTCCCTTCAAAGATACGCATTGCTAATTACCTGAATTCCTGTTGGTATTGCCAAAATGCTGGGATGGAAGTGTGGAATGCAAATCGGGCATGGAAGGGATGTAATTGCGCGGCCATACATTCCAACCATGAGATTAAACTTTCACTCAAAATTCCACCTTATATCTTTACCATCGAACAACAAAACACAATTAACTCCTATATGAAAACTCAACAACCATAATAAAATCCTGGAAAAAAAGAACCTGCCATAATCAAACAAATAAGTCAATTCATCCATCCATCCATCACAAAAACATCCCATCAACATCACCGTCACCATCACAACCATGCACTTCCTCCGCCCCCATCTCACCATCCTCCTACTCTCCTCCCTCTCAACCCAAATCTCCGCTTCTTCTCTAACTGTAAGTTCTCATCCCATACTTCTAATAATATATACCTTCACTTCCCCCCTTTAACCCAACCAAACCCTAACAAACTCATAAAATAACTAACTAACAATACCCACCCTTCCCAGGAACGCAATCTCTGCATCACAAAAGGAGAAGTATGTCATCTTACGGGCGAACCATGTTGTGATGGATTCAAGTGTGCCCTTGCGCATGGGGGGAAGGCAAATGTCGGGTATTGTACTGAGAGTGGGTTTTTGTTGCAGGATTATTATCAGGTTAGGTTGCCTTGATTTGTGTGGGTGGTTGGGGGTATGGGGGTAGGTGTGATGGGAGGGGATGGGGGCCGGGGTTAGGGATAGGTACATGGGGAATAAATGGGTTCGGGTTGGTGAGAATGGAACTTAAGGAAAGGAAGGGATTGATGGGACGGGAAGCGGGGAATTTGGATATGCGATGTGTGGTTGGATATTGATTGGTGTTATGCTGTAGGGGGTTTTGAGTGTGGTTTTATTTGGGTTTTAGGTTGATTTTGAAGGGGTCTGGGGTGGGTTGGACAGTCGGAGTTCGTTATATCATTATGCCACTTTCACTGCAATTCACATTACTCAACTTAGGGAAATTTGTGTCATAAATTTTGGGTCTTAAAAAATACATTGAATTGAATTGAATTGAAATATGTTTGTGATCTGGAGTATATATTACTGCTTTTGATGGATTATGAAAAAGGGAAATACTTACAAGCTAGACGATGGTACTTACAAAAGAGAAAATTTGCGGAAATCACCAGCTCTACCGTCCCCGGTGTTCTGCCTCCTGTTTTTTCCATTCCTTTTTTTCTCTACTTTGCGTTTCTCGCCGCGTTTTCCAATCTGAGTTTTTTCAACAAAGCTTCCATGTGTTGTCTCTCTTTCTCCTCCTTAGGTTCCCGCTCCCGCTCCTCGCGTTGCTTCTCCAAATTTCTCCTACGTTCCTCCTCATGATCTTTCTTACGTTTTTTCAGCCCGGACTCTCATTCCATAGTAGTAAGCTTGCGCGGGAAGACTAATGGCCATGAGTACTTCAACGATGGTGAATTCGTCTACGGTGTCGTGGAGATGTTCTTTACAGAATTCTTTTAATAGGTCTTCGTCTACTGTACTGGCGAAATGGACTATAGTTCTGCAGACGGTGATCCAGTGATATACTTCCTCGTCATCTAAGGTTGATTTGTGCTGTCTGTATTCGATGGTCTTTTTCACCTTTTCCTTGTTGGTTTCTAGGTTGCAGATGGAATATGTGAGTCTTTTCGTGAGGCGGTTTTCATTCAGAAATGGACTTGATAGCATTATTACAAGTCTGTCAACTGATACTTGCTCCATGATGGTGTCTATGACGTAATTATCTTTAATCCCTTGTATCTCTTCTTCTCTTTCTTCCTCTATTAACTTCTCTACATACATACCTTCTACCATTGCAAGCCTACTGTGTGTTCTCACCGGTCTTGAAAATGCTTCTTCTGACATGTAATGAGGGGGATGGATCGTTGCAAGTTGGTTTTCAAAAGTCCAAACAAAAGCCATGAAGTTCCTAACCGTGCGGGCATCAAACCCCTTTTGCCCATTACCGATATGAACGTGAATATCTGCGCTTAAATCACACTTAGTCCTGTAAACTTTGTCGAGAGTTTGAAGCACAGCTCTTACCTTTAGTTTATTTTCTTCGTTGTAGGCGTATGCTGGACTTTGGATTTCAATTGGCCACCAATAGTAGTTAATATTTTCGGGGTCACCGAAGCCATGGGTGATAGTACGATCCATGGAGATTACCCAGAGATTTAAATCCTTGATTTGAGGGTTTTCGGATTTCGAGGGATCTTCGTGCTCGAATTCAGCAATAGCTGGGAGTCCATTCTCGGTTAGGACTTTGGCAATGCCTTCTTGTAAAGCATGTAATTGCACGTACCATTCTGGACCCCAGTCTTCTTGTTCCTCGTCGTCCTCCACTATAGTTGGAGGGCATATGTAAGGAAGAAATTCATTTGGGTAATCCGACGGTCTGGTGATTCCGTGCGCCTGTCGAGGATCATTCGGTTTGGGATCGAGGTACTGATCTGGCACCGATGCGATGGCGAATTCGAGTTCGAAGCCGAATGTTACTTCGATTGGGCTGGTTGGGGGAAGAACTTCCTCACTTTTCATTTTCGCGGTTGTGCTAGGTAAAAGCTACCCTATTCTTCGATATCTCTTTTGTGGTACGTGCCACTGAGGAAATATTCTCGAAGAATTCTAAACATCCAAACACCCAGGAGTACAATAATTTTGTTATATAAAAGTGAGCCCTTTGTGTGGACTAAAGCTCTTCTAATGTTCTCGTTCTGTTGTTAAATTTAAACAACGATAAACAGTTGAGAGAGCATTGCATAAGGTTTGTTCGGTTGGCATACAACAATAGAATGTCTTTGTACTTGGGAATGTTCGACAAAGGAAATGAATCGAATGTTGTTCACCATGGGGAGGTATCCTGCAATCCTGAGCTTATGGTAGCTAAAGCAATTTGCATCCAGAAGGTCGATGTAGCATATTAGAACTAGTCTTTGATGGTAACGAAAGACCATCCATGAACTACCTGCCTGTAGTATTGATCTTGTGTCATTGACCTGTTGAAGTGGTTTGTCTAGAAGTAGGAATATATATATATATCCTCGCCCACAATAGCCGAAGAAGCCCATCGTGATTTTTGTACATAAAGAGTTAGCCTCGAGATTAAAAGAATATACAGTTGCAAGTGGTCAATCTGGAGCTTAATCTGGAAATTCAGCTAGATCACCAATCCCGAGTATTTCCTCATCTCGAAATCCGCTTCACTGTCCTATATCCATTCTAGCTACTTAGGCAAAATTTCAGACACACCCAGGGTGTCCTTTCGTAGAATCCGGCAAAAATGCAGAGGTCGCGAATGATACCGTTGGCGATAGGCAGAAGTGGTGGGACGTTCATGAGACCCTTCCCAAGCAACTCGAGGTTGTGCACGTGGGGATACACATTTCCCGGCTACAGTGTATATTTTGGATTCTCCTATTTTTTCGAGTATGGAGAGATACACTTGTATGTTCTGTGGCTTTTCTTGAACCTGTGGCTTGCTGTTGTGCAATTGTTGTTTATGTCTTTGGGATGTCACGAGATTAATCACCAAACACACGTGACATATTATCCGTATCAATGGCATGGGTGCTACTATCGCATTCTTCGATCGTTGAATACGAGTTCAAATAGTAGCATAAGCTCAGACCGACCGCAAGTTAATGAATGAATTTCTCCACGGAATACTCAATCTATGCACCATGTCTTTGGAGCTATCAAATTTATACAGTGGTAAAGGTGTGACGACAGGGTTCAGAATGCAGTATTTTACATCTGCATTAGTAAGATTCACACCTTGGCAGCTTTCAGCTTACTGGGGTGGAATCCTGATAAATAAATTGATCATCGGCCCACAGAGATGCTCACCAAGTATCAATAATTAGAGGTCTTCTCAGGAAAAATGGCAAGTTCTGGCAATGATTATTCGTACGAGCCTCTACGTGGCCCACGTCGAGCAGAAACATTGCCCGTTCGGTTTGATGAAAACCTCACACAAATACCAGAAATTGGTGTTCACCGACGGCGCGATCGAGAACAGCGCCATGTTGCTGGGATACCTCCTCCGCGAGGTGTCATAGATGATGACAATGATCAGTACAATTTCTATGATGATTATCGGACAACCAGACAACCCTACCGCACGGTTTCTCCAGGTCCACCACCACCACCGCCGAGAATCGCACAGAGCCGTCCTAGAAGCCCGTCTATCCAATCCACGACATCTATCGATCGTCGTAGAGACCGTGAATATGTTCAACCTGACTACTATACGGCCTACCAGCCAACATCAACATCGCATCGCAGATCAGTCCCTCCTCCTGAAGTCTTTAAAGAAAGAATTGGCGACGACTATCACTTAGACAGAGCGACTACGAGAGAATCACCTTACTACACTCGTCGTACAAGGTCGCGAAGTAGACGACATTCTAGATCCAGGTCTCGCACTCGCACTCGACATCGATACACTAGGTCCCGTAGTTCAAGTTATGACAGAGTGCCTAATCATTATAGCTATGATGTAAAATATGGAGTTCCTGAGACTAGGACCGCGGAAATTGATTTTGGACTATCTATGCCCGAGCCTGAGACTTATTCTTTCAGGCTTTCGCGTCATAATAAAGATTCTCTGCCATTGGAAAATATCGATGGCTCAAACTCAGGATATTCCGCAAAAGAAAATCCATTGCGCCCATTGCAACCGCATAAAGGTTTGACTATGAAACGCCCTGAAGTTGACAGGATACTGCGATCTCATTATACTGGCGATGGTATCATGGGAGGAATGCATTCTGTTGAGTTCACCGTAGCTCCTGGCCAAGCAGCATCTGCCGGGAGATCTCCTGTACCACTTTTCAATTGGGTGTAAGTGACTTAATACATTTCTTATCTTACAATACTAACTAAATTCCAAAGTCGATTTGAGGATGCGTCTATGGACTTCGATAGCTTCCTGGTATGTTTGTTCAATGAGGACAAAGGTACTTCTTGATAGCTGATGATTTTATCAGAATGGCATACTGAATCTTGACGGACTGAAAGAAGGCGAAAGAATTGGAATCTCTAAATTACTAGACCGCGTGAAAAGAAGGTATGACAAAACATTGCAGATTTCTGGCCGCGCAAAAGTCAAGCGTATGATTCCAAAGCTTTTACAAGAACCACTCCGAGATGAAATTCCCTCCGCGTCATCTAAAGCAAGAAAACTTACATGGATTTGTCTACCGTATTTTTGTCTCCAAAAATATGCTCCGTCAAATGTGCAGCCGTCATCACACCCCCCACTTACTTTGCTGCAAACGCGCCAATCTATGACACCAAAAGAGCGGGATTTGAGACAGGCCGTATGCCATCTCTCAGACACGCCAGCGGGATCTTGCTTCCATATTGGACAAGCTTGGTTTCTCATCCTAGACGATTGTATGTAGAGCCGCCAATCATCTTTGTAACATAGAAAGCTGACTTCCTCTTAGCTTCTATTATTTCATGCGCCGGGTTATCTGCACTACAATTGAACAAAGAATCTATTTCAATCCTTCCATATCGGAACGATAACCCTGATTCACTAATACGAACGCTTCTCGTATCAGATTCAGGCTCTTCTTTGTGGTCATTTCCCATTGAAGAATGTAGAACATGGATTGTGAGAAGCTCTGTTGCTTTTTACAACCTCCTTGTTATAGTAGCTAATATCCTCTCAGGACTTTGTAAAACATTTCTTCGAACTATGGCCAATTGGACTTGGATTTGAGTTTTCGTATGGTGGTAAGACCATCACCTCAAAAGATTGGCCAAAGATATTCAAGCAGGCGCAAAGCTCAAGAGTTTGTCTTGAATTTAGAGCTAGGTAAGGGAACTGAGATGTAATATGTTTGAAAGGTGGCTGATACGTGCCAGTTGGAAATCGAAAAAGCCTGCAGCTGGTATTTTGAACTCACCGAGAGAATCAGTCGTGGGATTTAGTCAGAATGGGAGCCAGAACTCTGAAAAAGATGACCCTGATACTTCTATGGCAGGCAAAAAAGCAGTTTCGCATGACTTCCACGTGTTCAATTGGATGAATACACAAATCGACATGCCAAATAGTGCAAGGACCGCAAAAGACTCGAAAGCCTCTAATCTCGTCGCCGGCGTCAACGAAATTTTACTACATAGTGACCTACAGGAGATCGATGACTACCTTATGCAAAAAACTAATATTAGCGAGCGACTTACGTACAGGGCTTGCCCAAGCCATACAAGAAAGCAATTTTATGACATTTTGCATGAGGTTGAAAGTAAAATTCAGGCTGACCAATCACTTCGGGCAACATACGAATTACAAGTGGAACTCGCCAATGCTGCAGATACTCTATTTGAGTTCTTTCTATCACCACAAGAATCAGGGCCTACCACTGAAAAGTATTGGGGCCCACTATATGAGATAATCATTGTGAGTCCATCTTTTGTCAGTTAAGTCTGAGCTAAGCTAATCAATAGGCAATGCTTCCGTATGGTCTAATCCAGTTGGATGGGTCTTCAAAAAAGGATGATCTGAACACGGCGCCACACATGCTTCCTGAAAGAGCTTGGAGTGTAGATACAAGGGATATCAAGGACATTGTGGAGTGGATGGAGCTCATAGGAAGACGAACGGAGCTATTCAAGGAGCTCCTGTCTGAAGTACCAATTGCGGCACGCTGCGAAATCAATATCTCCGAAAAGTTACCTCGAGCATGGTTACATCTCCTCATGGCCTTGGCTTTTACAAAAGACATGGCGGGTCCATGGCACACGCATATGAATCTATGTATAGAGCTCAAGAACGAAGGCATGAGGGAAACTATCCAGAATCTATCGAGATACCAACTTTCGGATTACGTTGTTTTTTCCCCATTCGATTTGGCTTCCCTCATAACTTCCCAGCTTTCACAAGATTTGACTGGCTCATGTCCAGATATTTGCGAGACCTACATAGACTACATGACATCTCTAGTATGTATTTCATGATTAGCGAATTGCATACCATCTAACAATCCACAAGGAATTTGATATCGAGGCAGATCCAATCAACCGAGAACACCAAGGTAAAATCACTGATCTCAAGCAAGAAATTTCGGTTATTCTAGAAACGCTAGAAAATCAGAGAGAAGTCCTCAACGACGCTCAATACGCTCAATCGCGGCAGAATATTGAAATTGACAAAGTGAACCGAGTTGTTCCCGCACCTAAATACGAGTACAAGACATCAACATTTGTTGAACCTCGTACCACGAATCACTCCGGTTATGAGCGAACGGGCCATTATAAAGAAAAATACGAAGATTTGGAGGCTAAAATCTCAGATCCTGAAATGAATCGGTCACCTTCCAATAATCCCCGTGGAGTACAAGGACTCCTCTTTCGAGAAAGTCTAGCGCTCATTGAAGAACGTATCGAAGTATTCCGGGATATCAACGATCGTGCTAATTACCTTGAGAATTGGGTAATACTCATCTTTTTTCCTCAAAGTACCTCATGTATCAGAAAATATCACTAACATAACGGACATAGAACCTTCGCAGCATTGATACCAACAAAGATAGACAAGAAACTGCCGTCTACGCCTTCACAATCGTAACTATTATCTTCCTTCCCCTCAGCACCGTCGCATCTATCCTGGGCATGAACACCAACGACGTACGCAACATGGATCTCACGCAGTGGATTTTCTGGGTGATTGCTATTCCTCTCACAATAATTATCATAACTTTAGTATTAATATGGTCTGATGAATGGTACAATTTCTGGAGCGGATTCAGTAATCTCTGGGGAAAGAAAGCGAAAATGAAACGTAAATATGTACGCCTACCTGAGGAATATCCGAGGATTGAAGGGAGAAGCGGACTAGGATTGAGTATGGTGCCGCCGGCTAGAGTAAGTGAGATTTACCCTGAGGCGAGGAGATTAAGGAGGTCGCATACATTGTTTGGAGGTGGGGGGTACGGAAAGGAAGATTATTAGTGAGTTTTTGTACTTGGATTTGTTTGTGAATTTGGTTGGGTTATGTATACGTATATTTGGCCTTTCATCTAGTTAGTATATGTTATGTCATCTTTTATATCTACTTGTTATGTATATCTTACCATCAATTTTCATCAAAATTTCCAGTATCAGACCTTCCGAGTTATTTTATACAGGCAACCTGTATATACCCTGGGACTATTATCTACAAAAAGACTGCCACATCTGGATACTGAAGGATAGGATAATATTGAATATTATCTAGGGTTGCGCGCTACCTATTACAGATATCCATCAAATGATTATCCATTTGTGTTCTTTAGATAGTGCGTTTATTACTTTAGAATCTCGATTGGCCGGATAGGTAAAAAATGTTTCATCGCTGAGCGTATCAATATTTCAGATTGCTGTCTGGTTGGCCATATTTTCGATGCTGGAAAGTGTGAATCACGGGTCGCTATTCCAGGTGACTTTGATACATTCTCTTGTCCTCGAATCGAATTATTGTTTTCATTTTCATTCTCTAAATAATCTCAGTGCCGAAGTAAATGCCTCCGAAAGCTACGAGTATCCCCAAAAACCCGGCCTGACTAGCCAAAAATATATGCAAGAATGTAACTACCTCTGCCAAATCCTGGCATCCAGCATTGAAAAACACCATCATATCATGATATGAACCCATCAACAATCATTTCCCATTTATATCCATATTCCATCCATCCAACGCCATGCGATGTCTGAGCACGCTTTGCCGTCCCCAGTCCGTAACACCGTAAAATCATGTAAATCTATCTGCAACAAGTAGACTCAATCCTCGACTCCATATCCAATATTATAGCCTGCTTTCCCAGTCTCCAATTAATCCCTATTCCTCTTTATTTTCCTCCCCCAATGTATGCTTGTTGACCCCAAATAACTTCCTCACATCCTCCTCTGCCTCTCTCGACATAACTCCCGCCCAGTGTTCCATCAACCCCTCACAAACACCCTCATCCCAATTCACCAAACTATCTCCCCACTGACAAGCCACCCACAAAACATTCTCCCAAACCTTCTTTTCCAAATCCACCTTGAACCTATCAATCGTACTTTGTCTATCCCCCCACATTCTACTCTTCTTATTTTCCGCCTTCCCTATCCAAATCATCATTTCCACAGGCGATAATTTAATAATATTATGATGCATAAATACCACTTCTGGTCTATGTTTCGGATCATCGATTCGAAATAACGGGTGATCTTCTCCTTTCTTTTCTTCTTGGAGATACGTGGAATAATCATCCGAGGGGTTATGTTGCACCATACTTGCGGTTTGGTATCCGTCCGGGGAATTATGTCCGACGACACCGGTTCTTTGTCGGACTTGGAAGTAGCTCTTCTCCAGTGCAATGGCGGCATATAACCATGTTTCTTTGTCGCCTTCGCCCGGATCGCATTGTGTTAGCAGGGGGTAGTAGAATGAGGGTCCGAAGATGTTGTAGTAGAGGGCTAGGAGGAGGACGTCGCTGTGTGTGCGTTTGGAGATAATTACTTCGCCCGATTCGGTGGTGCCGATGGAGAGGAGGGACGGCGCGGGAATGTTGATGACTTGGAAATAATGGGGAGATGTGGTGGCTAACCAGAAGTCTGGCCACTGTGAGCTTGTTAGCATATTGTTTTCCACAAGGAAGAAAATTTTAGGTTGCGCCTAAAAACCTTACCAAAACATAACCGGTATCCTTATAGACTTTTGCTTCCATCCATTCGATCGGATCGACAATTGGGAAGTTATCCGCATCCAAAAATAATACATCCTCAAAACTACTCAACAGGACTGCGAAAATCTTATACTGATATCTTGCAATTGTGAGATCTTCGTATTGAGGAATCAAAACACAGCGGGCATTAAGAGACGGCAATACTACTTCGCAAGTATGTTTATTGTAATCCTCTGGATTCGGCATAAAAACCTCCACCGGTAAAGTGGAATTTGTTCTTCGAAGCATGCGAATGGAAACGAGTAATGCGCCAGTGAATTTTCCGCCTGCTACCGTTACGATGCCTTTGGATCCAGGTGTATACGGGACTAAATGAGAGGAGTTTCGTATCATATCCACCACATTCTCGTGCGCGATCCTCGCGGCTTGAATCTTTTCGTCGGATACAGGTGTTACATCTCGACGCTCGGTTTCGATGGTGGCTGCTTCGATTGCTACCGTTTTACCTGGACATGCGGCCGGTTCTGTGAGCTGTGGGGGCGCGATTTGGTGCAATTTACGCACCAAGTTCGATATTTCGATTTCTTCTTTCGTCGAAGCGGATGGGTTGTTGAGATGCGTCAAATCGTCGGGTGTAGTGTGGGTGATATGAGTGGTACTGATGGTAAAGCTACCGAGGGGCTCCTGAAGGAAAACGGGAGTTTCTAAAGACCATAATTGGTCTCGAAAGACGAAGTACACGACGAAGATGGTGATGATTATTATGGTGATCCTCTTGGACACAGAGGTGGCCAACATCTTGAGAAGCTTAAAGTAGGTGTGCTGTAGTAGAAGATGCGAATACACATTGAGAAAATAAGTACAATACCGATAAGGATTGGGGACGTCCGGAGTGAATATGAAAAGTCACCCGTAAATACAGGAATGTGGGCTGAGCTAAAGTAAGATTTCATAGGTATCAAAGGAAGCATAATACATAATCTTCAGTGGAGCGCCATAGAGCCCGCGTTATCGATGGGGTGGTTGAGGAAATGAGGAAAGGAGGAAAGGAGGCATGTATGTATTAAATTAGGTTCAAACTAGAACTTACAGCCCTGTTATCACATAAGATAGGATAGCAGCTTGTACCTTATTTATTTTTGATTTCCAATGGTTCTGTTTCTGATAATTCATTCCCAACTGTGTAACTCACTGGAGCCATTTAATTCACATCACTGTCAAAAGAAGGTTTTTTATAACACCGACCGAAGATCTAGGTATGAGATACGAAATGATGCTAGGCGATGACAGAAGCACACTAAAAGATAGGGGACACGAGAAACTAAGCGCTTTTCAGTATAATATCAATTTTTACCCCTACTAGTTGTCGATCATTCAATATTTTACTTGGCAAAGATTCATCGTTTTCCTTGTTTGTCATCATCTCATCTCATCTCATTTCAGCTTTGTATATCTGACGAAGCCCAAAACTGTAATTAGAAAATATTCAAGTCGAATATATAGGGTACAGTAATCTGTCGTGGCAGGATGATTAGACGATGGTCTCGTCTAGTCTAATCTGTGGATTGACAAGCTGACTAATTCTTTTCCAAGATGAGGTTGATTTATGACTTGGGCTAGCTAAAAAGACACTATATACAGTATTCAATAATGGGGATTATCACAGTGGATCGTTACTCACGCAGGCAGGTATAGTATATACCAACCAAAGTTTGACACAACGGCATTGCAGGAATACCACTCAAATCAAACAACTCCCTCCAACAAACCAACAACTCCCTCCAACAAACCAACCACAGTTCATCAAAAATTATGCTAATTATTATCTTTGGCTTTGCAATCTCCGAGGTAAATATCTTGGTATATCCTCTTATCATCTTCCAGCAAGCGTAGGATTTGGCATCCCTCTTTTCGATACAAAGAGATCTTTTGTCGGGATTTTTGCGTAAATTTAGATGAAGACAATGAGGCTCAGTCTAATAGAAAGACAGTAAGCTCACTCACATGAAGCGCTTACATCCTGGAAATGACCCACAATGCATGAAATTTAGAGATACCTAATATTCACGTTTTTCTTCTTCCTTCGATGTTGCACGATAGGTGGAAAGGAAATTAGATCTGCTTTTCTTATGTGACGTTTTCATGCATCTTACCAGCACACCTATCAGAAACATATCAGGCTAAATTGAAATATTGATATGATAATTGGGAACGATCAAATTTGTTGGAGCTGAAAGCATATGTACCTAGGTACCTACTTACTAATAAGATTTACCAGTCAGTTCCTGACCGGTGAAAATATTGGAAAATTAGATGTTTGCGATGAGACATTACAAAAGCGCCTTGGATTGAGATCTATGAAGTGTATACAGGGTACATCCACAATGGAAAACCATTGGGAATTTTACCAGGGGTCTTATATCATCTAGGTGAAATTGCTGACATTTATCGTACCGTACCTGCCTTTCCAAGCTACTGCAACAATGCAATGAATATTCTTTCTCCTTCCCCTTTTCCATTCTCGAGGAAAAGATCCGTACATGGGTTAATTAGATAAGCTTTTAGATCCACGGGAGGATAGGGCCGATCAAACCTGGGATGAATAATTGCGAATATGTTTTCGCTTCACAAAAAATTATTTGAATATTTTCCAAGGTATTTATTTGTGTATAGCTTATTAAGGCTATTGAAGACTTGGGTCGCATTTGCGGTTCGACAATACCTGCAGGACCATGACAGCTTCTTTCCTGTCGTCGATAATAGCTGATCCAGTGATCTTTTTTTCTCAAGCCAACATAAATTCACGAATAGAATGTAGTTGATTGGTGGTAAACATTTTTGCTTTCGTTTCCTTTATCTCAATATGCCAGCTCATTTAGTGATAGAGATTTAATGAAGTGAAAGTAACCCTCCTTGACTCCTTGAGTCGTCTTCTGGGGATTTTGCTACAAATTCGCTATCTACATACTGCCCTCCAATATCCTCACCGAATTAAACAACCAGCTCATTGTGCTGCAACAAATTCTTCAAGCCATCATGCATTCTTCCAATCTAGACTTTCTGGCTTTTCATATTTACACCAGTGTGATATCTCAGTACACACAAAGATGAGAAATTCCTCTAACCGATTGTTCATTCCACATCTGCTGAAATCACTCATCTTCCTCCCCGCTTTGGCTGTGGGAATACACCTTTTAAGCCGTATAGTCCACCTGCAACAGGAGGGGGAATTATAATTCTAGCTGGGGGCCGAGCTTGAACAGGGGGTGGAGGGTTAGGAGGAGGTTGAGCAGGTTGAGGTGGTTGTGTTGGCGGCATGTCTTGTTTTCCAGGCAGAGGACGATTATGGGAAGATAATGGAGCCACTCTAAGCGACGAGATAGAAGCCCCGCGTACTTCAGTTCTTAATGAGGGGACTACAGGTGGAGGACGTGTTGATCGCGCGCGAGTTCTACTAGAATGGTTTTGAGAGCGCCGACTAGATCCGCTTTGTTTCTTTCCCTGATTTCGATGATAATGAAGAAATGCAATAATACAAACAACGCTTACAACCACGATCACGAGGATAATACCAGTTGTCATATGTGATAGCATATTCAAAGTGTGTGAGAGTTGATTATTTGCTTGAGTTAATTGTATCGACTATTTTGATTTATGCTGGAAAGATGATTGATTATATAGAGAACTTTCCTTTTCCGACAAGCGAGCCTGGTGACAAGCGGGCAATGTGTGCACATTAGGTTTTCTTTGATTCTGTACTCTATATGTTCAATTTTAGACACAAAGAAGCATACTTAGGGCAAACAGCGTCCAAACTTTCGTGTCACTTTTCCTCTAGGAGATATTTAACACATTATACATCATACATCATACATCATGATTCATAAAATGTTGGTCTATAGACAACATTCTGAGCAAACATCAATTATTTCCATCATTTGATCAAACTTTCAGAGGAAACCAAAGATAGAAGAAGAAGAGATTGAATAAGATGCTTGCTCTAATTATTATTCTAGAAATCAAGGAAAGTTGCTTAGATTATTGATAGGAAGAGCTAAATTGGTCCATCAAATCTATAAATCATGTCCTCAACCAGCCACAAATATCGACCTTTCTTATCCATTTGAGTTATTTCGCATTGAGTTTATTACCCATTTTCTCCTCTCTTATCCTATGACAGCAGGTATATCCTCTGTTAAAAATATACTATGCACCGCATCATTAGCACTCTCCAAGTATCTCTCGTCTCATCCACGGTATACAAGCACGCCAACCTCTCTCATCCCACCATTCGAAGCCATAGAGCCAGAATATCATGAAAAGTACCTTTATAGCTATCAATTGACAAGCACATAGCTAGCTGGGAATAGCTTCACATTTGCAAATTGTTTTCTAATATTAATCTTTAAAACGTAGTGAGTGATGTATGTTGAAGTAGTTATCATTAATTATATAGAATGGACTTTTTTTCTCATTCTACGGTTCCTGAAAATCACGGTGTTTATTTATTATTAATTAATTATTCTATATCAATCTATCTCTTCACATAAGAGCTCATATTTTAAGTAATTCTAAACATATTTATCCAATTATCTATTCTAGATTCCTATTATGGAGATCTTATAAAGAAGCAAGCTATCTATTTCCACCTCAGTGACTTAATACTCGCCATCCATCAGATACTTAGATGAAAAGCGTGCAAAATCGCTCCACTTGAAGAATGATGGAGCGAGTAACGATTTCTTGAAATCTAATGGTTTGTGTCGAGAGGGTTATGACGATTCGGAGTATGTACAGCATGATGAACAGGCTAATGAGCATATATGCAATCATGAACATGGTTAGGTAATCCATTTTTTAGATGCTGATGGTTGGTTTGAGGGTTCTGGAAGGATAATTTTTGTGGGTGGCGGGTGGCTTGGTGGTTTTTTATAATTCTTTTGAGGGTTGCTTTGATGGTTGCTTTGATATTGTTCTAATATTATTTATACAGTATAAGGTTTTATTAAGAGATTATTTTCTAAAAAGTATTATCAATATCTAGACTTTCACTTTTCCGTACCTGTTCTGTCTTGGGTGCATCTTGTTCGCTTTTCGGAGCTTCGGGGATGATGATGTCTAGAATTTGAGCGGAATAAGGAAGATACAATCCTGATATCACCCGCAGCTCAATTGCAGCCACAAGACATAAACGGGCTCCCTGCAGCATGCAGAAAACAGGATGATGAACAAGAGCGAGCTTAGAATGAAGACACGTACGGGTATATCATCATGTTAATCCTCGACTAAATGTAATCCAACTGAAAGTTAAGCGGGTTTAGATCCATATCGGTTATTAGCCAATACAGCTGTAAATGCTACTAGCGCTTGCTAGTGTATACCTAGTAGTTACTTTAATTTGTCATCATCATGTGCAGCCCTCGTTGCGAACTTGCATGGTCATATAAACCTGGAGTTTGGGTAGATACGGGCATCTTCACAGCCGGTCGAGTTTCAATTCATACAGCCGGAAGTAATTTCCGGGCAGTGTATCAATGAAGACATGACGAATAATTTCAGAATGTATCAAGTTCTAGAAGATCTATCTATCAGTCATTTCTCATAAAAATCATCTATCGTAATATATGTTTATAAGCGCATAGCCAGAAGTTGGAAATATGTTATCTTCCAGCTCTGGTCTTGTTGATATTGAGATAATATGATCAATTAGTATACTTTCAGTACATTCTATCAATCCTAAATTTCGAGAAATTCACTTGAGACAGCTTTGAAGTTTGGATGACATCAAATTTGACATTAAACTTAGCACTGTCAATATAACTATTTTTCAATAAATAGCTTTGCAAATGGATTATCCATAAATTATCCACAAGAGCGATAATCCGCCCTGCTGGACCCCGTTGCGCAGTCTAGAAGAGATAGTAGAATAGTATAAAAGGATGTATTATTATTACAAGGTTATTATTCGCCTCTCTCGGCCCTTTCCTTTCCTTTCGCTTTGCCATTTCCTCCCCTCTTTCCCCCTTCCCTGTTTCCATACAAACTCCCCTCACTCCATCCCATCCCATACCTTCCCTTCCTATTTCTCTTCCCCGTCCATCAGCCCAACAACCCCGGATCCCCACACTCCAAATCAAACCAAACATTCGGCACACTCGGAATAATACTATCCAAACTCTGCGCCACACTACCTCCAAAAAGATCACACCTAGGAGCACCCGTTCCCGGTTCCGGAAAAAACGAATACGATTCGCAGCCTTTATCTATACCGTATACGCCCTATTGAATGGGATGAGGTGTTAGTAATTAGATATAGAGTAGTAGATGAGGAATTGGGGAAGAAGAATTTCCAGGGAAATAAAGAGAGGATTGATGATATGAGCTGGGAATTGATATTTCCAACCAAATACAAATAGAAACAAAAAGCAAAAAAAGAAAACTCACAAAACAAAATTCCCAGCATCCCCTCAAAGTAACCGGGACCCCAGCTTTCTCCTCCACAAACTCGGCAAGAAAATAATCGCCAACGGGTAAACCATGTAAACCGCAATGTACGGCTGCTGGGTTTGGTGTTCCGCTTATTTGGATGGTGGTTATGGTGGTTGTGAATTGGATTGTGGTGCTTGGGTGGAGACTTGTGGTTCCGGTTGCGATGGGGGTGGGTGTGAGGGTGAGAGTGAGGGTTGAAGTGTTGGATTGTGTGGTTGTGGTTGAGGGTATGGAGGAGAGGGTGGATGAGAATGAAGATAAGGATGATAATGATAGTGATAATGGGGAAGAAAATGAATAAGGATAAGCCAGCGTACTAGTAGAAAGCAAAATCGTAGTCGATATCAATTCTCCAGTTGAAATCGAACTCGAAAATGCCGATTCTCCTACTGACGATGTTGATGCTTCAACAGAAGAAGACGAAGAAGAAGAAGTAACCCCACCCAACCCAGAAGACACCAACCCTAAAGTCTCACTAGCCACCAAAGAACTACTCATTGCCCCCGTAGTACTACGATTTCCCAACGCAGTACTCCAACCCCTACTCACCACCGCACTAGAACTAGCAGCACTCGACGTCCAAATCCCAGTCGAATTCGCCGCCACAGATACAAATCCAACTGAAGCCACTCCCGAAATAGAAGATTGCGCCGATACAGCAGCAGAACTACTCGTCAAGCTTTGAAACGACGTAGATGTCCAAATACCCGTCGAATTTGCCCCCACAGACAGGAATCCCCCTGCAGAAGGCACCCCCGAAATCGAAGAAGACAACAGTGTAATGGTAGAAAGACCCGTGGAAGAAATAGAAGTAGAAGTAGAAGCCAAAGCCGTAGTACTTCCCTCCACACTACCCGCAGAAACAGTAATCCAATACGTACTCGTGCAATTTTCGGTAATGGTGATGAAGCTCGTAGGATTTGCGGGACAGAGGGTGAGGGATGTATGGTTTTGGATGAAGCTAGGTGAGAGGGTTGTTAAGGTGGTGGGTATGAATGTGGAGATTGATGTTGGCGTAGAGTTAACCGAGAGAGAAGTAGGCGAAAGAATTCGATCCGTGACTGTAGCCATAATCGAGATACTATTTTGCAATTCCACACCTGCACCTGCACCTGCACCTGCATCCACACCTGTAGCAGCAGCAGAAGCAGCAGTAACCCTCGCCCTCCCACTCTCACTCCCACTCCCAATCACCGAACTCGAAAATCCACCCAAGTTGCCCAACCCAGAAATCTCCGTACTAAACCTCGCAGCAGCAGCTACAACTGTACCCGTAGCCTCAGCCACAAGATACGGATGTGTAAACGGTAGGAGCGACCTAGTTTCCGCAACCGAATCATCATCATCCCCATCATCCCCATCATCATCATTCCAACCCTTTCCTCCTTTTCCATGTCCACCTTTGTTAGAATCAGAATCAGAGTCAGTACTCCAAGGCCAACCCCATCGTTTATGTTGAATTTGTTTCTGAGGGATTATTAGTATATTTATCTGTATCCCCATCTCCCCAGAAACTAAAGCCCAAAGCCAAACAGAAAACCTCAGAGGAAGAAAAAAACCAAAAAAAGAGAATCACATACAATATCCCTATTCCCATTCCCACTTCCACTCCCACCCAATTGCGGAATAGCCTCAATAAAATTCGACAGGAAAGCTACAACGGTGACTAGAGCGAGGAGATGCATATTGACTTTCGACTTTCAACCTTCTGGTTTAGTTTTCTTTCAACCTCCTCAGAAAACAGCAAAAGAATGACGATACTCTTCAAACTTCAAACCTCAAACTTTTAACTTCCAACTAAAAATTTAAAAAAAATAAAATAAAATAAAATAGAGAGCCCAAGAAGCAACTCCCTCCCTCTCAATCAGTCAATCAAATCAATCAAACAATCAAACTTTCCTCCAAGTCCGAGTCCAAATCCAAATCCAACTCTCGCAAGCCTAAAAGAATGTAATAAATCAAAGTCACAAGATTGTAACTGTAGTAAATGATCGTATGCCACAATGTATTCCAGTTTTCTCGAATCTCAAAGGATATCCTTCCATCTTTATAGATCATCTGCTCGCTCAAGAAATCTGAATCTGAATCTGAATCTGAATTTCAATTTCAATCTCACTTCAACCTCACTTCAACTTCGATATTCTTACTCCTACTTTCAATTCTACTCCTTGGTAAATATCTATCTCACCGAGGCGAGGAGAATCGAAAATCCAAAAAAGGGGTGGGTTGAAAAGAGCAAGGAATCCTAAAAAATTTACCGAAGTAATTAATGTAAGGCAAGGTAAAAAGGGAAAGCAACACAAATGGATTCACAAGTTCACAAACTTCACCCACCAAAATTCTCACCCTTTTGTAGTAGCTTCTTGATTATCATTTAATCTAATAATTCATGCCACTTGCATTAATCCTATTTACAGTTTCGGGGAACAAGAAAAAACCAAAAAAAAACAAACAAATATCCATTGCAATGCTATCAAAACCCTCTCCCTCCCCCCAAATAACTCCGAATATAATGCTCCTTGGGAAATGAAACCATTCCCCCAAAAATGCTCAAGGGGTATCGTACAATAATGTATGAGCAAGGGAAGATACTGAGAGACTTATTCAGTATCCCGATTCTTTTCTAGATATGCACATCTAGACAATTCGACTGTGGAGTACAGCAGGGACGAATCGGAATTTTGTACTGAAGCCGTGTAATCTGAACAACGCATCCTATCGACAACTGATTTCTTCTGACCATAATCTTCTCGTGAATCGATTCATTCATAGGCCTTTCATCATCGTGGTATCGTGATTCAAACAATCTCAATCCTCCCAGATCGTATCTAGATTCAAATCACCTCTTCTTTCAGCACCACAAACACTCCAACGTTTTCTCTTATCCCGTGAACCAAATCCTCCTAGACCTCTACCACGTCCCCCAGAAGTGTCAACTCCTCTTGATTTGGCATCTTCACATTCAGCTCCATCTGCCGCATCTGCCGCAGCTTTTAACTGAGCAATCCTATCTGCTTCTATGGCAGCTTCTTCCGCATCCGGTGTATCAGGTATTGTTTCCAAGCTGGATATACTCGGGCTGCGAGATCTTGTAGAAGTAGGTGTAGAAGGAACGGATGAAGATGTGTATGAACCAGGATAATACAAGGAACTGGTGGAAATGTTCGAGGTGAGATAGGATTCGCCGAATTTTGTTGTATTGTATGAAGGGGATGAAGTCGAAGAGGATGGAGTCGTGGGTGTTGCGCCACCAATAAAGGGACCTGTTGTGATATGTCGTAAAGGGGAAGCTGGTCTTCGTACGCGGGTATAACTACCGCTGGAAGGTATACCTAAGATTGGGGAGGCACTGCGATCCGACATTTTTGAAGTATCCTCATCAAAAGCTGGCTGCTCACCCTCACTAATATTAATCAAAGCACGATTTGGAAACCCTGGGAACACTTCATCTGCGGGTTTTCTGGGTATGCGAACTCGAGCTGGTGAGCCTAAAGGACTTGCGGGTCTTTGAGGAGACATGAGTAGGTGGCCAGCACCATTTACTGCTGGTAATGATTGTGCTCGCGACATTGGAGGTGCCAAAACACTACCGTTTGATCTTGATCTAAAATGGCCTCTCGCATATGGTGAAGTATTTCGAGGACGAAGAGGGATTGTAGGAGTAACAGGGGATGACCATCCTGGGGAGCGGGGTGATTGAGGTATTGGTTCTGTAGTTCTTCGAAGAGTTTGCGGTCTGGCAGATTGTTCTCGATCCTTAATTGGAGTTTGACTGTCGTAAAGAGCAGATTCTTGTAATCGTAATCTTGGTACAGGAGATGCCCTGAATTCCTCAAGGGAGTGGAGTTCCGGCACGGGTTCCATGATTTACTGCGACCCTTTGTGAGGACCCAATAACGGCATGGAACGGCTGTATGGTGAATGTACGATAAAGAAAGCACAGTAAGGTAAGGGTAATATTTCGGGTGACTTTTTTTTATTTGCTGCAATGCGATAGCGAAATAGAGAAACAAGTCGCGAGATTCGATTCCTTGATTTTGATCTCAACGTGTTTGTTTTGTTCCTTCACTGGTTGGTAGATATTATTCCAAGGTAGAACTGCAATCGAATATTGTTTGGGAACGGTTTATGTTGCTTCGATGTTACCGTACTGGAGCTTCTTTTTTTTCTTTTTCTTTTTCGAAGTTTCGCGATACCAGCGCAAAAGGAATGAAGAACAGAGGGATAAATAAAAGAGGGAGAAAATTGAATGGGTATTCTTTTTTAATAAGAGCCTCCGCTTTCCCCTTCTTTAACAAAAGTGGAAGGTTGAAATTATGGTAGGAGAAGCGAAAATGTTTGTTATCATATAGTTCATGTACATGCTCATGCTCATGCTCATGCTCACTCTCATGTTCATGCGGATATCATCATGTTCATGTTCATGGTTGTGGTTGTGGTTGTGGTTGTGTAGTGGTTATGGTCATATACATGGTTATGATGATGATTATTAAAGTTGGGGAATCGTTTCTTATGAACGGCGGAAATTCTTTCTAGACAGCCATGGATTGATGGATTGATCGATTGATGGATTGATTTTAGAGGGCGCGTTCGTCTCTTCTGGGGAGGCCGGTAAGTTAGAATTTATCAGAAAGGTTTCAAGGGCAAGAGCTTCCTTCTCCTTCCCCTGCGGAGGTTTATCAATTAAAGGGTCTTGACTATGTATATTATCCTAGCTACTTTGTAGATCAGTAAACTAGCAAGAATTTATTAGATGAACATGAGAATGAATATATATTAAATATCGAATACGGAGTATCGGTGAAGGGAAGGAACATCCATTTACAAGACTCTAGCATATCCCAGGATTTACGACGAATAAGGAACCTGGAGATATAAAACTCATAAAAGTGTTTGTGAGAGTTGCTAGACAAGTTGCTAGACAGTTGTAGTTTGTTCTCGTAGTAGGTCCCTGTGTTTCCGTGATATTCTAAAGACCAGAGAAGAGAGTCTAGATGAAGAAGAACTCACTCGTAATCACCAAATCCATCGACTGATTTCACCACTCAACCCATCGCATTCAAACCCATCAAAACCCTCAAAACCCTCAGTTCATTTGCCAGCGGTGACTCCGGAAGAGAAATGTATCTTCATCCCCTCCCTAGGTTTTATGGAGTTATCTCTATGTAACATTGACACTTTATATCTCATCATTATTATTATTATTATTATTATTATTATTACTATTACTATTACTATTACTATTACACCGTACGCACACCAGCACTCTCCCATACAGAACTCACTCCACCCCTCCGGCTGGAGTAACTCATTAGTCGATGACTCCACCAAAAAAGATACCCAAGATGGATTCATTTGTCGCATTGAAGCATCGACCATCACGAACGCAGCGTTTAATTCATTAAAATAACCAATCGTCTTTCTTTCACCCCATCTTTAAAAGTACTGGGGGCATTAGTAGCATTTCTACCATCTGATCCTACTGACCCCGGGTACAGCTTCATGGGTAAATGATGAAATGGTAAAATCAAAAAGAAGATGGCGTTGCGCTGTCTTGCCTTCCTTGCCTTCCCTGCCTGGTCATTGTTTGTAAATTGTTTCTGAGACCGGATCATGCATGCAGTATGGCTGGCTTATCTGTACTTGATCTGTAGAACATACCATGGACGGAGTACATACTTGGGTAGATAGATATCAACCTCGGTTATAACAATGAGCCATTATCTATCCTATCGTGTACTTATGAATCTTGAATATGGATGCGGTACGGAGTATGGATGTACTGATCTTTCTTCCTCTGTTGTGTTAGGTATCATTGCTTTTCTCTTCTTTCCTTTCATTCAGCTTGGTCCGACAGACATTATCCAGTCAGTGTCACAGCTCATGCGGCCTCGAACCTCCTCCCGTTCCAACTACCCTCTACCCGAATGTCATCATGTTTCAACATTCCACTATTCCATACCCCTCAAATGTTCATGGCGGTGTCGTCTGTTTGCGAACAGTTCCTGGAGCTGCCACGCGGTATCATGCAGTATGATCTACAGTACGACAACTAGAATTTTTTGAAAAAAAAAATGAAAAAAAAGAAGAAAAAAATAACCTAATAAACGTGGTCAAGCATGAACCTGAGTAGGTAAATATTTTCCACCATCCACCATTGACGCAATACTTAGGTTGTGTAACGTCGAGTTCAAATACCCCATTCACTGCAGGTATATCGCTGCATTATCTTGCTCAATCTTTGATATCCCAAGGTTCTACTGGTTCTACTGACTCGTACCTACATAGATAAGTACCAACAACTGGACCAACACTGTACCAACATGACAGTGATTGGGAAGCATGAAGAAGTGGATATCTGGTTGGTTGAGTGTCCCACATCATTGGGTAGATCGGAGAGCATGAGATAGCCACCCATCAGATAATCTTGAAACTATTCCGACATGTTGGGGTTTGCATGAAAATCGGATATTAAAGACGGGTCTGCTCTCTTTTATGTTACTCGAACTTCGACGAAGTTTCTCGAATGGAATCGAAAACTGTGTATGGTCAGACCTGGTTGGTGCAGTTCAAGGTATCCTTCCCTATCTGAAGGCGTAGAATGATGAGGAAGTAATTGACAGCTCCTGTCCTAGATCCAACGAAGAGAAACCATATAGTATAAATCATATCATATAGTGGCAGTTCACTCATGCGCCGTTGGGCGAATAATGAACTTCTCATTCAAGTAGTATCATCAATAGGATCACATCCGTGAACAACTAACTCTTTGCTCCTTGATAAAACGTTTAACAACAGGAGATATTAAGTTCTCATGCTCCCCACAGCTAGAAGTACAGTGGTAACCAATCCGAAGTAAGTATCTAGAGGTAGGTATTTGAGCGAAAGGAGAAAGTTGAATTTTGAGAATATTATTTTTTTCTGTGTGAAAAGGGGTCAGGACTTGGGAGTAATCTTACCAACGGGAGCATCGGTGGAGGAGCCGGATAAAAGTAGGAATTCAAACAAACCATCGTAGGCCCCGTGTGAGAGTCACTGATTTTTGAAGGTTGCTAGTTATTGTTTCCTGTAATGTAAACCAAACATCTTTGGCGATTCTCATGTTCTGGTTCATGTTTCCAAAAAGTCAATGGTGAAGGATAGATGATTGTCTGTCGTTGGATTCACCGTCTGGATGAATCCTCATTGATAAGGTGAGAAGGGTAACGTGTATGGACACTTAAAAGCCAAAGGTACATTGCAGCAGGTACTAGGTAGTCAGTCGAACGTGGAGGAAATACGAGAAGATGGAAAATGGAATATAGAAGGTTCAATAGAACTTCAGAATGTGTAGATTGAGGTATCAGCAGATACTTCTAGATTATACCCCTATACGAGCATGGGTCAATTCTTATTCTCAACCTCAACATTACCATTGCCATCAACTATTCTTCGTTTCAGTGTTCCAAGAGTTGTTTCCATCTTAGGTAATTTGATGATCTGGATGACTACATATATACATATATACGTATATATATATATATATATATTATCTATGATGAGAACAATTTATGATTATTATTATAGTTAGATCCCTTGAGCTTGAGCCTGCTCTTAACTTTAATTCTGTCCAGATCATCCAGATCATTAAAAAGTGACCCTCTTCCTAAATTTCAGCCAATAACATCACAACTTTATCAAGAGTAAGTTCGCATCAAAACATCTGTACTATCGAACAGATCGAACTTCAACACTCGTTTTTTCTTACTTTTTAACATATTCTACAACTGAGTACTTGAGAACAGGTACTCAATTCAATCAACCAATCTCATCAATTCCTATTTTACGAGATTGCGGGCTTAATTTAATCTCCCTCTACCATCTGCGACAACGAACCGAATACTTACACCTACCTACATAACATAATCTCGAACAAAATCAACCCTCTTTTATTCCACCATCTCAAAATCAACAAATGCGCTCCTAGACTTTCATAACTATCGATTGAGGACAACCCTTCGAACAGTACAACGGCGCCATGGGCCCAGTCCGGTCTTTACGGCGTACGAACCCGCTCACCTTGATTGTGGGTGTGGTCTTATGTATCATCATTTTCGTATTTCTATTCTCGCCATCAAATGTCAACGACGCAGCATCGCAATTAAGAAGAGCAAGCGCAGCATCCAATCCTCTCTCACCACCTACATCTCCCTTTCGAAAACAGAATGAGGCTACCAAAAGTGGTAAACGCATACCACCACCTGTCATTCATTACCATATGAATAATGTTACCAGTACCGCCGATCCTTTAGGAAATCGAGAGATGGTTCTCATCCTGACACCTTTGGCAAGATTCTATCAAGAATATTGGGATAATCTCTTGAAGCTTTCATATCCGCATGAGCTCATTACTCTCGCTTTTATCATTCCAAAGAATAAGGAAGGAAATGCCGCTACAGCAGCTTTGCAGGAGCAGGTTACGAAAACTCAAAAGTCTGGACCGGAAAAGAATCGATTCGCGAGTATCATTATTGAACGACAAGACTTCGATCCACCTCTTGTATCTCAATCCGAAGCTGAAAGACATAAGATGGAGAATCAAAAGGCAAGAAGAGCTGCAATGTCAAGAGCCAGGAATTCTCTCCTTTTCACTACTCTTGGGCCTTCTGTATCCTGGGTTTTATGGTTAGATTCAGATATCATTGAGACTCCTCCAAGTTTGATTCAAGACTTGGCTTCTCATGACAAAGCCATCATTGTGCCAAATTGTTTCCAAAGATATTACGATAGCAAAGATAAACGAATGTCAGAACGCGCCTATGATTTCAACAGCTGGCAGGATAGTGATGTTGCACGAAAACTTGGGGAATCAATGGGACCTGATGATATTTTATTAGAGGGTTATGCTGATATGGCTACATATCGACCATTGATGGCATATCTTGCCGAAGATTCAGGAGATTCCAGGGCCATCATCCCACTTGATGGAGTAGGGGGAACAGCATTAATGGTTAAGGCAGAGGTACATCGTGATGGGGCCATGTTCCCACCTTTTGCTTTTTACCATTTAATAGAAACGGAAGGTTTTGCAAAAATGGCAAAGAGATTGGGTTGGAATGCTTTTGGTTTGCCTAATTATAAGGTATATTTTCATCCTTTGTTTCTCATCTTTTGTTCCTACGTGATAAGCTCTTTTTACTAATATATGATATTATAGGTCTACCACTATAACGAGTGAGAGATGTCCGGCACATCAATTTCCTCCTCATACACCTTCTTACTAGATATTTGAAATGAGGAACAAAAAGAAAAATAATATTTTGGATGGATGAATCAGGGGTTTGCAGATAGGGGGGGCTTTTAAGGGAATAGCATATTCATGAGGAGGGAGAGGAACACGCTGGCATTCCCATCAGGTCAGATATTATGTATCAAAGCGTAGGGTACTGGAAAATTAAATAGGATTGGGCGTTTCTTCGAGTTGGACTGTTTAATAAAAACATACTTCTCTCGAATTTGGCTCGTTTTTTCGATGTAAAATCTTATGTAGGTTTTTGGCATGTGCTTTTACTATGATTGTGCTTTTTCTTGTGCTTGTGCTATTACCTGCGCTTGTGCTTATTTGTATACATTTATATCATTAGAAGGGGATTTAAAATAAAGGTTTCATATCTTATGTTATTCTATGGTTATATTGTTCTATTGTCATGATGGGTCTCGAGTGAAACTCAAATTTAATTTCAACCTCAAACTGAGGCTTACTTGTTTATTTATTGATAATTCATACACACACAATAGTGGTTGAGTGATAGAGCGATTGGAAATATAAGTAGTGAGTGAGTGGAGTGGTGTATAGCTACGGCGACGACGAGTATAGCGATACTCTGAAGTTGGAGGGGGAGGAGATTCATTGTGTCTTTTTTGATTGGACTTTAGGGGCAAGTCAGATGCAATACTCTACGAAACTCAAAAAGTAGCTGAGGTGGAAATGATGGGTTCAATTCCTGGAAATTTCTATCTACTGGTCAACACCCAATATCCTCAGCAGGGATAGCGTTGTGCTGTACACTATTTTGTGGAGTTGGACAGGATCTTGACCAATGTGAATCTTAATATTAACGATTTTGTAGCTAGCTAGGTGGAATAGACGACTGGCATACGATCGTGCTCACCATATGGGCTTGGAGTTTTAAGTCAAGGGGTAAACGTCGCCTTGAGCCCAGCAATCGGTGGTCTTGGATGGGGATGCTAGGAGGGAGGGGTTGCGAGAGCTTTTCTAATGATTCTTATCTGTTCGGCGAGCTTGCTGTAGAATCTGTAAATGGTGTAAGAATCTTACAAGGAATCAAGGTTATTACGAGTTTTAAATATCTGATTGCAAATGAGTCAAGTGGCATAAATCTAAGCTTTTGAACTATTTAATGCTTATCAGCGCGCTAGCAAGAAGGTTATTACAACCAAAGGAAAACCGCTAACGGACAGACGGTGGAAGCAATCTCGTCCAATGTTAACCTTGATAACAGAACACTACACGAGTATGATCTCTGGACATTCTATGACGAATTGAACGCAGGGACTGGCAATGTCATGTGCAGCTTCAATCGTGTCAAAAGTTCATACGACTCCAAAATAGTAAGTGGAGATTGGAATATCGAAGACCAAGCTTGGATTTAAAGGGTTCGTAGTTTCTGATGTAAGTAATGACCGTCTTTCTTTTCCCTAGCTTACTATCTCCTTTCACTCTAACATGTTCCCTTAAGTGGTTGGCCCAGCATGCATATGCTGGCTATGATTTGGCAGTCTCCGGCCTAGATATGGCAATGCCACTACCCTTGAATTTTTGGGGCAGTAATCTAACACTTTCAGTTCTAAACGAAAGCATGCCAGGTTCGGGGCTAGATGATATGGCCACTCGGCAGTTTGATTCTCGACCGCAAATTAGTTTTTTATTTCTGACTATGCTACAGGATTCTGTAGCTAGCGACCTGGTACAAAATGGTTCAAGACTCTGCCTCGCTTCCAACGCCTGGGATTGGCATACCATACAATCTTTCTCAGCCTCATATCCGAGTTCATACTAGAAATCCTGCTGCTGACAGAACCATCTTGAGACCTGCTAGCTATCGAAGGGCACGTGCTCGTCAAGAATACCAATAAGGCGCTCCCCCTCAAACCCCGAGCTTCTTCCAATCTATGGATATGGCGCTGTAGTATGTAAAACGATATTTCCAGGGCTAGGTTTCTTTACTAGGTGGAATGTTGGATTCGAGAACTCTCCCGACAATTTTGATTAGCCAAGTATCTGCTAATGAGACAGTGTTTAGGTGGACTAGATCTAGAAAGAAGTGAATGTAGAAAAATGACTAACTGTTTTGACCTGAGTGGAGGTGGCGCTGCACCCTTTGATACTTTGTAGCGCCGGGTATAAAAAGATCGAACCACTCTTTTCTGGGATTTGACACTATTAACTCTACATTAATTGTAGACGTAAGTAGCGGCGCTTGCTTGGTTTTTAGCAACGCCTAGTCGGCTGAGGTTTATGACAGGTCCGGCTTACACGATGATTTCTCTCATGCAATTGTTCTCAATATGAGTTTTTGACAGGTGTAGACTGTAGACACTCCAATTATCTAACATCTTCTTCAGACTGCCGCACACTATAACAATACGATCGCTGCCATACACAATGCAGGGATACATCTCGTCGATCAATTTGTTGACCATTCAAACGTTAACGTTACAGCCATCATTTATGTACCCTTACCTGGTCAATAATTTGGGAGCGTTCTTGTGTCTCTTCTTTAAAATGATGAAAACTTCTCTGAGAAGTTGCCTTACGCCGTGACTAGGAACGAGTCCGATTATGGCGCATTGCTGCATCCATCCTCTCCTGAAGGCAGATATAACCTTTTCCGCCAGAGTGATTTCAGCAAGGATTCTTTGTCGACTCTCGAGTATTCTATCGAGAAAACATCAATCCTGGGCACAAGTTTGGATTTGGCCTTTCATACACCACATTCGACTTTTCAAATCTGGCCATCGCGAATGAGCATCCGAGCAGCAGCGGCTCTTTCTTACCCAATTGGCCCTATCAAGCCTGGTGAGCGTGTCCATCTGTGGGATCATTATCTTACTGCCAGTGTTGAAGTTACGAACACAAGCTAACAAGAGTGTCAGGAAGTCTGTCAGATATATTTAGGAATTCCAGATGCGCCAGTCAAGCAAATCCGCGGTTTTGAGGAAGTGAATATCAAAATCGGCGAGACAAGGATAGTTGAATTCAAATTGAACAGACGAGACCTATCGACGTGTGATAAGATAGCACAAGAATGGAAGCTGCAGAGCGGGAGGCATTTGATATCTGTGGGAAATCCTAGCAGAAACTTTCCTCTACTTGGAAATGTTATTTTTATAATCGCCTAAATGACGGTTAATTTAGAGACTGTAACTTTGATGATATACGGAATCCAATTTACAGCGTCTCCTTGGGGATATTTGCACTACCGCAGGCAATCTCCAGCCCTCACAACCCTTCACGACTGCAATAGTCCCAACCCCACAAACGCAACCACTACCGCTCCTCCACACAATGTCCAAATTCCCTTATCCCATCCTCTCGGCCCCTGCGTCGCAACCCATGTATCCGTCACGCATACGAGAGTCCACGCCGTTGTCAAAACTCCCATCTCTTGCGTCTTTCCGTCGTGATAGAACCAAAACAGCGCTACTGCAGCCGCCAAGTCTCGTATACCTAGGAATACCATTGCTTTTTCGGTTATGGTCCGGCCTTCTGGTGTGGTAGGCGTGACCCCAAGAGATTCTGCAGCAACGGGAGGTGCAAGAATGGCCAAGCCTCCCAGGGCGAAGACGGTGGTTGTGAGGCCAAGGCCAACGTGGCGCCATGTTGAAGGGCTGAGAAGGCGGTTTGGGAAAGCCATGACAGGGTCGAGTTTGGAGAATTTTAGATTCGGTAGGTGTGAGAGGTTTAGATGGAGGAGCCTACGGATGAAAGAGCTTGTGGATAGATCAGAGAAGACTTTGGGGTCAATTAGCTCTTGGATGATTGAGATTTTGAGGAAAGAATAGAGTGATCACCATTGACAGTTGCTTAGATGTTCAAGGTTTGAAGTTGCAGGACAGATCGACGATGTGAAGCTGGGGAGAAATTGCCTACTTGTATGAACTGCCGATAAAATGGGTGGGTCGGACATGCCGTTCTGTAATAGAGACATCAAGTTGTGCTCTTGGATTAATTTCATTGGAGCCACTTCGCTTAAGAGCCTTGCCAAGACCAAGAGTGAGATTAATGAAAGCCCGAGTCAATACACCCCTACGATTAAGGGTGTGCGACAACTGATTGCGCGGCAGGATGTCTCTGGTGTTGGCATATATGTCTTACTTCCGCAGAGCCTTTAGAAATACGGAGAATGCCTTATATTCCGTACCCACCGGGTTTGCTTCGTCTGCTCCTGATATCGGTTTCATGCCCCTGCCTAGTACTGAGTCTTTTAGGTAGCATCCCTAATCCGGCCTTTCAAGCTAATCGACATGACGTAAGCCTCCAAGATACCCTATTCGTGGCCGGCTCTCTCAAGTTTGCGCTACTGCAAGCTCGATGCATGATCTAGACTTGGCATATCTCCTTCAAAAGTGAAGGCCATAACCATTCCGATTACAAACCATTCCGATTACAAACCAATACGATTACTAATCACCTCCGACTACTAATCACCTCCGACGTCGACTACCAATCACCTTAATTACCTTCAAGATTTTACGGTAATTCGCCAAGTCACGATGTCAGATAGAACAGCGCTTTCTGGCGGCAACTTTACAGCCACACGACACTCCATGACTTATGACTACATTTCCCCTATCAAGCTGGACCTTGCTGGAAAGAATGTTTTGATCACAGGGGCAGCGTGGCAGGACGGAGTTGGATATGCTACAGCTACAGCCTTTGTGCGTGCAGGAGCTTCAGCGATAGCATTAGCTGATCTCTATGGTGTATCAGACGATCTTGTCATGAAGCTTAAGCTGGCTGCAACGCAAGCCGGACGTTCAGAGCCTGTGGTGCTGAGCTGCACCGTTGACATCTCAAAGCAAGACAGTGTTCAAGCAATGTATGAAGTCGTATCAGAGAGGTTTGGTGGACGTCTGGATATCGTCGTCAACAATGCAGCTCATATGGAACCATACAAGCCGTTACTCGACTCAAATCCAGATATATACTGGCGAACTTGGGAGGTCAACATTCACGGACTCTTGAATATTGCTCGTGCCTTTCTTCCCGTGCAGCTTTTGAGTCGTGCAAGCAACAATGGTTTATGCACAATGATCAATGTATCCTCTTCAGGTGCATTGAGCGCTCGTCCTGGAAGCGCGAGCTATCGGAGCTCAAAGCTTGCGATCTTGAGGTGGACCGAGTCTCTACAGTTGGAATATGGCGATCAAGGACTTCTGACCTTTTGTGTAAATCCGGGTGCGATCAAGACGAAGATTACAGAGACTGTGCCCGAGAAGGTGCGGAATTCGTTTCCTGATCATCCAGAGATAGCTGGGGATACGATTGCATGGTTAGCTGCTGAACGTAAGGAGTGGCTCGGTGGAAGGTACGTGAGCTGTCCATGGGATATGGAAGAGTTTATGAAGAAGAAAGATGAGATTATCGAGAAGGATCTGCTTAAAATAAGGATGGCATTTTGAGTTGGGATCCCCCTTGGCGGTCGCGGATCATGACTGGCCGAGCCAGGTATCCAACATAGAAGCACAAACACCAAGTTGTGGACGATTATTCTAAGGAGATTTAGGAAGTCCATGGACTTCCTAGTAACATACAGAAGAAACTAGAACATATTGTTATATATAATTAGATGATATCAAGTAGATGCATTTCATCAGTATTGGAGTGTTTGAAAGTTCTCTGAGAGAGTATCCCTCCATTGGCTGTGGCGAGGGTCTTAGATAGTAAAGGGAAGCATTAGTATAAAGTTACTGGCTATGTAGCCTTCTACTATAAGACGCCAACTTAGCATTTAGAGCACTTTAGTACTTGAAGTATCACGGTGAGAGGATAGGTTCCTAGGTAATATGATGATATTCTACAGAGGAGGGAAGAAGGTGCTAGGAGAAGCACTGATTATATAGGAAGCTATATGTAAGTACAGGCTAGCCTGAACGGGTAACGGGTTATGGACCGGTGACATAAAGAATCAATTTTTGATCTTTTTATTTAGATACTTTAACACTTTAGAATTATAAAATGCTTCAATATTTTATATTAAAATAAAAATTATTTAAAATATATAATTTAAAATTAATTATAAATTTGTTTTATTCATAGTATTATAAATCTATAAATGTTTACTATATAAACATTTAAATTCTTTAAATATTTAGATGTTAAAATGCTTTAAATGTTTAAATGCTTTAAGTTTTAAAGTAAGGTCACCATGTTACAGTGAAAGGCCACGTGGCCGACCGTAGAAGTGGATGATTAATCATTATATCCTTATGTGGAGACAAATCATCCTTATATCGAGACACATCCTTATATCGAGCCATGCTTCTGCTAGTGCAGTAAGAGAAAGTGATCAAGAATGTAGCCCTGTTCCACGATACAATGATTTTTTGCCTCGTAGTAGATGGGATTTATCAGCATTTTTCACTTCTAGCAGCATGTTGAAACGTCAGGTTATGTACGAAGTGGGTCGAAACAGAGCAAATGAAGCAAGTAGCAGCACCAATATAGTAGAAGAAGGCGGAAGGAAGTAAATCAAGCTTGGTCTACGCATGTGTAAAAACATGTCTGTTTCCAGTTGATTCGTAATACTGATAATAAATAGAGTTCGTTGGGGACTGTGTCTGGTATCCATTCCTGAGTAGGAGGCATTTCTACCGCCACCCATTGAGTAAGGTGCCCCAGCAAAAAGTCCCGAATTGAGGGTTTATAAGCCACGAACAGAAATATAAATAGTTCTCGTATGTCCTCCAAAGTTGAATTCATCTTGTATACATCATTACCAGAGTTCAAACCCCGAATATCTTTTCTTTCTCAATCACGATGTCCCGATACGCAGAAGCTCATCTCAATCCCAATGGCCCTGGAGATGCTCGTCCAACAGCTATTCAAATTATCAAAGACGAAGGGGTGGAGGGCAAGCTAGCTGGGAAAGTTATTGTCATCACAGGCACTTCCGCTGGAATAGGGATCGAGACAGCACGTGCTCTGTCTTTAACAGGCGCAAAGCTGTTGTTGACGGCACGAGACTTGAACAAAGCCAAGACTGCTTTGAATGGTATCCTCGTACCAGGACGAGTAGAACTTGTCAAGATGGACAACAATTCCCTGAGCAGTGTACGTGCCGCCGCAAAAGACATTCTCCAGAAGTCGAACGACCAAGTCAACATCCTTATCAACAACGCCGGGATCATGGCTTTGCCCAAGCTGGAGCTCACGGAAGACGGCTTTGAAAAGCAATTTGGAGTCGACCATCTCGCTCATTTCCTCCTCTTTGAGCTCTTGAAGCCAGCTCTCCTCGCCAGCGCCAGCCCTGAATTCTCATCTCGAGTCGTTAATCTCTCTTCTTCTGCTCACCACGTAGCACCGGTCAATGGATCAGGCAACTACAATTTTGAGAAGACTGAATACGGTGAATGGGTTGCATATGGGCAAGCAAAAACTGCCAATATCTACATGGCCAACGAAATCGAGCGGCGCTACGGATCGCGAGGGCTTCATGCTACAAGTCTTCATCCCGGGGCGATTGCCGCAACGGGGATCCTGCAGTATATGGATCCTGCAATGCAGAAACAATTGACAAAAGATGAAAAGTCGTTCAAAATAATCAAGACGGCAGAACAGGGTGCTGCAACGACGGTGTGGGCTGCCATTGGACAAGAATGGGAAAATAAGGGTGGAGAATATCTTGCCGAGTGTGGAAAGACAACCCGTGGGAATGACAATCACGAGATTGTGGGAGTAGGGTTTGCAGGGCATGCTTACGATCCTAAGGCTGAGGCTCGACTTTGGAAGGATTCGTTGATAATGGTGGGTTTGGCAGACGATCAATAAATCAAAAGGGATTCTTCCCTCTTGATTCAGGAACATCGGCCAACAATTTTTCTCTTAACGTCATTCATTGATTATTAAATCTGCTGTACTCTAACTATTTGTTTGTTTTAAATTCTGTGATCCCATTCACCTCAATAATCTCTGTTGCTTATATCACTGACACGCTCCATATTGTGACCTGACCTGCACCTCACCGGCCCTAGGCTTTTCTTGTAATGGCCCTGAATCTGCGCCATTCTACTCTTGCTAGCCCTTTTATTTCTTATTCGTTATACTTTTTTGTTTTTGTACTTATATTTGTTACGGGAGATAGTGCAATATTCTCATTCCGAAATAAGCTCGCTCATTCATCAATAATTTTAATTTTGGGATGAACTAATTCATTAATATTTTTTCTATCCCACTATACTAGTTCAATGAATGAATCAAGGTTGACAAAAAATTAAAGCCTGAAGAAAGGATTTAAACTTGTAAGAATTCAAAATCTAATAATTTAAATGAAAGAGAAAACAATAGGGGGCGCTAATAAGATTGCATATATAAAAATTATAGTGCTCTGAATACTTTCATTTTCCCGATTTCGGTATCAAATAGCTCATCTCGCAACGTAATATATTTCGGAATGAGCTAAATGGATTTGGGAATACCGATGTTGAGCGATCTCCCTTCATATAATAATACACGTATACGTGTCGACTTACTTAGCAGCCATGCACAACAGTTTAATAATTATAGACGAGTAGGCAGCGAGAAATCTTAAGGCGACAGAAGACAGATAACTTCATTAATGTTACCAAACATGCAAGCTTAGCCTGCATCAATGCCCATACCTCGCCTCCGCAGTTCCGTTTGCCCCATACCTCGGATCAAGTATCTCTTCAATAGTAACCTTTGGTAGAGTGGCTCTTTGGTCTCGTTCAAATCCCACGTAACCCTTTCCCCTTACAAATGTCGCTAATGGCTCCCCTTGCCCATCTTGTTCTGCTAGCTGCAAAAAGAATTCTGCATGCCCAGGTCCAGAAATGTAATGCATTGCCTTTCCCTCTGGCATACGCTCGTCGGCGAAGTAGAAGCTGTAACCTTCAGCAGCGTAGCCAGGCGTTGCAACCATCGTCTGAATCAAGTACCAAGCAGCAGATTTCCCGATCCCAAGCAAGAGAAACTGTGGGAATATCTGATAGGCTAAGCTAGTCTTACTTTTTAAAAGCAAAAATACGATTTACGAATGTGTTTCCATTATTACCCGTATAGATGAAAGTCTTCTTTATAGTACGAGGGAGTCTCTTGAACCCTTCCACAGCGGCTTGGGCGGCTGCGTAGGCGCTCACAGTGTTGATTGCAAGATCTTTTTGGAAGTCTTCGAGAGATGTAGAAACAGAATTTGCGGGATCGGGGCCCATGGACTACGAGTAAGCTAAGCTGGAGTCAGTTATCGGTATATTAATTCTTTGATTTTCATCTTTGAAGTGAGATGGCTAATTGGTGACACTTTCCTGGGTATAGAATGCCAATACGAAAACTCTATAGGGTTTGACTGACGATTGTATACCACAACGTTTGGCGGCCCTAATTCCTTCTCGACTCTCTCGAAAATACTCTTTATAGTGCTTGGATTGCTGAGATCGGCAGTCAGGCACAGGTCCGAATGCGTTCTTACCTCGTCCTTGATAGTTCGTGCGACGGATGCAACCTTGTATCCTTTGTTCTTGAACAGCTCGACGGACGAAGCTCCAACGTTTCTCCCTGCGCCCAGGAAGAGGAGTACTTTGTGGGCCATAATCAAAACCAACCCGGATACAGGCAACGTCGGCTGGAGGTTTGTAGATCTGAAGAGAATGTGAGAAGAAGAATTCTATAAATCCATGAGGGAATGTATCCGATTCTCGTAGCTGATGTTAACCCTGCTGCAGTTGAGCTGGGCTCGCTCCTGTGCTCTCTGCCCAGGAAATAGGGCCCTAAGGAGTACATATTTAATCAGTCTGCTGCGTACTCAAGGTCAGGCGCCAGTATCTTTCTTGCGGGAGGAGAAGGGAAACCGGGATGTACGGAGGCAGTCTGTTAAATTGGAACATTAACCTGTAACCGAAGCATCGATCTTTCCCTTCCTTTTTTGCGAGACAAATATGGTAATAATCTTATCTCGATATAAGGATATCCTATGCGATGCGGCCCGCTTCAGCTTACGGGGTTCCTTGCGACCCATCAAAATCCAGTTAAAATATACTACAATTGGGGGCATTGACTCGCTTAACTACATACCCACTCTTGTAAAAGCTTTGAGCTGGCAAAGTATGGGATAGTGATTTGTCATCGATGTCTTCTTAACAGCGCCGGAAGGCTACTTTAGTTATTAGTTTGTACATATGGAAACAAGTACGGCTCTCGCATCCGTGCACCTGTTGGATGTTTTACTGAAAACAGGGGGTACGGACTTATTACTCTTACCCCTTTTGAATCTAAGTCAGTAGAAGAAGCACAGACGAGAAATCGGGACTTGTTTGGGCATGTACGTAGTACTTTTTATATAGTCAAATAAGGCTATATTTCTTGTCTATGCTTACCGGACCGATCTAAGCTTATGAGATGCAGAAGTGGTGAAATTATGACGTACTATTTGGTAGAACATTCGAGAGGTACATAGTCACGGAATATGAATTTATTTTAATATGTATCTTACAAAGTACTCCAGCACTATCACCAGGTAGCTGCCGAGAAATTCGAACTCCCGCCTCTACCTAGTGCCGGCTACAAACCTGTAATATATAAAGTCTGTGAAGCTAGGAGAAGCTCTTACAACAACCATTCGATTATCACGAAAAGAAAGCGATATCGATCTAGCTGCTAGAGTAGTTTTTCGATCTACATCTATAGAGGAGCGTAGAGGATTGAAGCGGTGTTGAATAGAATCACAAAAAGAGGGCAATTTTGTTTTCGAGGATATTCTGTATAAATTAAAGAGGGATTATCAATCATCGAAAAGGGTTGTGGATATTATAACTTTGTAAAGGATATCACCATTACCAATTATTATATATCTATTCAGGGAATTTCAGGCTACTTGGGATATACTTTAAAATTGTAGCTTCTACAGAAATAATAATCACGAGATTACTGGTGCAGAATTGCATATTTACAATTCTACGGTAAAGTTCGATTCTGAAGTGGTCCGTTGAAGATGGTAGGGTCTGGTGGGTAGATAGTCGATCAGTAGAAGGATTCTTTTTCTATAATCCAGGAATATATGAAACAAGTCCCAGTAGATTGCTTTTCGATTAATATCTAAAAGACTTCAACTGTCGAGTTTCTAAATACGTGAAATCCACGTTATCGGCCTCTCATTTCTTAGCGCACGCCATCGATTACTTGATTGAATCAAATCATCACATCCTTCTAGTGACCAGCCCCATTTCCTTATAAAGCCGGGCGTGACCTCCCAGCTTTCTACTCTCCATGGGTCACCCCAGGTAATCAGACATTTACGCCCAGCTGTATAATCATCCTGATCTTCGAAATCCTCGATGCCAGAACCGCCATTCTCGACAGATGACGGCACTGATAAAACTTCATGCATATTTAGTGTACATTCATCAGCATCGGGTATTGGAGTAATATAATCTGGAAATATATCCCCAAAGAGGTCCCGGCACATTTCTTCAGGCACGAAATCCACACCTTTCTCGATGAGATTATCTCGAAACTTGGGGAAAGGAAACATATTGATCAAGCCCGTGTGGGCGCAATTCATCTGTAATTGTGTCGGATATAGCGTATCAGGGATAATTTGGCCTACAAGGGGGTAGATGACTGTTAGGCCGCCACAAACCGTAGTAGCGAACTGCTTGATAGTTGCTGTGAGATTTGATGCCTCGAAAATGAGCGATGTTGTAAGTAGCAGCGACTTATTAGACATTAACGCCCGATAAGAGTTGTGTTGAACAAGGTGGATGAGGTGATCAGAGGAGATTGTGGGCATTGCTGATGCGTTAATTTCGGAATCGAGGCTGGGGTTGTTTGTAGAAGAGATCGTTATTAATGCCTCTGATTGGGGCGAAAATGAGACTAAAGCTTGCTTGGGTGTCTCCGCAGAGCTTCTATGTGACGGCGCAAAAGAATTTTCGCCCGATGAATGGTCTGGTGTCACTTCTTGTTCTGGGAGAGGTTGAAGCGTCATCTCGTGTCTTCGTCTGAATTTCATAACCCAGCCGGTAGAAAATTTTGGCGTCGCTAGACCCTGAGACTCGTCTGATTGATCCCATAGCTGCTTGGCTTTACGTCCGATGATTTTGTTTGAGATTTTACCAGACAGAGCCTCCGCTTCTCGAAGCCAATTTGTGAGCAAAGTCTCTATCCAAGGCCATTGGCAATTCCGTGTTCGATATTCGGAGTCTGACGCAACACATACATCAAGATAAGCGAAGCTGTCGCTGAGGCTTTTACTGACAATGGACTGACTAATATCGTAGCCGAATCGAGACTTAAACCATGCTCTTAAATCAGACTGAGTAGGCTTCGGATTCGTTGTCTGGTAGTATCGGCGCAGCCCGACGCGCTGTGAGTGGGAAATCGGGGTCCGAGAAACAGCCATGGTTTTTATTGGCCCGTCTGTCGCTGAATTGAAGTGTCAACCTGGAGTATGAAGCGTGAGGATGACCCACTCCGTAGAGGAATAGATGAATGTTGTAGGGACTTCAGAGGAAGAACTTTTATCCCACAAAAGTGAAAGAGGAGTACGAGGAGAAAATCAAGGTCCTGTTGTTGCTATCAACGAAGCGTGATGATCTGGTTGCGATGGAATCACATCGAGGTGCGGTAATACGATGCAGGTTGTGAAGATCAGAAAAATGTGGAGATAAATATCCTTATAACGGGTTTGTAACGAACTCGGACTTTCGGCAAGAAACAAATGCTACACAGCCTCTGGTATACTCTGGGCTTTTTTGCAACGCCAATAAGATGAGAATAATTAGACGGTATGGTATACTCGCTTGAAGTGGCTCAAGCGTATAGAGGTTGATGGGGTAAGTAACCTTGAAAAGTAACTGAAAAAAATATAATCAGAATATAAAATAAAAAACTCAAAGTTTTAATTTTATATTAATTCCATATACTTTAATATAGTAACCAAAATTTGATATTTTGGGTTTTAATCTTTTCGCCTTTTTACCTTTTCACATTTTTATATTGTTACATTTTCACTAAAATTATGCCGTATTAGTGGCGTAAGTCTTACAAGTGAAGTGGCGCAAGGAACAGCACCGCAATATCCAACTGGATATAACAGCAACACAGTTGCATCCTTATGTTTTCTGAGTATCACGATATACCACAATTGTCTATGGAATCGACTAAATTCTCACCGGAGGCTGTGAAGGAATCTCTTTTTCAAGAAGGCTTCTTCTACTTGGAAGACTTAGCCGTCGGGGAAGGTATCTTGGAGATGGAGAAGAGGGGCTTTGAGTATTTTTCGGAATATGGCCTGAATTTTTGCAAACAACATATTCTTAATGCTGTGAGCAAAAACAGAGCATTCTATGGTATCTATCTAATCCACCCTAGCGCATCATGTCCATCGCCGAATCCTTTTTCGGCGATGAAACTTGCATTCTGGCACACTGGCTGCGATACACAGCCTACCCGGGCCATATCTTGTGCTTTAGGAGGGGTGGACCAAAAGCTGGCCGGTGCGTTCTAGTAGTTCATCTACTTAGCCAAAGGATCACGAGTTATTTATTATAGCGGCTCGCATCGACATGAGTTTCCTACCACTAAAGGGAAAAGGTTATTGCACGAAGTTCATGAATCTGCGCTCGCTGCAGTGAGCTGCCAAAGCCAAGAGAAAGAATTTCCTTCCAGCAGCTTGTAAGTTTCTACCTATATTGCAATCTGTTGTTTTGACACATCTCGCAGGGCAATTTTCGATGCTCGAATCAGTTTCGAAATAAAGCAAAGATACGCCATCACATTTGAGTTTGCAACAGCCGATGTAGTTGAGAAATGGCTAAAGATGAACCTTCCGGAAACACCATGGTTGGCGCCAAAGATTGCAAACATGGAGAGTAGCAAAATCCGAATAAACTTTGCATTTAAAGATACTACTGGAAGTACAAACACATGATTATTACTGCTTATAGTATTGAGCTCTCTAGATACTCAGTCCTATTCTCCGTTGGCATCCATCCGACCCATCATTCAGGGAAGTTTATGATACTATTTACAGGGGCATCGAAGTTGATGTCGTTGAGAGATATGGTTGGCCCTTCGTTAGACTCGAGATAAGGCGCCTCTGCTGATATGTTTGGAGAGCCGCCTGTGGCTACAGGCTTGCCAACATTAGGGTTGTAGCCAACTGTCTGGAGGGGAGGGCTAGTCGTGTATCTTGTTTGATGTAAGTCTAGTGAAGTAATTTGTGGAGAGTCAATACCATTGGCAGGCTGAAAAGTGGACTCGTTCATCATGGCCATTCCAAATGTTTGCAACTTGGCTTTTTGAGCTCCTGGTGGTCCCGAGTCTGTATCTCCCACGTCGCGAGCTCTTTTCTTGCTCCTCCTTTCAGTGCCAGAGACATGTTTGCTCTCTGCAAGACCTAGTTCATTGTCAGCTCTTTCACGCACTCATAACACATCTGGTTTATGTATGTAGCCTTGGCTTTGCCCACATTCCGGTGTCGTTCCGCATGTCGTAAGAAGTCACTCACTCGTCTTGAAACTTGGTGAGAGCACACACATACCTCTTCGCATTTGACATCTGCATTCGAGTTAATAATGCTGCTTAAATAAAGTCGACAAAAGACTTAAGTTGCTCAAAATGTCGCCGAAGTCTCTGTTGGGTTTTAAATGGTACTTTTCGATAGCATTCTTTGAGAGGACAATTATGCATTTTGTCACCATTATTGTGTTTTATCTCCGGGTTGTCATCATTCTCGTAAACATTTGGCCCGTCTTCTTCATCATGAGCTTTCGAGCGGGACCGGTATATTTCTAGCTGACCGGACAGGTAGCTTTCTCGGGCCTGCAGAGATTCAGTTCTGTATTTGCAGGTAGCGGAGTACTAACTCGGTATTCATTAAAATGAGCATTTAACGCATCGCTAGTTGGAAAGAAAGCAGAGCAGGTACATTGTGGCAGCCGATAGATATCGTTCGACATGCTCTTCACGATCAATCAAGGAAGCTTGGAGACAACAACGCGAAGGAACTGGAGCCCAATACCTCGGCTGATCTGACCTCATCAATTGAGCCGTCCAGCCAATCAATAATTGAAAGATAATCGGCTGAAAATGCCTCTTAAAGGCAAAATGTGGTAGAAATTATTTAAACACTTGATACCTCCGGGCGAGAGTTTCGCTTCCACATTCATCGGTTCTCTTCCACATTCATCGGTTCTCTTCAAGGCGACGGCAATTTCTGTCTGTATGATATTAGTCACAAATCGTACTATATCAGCATCTTCTCCACTGCAAAAAAAACGGAAAAGATGTTTCCATGCGAAACATGTGCCAAAACGGGCGAAGCCAAAGGAAACGAATGCCCTACTTGCGGTGGGGGGAAGGGTTGGGCATTGGGAGGAGCATATGCCAGGCAAACAAATTTAGGTTCAGAATCTGGTCGTCTGTCATTTCCCGGGAGGGCTTGATTGACTATTTACAGGTGAACACAGGTGTAGAGAGATGGGCAGATGAGGAAATCCATTCCAGGCTCAAATGGGCACGGCGGAGGAGCAGGAATTGCAGGATTGCGTGTTTTGCGTGGGATCAGGCATGTCTATTGTCCATATGAATTAGGCATCATCAATGAAGACCATCAAACCTGTTCTTTTCTTTTTCTTTCGCAGCGGCAAAAGCGTAGAAAAGCAAGCCCAGGAATAGAAATTTGACTGTTTGAGATTCCTACATGCATGGTAAACTACTTTCGCATGCTCATCATGTAGACGAGAAGTAGCGCGTTGAATGGAGATGTGGTACAGCATTTTCCCGCTCTTTAAAGTGTTTCTCTTGGTACTGCAGCCAGCTACAAGTTGTGGTCCCTGCTAATGGGAGGAATCACAAGTTGTGGTGCATAGTCTCTAATGAATGGAGGGTTAAAGGGCTCACATGTCGTGGTCCCTGCAGTTACCTACACAGAGCTACGACCTTGCAATCTACACCAACCCGAATCAGAGTACGAAATCTCGACCATGCACCATGAGGTCTGCAAACGGCAGAGCACATTGCAAGCCCTTATTTTTCAGCGATGCACTGGCTATAACCTACCCTTCACTACAACTTCGTGCATTTCACACCGTCTTTGTCACCAACGGCTGTTATCACCAATTATTACAGCAACTCCTATGTCGCTTCAAATAACCAGTCTCTTTCACCGTTGTAGCAGCTTCTTTAGAACTTGTAGCTATAAATGAAGCTTTTCCCAGCTCAGAAAATGGCATCAGTCAAAAAAGCTCCAAAATATCAAAATATCATTAAAGAAAATAAACATTCCAGGCAATTCATTGCTCTTTTGCATAACTCTGTCCCGCAAGCAAGATGTCCTCCAACAAATAATTTCCAGCCAAATGATCAAACACGTCTTCAACAGAACCAAGAGAATCACAGTCAAGTATGCCATCCAGACTGAAGCTTGGAATCGTACCTACCTGGATGGTAGCGTCTAGGAAGAATTTAGCAAAGCTATAGAAAATGTCGATATTCCTGCCGGCGCCACAACCGCCATTTTAGCGTGAGTAACTTTCTCCTGCAATATTGAGCTTCGCGATTGAATGCTGACACGGAGCTCAGTGAAAAGGAGCACCCGAGCCCGAGTGATAATAAGAGTCACTTTACCATTATCTTTGAGGACGACGACGGCAAGTATGTTTCGATCAATCACGTGTATCCTTTGAGTCCAAGGTGTTAGGCTGGCGAAGGAGTGGGAGGACATGGAGGAATATGTATCTGGAAGCACACTCTTGGTGAACTTGGGATTTGGACCCTCGTCTATGTGTTTCTGATGTAGGTATTGGAGAGAATGGAGAGAATGGGGATTTACTCCTGAATATGCTTAGAGATTGGTGAAAAGATCTATTACGCAAGAATGTTAAGGAAAGAGTTAAGGTTGCTGTGCCAAAATCCTTGCTGAATAAAATGTGCGAGAATGAGAATATATTAATCCTAAATGCTGCTGTGAACAACAAGAATTAAAAACAAGTCAAGTTTTATCCGATAGATTGCTGATTCACTTTCATAATATGCATCTATAAAACCAATCTGGATCGTTACCTCATTCGTTTGCAATCCTATCAATACTGTGAGAATTCCTTAACTCAGTTCCAATAAGGATCCAATATAATATCCGACATTGATGCTCTTTTAGCTGGATCGAGATTTGTCACCCTTAATATCAATCTCTTTGCCTCACTGACAAGGTTAGGAAACTTCTCTTCAGGCCACTGCTCAAAATATTCGTTTGATTCGTCTTCTGCTATGGTCTGCCACAGGCCATTTAAGAGCGCTCCCGCTTCCTTCTCGTTGACATGCTTTACGAGCGCATCCGGTAGAGGACCGAAGGCTGAAAGAAACTTGCACAAATTCACTGGCTCGGGTTCGATATCGAGGGTCTCAAAATCTGGGTGAAAACATTGCGCACTTGTGATCACGTAGAGGCACTACGGGGTAGAATTAATAATATTGATCTAATGAAACCAAACGTTGACTTACTAGAAGTGAAAAAGAGAACACCTCCGAAGGTTTCCCAACACCTTTCCCTGGTTGCCCTTCCGGGCTACGCCACATAACATTCCCTATCCTGTGATTTAGAAGCTTTTCGCCTTCCAATTTCAGAGCACAATCCATATCGCCCAATTTCACCTTTTCCAGTTGGAATTGATCCTTCTCATCTGCGTGCCAATTGAGAAAGACATTATTTGGCTTGATGTCTAGGGAAGGGCAGTTAGCGAAAATTTATGGATATTAGAAGTTGAACATCGATGATATTGTACCTAATGTATCCAATACTTTGAATGAATATCATTCAGTCCCAGCCCAACCTCTTTCAGAATTGCCTTTATCGCTTTTATCGGTAGAGGTGGATAATTCTCTACCAATGAGAGCAAATAGGTTTTGAAATACTCATAGACAAAATAAATTTGCATTTTCATTTTCGTCGATATGGTTTCGGATGTGAGGATTATTACCAAAAACGTCTTTAAACTCCTACAAGAGGTCGAAGATAGACCGGGAAACGGGCTTTAAAACGAAGGGTACGCCGTCACAGCTAGAATTAGTCATTCAATCAGTCCTAACCTTGGCAGAAATGATCGAGAATGATTCTTGAACTTACACTGCGAGATGGATATTAAGCTCCAGTTCCGTAGGATGACGCTGGAGTAACCTTCGGCACACATACTCGCGACCCGAGCGACCAACGAGTGTTGAAAACATCCTCGCAGCTTTGAGGACCGGGCACGTTGAAGAATCATGGGAGGTATGTAGACTCACCAAAGGGAGAAGTAAGTGTGGCAGGGTGGAAGAACGAGCTGCTGACGGACTTGTATAAAGTCTGTTTGTTCCAACGCGAAAGGTGTCACAGTGTTACGGTCACAGCGACCACTGCACCATGACTAATCCAAGGAAAACGTGACCCTACAGCCATGCCATATAAGACAATTGAGGAGCGTTAGTTGTACTAAATAATATCATTACATCTAATTTTATAACATATATTCAAAATTTGAGTGAAGCTGCCGCTCATAATGTTTTAGAGTTATTTTATTTTAAAATTTATTATATATTTCTTTTTGAAGAAGTATAATTTTAATTATTTTTGGAATTCTTTATAATTTAAATATAAAATCTTTAATCAAAATCTTATTATATAAGAAAAATTAGAATTGAAAAGAAAATATTTCAAATTATTTATTTTAAGAAAAAAATATATATATATAATTATTATAATTTTTTAAAAATAAATTTATAGAAATTAGTTTTTTTTATATTTTAATTTTGATTTTAATTTTGACTTTAAAAATTATACTCAATTTGATTTACTTTATTCTATTTATTTATTAATATAAATAAATAAATACAAGAACGATTTTCTTTCTTTATTATTCATCACTTACAACAACACATCGTCGCTCACTCGTGGTCACCAGAGCACCACCGGGGTGTAACGATACTGTACTGGAGGCAGCGGCTGCCTGAGGTTTCGTCGGTTGGTAGTTATGGGTTAAGGCTCTATCACTGGTATTCACTTGGAAGTGAAGTCGTTACTAGATCAAGTAGAATGTAGGTAAACTAATTGATAACTAAGTTGAGCACGAAGCTCTTTAAACTATGCAACTATTCTAACTATATACTGATTCCTTTCCTGGAGCCCTGGGGAGCCTGCGCTCCTGGAGGCTCCATCACGTGATCCCATATGGGCCTCAGGACACTAATCCTGGGACGATTCTTATCTTAGGATAATATTAGACGTGGTTCGTGACACGGGGCAACACTAATAAGATAAATCCAAAAGAAAATTGATATAATATTTATAAACTGACAGTTCTGGCCAGCAAAAGTCATGATATTCGCATCTAAATTTCGTAGCTGTCTATCAAGCCACTACTATTTATCATCTTTATTCCTCTCTAAAGCTCCAACGTCTATTCGCTTAATTTAAAAAAACCAACGCCTACTTTCAAGTTCTAACTGTAAAATGTCCGCATCATCTCTTGTTGATGTCGGACTAAATGTAAAAAAAGGGGTATTAAGTAATACAACATGTAGTTATAGATCTTGTAATGCGCCATATATGTGGTGGGAGGCGACGGGAAGAGACTGTATCATGAAACCATTTGTACCCAAAGCGTACAATTAAATCAGGCAGACACATTTACATGCCAAGCATGCTCATTTGTCTTCTTAGTGGACTTGCACTAAGACTGTTTTCTTCGCTTCCATAACAAGCCGAATCAGTATCAATATCCCATTCAGCTTCTTCTTCTTTGTTTTCTTCCGTACCATCCCAAGCTTTTTGCATGGCACCGCGAGTGTTCCATCTAAGAGTTCTGGATACACTATCGAACCACTCTGAGGGAGAGCTAACAACAGTTGGGAATGGATATTGTGAAGCGGCAATGGTGACATGATCACCTTGCTTCAATTCAACACGACCTTTTCCATCAAATGAGCAATAAGCGGTAGCTCTGGAGTTACGCGGAATAGATACTCGAAGTAAGAGTGAATCCGAGAGAATCATTGGGCGGAAGGAAAGGGTATGAGGGCAAATCGGGGTGAGGAGGATGGCAGGAATATCTGGGTGGACCAATGAGCCACCAGCAGATAATGAGTATGCGGTTGAGCCAGTAGGTGTTGAGAAGATACATCCATCAGCTTGAACAACAGTCAAGAGTTCATTGTCGCCATATAACTCGAGGTTAGAGATGTAAGAAGATGGTCCTCGATCAATAACGAGTTCGTTGAGAACCTCAAACTGTTCGCCTTCTAACGCTTCCTGACCTTGTTCCTTTCCATCCCGGTAAATTGTACATGTGAAGCGCATACGAAGGTTAACTCGCATACCTTCCTCTCCCATAACCTTATTTAAATGCTCTTTGAATCGATCATATTCAAATCCAGTCAAAAAGCCTAAACTACCCAGACTAAACGATAAAATCGGAGGGACAATACGTTGAAAGAGCCAAGAAGTAAATAAAACAGTACCATCACCACCAAGAGTGAGAACAAGATCAAATTTCTCTGGTTGACTCCAACAAAGATCTGGTGACCAATATCTCAAGAGATGTTGAAATCGCGGTTGTGATTCAACCAATGCTGCTGCTCCAAAACGCTTCGAGTTGCGCAACTTCGCATCAACATAAACATTAACACCAAGGTCTGAGCCATATCGTGGAGTGCTCATGAGCCAAAGTGCTAAATCCTTGGTCAAATTAACCAACTGATTATCTCTAGCCTTTGTGACAATCATAACATTGCGCACAGCTCTCTTGATTGGACGTCTTTGTAATTGCTTAGAAACTTCTCGCACACCAGTAGCCGTTGCCATGAGTCGAGAATGTGACATGGATTCGTCTCCGTTAATCTCTTCGAGCACTTTTTCGATATTAACTGCATCGTCGAATCGTTGATGGTAAAAACATGGGGACTGCAAAGAGGGAAATCGAGCCGTGGCAGGAGTGTTTCGCTGTGCCAAGTCCGACAATGCTGCGTTGAGTTTTTGCGACGAGGCAGTACCGGGTGTCTCGGTGAGTGGTGATCTCATATTTGCTAAAGAAAGGTGTTGTGGATTGTGTTCTCTTCTTGGAGAAGCCAATGCTTTCATAACAGTCTGGCGGGGTACGGCGTCGACAGACAGATCGTTTTTGCTGTGGTCATGAAAAGTTCTGGAAGCTCTAGTAGGAAAAACCGGTGATGATGGAACAGAAGCCCAGTCACTTCCTACAGTTGTTGCAGCAGAAAATGTTGTAGATGCGTCAGTCGATGACTCGGATAGATCATTGTCCGAAAAGTTGGTCTTGATGGCATTTAGAGAACCAACTTGTACGCCCTGGTCGCGTCGGAGATTATCCCCGGCATTAACTTTTAAGTTCATGCCATTGAACCCTAAAAAGGATTGTGCCGTAGCTGAAGGTGTAACAGCTTCATCGAATACCGTTTGAGGAGGTTGTGGGGGATCGTTGGGCTTAGTAAGAGCAGGATGAATCCAAGTAGGAGAGCGAATGTCGGACATTGTGGATGATGACGCCAATTACTTTTCCGTCTTCTAATCTTTTTTCCGTCGGAGATCGGGAGTCGGACCAATTTGTCATATATACCGACAGGAACTCAAATATAATTGGATAATACCAGGAATCTCAAACCAAGCTATTATTATCAATTGGGTGGAGATGACAAAAAAATAATTGACAAATAGCTGGAGATCGCAGATAGCGCGCAATGAATGCAATGCAATGCAAGTTGAAAGATTGTGGTAGCAGCAATAACAACAATTGTGCCTAAAAGGAGAAGAAGGAGAAGGAGGAGATGGTGAGAAAAGTAATCAATACTCCTTCTGATGCAACTCGGCTCTTTGCTTCTCGTTTCTTTTCTTTTCTGTTCTGTCCTCAAAAGAGGGAACAATGCACCAAACAGGGGGCTGTGAGAGGCGGGGTTTCCTTCAAAATTGTTTGCTTTCAGTTGCGGAGACTTTGCTATTTTGCTGGGGATTCGAGTTTCTCTGGTTTTGGTTGGCACGGATGGAATGATAAAAGACGCAGATAATAATAATAATAGTTGATTTCCAATTTCGGATATAGCGGAGGTAACAAGTATGCGCTCAGGTAGGTGGTGTACAGTAGTATCGGCCGAAGGATGGAAAATGTACTCCTGAGTCCTTATCGTAAATTTTTACCTCGCAATGTGATTTCTGATCTTATGCGGATGTGACAGATTATCAATCTCAAGTCCGAGTAGCAGAAATCTTGCCAAGAAACGAAGATCTTAATTTATACTTCCCGAGGTCATATATGTATATATTTAAATCTTGCCTTTCACTAAGATCACGAAGTCAGCCTTCTCCAATTTCAACTTAGCCCCTCAATTAATTAATCGTTCCACCAATCCTGATCTTCATCAATCTTCAATATTGTTCTACCCCACATGTAGAAGATAATGGATATCATTATCAATCTGGATGTGTGCGAAGTGCGACCCCATCCTGCCTTAACCCCACAAATAAATTAAAAAGACTCACTTGGTTATGGTGTGCGAACAGCCCAGCTTTCTATTCTCTCTCCTGCGATATATCCTGCGTCTCGGCCGCTAGTTGTGACCTCCTTCCGTGGGAAAAGGCCACGTCTGGTGATATGGTTTTAGGAGGTGATAGTGATTCGGCGTGCAGAAGAAACGAGACCAAAATATGGGAAGAAACGAATGGAGATGGAGATGTCTGCTGTGTCAAGAGTAGCCCGTGCAGGTATGGTGGACCGATCGAGCTGGAGAGATGGATGAGAAGTGGATTGTTGCCAAAAAAAAAAAAGGTCAAGTATGCATGTGCAAAATACAACGGTCTAAAAACAATAGACTGAAAAACAACAAGGCAAAGTAAAAAAATGCAGAAGCTACCGGAGCCCTGCTGAAGAAATTGAAAACTGGAAACAATAGGTTGGTCTGATAGTGAAGACTAGAGAGAGAAGAGAGGAGACACTCTCAAGGACAAGACTTTCCTTTCTATATGACGAGAATTAGTCTAGTTACATTACCTACTTCAGACTCTTGCTACGACATCTCTGCCGCTGTACCTTTACAATGTGATGCTATGTTTTCGCGCCCGGTTACAGCTGCCACTCCATCTCCACTTTGATCGACGAATATGGAGGCGAGTTTTGAGTCTCGAAAGGATCACTGTCCCCTTCACGCTAGCGTTTTCAGTCATGGTCCAGGTCAGCATTTAGTATAATCAACCCGGACAATTAGGAACATAAAAGGTACGAAGATACAAGCATGGTGTTTGATATCACAAAATACTGGACCATGGGCATGGTAATATCGAAAGGGGTATACCATTTGTTGTTGAATTCGCAGGTGAGAACTTCTCAGTATTGACAAGTCATCAGTAGACATAATAAATTTCGTCTAATCACTTTGCGGCTAAGGAGTGCTCAAAAGAAGTCCAAAGTTTCTCCGCAAAATCTGAAATTGCAATTGAGTAACTCCTAGTTTCGTCGCCTGGTTCGAGTCGTAATAATTGTCGAACTTTTTGAATCGGCTACCTTTATCGGATGGTCGATGGAGGATGAAACGTCTTAGGATAATCGGGGACCTTGACACATTGTATCAGACACCCGATGCACAAATCCTTAATGCCTCAAATGTATTATTGCTCACGTCTTCCTCGTCATTGGCACTCGGAAGAATAGTCTTTGATGGCAACCCACATTGGGTCCATGATTCGTTTTGATATGCGCACCGGCCTTCCTATGCATCTTCACATGTGGGCTTCCCCGTGCCGAGACGAAACCTCACTACGATCCAAGTTTGGACGACAGCGGTAAAATTGATAGCTCGTTTTCAACCTTTCCAATGAAGGTCGGTAGCAACCTTTTCTTGTACTGCAGATTTTACGAACATCATGAGACTTGAAGCTGCCTCATTCTCAAGCTCATCCTCAATCATGATATCATCTTCGGCCGATACGTGACCTCTACAGCATAGGCCCTTTCCATGCTCGTAAATTTCCTCCCATTCATCCATATCAAAATTTCCCTCACTTTCGGCGACCAAAAGTTCCCCGTGGGAAGTGAATGCTAATACATGAATCGAAGCCGCATCTTGACATTCGAGAGGCGTAGGATTTTCTGTGATAGTCGCGCCTTTCTCAGTGTTCTTCAAGGCAAGTAAAACCGATGTCAGGGTCATAGATAGTGGTATAGAAGCAGATAATAATGTCAGAACCGATGTTTGAAGGAGGGCTGGGAGTAAAGGAAGATTCTGAATGATCATTAATAAGTTAATTATAGAACAAGTGAGGTACACCTACCGAGCTGGCCTGCACCAACTTGGACCAAGCAGTATCATTTTCTGGGGTGCTTGTAATTTGTAAAGTGATCTGAATAAGGGTTCGTGGAAAATTGTGGATGAGTATTATTTGGCGTAAAGAGGATTGAAGGATTGCTTCAAGATGTCTCTCCCGGGTACCTAAGACACGATCAGTCCCAGATCCATCATTCAAAAAATATTCCTATGGGATATACTAACCTCCAGCACCAGCAGCTGGTCTTACAATAACATCTATAGCTGCTTCTTCTGGTAATTCGTCGCGTCTCTGAACTTCAATAGGACCGTTTACAGCACCAATAACAGTATACCCATTTTGTGAAAAGCTAGCAGAACCATCTGCTCTATGGAGAGGCGATAGTAAAGCGGTAGGTTCGGTTGAGCAGACCATTTTGAGTTGGTTTGTATGAGGAGAAGGTAGACGTTGAGTCGAATATATTTTGGTTGTGATTGAAATCTTTCAAGGGCTGAGCATAGCTACAACAATGAATGGATGGGAATGTCAGATTAGAGATTGATCTTAATTTTTTGTTTATCGTTATCGCAGATGGACGCTAAACGCTACTTAGGAATAGCCTAAAGTTCCTGGGCACTAACCGTGGGGTTGGTACCTGTCGAGCTTTGTCTTGTTCTCGTCATGTCATTTCAGATTCCAGGTTTGCTTTCTTTTGTAATCAACAACAACAACAACAACATCAAGCATTCACAAAATGTCTTCAACCACAGAAAACATTCAGCAATCGGAAAATAAACCTGCTACAGGTATACCTAACCTCCGCGATCGTCTTCCAAAATTAGAACCTCGAAAAAAGCGAAATCCACCATCAAATCCTCTCCCTGTCCCCGAAACCCCAGATCTTCCGTCTCCTCCTGAACCATCCAGCTTACAGTTTTGCAAGCCTACGAGACGAATCTTATCACCTCATGATCATGATCTTTTTCTCCGTTCTTCTACTTACAAATTGCTTTTAGCATTTGTCTTTGGTTTGGCAGATTCAGTCATTGATACACCCGTGTCAGCGATTAACAACAACGATCTTAGCTCCACTGTTACAAATATCCTCGAAATATTGGACAAAGTTGAAGATGTGGTACAGAGAAGTCCACCGGAAGAACAAGGCGATTCAAGATTTGGCAACAAAGGTTTCCGTGATTTCCTCGATTTAGCTACGAAGGAGGATAATGGTTGGCACAAACAACTGGGCATTACATCCGCAGAAGCTATCACCGAGGTCTCTACATACTTTCTACAATCTTTTGGAAATCGCACAAGAATAGATTATGGTTCGGGGCATGAATTGAACTTTATCATATGGTTATTATGTTTGTACCAACTTGGAATAGTGACTCGTCAAGATTTCCGCCCGCTGGTCCTGAAAGTCTTTACGCGATATTTGGATCTTATGAGGATTATACAAAAAACATATTACTTAGAACCAGCCGGGTCGCATGGAGTATGGGGACTTGATGATTACCAATTTCTTCCATTCTTATTTGGCGCATCTCAACTTTTACATCATCCCTACATCCGTCCTTTGTCAATTCATCAAAATCTTATACTGGAAGAATATGGCAATGAATATCTGTACTTGGGACAGGTCAACTTTGTCAATAGCGTGAAGAATGTTGAAGGACTAAGATGGCACAGTCCAATGTTAGACGATATATCCTCTGCGAAAAACTGGACAAAGGTTGAAGATGGCATGAGAAGGATGTTTGTGGCCGAGGTTTTGAAAAAATTACCCGTCATGCAACATTTCCTCTTTGGATCGTTGATACCTGCCGTGGATGGCATGAGCACAGAAGAAGAATTTGGAGTTCCCAATGAAGAGGATGATGCGGAGGGGGGAGAAGTAGTGGTTATGAAAGATGGAATGAAGCATGTTCATCAAATGAATAGTTGGGGTGATTGTTGCGGGATTAAGGTCCCAAGTAGTGTCGCCGCGGGCCAGGAGATGAAGAAAAGAATGGGGAATGAAGGATTGAGAAGGATACCTTTTGACTAAGATATGATAATTAGTTAATCAAATCGAGCTTCAAATAGCATTATTACAGGTTTGCAGGTTTGCAATGCATGTTTGGTTTTCATTCTAGGTCTCATCCGGATCTTGATCAAGTTAGTGGGAAGTCCTTACTAAAAATCCGCCATCCGGTATTTGGTACCTACACCCACTTCCATTTCCACCAGCACATCTGTTCAAACATGGGACCTGTCTCAATATTCGGCTCCCCGTGGGTCGCAGCAAGGCGAATATGCTAACAATCATCTCACTGCGTTTATTCTGCTGTTATCCCGCCAGCTAATCCACTCTGTATAAGCAAGGCAACTAACATACCGATTATCGTTAGTCCTAAGACTGTATATTCCTCTTGCACCGCTTTTCCCTTCTCCTTCTCCCTTCCTTCATTCATACTACCAACTCTCCACCCCAGTTTCCATCTTTTCATCTAAACCCAGCACAGGAGTCAACACAACTCCCTGCTCAGATTCCTCCCCAGTGTGCGATACTTCCCCCATCCCGCAGAGCTCAAATCCCACTAGTGCCCTAGATATTTCTAATAACATCATCTAAAATCCCATCCCTGCCGTACGAGCAAAACACCACTAGATTTCCGCTCTTTAACCACTATCTATCATCATCTATCACCCACCCACCCACTTACCCACCTAATTACCGGCGAATCCGCACCCAGCTACTTTTTACAAGGCCCCTGGGAAATGGGAATTAAACTGATGGATAGCTATGGATAGGAAATGCAGGACTTTAGACCTTATTTTCAAGATTGGATGCTATTGGGAAAATGTGAGTGGATGGTGGATGGAGTGGTTCTGGGGATTTATTTATACATGTTTATATGTTTTACTATTATGATTATTATTATTATTATTATCGTCACAAACCGGTTGGCTTATAAAATGTTTCTTGGATTTAGGATCATGGGCATTTTATCTTGACCTGTAGTTTTGAACACGGAGAAGCAACGAAAGGGAGGCTGGGATATGTGTATGTATCTAGATGTGTGGGTGGATTAAGTAGATTAAATACAAGAGCTTATGTATAAAAGGGTATTATCGAACTGGAAGACCATCTTATTTTCATTTTACAAAGAGGAAACATCATTTACTGCAATCTCCCCACAGACAGTTTTTCTCTATATGAGAGTTAACGTTTGGAATATCCCTTAAGTGATTCTAGAGACTTGGCTTGCGATGATATCAAATATACGAGGAGGATACTTACTCGGATTTCACGATCCGAGGATCTTCAAACTGCATGCTTTTAGATTCATAACCACCGCTTACATCCTCGCCGGTAAGTATGGTACAGAGATTATAAGTCTATTATAGTAGTATATTATTCTATCTGTATGCATCGAAGATTTGAGTTGTGATAAGATTACTAGGGCTGGGTGCTGGTGCATAGGAGGTTTATGAGTAGTTTATGATAGGGGTTCTGGGAGAGAAGAACGGGATGGTATGCAGAGATTGGATGAAAGGGTCTCGTTTCGGAAGTGTTAGATGGAAGAGAATGATCGATGCATGGGTGGATGGACTGAAAAGGGATTTTCGTAAAAGTTGGTTTGTTTCACCACTTTAGCTTCAGATCAATCTTAATATTAATAAGAGACGTATTCTCACTGGAAAAGTGGTAGATACAACGTTCTTTGTGATGTGGCTAGTGTAATAAGACCAAAGTTGATTATCAGTGATTGGCGTTGGAAGTATGGAAGTAGAGGTTTAAGATGGGGATGATAGGGAGAATATGCTATAGATATCGAGCTACTTGTCCAGGACTTCGGAGACGATTCTGGGGCTATGAGATAAGATGCGCTGTGTTCTTTGGATCGGGAGATGTGCTGGGATTTATCCAAGAAGAATATTGGCTGTAATGAAAGAGTGTTGATAGTTGAGAAATATTTTCAAGATTTTGATCAAAGTAATTTAATTTTATTTCCAAATTCCGATAACATCTTTTCGACGGGTTGTGAGATTGAATCTGAAGATTTATTTTTGAATTAATTAAAGTTTTTATATTGTAGATTAATAAATAAAAAAGATAAAAATATTAAATTAAATTTTATATATAAATATATAATTATTATTTTATTTATTATATCTTTTATATTTATTCAAATGATATAAAATATAAATTTGATATATCAATTTATATATAACTCTTTGTATTTACTTTTGATAATCAAGTTGTATTATTATTTAATAAATTTAAAATAATTAAGTTTTGATATTTTATATTATATAATATAATAATACCTTGATATACCAGGGGCCTGCGCCCCGGACCTCTGGCTTTTCGAGAAAGTTTAATAAAAATTTAAGTTTTAAAAAGTTTATAATAAATTTAAATATTGAATATTGTAACGATTTGGACGAGGCAGCGGCTGCCTGAGGTTTCGTATGGTTGATAGTTGTAGGTTAAGGCTATTAATCACTGGTTATTCATTTGAAAGTGAATTCGTTACTAGATCAATTGCAATATAGATAAACTAATTGATAACTAAGTTGAGCATGAAGCTCTTAAATTATGAAATTATTCTGACTATATACTAATGAATGGAAAGGAGCTTTCCAAGCTCCTAGGGCTTCTTATCATATGATTGATCTTGAAGCCTCTCCTTTCCTGGAACACTTATCCCAGGAGCTTTTTTCTAGGAACTACGGTTTTAGGATACGATATCCTCTAGAATGATTGTTCTATTACAATCGATTAGTTAGGACATTTGTCCTATTCTAATATAGTTGCCTAGGATACTTATCCTAGGAATCCTGGGGTCCTATTCGTAAGTAACTAGGCCTCTTGAAAGCAACAATTAAATCACACCCCCCTTATAGTCGGCATATGAATCACCGATATCAATAATACTACTATAATCTAATCTGTGAATCGTGACACTTACATATAACAAGATTATAGTATTGGTAAGCCGACAATAAATTTTTTTTTAATTTTTGTTAATTTTATATTTGAATATTTTTAAAACTTTATATTAATAATGATTTCATTTCAAAATATTAAAATATATTTCAATTAAATTAAACTTTTTTGTTATTGATTTTGAAAATAAATAAGGATTTGAAGTTTGAAATAAAATAAAATAGAATTAAGATTTTATTAAATATTTATAATATAAAAAAAAAAGATAAAAATTTGTTAAATTTGAAGACTACAGATGTATAATAAAGAAGGAATGGAAAAGAAGAGGATGTGGTTGGGTATATATTAGAGATATGTTTAAAGCGAAATAAATAATGAATTCGAGAAAGTTAAAATAAAAGTTAGGAGATGAGTGAATGCGAGCCGAGATATGACAACTGTGTCTACTTGATAGTAAATTGTCGGTTTCTATGTATGATATAGTGGGTTAGAATATACATGCATGTAGAAATTTGCTATAGATTGATAGATTTGGCCCGAGGATATTTGGATGAGAAGAATAATCAATTCAGAACATTATTCTTTCGATACTCAAACCAGAGGTATTGCGGACGACGGCCCCAGCCAAGTACACTTCGGACTACAATATAACATACTTGACTGAGTAGTGATAGATGCTTGGAGATTTCAAGGTTATTTGGATAGCATTAGCAGTCAATCTAGAACCGGTGTTGTAGATAGATATCCTTTCAAAAAGAGAACGATGTGAATAGTTAACTGTTGGAGATCACTAGCCAGCGACACCAATGGTAGTATATCAACACCACTCCACTCTGAAATCAATGTTTGAGCTGAAACTTCACTTTACCTCTGTCTGACACTTCTCAACTTGGAATAAGCCTGGGAGTGAGTGAGAGATTCATGTGTCTAACAAGACAAGATGTCTCCTGAAAGGTTACACTTTCACCATGAGACTTGCAATGGAGGGGGCCGGGAATTCGTCAAGAGAGGGTTGACGTTGACCAAAAGAGTAAATCCTCATGGGTTCCGGATCTTGGCTCCATCACGAATGCTGATTGATGTCATCGATCAACTGGTCGAAGTGTAACCACGTTTGATGTCCTCGGCCGGGCGTCTGGTAAGGAGACCCGTAGGATTTTGTGTAATCAATGCATGATTATCGGCACGTACTTTCCGGTGTTTCCCGAAAACCTGGTTTTCTGCATGAAAGGAGGGAGACATGATGAATCTATGAACCGTCACTTGAGTGATGAAAAGAGAAAAAAGTGAATAATTGAAATCCAGAAAGAAAAATACGAAGACATGAATAGAAAATGGGATTTGATCATTTGAATATTTTTAATAACAAAAACTAATATGACGTGAAATTTGATCGAGGTTCAGTTGATGCGGAAATGGCCCTGCTCGATACTCGTGAGGAATGTAAGAACTGTGATTTCATCCAAGAAGTGAATCTTTAAAGTATTGGGGTCCAAATTCTAGGTCTTTCGAAAATCCCAAATCCCGTTCCATTTATTATTTATTCCCAACTTAGGAAATTCCATGACTGGTCAAAAATTGTTCGGTGAAAAGAAAAAGAAATGCTCAGCCCGTTGCGTCGGTGGGCGAAGCATGCGCATGGAAGCACGGTGTTTTTTTGCCGCAGCGGAGACGCCATATATTTTTGTGAAACATGTCGGAAGCTGGAAGAACATATATATTGCTCACTTGGACAAGGCTCTTGATACATGATTGTCAGTCAGATGTAGAGCAAAAGAGCTAAACCAAAAAAGTGGCTGCGGTGAATGAATTGGACGAAATGAGTGGTAAAACAGTTATGCTAGGTTCTATTTGATCGAGGCTATGCAATTTTTGAAGTTTGTAGATTGATGACTGGATGTGAGAGGAAGCATCGAAAACAGAAGAATGATGGGACTAATGTGAATTAATCAGAGATCGCGAGAATTTTTTTGGGTAGATTTAGATTGGTCCACCTTGTTGGTAACTCGGCGCTACGTTCTGACAAGCGACTTCGATGAAGGGGTATGCCAGTAAAATCTGGGTCTTGGTTATTCTTGAATTCTTGACTTTTCTAAGCTTTAGATGATTGTCACTTTGCCGATACCGAAAGCTTGCTCCATGCGCATATATTTTAATTTATCTGAAGGAGATTGCAGAAAGAAATTCTTTTAAGTGATTTGTGATAACTATCTGATTATTTCTTTTGGTATTTCAATTTAATACCTGATTTAGGACTTTTCAACTCAATTTAATTCATTCATTGAATTGAATTCAATTTAAATAATTAGAATTTTAATAATAATTATTAGTTTAATTTTTTTAAATTAAATTTTATAATAACTTAATAAATAATTAAAATCAGTCTTTTATATATGTTTTAATTTAATACTATAAATAAATATATAATAAACGTTTTAAGTATAAAAATTATTTCAGCTTTCTCGAAAATCAGGGGTCCGAGGAGCGCAGATTTCTTATGTTTATAAGTGAAATGCTTATCGTTATATAAGTGGGCAATGGATCATAACTCTGTTTTTAAGCGCCTTTGTGCTTATGCCCCATTTTGGAGCCATGTTAATGGACCCTCTATGGACCTTCCTTTCGCTTGAACAAGATCATTACGATCATTACCCTTGAGACTTAAGCTTCTTGAAACACAAAGTCAAGCCATTTCCTACCAAAGTAACCTTACTTGGTAGGTACGTCCCGGACTAACAATAGGAATTTGGGACTCTTTAAACATTTTTAATTTATTTAGTCCGGGTCGTGCTTTAAATGCAGGACCTCGGAAACTCATCTTCGGAGGGATAAGATGGCTTTGAAGGAAGGAAGAATACGATACAGGCAGAACTGCCCTCAATATAATTTTTTGAATGATGCATTTGCTGGCTGTGCAATGTGCACAAGATGAAGAACAAAAAGGTACAGCTAGCTAGCTATAGCTAGCTAGATGGGTATTTCTAACGTCCAAAAAGATGCACAGCCACTCCCGCCGTCATACCTGTCATGCCGACTTGCCATATTATGTCATGAATACCAAGAGCTAGAAAAGCTCGGGCTGATTTGAAGCTTGAGTTAAAAGAATGCTTATCTGCCTTGCTCCAGTAATGGGTTTTTATATCCGGAGCTGTATCGTATTATGTAGGCAGGAGAAAGATGATTCATGACTTCCAACTAACAAAATTGGAGAATGACCTGTTTTCGAGATCCTTGATGAAGGCTCTCGTACCTTTCATACTTTGTAGACCACGAATGATTGTAGCCCTGATTGTAGATTCCCCTGAGCATTTCCTTGTAGATTTTAATGGCAAAAGAGTCAAATTATGGCAAAATTGATAGTATTTTGTCAGCCAAGTAAAAGTGCCTATCCAGCCGTGCGATTCCACTTTCACCCACTCTTTATATGGAATATTTCTACTACGTAAATCTTTGTCGGGTCGCCTAGTTGTCCTGTGCTTGGGCTAGGAAGATTGCACGCAGTCATCTAGATTTGCTTTCTCCTCCACCATTCAACTTTACTCCACCTGCTCGTCATTCCGGAGCTATCCCCTTTTATTCTAATACAGTACTTCTTTGTATCGCTTGCTGTGCTGCTACTTCACCGGCGCCAATTTATCTGTTTGGTCGTCAATCACCAGATTAATCGCCGGCCCTTGTACCTGAGTCTGTGATTCTCGTCCCCCCGGCTGCTAGGTCAAGTCCCTGCCACTTAACTTTTAGCTTTTCAAGAAGCACGGAAACTAAGAAATTTATAGACAGATCAAGTTAAAAAATCAAATAAGGCTTTCTATTGTTATTCTCCATCTCTCTAGCAAACCAACATCAAATATCTTCTATCTTTTTGATTTCGCCTTTTGCGAACTTTGGCCTCCGCTAATAACATCGGCTGTCGTTTCTTACTTTTTTACTCGATTATATACAAAGCCATTTGTCCCACCACTGCACTCCGTAACCACCACCTTCCTCGTCGGATTTGGACTTTTTTATTGTTGAAACATTCAACGACCTGCTTGTTCTGCGCTGCTTATCTTAGCCTTAGCGCCTAAACGTTAATCGCTGCACCCCCTCCAGCTCTGAAGCCTGTCCTTGTCGATTTCGTACCACACCCCCCAGTTCGCGAAGAAGGGTTCTCCTCTCTCTCCCAACTCCTCTTTTCAATCGTCTATCCCCATCCCATCTTACAGGAGCGCCTGCATCTATTTTCTGTCAGCTCACCATCGTCACCCATATTTTTATCTTTTCTCACGAATAGAACAGCTTCGTCTTCCCAATTTCATTCATCCGTACGAACATTATATACCCCCAAACCTTCAAGAATCCGAATTTATCTCGTCCTCTTCCACATTGCTACGAGACCTGTATCATCCATCGAACCTGTTCATCTCAATTGCAGATTTGTGACCTGCATATAAGACCCGCAACACCGATTCCCGAGGCTGCAACATGACCAAAACCTTGCTCACTACATGTTGACCACACCTGTAGCTGATTAGGCCTACATTTTAAAGACCACAGCTTTTTATCCAAGTCGTACCCCAAAGATACATAGCCTCATACATTCTCCACAAGTTATGTCTTCATACACTTTCGTCTCAGCACACCCAGTCAACTCTCAAATACAACTCTCTCAAGAAGAGAACGACCCTCTTTACCTGAACACAAACCACATATCCAACACGCAGTTTGACCCAACTCTCCTGTCACCATACAATCAATCGCATACATTCAGTAATTCTAGCCCATGCAACATTGGCGGTACACCAGTCGAAAGTCTTTCCGAATACAGCAATTTTAGTAGCGACTATAGTGAAATCGAAGACGAGTATTTTGGAGTGGATTTCGACGCCGGCGTACAGCGAACAGATTCACTTCCCGCAACCCTCGCAGCATACCCAATAGACGATTATACAAACACTGTACATCAGGCATCTACGAACATTGAAAGTCAAAAAGTATCAGAAGCTCTCGCAGCTTCAACATATCCTCCGAGCCCCAAGGATACAAGCATTCCAAACACACCCTCTCCCAGAAGCGAAGTAAACTATAAAGCCCACTCAATCATTCCACATCACGAAATAGAAATTGAAAACGAATTAAATCAGTCGGGATTTCCTTTTCCAGAATTGACATCGACACTTGGAACATTGCAATTGACGCCGGACAATAGCGGTGGCAGCCATACGAGCGCCGAAGGGGTGGAGCCAACAAGCATGGATTTTCGTACCCATAGTCCGCATGTGACTGTTTCGCAGTGGGCTGAAGAACAATCATCGACTAGGCCCGACTTTGCGCCGGATATGAGTCGACATGGGAAGCAGTCGAACCCCGGTTTCAAGAACTACCAATATCCATCTCAAAATTTTGACCAGAGTTCCAAAGTGACCGCATCACGGAATGATGAAGGAATGTGGAGACCGAATGGTAAAACCGGCCTGACTGGATTGGATCCTGAGAGACGAAAAGTGATCTCAAATGCCGAAATCCCCAATCTGAAAGAACAGGAAGAGCGGCGGCATATTAACGACACAAATGCACAGGTGCAACTGTGGCGCCAAAGAGGCAATTCAACCAGTGATCCAAACGTACCGAGATCTAGAGAATCGACTTATGCAGTGCAAATTGAGCAGGCTGAAGTTAATTTAGCGCCGGTGGATGATGCCGCAAGCATCAGAGAAAATCGGTTTCTTGATGGGCAAGTTTATTACAACATCAAAGGCGAATCCCCAACTGATGTAGATATAAAATTGATGAGCCAAATGCGTCAATTCAACGATGCTCCTGCACTACCATACATGACAGTGAGCGGCTTCCAAGCGCCACAGACGGCGAACGATGCCATCCAAAAGTTCAATGGAGACGCAGATACCTTCTCAGTAATATCACGTGCAGCAACCTGGGGTACGCGACGGAAAAGTGACTCAAGTTTAATGGAGTATAGTGCTGTTGAGGATGGCAGTTTCCTAAAGAAATTATCGGTCAAGCATGAAAAGAAAGGACCGGGGCGTTGGCCCAATCTTTCGAGCTTGGGACAACGCGCTGTGACTCACGTAAAGAGGGCTCGCAGCTCGTCAAACTTGCAAGATACTTCAACGGAAATGAACCAAAAGCAGAACAATTCAAACAATCTAGCGCCGCCTCCCAGAACATCCAGCTTTGGTAAAAGTAGGAAGCCGACACCAAGCATCAACACTGCAATAGCGGCAATGACTGGAACGGTCGCTGCTGTCGGTACAAGTGCACATCATCCTCCGCACGCCCGCAATGGCTCTGTGAGTGCAGCATCTCCAAAAAGCCCTCTTCTAAATCTATCATTCCTCCGTAAGGACAGTGGACGGAGTAGAAGCAAGAGCGAGCTGTCAATTCGAGAGAGCGCGTCTGCTACAGTGTCTGCTATTGGTGAACTTTGGAAAAAACAAGGTGGCCCACCTGTTCCCACTTTGGCTTCTCAATCGTTGGTTGAGCCTGAGTCGGTCATTTCTACTACAAGGCAATTCCAAGAACCAATTGATCACGACGACGAGGATGATGAGGATGAGGAGCAAGGTGATGAAGGTGACATGAGAACGGAACCTGCAATATTGGAGCCTATCGTACCCACTTATGAAGGTTTCAAAGAACACGTACGGCGGCTGAATCCTGACATGAATCCAAAGTTCAATTGGCTTGTGAGTCGCGTTGCTCATCAGCAAGAAATTCGATACAAAAACCTACTCGATCAAAGAGTCAAACATATGCAAGCCATCATGAATCACAACTGCCCTTCTAGGCCACATTGCATTGCACTAGGCGGAAGTGCTACAGTATTTGATGCTAAGGGGAAGGTTCGAGAGAATGACCGCAGTGCTGGCGCGCTACAACTTGTAACAGACTTTTCCGATGATTCAAATCCTGTTGATGGTGCTCTTTCAAGTGAAACCTTCCCCAAAGGGGTTCCATTACCGCCAACTCGAAATCTTCCAGCAGAATTTGAATGCCAATTGTGCTTCAAGGCCAAGAAATTTAACAAACCTTCAGATTGGACAAAACATGTCCATGAAGATGTCCAACCATTCACTTGTACTTATGAAAAGTGCAGGGAACCAAAATCATTCAAACGAAAGGCCGATTGGGTTCGCCATGAGAACGAAAGACATAGGCATTTGGAGTGGTGGGTTTGTGAAATAGATGATTGCAAACATCTTTGTTATCGAAAGGACAATTTTCTGCAGCACCTAGTTCGTGAGCATAAGTTACCAGAGCCTAAACAAAAGACAAAAGCTGCTATCAAAAGAGCGAAACATCCTGAGATAGCATGGGATATGCTGGACAAATGCCATCATGAAACAATAAAGAAACCACAGGATGAGCCATGCAAATTTTGCGGAAAGTCTTTCACTACTTGGAAAAAACTTACTGTTCATCTTGCGAAACATATGGAGCATATCAGCTTGCCTATTCTTCAACTTGTTGAACAGAAGAATGTTGACGCCGATACGATCATCAGCCCAGTTGAACAAAATTTTAGCCCAATAACTCCAATTTGCGGAACCAGATTGGAAGGCTCAAGTCCTTATGTTATGGACAATATGTCACCTAACATCCCCATGGTGCCCCAGATCAGCGCTGCTTTCCATGAACCCACATTTTACTCTACTTCGGGTCCTTCGGCATACGGCATGCAGAACTCGATGACGCACACTCCAATAGCACAGGAAGCCTCAAATGAGCCATTTCCCATCTTTTCCAATTCATATAATGTTCGGCAGATGAATCAACCACGACAGTTTGGTTCGATGGACTCTGCTAACCTTGGCAGTATGCATCACTCACCATCCTTCATCGACACCGGCTTCGAAATAAATCAACCACAGTCAGCTTTTGGGAATATCGACACTAGCTTCACTCAAAATAAGGTTGACCATCAACCCCGATCTGCATTTGGTTCGATCGGCTCCAATTCTTTTCCAATGCAATCCAATCAGAACTTTAACCATACACCCCATTCGGCTATGGAATTTTCCATGAATCAATCTTTCGTCACGACTTCTGCTCCGGTGTCAGCATACCAAGCTCCGAATATGCTAGGCATGCCGGATCAAAGTACATTTGGCTTCGATTCCTTGACTGTTAGTCCCATGAGCAATTTCCAACAAGTACCAATGAGTCGTGCTCAAGGTAGCTCTTCTTCTTATGGTCAATCTCCTCAAAACATGCAGAATTCTCCTCAGAATATGCAATATTACGGCCACCAATAACGATGATTGGTATATCTTTTGACATATATCATATCTTAGCTTCACGGAGTTGTTTGAATTTTTGTGGTTTGGAGTCTTTGGCATTTCGACGGAAATATCCCTTCATGTATTGTAGTTGCATATACCTTTTCTTTTTATAGCATAGATACCACCATGTTCATGTCTTTTTCTTCTTCTTTTTTTGGTTATTATTCATTGATGGAAATTGGTGTTGGTTGGGGTAATTTTCTACGAATGGATACCGGATAATACCGACATATGAGGATCAATCAAATATAGTCCATGACGCGATTCATGAGTTAGGTGTTAGGTGTTAAGTGCTATCTCTTGTCCATTTGATCATCCCTCACGTGAACGAAGTTAGAAAGTAACAGTACATTTTCGCTTACGATTGCCCACTCGTTGATACATGATTTTCCTTCCTTTGGTCAAGATATATTTTTTGCTTAAAAGGTTCTCCTAAAATACTTGGTACCTCAGCTATTGTGGTCTAGATTGAAGATCATCCAGCTGTAAACTTGGTTGACAGGAGTCTATCGTCCTAGCCACTCACGCCAGACTTTCCCCGCTTTGGCAAGTGCCGACGGTTGTGGCGTATCTTTAAGATAACCTCACAACTTGTTGATGAACTGCATGAGGTCTTTGTGAAGATGTGTGATGTTTATTCGAATTTGCGGATCTTTTGATAGGCATAAAAGTGCATAATGTGTAGTGAGAGGCTTTGAGAAGTATAGATGAAATCTGGAATGGCTTCGATGATGTTGGGAGTGTATGAGGGGGAGTTCGAACCGTTTCTTTAGGCCTAGGAGCTAAGAATTGGAGCTTGTTTAGTCCATTGAGGAAAGCCAATTGACCAATGGTGATCATATGTTAATAGGCTGCTGTTAGTATTATCAACCTTGATAGACACAGCCTGGACTCGTACCTAACAGTTAAGTATACTCTAAGTGGAGAGAATATGTCTTAGTTTCAGCGTTATCCTTCATTCTGCTAAGAACGCAGGTCATGCACTTTCACGCACGTCACTTTGCGGAGAAATATGGCATCAGTAAGAACAAGGTGACTGTTAAATTTTATTGCTCCCCCCGTATTTCAATTTTGTATAAAGTTTTCCACATTCCCATTTTGATGACCCACTTTTATTCTTGCATTAACTTTGTCAATACGATTTCCAAATATGACAAACTCAGAAGATACCGAGCCAAAGCGCGCTCCTGCTCCTCATCCATACGATGACCCTCCTCTCTCCTGGTGGGAAATATTCAGATGTTCTTTCCCTGCCTCTGGAGGTTTTCTCTTCGGCTATGATGCTGGTTATATTAACGGATGTCTTGGAAGTAAGTTTTTGCTCTTCTCCCACTTGCTTGCCCCAGTGTTCCGTTTTTTCCCTTGAGCACTTGGTTCCCCCTTTATACACAATTGTTTCATTCAACAGTGATAAACGTACATATACTGATCGAATCTTACCAACAGTGGATTATTTCAAATTGGCTTATGGCGAACCATCAAATGACCCTCTAGGTTTCCAGGGTTACATGTATCCCACATGGGCCAAATCTGTTATAACTTCCCTCCTTTCCGTCGGTACCTTCCTCGGTGCCCTAGCCTCCGGCTACTTCTCCGATAAATTCGGTCGTCGTAACACTATCCTCATCGGTTGCGTTATCTACTGTGTCGGTGTCGTTCTTCAAGTGGCTCATCCATCCATTGCTCTACTATCCGCCGGTCGTACCATCGCTGGTTTAGGTATCGGTTTCGTATCCGCCAATATCGTTGCCTTTCAAACCGAAATTTGCCCCAAGAAGATTCGAGGTCCCTGTATTAGCGTGTATCAATTTGGTATTACGATAGGATTACTCATTGCCTCGGGTGTTAATCAGGCTACCAAGAAAATTCAGAGCAATGCCTCGTTCCAGATCCCTATTGGCTTGCAATTTGTCTTTGCGGCTTTCCTGTTTTCAGGTTTGTGGTTGATGCTTCCGGAATCCCCAAGATGGTTTATCTCCAAGGGAAGAAGGGATGAAGCTAAGCATGCCTTGATGATAATGCGTGGACGCAGAGATTACGATCCTTATCTGGAAAGAGAGTTTGATGTTATGCTAGAAGAGACGAGGGAAGAGATGGAAAATGCAAAGGGTGGATGGAGAGATCTTTTCACTGGAGGTTTCAAATGTGGAAGCAATCTTTATAGAACTTTTATCGGTACTACCGTGCAAATGATGCAACAATTAAGTATGCTCTCCCTACCTTATACGTGATTAGAAATTATCACTAACTATTTTATAGCCGGTGTTAATTTCATCTTCTACTATGGTACCACATATTTCGCACAAGTCGGATTAACGGGCGCTTTCCTCCTGTCTACCATCACAAACGTCGGTAAGTAACTTTTACTCCACAACACATCTTCGTGATACTTTAACTAACATAACCCAGTCAATGTTCTCTCAACCCCAGTTTCCTTCTGGAGTATCGAGCGTTTCGGCAGACGCCCCCTCCTCATCTATGGCGCCATCTGTATGGCAGTATGTGAATTCATCATCGCCATCGTCGGCAGCGTACTCTCCGAAAACAAAGCCGCTCAATGGGTCCTCTTCGCCTTCGTCTGCGTGCACATTTTCTTTTTCGCCAGTACCTGGGGTCCTACCGGCTGGGCCGTATCAGGGGAGATGTTCCCCCTAGCTCTCCGCGGTCGTGGAATCGCTCTCAGTACTGCCTCAAACTGGCTTTGGAATTTCGTAATCGCATTCGTGACACCTTATTTAGTGGGCGAAGAAAATGCCAATTTAGAAGCCAAAGTTTTCTATATCTTTGGAGGTACTTGTGCTATTTCTGCCGTGTTTGCTTACTTCTTTATCTATGAAACCAAAGGACAATCGCTGGAATCTATTGATCGCATGTGTGCGGATCCTGTAGGCAAGATTCCTAGGAAGAGTGCGGCGTGGGCAAAGAGGAGAACGGGTGCTGCTGGTATGGATACGGCGGATACAGCGGATTCGACGGGTGCGTATTATGGATCTAGAGAAGATATGATGAACTATGAGGCTGTAGCGGATGTTGAGGCTGGAGCTCCACGGGTGAGGCAGAGATTGAGTGATTCGGAAGCTGGGGGTTCGCCCCCTTCGAATCGGTATGTTTTTTTCTTTTTATTAAATTTTTTTTTTTTGGTTTTGCCCTTTGCTTCTGTTCTCTTCATCTCATTCTACTATTGTAATTTCTCTCTCATACATCTTCCACTCCTCATTCCCTCTTTTCCGCACTAAACCCTCTCCAAGATATAATTATAATCTTACAGTTACTAACCTCCAATGCAGTTGCAGTTCCAAAGAAGGACCAACAGCACAAACGGTTGAGACAGCCGCGAGACAGAGAAGACAATAAATAAATTGCGATACATTTATTTTTACTTATATACTATACTCGTTGATATACTCAGTATCTACCTAGGTACCTACTCATATACTATAATCTTTATATATTATATATTATATATCATGAAAGTAAAATAATGTTTAACAATGAATAAAAGATCACTAGATCAAATAAAGGAAAATGAAGAGGAAGCGATAGATGAATATATATAAATCAAACTAGATTTTATAACAAAATTATATAAATATTTGATATAATAATTATAAATTGATACTATTATAGATCAGGAATATAAATACCAGGAGCCTGCGCGCCCCGGACCTCTGGCTTTTCGAGAAAGTTTAATAAAAACTTAAGTTTTAAAAAGTTTATAATAAATTTAAATATTGAATATATATATTAGAGTGCAGATAGAATTTCGATTCGTTTTTGATAATTGAAAATTTAATATTATTATTATTATTATTATTATTATTATTATTATTATTATTATTATTATTATTATTATTATTATTATTATTATTATTATTATTATTATTATTATTATTATTATTAATATTATTATATTATTATATTATTATTTTAAATAAAATAAAATAAAATAAAATAAAATTGAATGATTTCAATAAAATTAAAAAAAGCTCCAAGTTAGATTTGTCTGAGGTTATAAGGTTCATATCAAGATTTTTGTTAGATTATTTACTAGGGTATTTTAGACCAATCAGATTATCAAGATCGTGATTTATTTAAGCGAGTTTCTCATTTTCTATAACCTACACCAGGTAAATTACAGTACGCTACATGTACAGCAAGGTTTTGGTGTTGGCAAGCCGACAATAAACATATATAGACATACTATATACAGCTAGATAGCTAACTGTCTAGTATTTATGATGTCAAATCCCTGTTAAAATTGAAATAATTACCTAAATATAACTACCTAGGTAGTAAATAACCCACTCCTCTTCATTATTGCGCTTATTAGGTAACGTAACCTTATAGGTAGATCCCAGGCTTTACGCTGTGTATGTGGATATTTTCAACGCCAAACTCCATGTGTCCACCGCATTATCATCTTTCTTTCATCTTCGTATATGCATGTCCATGAATATCCATCATCAAAGAGCAAACACCAAAGCAAGACCAACAGCAACCATCATACCCTGCACACTAGTACCTCGCCTCTCCGCAGCGCCAATACCAGTATACTGTAAAGGACCACCAGTACTAGTAGCCGTCCCATTCGATCCATCACGAGTACTATTCGCAGTACCTTCACCATCATCACTACCCCCAACAACACCATCCAACAAAGTAAAATTGGCACAAGTGATTCGAGTAGTATTTCCAAAATGTAGCGTTATAGAGCGATTACCAAAGAAACTGCCGAGACCTGGGAGTGTGGATGTGAAATCATCGACGTAGGATGCTTGGAAGGGGTCTGCGGTTATTTTTCCATATTTGCCGGAGAGATCGCCTACTTGACAGGTTTGTGGGAGGGAGGAATTGCATGCGGGAGTTTCGCCGCGGATGAAAGGGTCGAGGTGGCCGAGGGTGCCGGTGCAGTTTCCGTCTGAGGGGACGGGGTGCGCGTGGATGTGGTAGACTGGGTGGGTGTTAATGAGGGAGGTGGGGAGATGAGTGGATAATTGGAGGTAGGGAGATGTGTGTATGATTGGAGGTACTTACGGAATGGACCACCACTTGTAGGAAGATTGGAAAATTGAACTTGGAATTGAACACCAATACCATCAGGGTTTGCAGTTGCGGAAACAGATCCTTTGATGTTACCACGTGGATCATCAGGATTAAAGAACTCCGTTTCTGGAAGTGTGGCGACGTAGATTGGACCGACTGGGCTGTCTTCGGGGATGGTTGCATTGCCCAAGGTACCAGTTATGGGAAAAGTTGTAGTTTGTGCGTGAGCCAAGGCGAGGATTGTGGCTGCAATAACCGCCGAGATCATTTTTGAATGCATCTTGATGGTGGGTAGAGAATTGATTAAATGTGAGAGAGACTTCTAGATAGCCAGGGAAAGTTCTTAATGAAATGTGCTGAGCTGAAGAAGAGAGGTCTGAATTTAAAGTGGTGTAAATAGTCGCGTGTAAACAAACACTCACGTTGAAACGGAAGTAACGTTAGATGTGAATGGCATAGAGTAGGTAGGTATCCAAGGCAAGACTTTCGACTACCAATGATGGTATTGAAATCAATTGAAAAACGATGATTCAAAAGAACGAGAGGAGGTATATAGATAAGTCAGTCCTTAAAGAGGGGAATAGTTAAGATTTATCAAGCACAGATAGTGGATCATACCATCCCAAGGATTCACTCACTGTGCACGAAGAACCGTATCCGGATAATGGGATAGAGCAGGCTTGTCATATTTTATGCGACCTACCTAGGTACCGTTCCACCAAGCTTGTACGGGTGCAGATGGTTTGCAGCCAATTTACTGCGCCATCCTTTATCCAGCAAATTGAAGGGATATCTTTAGGTTCAAGCGTTGAAAAGAGTGGGTAGAGGTTAACGTTATACACACTCCAAACACTCACTTTGATTGCAATCCGAAAGCCGTGACCAGGTCCTTACTTTGATTGTGAACAAATCAACAAGGCTGTTTCGAAAATAGTTTGTTTGTTGTTTTCCAAATTTACTCATATATCAGACTATCAAACTTACACAATTTGAATAGAAACCAATTATGGCCTAAAGTATATATATATGGCTTTGATAGTTCAAAATCGTTTCATGACTCCGCACAAACCATTGGTCGAGTGAGTATCGAGTTGAGCATCATATCGAGTGGAGATGAATCCGTAGAGAGGAGCCTGGACAGGATCAACATGTTGGTGATGTGTATCCCAAATTCCTACAGGCAATAATATAGAATTGGAAATCGATGTTGGGATTCTTGTTGGCGATATCCAATAACCTTGTGAACTTGTGATTGATATGTTGTTATTTTGTTGTTGGTTCGTTCACAAGTCCAGTCAGTTGAAAGAAGATTTGAGACATGGGTTCTGATGAGATTTTGGCGTAACGCTAAACTTGCTAAGGTTAATTGATTAAGCTTTCCTTAGTTTGATTGTAACCCCTGAACTCCGAGCGTTTAGAACCTTGCGTCAATCATCCATCTGTGCTCTTTTTCAGGAACACAGGCAATTGAGACGCTTTGATGGTTTTGGCAGTATGTGGTTTCTAATCCAGACGAGAATGTTGGTTGATCCTACCCATTATTAACAATATGGAATGTCAATTGGAAGGCGTTGTATTTGCAAGTACCGCGCGCTACTTCCCTCTGTAACTTACCAAAGTACTGAACCTTCATCGTAATGTTTCGTTTCACAAACTTTGATGGTCATGATATTGGTTGGCTGCGCGTACCTGTGTCGGTACCACAATAAGCGAGCGAATATGCAAGATGAAAGTAGCGCAGTAGTGAGTATATTCATAGTAGATGACTGCATATGTTGCCGCCGATACTGATGAAATGGCGAATGATCCCGTATGGTATTGTAGGCTTGTCACCATGTAACCAGGAGTTACCAAAATTTGACTCAAGATAAGGGAAATCTAAAGACACCGGCTATGCTACTGCCGAGCACATCCGCCATTAATTTTTTGATACAACGGGACAGAGGCAGTGTTTCACAAACAAACCCTCTATCTGAGCGATTTGCAAGATACGAGTGGTCTACCACGATATTCTTGGCATCCGTTCGTTAAAACAATTTGCGACATAAGCTTTTGAAGAGTTCATTCCGCCTGTTCGAAACTTTTTGACAGAGAGGTTGGCTAGGATCTGCAGATGGTATCTATCTAGAAACATCGGACCGTTAATGCATAGATAAGTGGTGGGTAATGTTGACTAGATATAACAACAAATGTTGGTTATGTTCACGCATCGATAATGGGCCCCCAGGAAATGAGGGAGGGGCAAGCGAGTCGTTGTCGGTGTACAACATATGGGCAGATTCTTTTCGCAGGAAAATGCGACAAGACTTCATCCAATCAGTTTCCGAGAAAGCAACATAAACCAGCAATCCATGGGCCTGGTCATCTGACGTGTTGGCGACGACCATATGAGTGGTCATGTCTAGATGGCATTGTCTTCATCCTCTGCCCTGAGTGTCATTGTGGTATAATGTCCCAGATTCTAAGGGTAATAGAGGTTACTGGTCAACTTGAGTACCATGGCATTGGATGTTTACCTACTGGGAGTCCAGGAAGGAGTATTGGATTGATGTGTGAAAAACAGGCATGTTTTGTGAGCAATTGATACCTTAGTAGATGAATGGTGCTTCTGTATGATTGAAGCAGGCAGGATAAAGTAGTGTACGTAGTAGTAGAATATATAAAACATCAATCCCATAAGGGCACTGTAAAAATGTGTATATCCTGATCGACATGTATCACGAGAAAGATCCAGATGAAGGAGTGCTCTAATGCTTCGAAGTTTAAGCCTGCAAACAGAAATTACAACCGCACTTAGACATTCTCTGATGGATGGCGTCTTTCAAGCACGAGTACCATAAAAGTCCCATCCAGGAACCATAATATGGTGAGTTTGAAAAAGGAGATGACAGTTGCTGAAAATAAAGTTGTAATATCTTTAATAAAAAATTTCGTTGAATGGGAACTGGAAGTTCCAGCAGCAGCTTCACGAATGATGAACGCCAAGACTTATTTTTAAGCTCCGACTTTCCGACCTCTCGACGACAAGCTCCAATTCCATCAACCTGCAAACATCCATCCACCAGCCACCACCACCAACTACTAAATTCCACAACGCTATCGCAAACTTCACAGACCTCGCTCCCGCTCATCCGCATCTGTTCGCTCGCAGAGAGTATCTTAACAACAAGATGAAGCCCGTCGTAGGAGTAATGCAAGCTTGGTCTTGGTTCGTGCCCTTGATCACTGCCTAGTGTTCTACCTATTTCAATCTCTAACTATTGCGCAGTATTGTCATCTCCGTATTTGCCATTATCATCCTCTCCATCATCGGTGCTCTTTTCAAGAGTAACAATCACGCACTTTTGGGGGGAAAAGAAGATCCTGAAGACGGGGCTGCGGTTGCCGCTACCGTTTTCGGTGCTGTAGTTGTTTATGCGGTAGGTTTGAAGAGATATTTCGATGATTCCGGATTCGATGGTCATTTATCATTTTGTTCCACTCTTTTTGTCAAGCTAATTTGTATGCCGATCGATAGGTTTTCATTGTCGGCTGTGGTTTCCAAGCTTTCCTACATTTCCGCGACAATCGAAGAGGAGCTATCTCTCTTTCTTGATAGGCGACTTGTGACCATCGAAGGTATATATGAGACAGGCATAGAATTTTGGGATTGTTGAAATGGCGTATGGTGTTCGTTAGTCTGGAGCATTTGATCGATGGAGCGTGTATGGAGGAGTGGCATGAAATGGAATGATAATACTGGTTATTGATACAATGAACTACCTATGGAGGACTTGGGCAAGGATATATCATGGCAACCCAAGGATGCTCCTGGATTACATTTATATTGTTCTGTGTCCGGTTGGCATGAAGCCTTGCGACTGCAATAAAGGCCATTGTTTTCACAGTTCTCGGCATCTTCTTGAGACGCACAGGTTTGAAATGGAAGGCAATATTCTTTGTTATAGTTGCGAGAAATTTCATGTCTTCATCAGGGTATATTGATGTTCCTTTGGCTGTCCTCTTTTTAAGACTTTTGCTCTGTTGTCGCCACCATCTTGTCGGCGCTATCGAACCGCTATTGATATTTCTTCAGAGTATTTAGTTACACTCTTGCTATCATCATAGAATATCAAATTGAGCCTGTTTATTCTACGAAGTACAATTGATAGGCTATACTCTCATGGCTTAGATAGCTGTAGCTGTGAACCTGCCACCGGCCACTTGAGGGGGCTGTAAGGATATCAATGAGAATATCCATCATTACCTACCAGCAGTCTACTAGTCATGTTCTATATCTAAATTGCCTCAGCTGATGTTAGATCATTCTAAATGATACAAAGAACCCAAGAGAATCTTCCCATGTGGTGGCTACATAGGGTAAAAGAATCTCAAGGGGCTATCTTTCATTGTGAGAGAAATCACTGTCGCGCGTTCCATGTGAATCGTCATCAAATATCTGAGTGGATGAATTAATCTACACTTGTTGCATGGACAGACACTCAATCTCAATTAAATAGATGATTTAGAACCTGATATTCGCATCACGAACGAGTGCATACTGAACAAGAAGTTCAAACATTAATATTGGATTGATCAAATCTCTGCTAAAATAGTTCTACTCTTGTCTGTTCAATATACCTCAAAGTGAGATGGGAATAAAATGGATCTTTTCTGACCTTGAAGGATTCATAAAATCATACCACATCTATTATGGCCTTGTCTAAACAGTATTACTGCTATCATTAACACTCTTCTCACTTTTATGAGTTGAGAAGTTTGAATATCTAAGATTACCTTGTTGGCCTTTCTTCTTTTCACTTTTCTTTTATCTTGTTTAATATGTATCAGTCAGTCACCTTTCCGTTATTCGGAATACAAATAACTAGACAACTTCTCTTCTCAACTTGTTAACTTTCAATGGCCTTCATCTCATAGATCTTGCTTGATCTCTTCTTCCCCTCTTCCAAAAGCAACAAAAATCAATCCAATCCCATCCCAATTCTTCCATTTCCAACCTCCAACCTCCAACCTCCTACCTCCAGTTATCCACAACACAATACAAACAATACTACACAAACAACACTATACAAACAACACAACAACTTCTAAAATCCACTCTTCCACCCACTCAATCACACAATCATACAGTCTCATAATTCTATACCCCAAACCCCAAACCCCCAATCTCAACCATCAATCCTCAACACCCACCATGCACATCCCAAGCATCCTCAAATTCTCCCTCCTCATTTCCACATCCCTCTGCATCGCAGCCCCGACTGCTGTTACGACTCCTACGGACGCAGTGATTGAGTATACGCGTGCTTCTCAGGATCCTCATTCTCTGATTAATCTTATGGAGCTTGGTGAGCTTGGTGAGAAACGTGATGGTTTTGTGGATTTGGTTCGGGTTTCTGAGGGGAATGATGGGTTTGGTGATGGGTTGCGGTTTTTGTAAGTGTATTTTTGTTGGTTTTTTGATGTTGTGGTTATGGGGATGGAGAGGGGGAGGGTTCGATTTTGTGTTGTTTTTATTTTGTAGGATTATTGTGATTTGTTTCTCCGCATTCTTAGTGAGCTTGATTGATTGAATGAGTGTATTTGCTAACTCCCTATCTAATATTCTAGTTCGAAGCGCGACGGTTCTCTAGAATTCATTCAACTTGATAGTGCCATCAACCTCGTCCAGCTTCCTGAGAAAAAGCGTCAAGTTTCTCCAATCGACCTCGTTCAACTTTCAAATCGTGCCGCTCCTATTAATCTCTTCCAACTTTCAGAGAAGCGTCAAGATTCCCCCGTCAATCTCGTCGAACTCGGAAATCGTCAAACTCAGAAACATAAATATAATTCTATGCGTCCTCGAAATGCCCAAGATGCATCTATCAATCTCGTTGAACTTGGCAATCGTCAAGTCTCTCCCATAAAGCTCATCGAACTCAGCAATCGCGCCAGAGCCAAATATCTCAAAACCAGACAAAATGATTGCGGTTCTTCACCATATCAGAACCCATCGTGCAGTGCAGCTACAGGCTTGGGTGTTCCGGCTTTCACTCTACTTGCTGTTGGTATGGTTGCTATTATGATGGTTTGATAGTGCTTGTATTGGGGTTTGAGGGTGTGGTTGCGCTGTTTCTTTGGGAGTTTTATGGATGGATGGTTTACGGGATAGCTTTGCGGATGGGTTTGGTTTGATTCTCGGCGTGGGCGTGGATTTTAGTTGGTGGATTAACTTGGTGGGTTTTACTTGGAGGGATTTACTCCATAGAGCTCATTCCTGCTCATAGCATTGCGATTTTTACACATTGTTTTCAGCATGGACATTTACACTCACGCAGATTATTTTCATATCAAAGTCATTCTTCCGACGAATTATCATTTGATAGACAGGTTCGCTTCGATCTGATTTAGAGTTGAGCAGACACCGATGATGAAAATCCATGGTATGGTATGGTTTTCATAGTTCCAAGTTTAACAATAACCTTGAGTGAGATCAATGCAGTAAGTACCACAACAGCCGTGATGATGAACTTCTACATTCATGCAGCCAAAATCCTGATAATTCCAGTGTTGATCATCACCGTCATGCATATTAGATAAATTGCATAGACAAAAATGTGATCGCCATGTGATAAAAAATGTGACAAAATGCGGGGTAAAGAACCCCAAACATCTCCCGAGCGTAACCCTCCTCTATCTAGCACATCGACTCCCGACTTCCTCTCCCTTCGACGAGCTTCAACAACAACAAATTAGCCATCTTGGCCATTCCTCCTCTTCACATCACCATTATCCCAACCCCAATCCTCTGCAGAAACCTGTCCTTCGGCAAGCTCAATCCTAATCCCAATCCCAATCCCTATCCTAAATACTCCCATTATTACCCCATCTAGAATATTGAAACACCACACTCCATGCACCTCGAGAATGCGTCTCAAACCCTCACATCATGTGTCATAAAGCCATGTACGCAAATCCAAATCTAGTATCACCAGGCCCGAGCGATTGGGTAGCGGCTCCGTCTTCTGTGTACCGGTGAAGTACGCATGGGATACGCATGGATGCCATATTACTTATATTGAAACCACGATACCACAGTAAGCTTACACCGATGCCTAACCAATTCACAAATTCATCCCTTGCGTCCACAATGCGCAATCTCCAATCAATGCGCCGGCTTGATTCCTCGATCCCGTGATTATTCAAGCCATATTTGTGATCTTCCCTTCTTCAATGGCTTCGCGCTGCTTGTATGGAACCGATACTTATCATTCCCGAAGCCGCCGCTTATCTTACTTTCCAATTCCGTATTTCTATATTCTAGACCCTTAACACCGCCCGTATTCCACATATCCACGAAAGGAAAAGCAGATAGGGCAAAAGCACACGAACCGTTGTCTTAACCCATACCGCAAACGGGACGGGGAATCTCGCAGCTTGGAGGGCGCAGATAGACGAATTATGATTTGTGAGCGATATATCCCCTGAGAATGCAAGTATCCATTTTGAGGAATTGCGCTGTCGACCTTCATGATTATCAGAGCCCGATATAGGCGATATAGGAGAATTAAAAAGCGTAAATGAATGGATGCAAAGGTACCTTTCTCGGAAATTTACGTCGTATGTTGATGCCTTTCGGGTTATTTGTCTGTCTGCTCTGCTTAGCCTCGATGGAACCGTGACGCTGAAAAAAAAGAAGAAAAAATATTTCTCAATAGAGTACATGTCATGATGTGATCTGATAACTACATTGTGCATCCATCACCCATTCATCACCCGTTCCATTCTCTCGCCACCGCCGGCTAGTCTTGTGATTATCGGATGCATGTTTTTCATGTTTTCTCGCTTCGAAATGCGCATCTCTCGTCTTCTTCTGATGATGAAAAAGAAAAAGAAAACGAATCCCGAGGTGTGTAAGATCCGGCAAAAAGTCAAAGAGGAAAATCTGATCCTAGTCTGTTGAATCAGGAATTTTGCTTATCATAAGAATTATGAGGGAAATCGGTATAACCTTATGTGGCATACAAAATATTTCTGGTATGTACTCCGTGTAGCATACATATAGTTACAGTCAGTCACCTTGAGATTCTCCCTAAGCGCTGACGATTCCGTCAAACCAATAAACAATAAACAACAAACAACAAACACAAGTACTTACGTGTACATAGGTAGGTAGGTACGTGTACGTATGTATATTAGATAAAATTATAATACTCGAGTAAGTATGTATGCGGAGAGAGAATTCCCGGCAGAGACAAGAAAGATAAGACCGAAAGCCGAACTAAAATAAATAAATAGGATGAGATGAGATGAAAAGCCAGCCAGCCAGCCGAGTCTAAAACTGAATCTAGAAACGGGTGCAGGAAATTCCATGATATAATAAAAGGACTATATACCTAGGTATTCAGTGATATGTATGTATGTAGGTAAAGATATGCAAAGCGATATGCAACCAAGAAGAATGATTGGCTCTCGCATCTTCTCAAAATATCTGCACACGCGTAAGATCCAGTTACATGTACGTAGTTACATACTACATACATTATGATTACATAGACACTCAAATCAGATTCAAAAACCTTGGAATCAATCGCTTACTTGTAAAAAACTACATATTGAGTGTACGGAGTATATATGCTAAAGTCAAGCCAGCAGGATCCTGCATATGCAGTCTTCGGCTACGCAGCACACAACACACGACAGCAACCCTACGTATAACAACTTAGCATGACACAAACATGTACATACGTGATGAAAGTATCAACGTATCATCTCACCCAGAACCATTCTTAAGCGCCTGCTCCATCAGCACACCCCTGACCCCACCAAAATATTCAATTGATCGTTCCAAGCATTTGGAACCGACCCCCGGCATGCAATGCAACCAAGCACGGTGATCACCCCTTGCTCCTGCCCTTGACGACCTTATTCAAGCCCCAAAAACTTTTGGCTTTCGATAACGTCTTTTCCGGTCTCTTTCCCTTTTCTTCCGTCGGCCGTGACTCTTTTGATTTTCCCTTTTCATTTTCATTCGAGTGCCTTCTTTCCCGTTTCTTGGGCCAAGTTTCGTGGCCCACTCTTTTATTTACCTCGTCCAAATATTTCACTTCCGTTGCCGACATCACTATCGCGCTATCATTTGACCCGGTTGAAAGATGATGCACTGGCGAATGGTAAGTTGTTGAATGACTTGTCCGTGGTCGCTCCCGATTAATCTCATAATCGTACAATTCATATCTTCGCAAAGGCCGGTCCCTCAGGCTCTGCCTCAGCTCCGTGCTGATGGGGAAAAGTTCTCTGATAGGCCAATTTCCAGGTACTTTTACGACAACTGGGCCAGCGGCTCCTTGAGTTCTGACCATTGGTGATTTATTTTGCGGGTGCGCTGTAATGATAAGTGATTGCTCTGAGTCTTCAACAAAGGTTTCCAACATGAAGGCGAGGAAATTGTCGACATCGGCAAGGATCGACATAGCACCTAAACTGGCTCGCACCACACCCGTAGGCTTACCATTGATTATCTCAGTGTTGTCAGATTCGCTGCATCGGTGGCCAGCTGACCAAGCTCGCTTGAAATGCCACGGTGCTACCTTGAGGTAACTTGCAATGCCACCAGGATTGCAAAGCCCTCCAGCTCTTACGTATATGTCTTTCCGGTTGGCCAATTGTTCTACTGTCGAATAAGACACGTAACTACCGTCCGGGCGTAGAATATTGAATGCTACTGTAGCACCCTGGGTAGTGGCGTCTGTGTAAGGAGGGGTATTAGTTGCGTCATGGTAAATTTCGCAAACAGGTCGGCCATTAGAATGATGAATGTTGGATAGACCCTCATATAGGCGTCGAGTGAGGAACATGGTGTGCTTGGATATGTTCGCCATCGACCCATATAGATCATGGTGCACATCAATGGCACACCCAAGTGCAATGATTGAGTGAAACGGTAATGTACCATCTTCTAAGCCATCATGAATCGTGGCATCTTTTCTGTGGTAAGATGCTTCATGAAGTACTGTCAGAGATGACACTGTGCCGCCGCCAAAGTATTTGCGCCAAGTCAAGATGTGCGCAGATTTTCTGCGAACAATCAGGGCTCCCAGATCGGGAAAACCAAATATTTTGTAAAATGAAAGGACAGTAAAGTCAGGAGCTGCATCTGGATCGCTAAAGTCAAGTTGAGCGGTTGTCGCGAGGCCTGCAGCATCCAAGAGGGAATAGGTATTTTGGTGTGAAATACGAGTAGATGCCCGCAATTTTTTGCTCCACGAGAGTGGTAATCGACGACCAGTCATATTTGATTGCCCGGGAAATGCAAATATTCCTGGAGTTTCATCATCTTCCCTTCTCCCGGGTAAAGATCTATAACCGAGTAACCAGTCTTCCACTTCTTGGTCGGTAGTGAAGCAGTGATGCTGTCCATTGGTATGTTCCCGCGGACCAACGAGACTCGTATGGGAATCTTTATGATAGCCGTACCAGAATGATCCAGACGTCGAACTTTCTAGCGCTAAGTCTCTAAAACTTTCTGCAACCAATTTGATCGCTGCGGTAGCATTCGCGGTGAAGACGAGATCAAAATGCGCGGGATCAGCCCCAAGGAAGTTTAATGCATTTTCACGCACGGAGTCGACGACAAACCCAGAAAGCTGTGCTGGAGCTGAGGCAGAGTGTGGGTTGCCAAAGAGATTGCCCACCATCTCTTTGGAAAACTTTTCTATCAGAGACTTCGCGTAGATAGCTACACCCATCATGATTAGCATTGCGTAATGTAGATAGTTTTCGAAGACCAAGAGAATTAATCTGGCAATCCGACGAGCAGAAAGGCCAAGTATTGAAAATCATGGCTTAGGATCAATGGGATAACAGGAGTGATGTGGTAACGTCTTACTTGTGCCCGCATGGTCAAGATATGTTTTCCCTGGCCAGATTTAGCGATTGGAAGTTTTATCAGCTCGGAACCGTTGTGTGAACTTACCTCTCATCATAGGATATTCTTCTTCTCTGAAGGCCTCGACCTCTCGGTTGTATGCCATGGTGTTGAAATTCTGAAAATTCGGTTTTATATAGAGACAATTACTAAAAACAACCGAAGGTAACTGCCCATTTCTATATGTACAAGTTCGAAGGACTCGGAGCAAGACGGGTTAAAAGGGAAAAAAAAAGCGCTCAGGCTAATAGTAGCCTGTGACCTGATAGAGCTTTAAGTAAGCTGTTATTACATACCCTAACTTGGAGGCACATCCGTGAACAGTCAAGATGATTGCCAGAAAGAGCGAATGTTGGCCATGTTTGGAGTAGACTCAATCAACGTCCCATTGAGTTTCTGGAGCGAACCTGTAGGGCTAGTATTAGTCATCTAACGTACTGTTAAATCCCATCGTTTGGAACCTGTAAGCAGCTGGGGCGTTGTCTTCAGTAGAACTCTGAATGCTTACTGTACTAAAGGGAATAAGCCATAGGCGTGATGAAAAACCTTGATGTGCCGTGTGAAAATAGAAGCGATAGCAATTTGATTGACCCAAAATGGCAGTCGACCGATCCATAGAATGGCTGTGCAGCAAGCCCTGGATGGTGCCTATCACAAAGTGGTTCCTTTAGCGGATATAGCCGCAACCACAAAATTTCTAGGCGGCGCCCGTCACTGGCTGCCATTTGTCCAATTGACATGTTTCCTATGAGTACCAGCTGTAGTGTGGACCAACTCAATCAATATTGGACAGGCTGCGATCTCGTACTCCAACCTGACGATCTGGGATTTTTAACGGGTGACATTCCATTTTACCTCTTCCATTTGTTCATCGCGTGAGTATTTCCAACGAACCGAGCGCAAAAGATCTGCACAGTTGAAGGAAATATTTCCAATTCAATCGTGAACAATGGTAAATTCGAAATATTAGTAAAATCGTGATCGATCCATAATCCGATACCCTAGTTGTCCCTTGAATAGATATTTTTCTGTTTGTAGACCCGTGAACAGACTATTGATCTCAAGGATCGAGATATAGATTGGATGTGTGACAATTTCGAAACGTCAATATTACACATTGAAAAGCACTTTGGTTGGGATCAGAACGCCTCGTCAAGCAGATAGTTGCACAAAGCTCAGGAAACTCCTCTGAACCGTGTATCCTTTGACGATGATTGATGACGTTTCAGAAATATCTCAGCTAGCATGCAGTGCCGACTTTCGTAGTGGATGTATAGCCAAGGGACATATCCATGATGATAAAATCCTCAGCCTTGTTGGATTGATAATCAATAATGTAGTACAAGGGAGCACAGGTGGGGAATAGACGGGTTCGAGGTTCATGATATCATTGACTAAGTACCAAAGTGCCGTCGTTCCTGCGTTTGATCGTTGATTTAAGCATAAGCGCTTATCGGCGGGGAAAGCTCACAACGACGCTGTATCGTCGAGTTGAATAATGCTTTGCCGTAGAGCAAGCGCTTGCGACAAGCGTCAGTCTGCAGTTGATGAGTGTTTGATTGGTCGGAAATTGATACACTTGGTGCGAGGTCGGCGACCATGTCATGAGGTCCCCGATTTATATATTGTCAAAGTATACAAAGAGCCTCTCGGAATATTAAAAAAGAAAAGAATATGTTGTGACAGTTGAGAGTGGATTAAGTTCAAGCTTGCCGAAATTTGGTGTCGCTACATCGAATTTGTGGCGATTTCAATCACGTGGACGTATGAGCTCAATAATTGGGATATCATCGTCGGAACGAAAATGCTATGGGCCACGTCCTTCAAACCTCTCAAAATGTCCGACAATTTGGAACTAAAATGTGTCTATCTCCTTCTCCGGGAATATCACACCGATGGAGTAATGTCCAATAAGACGTGGGAGATGTGATGAGAGATTCGCCATGTTGATCGAGATTTGTGATGACAATTTCCACTGGTTCAATACGCATTGAGACGTTGATTGTCGGTATCAAATCCATCGAGTGACCCAAAGTCAGATATCACCGGGCAGCATTGGGGACGATCAGGCCTGCTCTTTGGCTGGTAATAGACCTCTTTTGTCTCTGTAATTAGTAACCAAGACTTTGCCCGGCCGAAAATTACCACTTCCTTCGGATAAGCCAAAATTAGTTACCTCACCTTCAAAGACTTCCTATAAACGGACCTCGTGAAGCACGGGACAGTCCATGTGGAAGTCTGCATACCCAAGATAGGCAATAGGAAGCCGGATTCTGCCACAAGACCATCAAGCAGGGGAAATCATGGTACCCTCGTAAGAGCCCAATTTGTATTCCAAATAATTGTAGAGTCTCCGTTGTCATAAATTGACCGAATATTGGAAGGACCATCATGTTCCGAAACCCAGACAGAATCCCAGGACGCCAGCCGTTTGAGAACTCGCCTTGAGAGTAAATGCTGTAGGCACCTGATGTGATGTGATTTCTTTCACTGTAAAACATTTAGTTTCGAAGTCATACATCTACACGAGTTGAATCTTGGCATACTCAGCTTGCTCAAACCCAAATTTCTTTCCTCGTATTGTGCTTCTCTGAAGCTCCAACAATGATCAAATCTGATCTTTGGTATCAAGGGAGCATCTTCATTGCGAAGAGCTATTCAGAAAAAAGAACACGTTTAATGCATTGTGGAAGCTATCAAATTGAGTGCCGACCTCCATGCTATATGAAGAACTGCTCCTGCCGGCACTTGGCCTGCATGATATACCTTCGGCGAACGAATTCGGGGACTATGATATTGTTGGGGAAATTCTGGATGTTTAAGATGTATTGTAAACATCAACGGCACAAAATGAAGTATGCAGGCAGGGTGTAGTGTCGACCTGATGGTCGATTGTCACTTCTGCTGTGTAACGATCATGCATGAAATTGATATTCCGCTTGCAAAGGCTGCAGATTGGCCGCTGGAGTAATTTCAACCGGCCACCAACTAAGAAGAAGTGAGAGGAATGGAATGCTGCAGTTTCAATCGTGAGAAATATGGGATATGATCATGAAATTAAATTATTGACCTAGTGGCCTATAATGCCAGGGCGGACCAGACATGCCTCGCCGGAAACGACAGAATGCAGAGAAGCTGGCCACAGACATTGTAGCAAGAAACTTTTTAGGCTAATACGGACGAGAATGCTCGACATACAAAGTAAAATGACATCCAAACTGAGCATTATATTAGTTTATTTTGAGCCGCCTGGAAAGCACAGGACTGGCACAGGCAGGACATGATGACAATCTACTGTAGATATGCATGCAAATCGAGATTGCTACTGCAGCAAACATGACGAGACAGCCCGACTACCCCCACTCCAGCATTTAACTGATCAATGTACATGGGAACTTGCATGAGGCCCGGCCCAGACATCATTCAGATAATGTCCAAAAATTCTTTTGCCGGTACTTCCAGTCCATGCTGGCAGCACGACTTATGGTCGTGAATCGTCAACGTGATTGAAATGTCTCATGTTCATGTGGCTCGATGTCTATAAAATTACTTAAGCGAACTCTGTGTAAGATTCATAGGACTTATCGTGCGTTAGTGTTGTACCGTCGTGCTTTTGAACAGGTGCAGTGTTCTGATTGTGATGGCTGCCAATTATTGTCACCTTAGAATAAAAACACTATGCGACATATTACAGTGGCGATGATTACGTCAAAACGGCAGTGTCCATCTACCACCCTAATTCGTCCATGACCGCAGATGTCAATCAGGATGAAACAAATACAAGTTCGAAGCCCATTTTTGGCGTCTCACTAAGATTTCTTGTCTCTCAGCATTTTAGAGACTAAAGCAATTCGGAAATATACGAGACGAGCGTTGAAAGAGGGCTGATTAAAGATCGCACTCTGGCCGAAGAATACCCCAAGAGATGCCAGACTAGAACAGCTCGGGTCAGGTATGTAATCGTATCCGGCGCTATCATGGATGTGAGCTCCAAGCTCATGCTTAGTGCGGTCGGATAGCAGTATCGTGTTCAGCTTGGGGCTTCTTAAAAGCTAAAATGATTCAGGAACACCAATCGTTATTCGATAAATTGGATATTGAAGTGGACATGTGGCTACCAATCCACCTGCATAATTTGCAAGGAAAACTGCTAGATGCTCGTGCTGTTCCTAGAGAGATTTTTATTTCAAAAGGCTCCTAGCTCAGCGGCCAAAAGCTGATATCCCCGCCACTAGTAGCCGACTAATGATGGGTTCCGACTGGCACCAAAGTTTTTACCACCGTTTAGAGCCTTTGTGCATTGAGATAGATTACATGGAAGAGCTTGCAGCATAATGCCCTAGCTATGATCGTCTGAAAATCAATTCTTGACACATGTCCCTGAACCTAGAAGAGAACGATGTAGGCAAGCTAACTCGAGATTATGAATATCAGATCCAGATCCGCTAGGTACGATTGTGTGCTTCCGAAAATGGTGTAATGACAATGATTAACCGAAATATTTGATTATTCGTCTGATCGTATTCGCAACAAACCACGCAGCGGGTTTGCCTTCAATATGCCTATGACTGGATTCCGAGATGTAGCTGACCACCTTCTCCCAAACCCTCCTCCCCCCTCAAACAAGCGACTTTCGCTCCTAACATATAAAGTATGAATGAAGAAAATATGTCGCATGCATCTGCTCTATTCTTTAGAATGATTGTAAATGATGCCGCAATTTTGATACGCTTTCTGCATCCTCTCGCCCTCCCCTCTGTCATACTGTCCGCGCTCATAATATCGATTGTCTCGTCTCCAAGCCCCAAAATAGCCCCTGTGTCGTGAGAAATATATGTTTCAATGGCTATCCCGCATATGTAGTCAGCTCATCCAGGGGATATTAGGTCTCGAGTCTTATGGTCAATCCAATCAGTAAAACATAAGCCACAAGACTCAGCGTCGTCAAAACAACCACGGCATTCCCACTGGTCCTAAATTTCTTCCTTCCCATGCCATCTCCATCAATTTCGCTGAAGAATTGCCTGTTGCCTTCGTACCTCCTATACAAGCTGACCATTAAAACACCAGCTCCATATGTCGCAAATAATGCCCCAATACTGTAGAATTCGGCGGTAAAGATCTTTAATACCACCAAAGCGAAACTAAATTGTCCCAAAGCGGTCCGTATATATGCTCCCTCGAAGGTTCTCTGGGCGGCCCGAATTTCCACAAGTCTGTGTGTTTCCAGAACATGTCAGCCAGAGTACATACAGATCTCCGCTTTCCTCCTTCCGCGTCTCAAGGCTGGCTAGAATAAAAGGGAACAAACTCTTGCGCCGTTAAAACGACGGATCGCGCTCTATGTAAGCGTAGATGTAATCTATCTTCCGGATGGGGCTCCAGAACATTCAGTAGGGAATTCATCATGAGGATAGAAGTTCTACGGAGTAAGGAAATACTCTAGCACGGTAAGTAGATGGGATTGGAGAAATACCTCGAACATGCCGACAAACCGGCCCAGTTTGTGAGGAGACATACCGTAAGTAATATATTTATTACTTACCGGGGTCTTTGGTGGAGGCTTTGTCCGTGTTACGTTGATCAATATGTTTATGATAGAACCTCAGAGCGAATGATGAGGAGTTTAGAGCACGACATCTATTATACGGAGACTTAGTAGTAAGTAACGTTAGGGGCAGAATTACCATATTTGATTGGTGGCAGAATAAAGGCGGTACAGTCATATAAATTTGACTTATTTCAATAGACCTGGAGAACTTCATATATATATGACTACAAGTTTAGAAATAGTTTTTTGAGTCTTTTTGTTTATTTTAACTGTTAAAAAGTAGTGGTATACTAACTCCCGCTATATATCTGCGGCACACGCATCCAAATGAGCAGAGATGAAGCAATCAGTCTACTTAATCCCTTCCTTTTTGATAATGTTTTTCCCTTTCTGTTCGTTTGTCTAGGTATCCGTGGAAAACTCCCCCGTCATCATGAGATTACCTTCCTAGATGCATCCATCCCACTTTGTACCTCCAATAAACCCCCTTCTCCCAGAAAACGCTTAACCTTTCCCCCCTTTGCCCTAAAAATATTATAGAAAAACCAGTCTTGAATCCAATCCATTTCACATCGTTTCGCATCATGATGAGCCCAGAGTTCCGAGCAAAGAAATTCCCAAACTCTCTGTGTCCAGGTGTCCATTATATACAAAAAGGCGCTTTCCGTTTCGTTGATGTGTGTCTTCGGTGAGGTTACATTTACAATCGTACGTGGGCGAAAAGTCCTTATCGACCTCGCTACTTCCCCGCTCTCGCTCTGCTCCAATCGCAAAATTCACTATATCGACTTGTACCAATCCCATGCGCCAATAGTCCAGAAACATAACCGTGATCCGTGATGTGCTGCTTTTTGATATAAATGTATTTCTGGTTCCACTAACGACCTGCTGCATGTGGCTGGCCAGCATAATAGACCCCGCCTCCGGAGTTGCCATATCCGCCATATCCTCCTGTGCTTTCTTCTTCTTCTACAATGCGCCCCTCTCCGGGAGCACCGTTCCATGAAGCATATGTATCGACGCCAGGTGAGACCTTCGCATAACCACCAGTGTACGATTGATTCCAACTTGTGTAAGATCCGGCGGACATTGGAGTCGCTGAATGTGTATAGGCTGTTCCGACTGTTGATGCGGAGGAAATCTCAGCAGCTGAGTGTGGATGCGTGGTTGTTATATTAGGTGGATACATTGCGCCATTCGGAGCACGGGTTCTTGCAGAGGCATAAGAATCCGATGGGTGTGGAAGACCGTAAGCGGAGTGTTGGCTGCTGGCCTGCATTCCTTCTAAATTGCTATACGAAACAGATCGCTGAGGTGCTGGCCATTCCGGCTCTCTTGAGTTGGTCTCGGGAAGACCATGATGGCTTCTGCTTTGCCAGTTTTGCGCCGTCGCCATATGCATGCTGGGGGCCGTGTAAGGTGAGAAACCTGGGGTCATTGGGGATCCCTGAGTGTTGGCAGGCCAGTAATGCCCAGACATGTCTGCTGGCGTTTTGGCACCTGGAGATACTTCGGGTCCCATCCACGGGGTGTGCCCACTATTGTAGTCAAAATTTCGTGATGCAGCTGCCACTCTTGTCAGTAGAAAACTTTATAGGAAGGCTACTACATACCTTTGTTTTCAGGAGAAAAGCTCGCGGTCCTTTCCGTTTTAACCTGAGCTCCTCCTAAATTCTGGATTGATGGCATGTTTAGATGGTACGGAAGGTTAGGCTGCATATCAGGTAGTTGACCAGATGGAATAGATGGTGAAGACGATTGAGAGGCTACTCCAGTTCCGCTTTGGGCTTTGGAACCTCGGCGCTTCGGTTCTGGCTGAGGCTGCTGGTCAACCGGGTAGAAGTTGCATTCCTTTTTTAATCTAATGCAATTTGAACATCGATTCTGGGGATCTGCTGGCGCTGGTATGCATCTGATCTTGCGGCGGCGACAGTGACCTACGAGTGTTATGTTAGTATATTCATCAATTTTGTTATGTCATAAAAGTAAATCGCCTCCGTCCTCGAAGGACGAGAACACTGCTTACCACAAGCTACCGATGTCCTATGATAACCCAACTTGTTTCTTCTCTTGTCATTAACCAAAGCCAAGGCAGCCGCGTCAGTGTTACTCGAAGTTCTGATGTTTGGAGTAGACATTGATCGTTTCGCTTTAGATTCTTTAGATGACTTTGACAGAGATGGAATCTCAAGTTCTCCGTTAGACGGAGATTGCCCTTGCCCATGTAAAGGCGAGTGAGATTGAATTGGTTCCATATGATGATCGTAGTTAGGCATCATATTTTGATCGACACCTGGATTCATAGTAGAATATGGGTAGGCTGTCGAGGATATATGATTCGGAATTCCTCCCGAGTAGTTGTGGTTTGGTAAACCGGCCATGTTCCAGAGACTGGACTTGGAGGTGAATCGGCCTTGAACAGAGACTGCCATCAATTGAGGCTATTTTCGTGTATATTGTCGAATGCCAGTGAACTATCTCACTTGAAAAAAAATGTTTGTCGCTAAAACTAAAATGACTTCGATAAGTTGATACCAAGAAGCAAAACTGATATTTCTGCAAATCGGATAACAATAACAAGCATACAACATTCACTACTTGATGCTTTTCAAATTAACTTAAAAGATACTTCAAAGCTGGATTGGATCCGATGCACTAAAAGAAGCGAGCTGATGGTGGAACTGTGTTTGATGAGCTCGAGTTAAGCAGCTGCGGTACTTTTTATTGGCGTCGAAGAGTAGTAGGGAGACAGTGGAGCGGCAAGAAATGCATTCAATCCAGTTGCGCATCAGTTCAGGGACTTCACGAGCCCATAATTATTGATCTTCAAGTATGTAAGATGCAGGAGGATAGGTAAAGCGAAGAGAATCTGCTGTGGCTTGTGGTGTGGTGGAAAGGACTGACTTATGCCAGGTAATTCCAAGCGGAGAGGAACAATGCTTCTTGGAGGCGATAAGCAGCCCGTGGCAGTCCAACAGCCTCGACAACGAATGGGGAAAGAGGACTTCGCGCCACAGCAGGACAGTCTGAAAATCCTATCTTCTAAGGTTGGACGTTGAGATATCGGAAGTTACAAACGATGATTTCAGTTCTTCAACAGCAGGTTTGTGGCCAAGAGGATCACCAAGAGATGTGAAGAAGAAAAAAGGAAAATAAATGTGACAAATCTAAACAATTGATTGACGACGGTTCTTGGAGAACGATTTAAGGTGTGTGGCAAGGAAGATAGAGAAGCTTTCTTCAGGAAGCATAACCTATACAAAGGGATCAACAAATCTTTCTGGAAACATGCGATGACACCAACCAGCTCCACCCCATGGGTATTGGCAACCCGGATCAAAATGAAATGCCTGTCAGCTCCAGCTCCATCTACAGCCCTAGCATGCCTTACTATGTACCTAGTATCCTGGTACCCTTGTTCTTCTGGCGCCATCGTTTCTATTCTGATGTCCTACCTAGTCCACATTCTACTGAATGCTGGTGATTATCTTGGTCCGCCAAACCATATGGCACACTCATGGGACATTATCACACTAGGACTAATACTGTCAGGACCCAAAGAGAGACAGTGCTCATTGTGGCTGGATAAACAGAGGATCTAGTGCGGAAATACCATGATGGGGGTCAGTTCCGATGAGATTTGGATCATTTTGGGGAATGCAACAACAAGACTCGGAAGTAATTGCGAGGGCCTTAGCTAACGAAGCAGGATGACCCATTTATTCGGTAATTATTTTTGAGATCTACCATGCGTGGATTGGCTATATATTGATATAATGGAGAAAGTGGGCTTTCCTTGGTTCGTTGGAGGTGGACTCGAAGTTCATGAAAAGGGTTTGTTGTGCATACCAAAGGTCTGGCACATCCAATGAACAAGGTATTTTCCAGCTTTTTACCTGGATTCACCAACTACAAAATTGGTCATTTCTATAGCTAAATTCACTTAAGAATTTAAGAGCTAACAGCTGGCGGGTAGGAACGCTTATTATCATGATACATGATACATCTGTCAACCAGTGCGCCCGATAGTCCATATTCGGTGCTGACGACTCGCGCGAATCGGCGAGCTCATAGCTTTTTTGTTCGATAGTACAGTATTGTATTATCAAACGTTAGTATGCAGCCACACCAATAAAATTGAGTTGGTTCTAAAAGGCGTGACGAGCCTGAGTTGTAAAACTAAAACTAAGACAAAACCATGTAGGTTCTAACTCCTTAACGGACTGACTGCTCAAGAACATACATACCTTTTTTTACTCGAAGCGATGAATGTGCTAGCTGGTGAAAGGAAAATTTGACAGCGGTTGATGTGCTCATATGGTTGCATTTTCTTACTCCCCTTGATTTAACTTTCTATAACGCCGAGTGACGATGATTTGAAAGATGCACTCGATTCTCCTTGTAAAATAATTAATGAAAATCCAGATCCGAGGAATGGTCGAAGTCCATTCAGATGCCAATTTTAGTTCCGCACTGTCGGTGGATTTGCTTCTCCACAACAACTATACAAAACGCCCCCTGCCCCTTGAACTTCTATTGTATGTAGGTTGTACCAAGATCCAAATGAAGTAATACCTGGGTATCATTCGGATGTTATTGTGTTCTTCAGAATATTTCTTCTTGTATTTTTCCGTCATTTAATGCACAACCAACATTTTAACTTTCTCCTAGATCCAATACCAACACAGCAACCCCCCATTCAGAAACTTCAGATTGGGTATCACGAGAAGGCATCAAATGAATGGGGGGCCCTTGGGCACCTCCATCTCAAAATTTGTCTCGTTTCCTCGTCATCAATTTGTCTGGCCCCGTGTTTCCTTTCTAAGTTTCAACGAAATGCTACAAGGGAAAGCAACCCCGGTTCTAGTCTCCGAGTGTGTCAGCGGCTGGGCGCTTTTAGAGATTACGGAGTAAAAGTTCTGCATGGATCGTAAATACCCCTAACTTCAGCAGACATTTCTTCCAATTCTCCATAAAGACCGAAGCCTTGACCATTTGTTGCTGTCGATCAATCTCAGCAATCATGATCTTCTGAATTTTCTGGGTCCTTTTGACTCAGGGTTCATGGTATGAAGTTGGGTCGTGTTTCTATGTGGTCGTACAGCCGTGGTTTTTCTAGTGAAAACACACCTTTACACGTGGGATTTTCCTTTTTCTTGGTTTAAATTCATGCATTACACCTGTACTGTACATCATTCAGCCTGCATTCGGTATAGCCATGTCGCACTTCATTTTGATGTACACAATGCACAATTATTATCTGGTAAATGGAACATAACTAATCATGATGATTAGAATATGAAAAAATTGGCTTTTTACATCACTATGGAGCCTGTACGAACCCTCCAATCTAACATTGATACCTGCATCACAACTTAACAAGCGAGCACACTTCTGAAGATCCTTCTAAGCTATGTTCCTTGATAGTCCGATCCCTCATCCAAGCTCTCGGATTCCCACACCCGGAAACCATCACCTATTGTGAGAATCTGCGGCTAATACTTTACTTGTACGCTTCGTATTTTTCCTACAGCGAAGGGTGGGCTGCGTATGTAATATCCATATGCTGTTCATTTCATTTGTTTCCGGATTTGAATATTGCTTAATTTGCTACAATACTCTTCGTCTGATCGCCGATGATTTGGAGACCTACTCAATCAAAAGAATGCATGATATTACCATACATCGTATGTTGTACAATAAATGATTTATTTATAGGATAATCCGAGTGTTACAGGCACATGCAGACAAGCCACCGCGACCACCACACCACACCTAGGCCATTGAACCATTCTATGGGGTTGCATGGAACATGAAAAGCGTGTTTTGCTCGTGGGTACCTTTCTTCAGGAACAATCTGAACGGGAAGTATGTCTTGGAGGAGATGTCAAAACCGTTGAGTATCGTATTCAATCCCATCACATTTCTAGATACATGACGAATCCCATATGAAGAAAAGCGTTATGATATTACTTTTTTGCAAGCCCGTCGACATCCTTTTGTCGCTAAAAACGTCGGAATCACAGAACCACCGAACCGCCATTCTCCGAAGGGTAACTTCGGCTTTCTTATATTTCAGCTCAATAATACTAGGTATTAGCTAGCAATAATCGATATCATCCGACCAAGTTACCAAGTTCAGCGACACATTTAGCAAGATTGAACGATTTCTTTTCCAATATAAAATGAAAGCGGCGACCGGATCGTCGCCCATTCGTGGGGTTTTGGTGGACGGGGGGCTTTGACTGACTTGTGTGGGTTTAATCTGAGATGAAAAAGTGGGAGTCGAGTAGATAGATGCAGCTTTCTTACTCGTGCGTCATGATCACTATATGTGGGGAGACTTTCATCACGGTCAGCTGTAAAAAAACCCCCCTTCGAATCAGGCAAACGGAGAAGACAAATGCGACATCAATAATCATACTACATACAAAACATACCACACTGACTGTATTGTACAGAATCACATTGGCATATACGATCACCAATATGTCAATGAATGTATATAATCGATATATTTGGTAATGATGATATCTTGGTGTTAATGGTTGGATATTAGATACCCATACGAGGACAAAATGTCGAAATAGCCGATACTACTTCTAAGTTTTCCCACATGGCATGCATGCTGCAGACTTAGTTAGGCCTTTGAAGCCACGATGATGACACACTATTACAATATCACTAGTATGATTGATTACCTAGTTTTAGTTGATGTCTAGGTAGAGTACCTAGGTTAATTAGATTGATGCTCTACTAACCACTGACTAGAGCGCCATCTAGAAGTTTCAAGCGACAATTTCAGGGATTCTCGCCTTTTCCAGCATCTGAATGGCTACAACGACCGAGAAAATCTCCGACCACATGGTCAAGGACAATAAGTCTGGGAAACAAAGGAGAACAAGGACCCCAGGATATAATTCAAACTCATTTCAGCCTCCAAGAAAGTCCTCTTTCACATTGAGCTAATACAATTTCAACATATTCTCATGCCTTTATGAGGCGTACAAAAATCTGCATTAATCTGTAGTGGGTTGATTCTCATTTCATTGGATTTCAGCTCTTGTTGAAACAGGATGGCGTGGCAGATCATGCCCATTTGTAGAAGGTCCAGATGGACTTTCCTATGAAATTCTTACCGACTAAAATGGGTATTGCCTGTCTTCTCTGTCTCCTTGTACTTGTTACTAGCACCACATCCTTGTATGCCATGAGACTGCGATCATAGCTAGGTATGAATAGATTCTAGAAAAGTTGTCTAGTTGTCGATCTTTCACGATTGCGGCTTCCTCCCGCATCCCAAAACATATAAAGGATTTTTGCGATTCTAAATTCAGTACAAGACATACACGACACCCCTGGAGATCTCCAACATCCTTATTTTCCTTGATACTTTCAAGAAGGTCTTTGTACCTTTTCATGACTTTCAAGCCAGAAAGGGAAATCCTGTGGCTTTTCGAGGCTCGTTCCTTTCCTTTCCGGTAATTTTTATCTCCCCCCAGTTTCCGCTTCCGTCGACTTACCTTTCCTCGGTCTTATCTCACGCGACAGTCCGACAAATACATATTGACAGAAGTTATAGTCATGGATAAGTATAGTCATGGATAAGTATTGGGTGTTGCAATACAAGGATTCTAGTCAATAACGGAAGTCCCATCCTGAAATGCTTCAATCTACAACAAATCATCTAAGATTTTTTATCCGATCTCACTCCAGCACGTCGAGATGTTCAAAGCAAGCCAATCATCACTTGGAGATTATACAAACCTCAACATTCGACCTAAAAAGTTCCAATAACATTGGGGATATCATTGGTGAAGGATATATAAGGCTAGATTGAATACTTAAACTGCTGCCTGATTGCGAGGTCAAGGATTACGATATTCGGTCACGCCCACCTGTCACCAGCTACTCCTCTCCTGAATATTTTGACATGAGTTTCAACATATTTGGACCAGTCTCGAAGTCACAAAACCCTAGCTTGCGGTCACAGGACATGCGGTTACAATCGCCAATCTTCTCATACACTATATATAGATTCAAATTTGGGGCGACAGCGTCGTTCAGCCTGCCCCGGAAACAAGTCGACGAGGCGAAAAAGATTCAACCAGCAATGATTTGCTACATTTAGAGCGCGACTCCTCTTACTCTGCCATCATGTCCTCTTCTTTTCGCTGTCATCTGATGGTGTAGGAGTATTGGATGAAGGATCCAGCTTCAACGGTAAGCCCTGTCGCAACCCCAGCGGATGATGAACCCGGAAGCAACGGCTGGAAAGCAAAAGTGGATTAAAATACTGGATCATGGACTTCTTCAATGATGCGGAAATGTGAACGTACGGAAACGTCACTGCTTTAACGGAAGTTCACCTGTTGGAGAGGTCTCAAGCCTCGCCACAACGCCATGCAGTTTCATGGCACAAATTGCATCTCCCTTTTTTGTGTGGCTAATTTTCCTCGAGTAATAATATCATCTTTAACTGAAAGACAGGCTCGGAGGACACAACAGGGAAGTCTTAGACATGGTGAGTCTCATGAAGGTAACTTTGGTAATGTAAGACAACGCCTTCGAAACATTGTCTCGATCGTCATTACACTTGTGACGACTTCATTGATTGATATTTATTCCGAGATTATATATTTCTTGAAGTTCCGTCACGTAACAAGTCGAAAAGAGCCACCAGTCGCACGAACAATTGTGGAGTTGTGAATCCAGAAATATGGCTCGCCCATCGTCTTTCTGCGAAGCGATTTATCTAAGGGAGAGAGTCTATGCGGGCTTCTAATCTTCTCCAACATTTGCTACAGACGATTGTGTGCGACGTTTTCCTCTTGATTCAGTCAGCTTTACTTCGCGGTGACATGCGGACATTCGTTTCGGGTCTGCTAAATGCTCATCAGTCTGCAAATGGTTTACAGGTTTTTTATTCTTACGTTCAAATTCAACTCCCATTATACTTCAGTCATTTCAATGAACAATCTACAGGCTTTCTGTGTACATTCAAAGCAGAGTCTGCTACTCATGCATTTATAGTTTGAGTCAAAGTACATCTAGGTGTAATGCAAAGTTAAGTTATGAGTTCATCAACATTTTTCATCGTTCAGGCGTTAGGCCTTTCACAAGACGACTTGATACGCTACAGCTAAACAAACTAATACATCCAATTGACACAACAATGCTGATGGCGCAAGGACTCGCACTCATAAGATGACACATTGATCTGAGGATGTCGACACTAGACAACTTCTCAACAAAAACTCTGTGATCTGAAACCGGATTCCTCCCGAGGTCATTTTACTACTACCAACCCACCACCGCCGACCCAACATATGGCTTGAGCATCGATAGTACCTGACATTCTTCGTATAATAGTACGAGGTAAATCATAAAATGCACCCCAGGATATCAATATGTGAGGAGTTGACGAATCATCTTTATACATTCATCCTCATCACTAACGATAGCGACCGGGTGAATGTCAAAGATCAAATGAAAGGAATTGAATGCCGACTGCAGCCAATAACTAGAATGAAGAACTTTATGGAATAGGCATACACGAAAGATTCCATGTCTGCGACCTATATGGAATACTTTTCCTAAGCCCCAGGGTTGCGTATTCTCATATTTAGTTCATCAGAGCTCATGCTCTAGAATTTTGCATGAGGCTAGGGATTACAAATCCAGCTCTGATCTGGACGTACAAGTCGAGCGAGAGAGGCGGCGCCACAAGTGGTGTTGTTCTATACATTTACCTCTTCTTGGCATGCAATTCAAACACAGACGGTTCCAAAAATCACCGATGCGCGCAATGCATCTGCACGGCGAGGTCAGAAGTTGAGGGAATAAGAGGGTAATTCGAGGGTTTGAAGGGGCTTTTGTTTCAGAAATATTGTATGTTTATTCATACAAATTAATTCAAGCCTAAACTTTACAAGACCAGCGAGGGTGTTGAGATGTTATTTCTAGGTATGAGGAGTGGACAGTCTTTTGATTCATCGTATCATATAAAAAGAACTATGGCTTCGCGTGGAAGCATTGGATACTTGTATTACATAAAAAATAACAATATTTATTTTACTCTTCTTTGTGCACATAGATATCATGTAGTAACGCCCGGTGAGCACTGTTTCTATGTTCTACACATTCATTTTTCTTGAGAATACCTTTAAAATTTCGTTGGTACACTCGTTGGTAAACTATCCCCAGGTTATCTGTGTCGGATTTCGTTGACGTGGCATCTAGGCAGGAAGAAATTGGACCGTATAAGTACAAGTATTCCGTTGTAATCTTTTCATTCGGTCTTATTCTATCTCTTCCATCGTATCCTCTTTTTTGGTATATAAGTCCTATTATTTGGGAACTCATGTGTAAAATTCAGTGGTAGACTCCTTTTTAATAATCTGATGGCCCTTCAAATTTTATCCTTCGGATCTCCGAAATGCCAATACCTAGATCCATTTTCCGCCCAATCCAATGGCGAACCACCAACCGAACAACCAATCGAACCCAGACCGCCCCTAAACCACATCGGTTACGTCTCTAACCAGACTTCTATTCGAACACTAGGAGACATAAAGGACCTCACACTATCACTCCTCGCTCTCAGCGGCCCGTCCTTATACGCAAAAATTGCATTCATTAGTAACCTCATTCTCCTATTTGCAGTCCTACTCCTCAAAGGCCACAGAATCTCCTCCAATTCCAGCATCAAAATCTTCAACATTCCCATGCCATCCCATGATATCTTAATTTTCATCACATAGCTCTTGGACGATTGATGAATTTGTATCTCATTATCTTTCCTTTCTCTTTTCGCATCTTATTTTTTCGTTACTCCTTCCAACGGCCATCGCCACAACCATCTACACATACACCTCCTTAGTTCCAGGAACAATAACGTTTAATCTTTTACACCATCGCCATCGTCGCCCCCTCTATCTACCTAGTACTTCCTACCGAACTCATTGTCCCAAGCGAACCAATACTACACTAGTTAGGGTTAGATAATTGCCTTTCACCTCGATAGATTTCCAAACTAACTCTGCGACCACCCTTTTGAGCCATACTAACTAGTTCACAAGTAACCTATAAAGTAAGAATTTTTCCACAAGATTTATCCTGGAAAACACAATATAAGTACAACTGAAATTTTAAACTATTCCGTAACATTTCTCAGAACCCATATCTACAATATCGAATTTTTTATAAAAAAATATATAATCCATTGCAAACACGACGCTGCCCAAACACAAAAACATAAGATCTTACATATTTTACCACAACAACAGGTATCAGAAGATTCAAAACGAGATTAAAGTCATGATACACACGTATACATTCCCCGAAAATGAAATCCGAAATCAAAGAACCGAAACACAAGTAATACACCACTGAGGCTAGGATTTGGATGCCCCGAGAATCTGGTCACCAACATGGATAGCGAGGGAGACGATGCGGAGAAACTTGTGCAGCAATACGAATGGAACCAGGAAACATTTGTGTACTTTCTTGAAGAAACACTGCTCGGAGACATCTGATATTCAGAAATAGCATCCACCAGTGATCTATGCTATCTACCATATTCTCTGAGTTAATAGCGGAGATTTTTAATGATAATGATGAATTGATCAAAGAATCATATCTACCTATGAGTAAAACTCATCCTAATTATTCCTCGCTTGATCAATGTCCCAACGTACGATCTTACTATTTCCTTCCTCTAGGAACTTGATACATGTCTATGGATCTCGAAACACCTCGACGGGGGGGGGTTTTTTCTTTTTCAAAACTATTGCTTCCCTTCACAGATTTATCATATCCCAACACCTTCTACATCTAATACGAGCACCAAACGAAGCCAAAAAGAAACATAAATATAAGAAAAGAAGCCAGAGACACAGCAAAGGAGACTAGCGACAAGACTGAGCGGTAATGACCTCGAGAAGTAAGTGCAAAAAATTGGAGTTGCTAGGTCTTTATCTTGCTTGTATCGATTAGAGACGTTCGCGGGATTTGAGGCGTGGAGAACTCTATACATGCATGGTATATCTACTACTTCTAATTCTAATTACCACTACCTTAGAACTTTCCATATGAATCAATATGAATAGAATATTGACTATTTTGGAACGTCTAACATCAATTGAATTAAGATTACAATATTACAAGATGTAAGATGGAAGTTTTATATATGTATCCCAAATCGGAAAAATCTGGACGTTTAAGAAGTTGGTGGGAAGATAGTCTTACTAGGACACCGCGATCTCACAGGACTGGTATTCACGCTTGCAACTTCAAGGAGCAAATCCTATAGAAAAGAAATTGCAAAATAAAGGTTTCGAGCTGATTGAATTTCAATTCCTTCTAAATATTCTAATATCAGAAAAAAGCAATCTGCCACAAATCAATGATGTATATATGTATTGATAACGGATCAAAGCATTCTGACCTTCACCAAACTTCTGGAGTGACTGAGATTTCCATTCTCAACTAGGTACCTAGTATTTAAGTAATGTTGTTATCAAAACTGCCTCGCTGGGTGAAAGTTCCTAGGATTCGCTACTACCCCAAAATTCTCCTCTTAATCGTTCGGAATCGCAGTTCCTTTCTTCTACACCGAGTATATTCACTCGCAAAGCTTCTTCCGTCGTTGCTTAAATAGTGGCTTGGTTCCAGTAGTCGTCATTCGTGTGATTATGCTTGGATGATTTTTTTTTACCACTTTGCACATCATTTCTTTCATTAGAACCGTGCAAGAAGTAGTTGAAGAGCGGAGAACTTCTATACAGCTCACTCTCCGTGAAGTCCCGTATTTGACGAACGTGAACCTTATGCTATAATCTTGCGATGTGGATTCTCTGAAGTCATCAGCAGCAAGGGAAAGACTTGCTTGGAAAGCGGTGAAATCGTATTTGTGATTTTGTTTAATTTCTAGTTGAAGATCAAGGTGGCGCGGGGGGCTTTGGAGGGGTGGGTGGATGTACGAGAGAAGGTACATCTGTAGTCTCAGATGAGACTACAATTACTGGAGAAACCTGGCTCTCAGATCTGGATGTATCGTATCGTGTAAGACTGTGATGAACCTGCGGAGGAACTTCAAGGGTATCCCGGCGAAGTCTTGGACGATCACCATTTGCAGGGGAAGCGGAAAAATGTGATGCAGGCGATCGAGGTGACGCGGGTTCGCCAGTCCCCGTGCTAGCCTCAATGTCAAGTCCTGAGATAATACTCCCGTTGATGCTCGGTGCTCGGGAAGGACGAAGCATAGGTGTGATATTTCCATCGACATCGCGGGTATGATTGTACGCTTCTCTGATATGTGGCAGCTTTGCATTTCGTTGATCTTCTCCAGGAATTTCTGGGAAGTCGACTGCTTTTCCATGTTTAAACTCGGAATCATCTAGACGAAACTCTGCGGCAGTACCAATATAGTTGCCGATTGCGGTCAGAACAGTGGCTACTTTTCGTCTGTTTCCTACATCTGATGACAATTTGGCTAGCGCAAGTGAAGGTCGACTACTTGTAGTTGGTGCTATTTCGTGATGTTCTATCTCATGAGAAGTTCTTGCACTGCTATCTGACACACTTTGGTGCATCATTTCAATGGCCCTTGGAGCAATAGATGTTGGTGATCCTGGGCCTATTCCAAGGCCAATTCCTCGTTTCGGGAAATCATGATGCTTTGGAGCATTTGAAATTACATTCTCATCGTCGGCTTCCATATTTGCTGCGAAGAGACGGTACAAGGAGCCGAAAACAGCAAGCGCAGTTCCGACAATGGGTGCCCATTGACCTACGAACAAGAACAACATTAGCAATGAACAATCTCATAATACTAAGGACATACCAATAGTTGCAATGGGTTCAGTCTGATATGCAACTTGGCGACTGAAAAAGTTTCCCTCACCGAGGATGAGAATAGTTACCACTGCGCCTACGAATACAGGAACTTCTATAGCGCTTAGGAAGAACCTAATCAAACTGTTGACCTCTTTCATTTGACCAAGGGTGGCATTGTTAGTGCCCTCAATCGGCGCGTCGATTGGCTCTTCTTTCCGACCGAAACGATTGTTCCAATTCGTCTCACGAATCTTGTTCCACATAGACACAAGTGAAAGTATAGCTGGGATGCAGCAAGCGGCCGAGAGAAGCGTAATAGTGTCAAAAGTGAGTTTGTCTGGTGCGGGAATAACGTAGATGTTATTGGCTGATCCACGTCGCATTGGAGAAAAGGGGCCAGAAACAACATCACAAGTAAGGCTACATGTCGAATCATAGGTGAAGTTGCCTAGAGTGAAATGGGCCGGTTGTCCGTTACTATCAGTAGTGCAAGGACTTGTGCTTATCCTGGTGAACTCCACAGTCAAGCTCAATAGACCTTGAAGGAATTAAACATTAGCGGTGCCTTAACAATAATAGTGAGACCGATACTTACCAGCAAATATTAAGCCAGTCCATAAGAATATGGTATTTCGACCAGGGGTTTCGAAGAAATATGTTCGGGATAACTTTACAGTTATCGGTGCAGCCAATATACCTATCGAACATAGCTGGAAAGCCCCGTAAATATCCATATCGACCGCACCTAAATTTGAGGTGTCAGAAAAATTGGGATAGTAATTGTCCTCTTGAGCTACTCACCATCCACATGTACAGCTGCGAGGACGATGCCATGAATTGCGGCCACAGCGGGGAAAAGAAGTGCGGCTGCCAAACAAGCTTCTTTCAGCCATTGTTGTTTTCGAAGGAAGACGCAGGCTGCTACGAGAACATAATATCTGTAAAGACGAGAAATTGTATATGTCAGAAACTGCCGCTAATTTTGCAGTATCTGCGGATAGGGGAGTGGATCCACATAGGGAAAGCTGCGGGGAAATGGATAGGCTTACAAGACACGTGAACCTGGCCCATATTGACCAGATACAGGCCATGCGCACACAACTTGCAAAACATCACTTGTAGCGTTTGTGGCGATGTTATTGGCTATTGTATTGTTCACTGAAGCCAAAGCAATTACCGGCATGATCTTTCCTCTACTCTCGAAGGAGATGAATTCATCGACTTGAAATCAAGTCAATTATAGTAGTAGCAGCAGCAGTAGCAGTATGTATCCTCTGCACAAATGAATATGCATCAAAAGTTCTCCTGTATTATACGACATGAGAACAAGAGCAGAGTTGACGTTCTTAAGGCAAATAAGCTTATCGGCTAAGAATGCAATCTTTGCCCAGGTGTCTTGAGGGAATTGAATTCACGGAGTCACCCGTCATCCGTTGTCATTGTCAGAAATCGGATTGACGCCTCTGTAGCCTCATCGTTCTCGAAAAGTAGGGCTGGGTGGCTGAGGTCTTGGTATACATTGGTGATAGGTACTACTCTGGAAGCAATCCGCAATCGAGAAGTACACGAAAATCTAGCTGAAATTTGATGTATGTACGTAAATCCGAATCACCTGGAGAATACGACGTCCATGCATTGTGGCTGGTGGTTAAAAATGTGAAAGAATTCAGTTGCCTATCCAAGGGGAAAGAACTTGGAGTGAGGATCAGAAATAGAAATGACTAAGTTTTGGAGAAAACTCTGATTGGTCGAAATGCGAGGGTATTGATTGGTATTGGAGTAATTTTGTACGATGGTCAATTACTAGATCTCTAAACAATACCAACAACTATCATATCAATTCATGAGAAAGGTTTAAAAATGATGCGATTATACGATACACAAAACAAGAGCTTTGATTTCACATACACTTTTTAGGGTAAGCCCTGACAAGATCCTTTAATGAACGAATTGTTTAAATGTTAATTGTAAGATCTTAGATCTCCTTCTTCTTTCTTCTCTTCATTCTTCAAGCACGATACTCTTATCGCTCTTATCGCTTTGTTACTTTTCATATTCACGTGACACTCGTATTGGTGCTTTCCTTCGGAATAATTTCATTGGATGCATGCACACTCTCTACTCTCTGCACGAATTATATAGTTTCGTCATCGTCACTGCTGGAACAATCTGGTGTTTCGACTTTTGTCATCATTCATCGCGGTTGTCTACTGGGTATATATCTATCCCATATAAAGCCGGTGAGCCAACGCAACATCTTGAGCTGGCCTTTAATCTTCATCCGAAATTTTGTCTCCATTTTTACGATTCTGGAAATATTCGGATAAGCCAACCAGAATATATCATATTACCACAAAACCACAATCGAGGTCATCGGCCTTGCCATTCAGGCAAACTTAAGTGTGATAACGTAAAGAAGTACCACCAAGTACCACCAAGATGGGCCAGGAAGCATCTCATTCGCAAATCAATCCTGATGATCCTCCTCATACGCTTTCCGCCCGTTCTATCGAAGGGATCGCCGAGTTTATCAAAAGTGGTCAAGCAAAGAAAATCGTTGTTTTGACCGGAGCAGGCATATCCACAAGTGCAGGTATACCAGACTTTCGTTCACCAGAGACCGGCATATACGCACATCTGGCCGAACTTGATCTTCCTTATGCAGAAGCTGTTTTCGATATCGACTTCTTCCGCGAGAATCCAGCTCCTTTTTATGTTCTGGCAAAAGAACTCTATCCCGGCAAATTCTACCCTACAATATCACATGCTTTCATCGCGTTGATTGAAAAGAAAGGATTGCTTAGAATGCTCTTTACACAAAACATCGATTGTTTGGAACTTCGAGCGGGAGTTCCTTGGGAAAAGGTCATTGAAGCCCATGGAAGTTTTGCTACCCAAACGTGCATTGACTGCAAGACCGGATATCCCGATGATATGATGAAGGAAGCCATAGAGGAAGGAAACCCTGCGACTTGTTTGGTTCCACAATGTGGTGGTCTAGTTAAACCAGATATTGTCTTCTTTGGTGAACAGCTTCCAGAAGCCTTTCACCGCCATAGAATGATTCCCGCGACAGCTGATCTAGTCATTGTGATGGGTACCAGCTTAAGTGTCCAGCCCTTTGCTATGCTGCCAAGCCTACCCCCTGATAAGGTTCCAAGACTATTGTTCAACAAGATTTCTGTAGGCGATTTTGGGAGTAGGTTGGATGATGTAGTTGTTCTTGGTGATTGTGACACTGGTGTCAGGAAACTAGCCGATGCCTTGGGATGGCGAGAGGAATTGGAAGAACTATGGATGTCAATTGGAGGAAATACAAGGCAAAAAGAAGCCGAGAAGGCCGCAGAAGCTAGGCTCAACATGTCAAGAGACGAACGCCATGAAGTAGACATCGAAAAGCTGACGACTGAAATTGATGAAGCATTAAAGTTTTCCGGCAACCATACCCACAGGGTAATTGCCGACCTTCAGAAAAACCCGACCATAAATCCAGCAGCCTCACCTCCGCCTGCTGAAGCTATGCCTACGCGGGCATCCACAGAATTCACTGCTGATAAGGTAAGAACGCCTCGAGCTATACTTCTACTTTGGGGTTCATGGGGTTTGGATCAACAGTACTAACTAAATACCTGTTAGAACTCACTTCTTGTAGATATCGCGAATGGAATAGCATTGAAGGAAGCGACAACCATTGTTCGATCGACGCCGATTATTGACGAAAAAGGCGCCACAATTGAGCTAGCGCTTGCGGACTTACATTCCTCGGCCGGCGATGAAAACTCGAGTGTTGTGCTTGATGCGACAATGCCTCAGAATATGCCAAACTCTTTCAACCTCACAACAAACTCTTGATCATGATAAAAAAAAACATGCTATCCACTCAAGACCAAGTTTGGAGGAACGACAGATTCGAAAACTTTGCCTTTCGTTTGACTACTTCACACTACGTAAATTGACAAGATGTAGTTAAATAGAGCTGAAGTTTTGCGGGAGCACATACCTAGGAATGAAACAAGAGAGAACCCTGTCAACATGTACGGTACAAGCCAGTATGAATTAATCCCATAAACTATTTCAAGTCGAGGATCATAAATGTTATCCAAATCCTATCATCTTATTTCCTCGATTCAAAGTGGCTCATTCCAATCAAAGTTAGGACGTGTCCTTGCTGCATTGATGATTTCATTTTTCTGTGTTATTGCTATTAATATCAATCACCCAGGTGGTCATTTACCGTATTGTGAAGTCCCCTTCCATACTTCAAAATAGATTGAATATTCATTAACTGAGCAGATGAAGAATAGGCTTTTATACGACAAACATCCTCTAAAGATGCTACTTGGGAAAATCAACCTTTTACTGGTTGCAAGGTCGACTAACTAGTTGCTGCTGCTCGTAGATATTATTCTTTTAAGCCGATAAAAATGGAATCTTTCATTTCCGAGAATGCTCCCGCAAACTAAGAGTGTTCTTGAATTCCTTCGCTACTTCATGGAAATATTTCTTCGTTTACCAAATTCCGGGCAAAATTTTGCGGCCTGGGAAACCAAAACAATTCCCTACTTCTGCCACATCAATTGAATCGCCTTAATATTATTTTAGCAGTCTATCAGATATACAATCGAAAGGTTATGGCAGATGAAAATCTGATGAGCCTTCACTAGAGGATTAGGATCTCGAGTTGTTACGACTGGCAACACCCTGTCGATTATGGTGGAATGCCAGCCGAATTGGAACAACCTCAAGATTTTGTTGCAGTTGATGATCCCAGGTTGCTGCGATGTCAGAAACTTTGGCTCCAAACTGACCAGATGTGGCAGAGACCATTATAATCCAATATATTGAGGCATAGAATTACTTTCAACGTCAAGCGACTGCTTGGCGGGCCATTGGAGCGCGCGAACACAATTTGGATCAAAACATGTTGTACTTAAGCAACGCCCTCTAACTGGCCTAACACACTCGGCTAGACCGAATTTACGTGACGAGTCACAACATTATAAGAATATGCAATCTCTGCTACAACCCGGCATTGATCATCATATTGCTAAATTGTTCAGAAAAGCTGTCGTGGGCGAGGGGAAAAAAGTACATTAGCTCAGGATGTGGGAAGAGCCGAGAGAATGATACTCGAATATTGCACTGGAACTCTGTATGATTTCATAAAGCAGGGAATCAGAGATGGCACGAGGATAATGAGAGGCAAGCGTGGGAACTTTCCCACTGTCTTGCGCATAGTGTTCTTATCATGAATCACGGCACCGAGAATCCGGCTCATTATCGCACAGGAGGACCCGGATTCAACGCCGTGGATATTGGTCATTTCAACCTCAATCTATGGAACGTTTATCTCCAAGATTATGTGGATGGACAGCATGTGAGGGGCATCATGTTGAAGGTTGGTTCTTTTCGACGAGCGGTTAAAGTCCAACGACGTCAGGATGAAAGATATCATCGTCAATTTCATAAAACACGAGACGTCAAATCGCGTGCGCCGGAACAATTATACGCGTCTGATATGAGAGGTATGAGACCATGGCTAAAAAATAGCCGAGGCGATGATCGGCCCGGGAGAGGCAATAAACTAAAATCAGTTACCTACTCATCGAGAACAAACGTCTGGCAAGTAGGACTGATAATGTTTTGTATCATCCATATGACCAAGGAGGTGGATCGGGACAACGTGGAACGAATTTGGGATCGTAGTACGGGGCGTCTAGCAACTGGAAAATATTGTAAAGGAGAGTAGTCGAGTTACGTGCGTCCCGATAGCACATTGTAAGGGGAAAAGAGAAAGGAAAGCTGATTAGATTATATTGTAATAAGTTACTTATAAAGAAAATAGATTTCACAATAGGTTTGGATTTAAAAAATAATATATAAAGAGTTGATTGATTATAGAAAAAACAGAATGAAAGTTTTTTTTATATTTAATCACGAAAGGTCATATGATTGAACCTTTGTAAACCTTTACATATATGGCTCGCAATCCCAACTTTCTCACAATATACAATCAGTAGCAGAGCGAGAAGAGAAGAGGATCTTGGATTTAGTCGGACGTTAATATCGACTATTCGGGAATGTCTTTTGATTGAGTCGCCGGCGCGGCGAAATGCTGCAAAATTATTTGAGATAAAAAAGACCGTCCTGCTCAAGCTAATCTTGGGACAGGTCTTAATCCACAACGACCGATTGTTGGCCCCCTCCACTTCAACAAGCATCTCCTCAAGCACATCCATCTGAATAGACCTTGAGCTGCACCACCAGAACCCCATATGGGCCGACCACCTCGTGATCATCCAATGCCCATCCAGCAGCAAGCACCAGCCAACATTCTTGATCGCCGAGCAGCAGCAGAAGCCGAACCTGACGACTATCTCCCAACATACGAATACAATGCGCCAGCGGGGCACGCACTTCCTCGGCCTGGATGGGGCGAAGCTCTCGAGCGCCCATCACCCTCTCCTCCAGGACAGGCGGAGATCGCACAATTTCTCCCCCTTTGTCCCAGAACCCGCAGTGCCACAACCTAGATATTTAATACCCCGTCGACCAGTAGGCTTAGGTGCACCACCTCAACAAATTCCACGTCGACCCGTCGGTGCACCACAGCGTGTTCCCCATCCCGCGCCTAACAACCCGCCTCCTCCCCTCCCCTAAATCTCTCCCAAGGGATTTCCAACCCGCCCCCCTTCCTAAGAGAGAGGCGAGGGCGTAGGCTTAGGGGTTGAGCGGTGTTTATAGAGAAGAAGCGGGGATGGGGATTTAGATGGCAGAAGACGGGAAGGATTTGACGCTGTTCTTGGAAACCTTCTGATCAATCGAACAAATATTCTAAATCCTTGTTCTTTCAGCTCTATTTCAAAATCATACCACCATCACCTCATGATAGTATTATGAGGTGAGAGACGTCGGAGCACCAGAAAGGTATTCAAGAAAAAATAAGATTCGTAATTCAAGGATTTATATTTTTTTTCTTTTTTGGATACGAATGATATATTTCTTTACATTCCCCATTATGATCGATACTAGGAAGCATTATTTGAATACGAGTCATGATTTTTTAAGTCTAAATATTCATAATATTCATAACATTGATAACATTGATCAAATCCGAATAACTCGTCATAATCCTGCCAAAAATCATCCCATGGCTACCTAGGTAGGTAAATATTCATAAAACCACACTATGGCAATCCCAAATAATATTTCAACATCTTCGGGTAATTAGGTGTACCAAGACCAGTTACTGGATCCCATCTATTAATTGTTAGTATTTTATTCTATATCATATTCATCCCATCACACACAGTACAGCATAAAAAGAGAAGAGAAGAAGAAAAACTCACCCAGGAACCGCCGAAAATCCAACCGTGTTACATCCCGGATTTGTTCCATTAACGATATCGTTCAACATGCTCGGATTAGCATATAACGATGGATTCAAGAAACCAATTGGTTTCTTCCCAACATTAATTCTCTCTTCGTTGATACGGTTGATGACCGCCGAGAAGATAGGCGTACTAGCTGATGTGCCTCCGCTGAGCTCGAAACGGTTGCCATTGTATATCTAAATACTAGGTCAGAAAGATGGCGATATATCAGAGTAGGTATAAGAGACTTACAGCGATATTATCTCCATTAGCAGCTACATCAGGAATACCTCTTCCAATCCTGTTATAAATACCCCCAGTTTTACCGACCAAAGCACCAATATCAGGCAATATTTGGGTACCATTCGCGTCGTTGCTCAAGGCGCTGTAATAAGGATAAGGCGGGTTATGTTTATGGAAAAAATTTGCAACAAATTTAGCTTGATAATCCGGGATCGGATAGATGTTACTGAAACCGCCTCCGGACGAATAGTTTACGGAGTATGGGTGGCCGGCGGGATCGAAAACAGCGGATTCGGGATCGTTGACGGTATAGCCGGGATACACTTTTGTGGCGCCGACGGAGGTTACGTAGGGGCAGGTACCAGGCCAGGTGGGATTGAAGACGTTGAGATCTGGACCAATGCAACCGGTTGGCCCGTCAATATCACCCGGATAGTCTGGAGGTTTATGTTATTTTTGGAGCGGAAAAAAGGAAAATTGTATCCATAGAGTCGAATTTGGAACTTACTGGAAACGCCGGAATCACCAGAAGCGTAAAGGAAAGATACTCCTCGGAGACCTAGTTTCAAGTACTCAAGACATTGTCGCTTTTGATATGCAATTGGGAGGTCGGATTCTTGCCCACCGTATGATAGGGAAATCACGTTGGTGGGAGTGAAGGTACCACACATGAGGGAGCCTTGCCATCCTCCAGTTAGAGTGTCAGGATAGGCTTGATCCAAGTACTTATCATTGCCAGTCTCGTTGTAGGCCGTGAAGTTGCAGTATGACTGGAAAATGTTAATTGATTGTTCCCGGAATTCGAGGTGGAAATTAACTTACTCCATCTAGTGCGTCCAAAAAGGTGTTGAATCCAAATGTGTAGGTATCATTTTGGTTTGCTTGAACAATGTAGTCATCGACATCATAGAGAGTGATTTTTTGTGGGTAAATAATTGGATAAGCAAGTTGAATGTCGAGATTCGCTTCACCACCAGCGTAATAAGGATCAGTGGTTGATTGCATTCCACCGTCGATGTTTGCTGGGATTGGATGTGTACCGTTTGGAATATTTTTCGTGAAATTTGTGAAGAACAAATCTAGATCGTTTTGCGTATAGAACTGTAGCTCTGACTCAAAGATACCCATGGAATTGTTTGGATGAGACAAAGTCGCAGGTGGAATATGGTAAAGCGCAGCGATACAAGCTGGAGTGATAGCAATATCACAAGTACTCAAATCGGTGGCACTGGTACCGTTGTGCTTGTGCTTAGCATCCCGTAGTAGCCCGTGTGTGTTTCTTTTAGAAAGTTCGCGCTCTAACACTTCGGCGTTTCGCTTCAACTTATTTTTTGAATGTTCAATTGGCGCAAGAAGTTTGATGCCAGGACTGATGTAATCAATGTGTCTTCGGATATTCTTGGGAACATGATAAGCCTCGCATGACGGCATAACACCACCGGTGACTGAATCCTCATACTCATGGTACTCGGTATACAGTAAATTTTCTGCTTCTTCAGCAGTCGCATAGAATGCGAACCATCCTTTGTTATCTGAATGAGTAATTCGTCCAGCTGGAATACCGGAATCCACCAGCCATTTCCGAACTTCATCTTCTGTTTCTTGATTGGGACGGAAAGCCTCGATGACTTCTTCCTCCGTCCAGTGTTGTCCAAAATATGGAGATGCAGGGTCAGATCTATATGGAACCGATTAACCTCTGCTGTCTTAAGTGAATAGAGGCTCTGGCACTTACATTCTCATTAAATGATCATGACCATCATCGAGATTGCTCTGTGTCAAGCCAATTCGCATAGGCAATAACTTGTGTGACTCGACACGATCTCTTTTCATCCATCTCGGGTGTAAACTTTCTCGCTTTTCATGGACCTCCAAATGGCGTGGCACGACAATGGCACTTGCTTGAAGCGTCAGAGCGACGAGGGCAACAAAGCCCGAGATCTTCGTCCTCACCATTGTTATGAATGAGATTAATTGAGAGGAGGGATGGAATCAAATTCAAAAAGCCGAAGAGCTTTCTCCATGATTTATAACTTGGCAGGTACAGCTGCAGCTACCCTACCACGATCTGCAGACCCTAGCTCCTTGCTCTCTGGCGCCATACTTAATGAGGCAGGTCGTAGTGGCATTCACGAAGAATGGTCGATAACATATTGAGATTCGTGCTAACAATTTGATAAGCAGGAACAAGGATAAATTTAAAGATGTAACCGGAGGTATAATGAATTGATGGCTCCCACATAGGAAAGAGCTTAATGGATGGGGCAACATCTTAAACATCGATTTAGTAACAGCTATGAGCTGGACAAGCTGAAGTGGAGCTTCAACGAAGCGACGGGCTTGACATATACGAGTATACGGAGTATAGCATATACAGTGGGTGTATTGATGTATCGTGGTGGATTGTTTGCAGTAAATATCCCGTTGTTCGTACTCCGGATGACAGGATAAGGTTGTGACGAGGAGTTTGATTGACAGGGCATAAATCCCTCTACCCACCTTCCTGATAAGTGAACCGTGATTGTCATGGCTGCTCCATGTAAGCAACCCGACGATTACTCCGTATTATTGCAACGTCTCAAGGAATATCCGAGAGGCCAAAAACTTTCCTCATAATCGATGCCAACGGATGCCGGTAGGTCCGTGAGCGGTGAGGCAATAACTTACATGATCACGTGATTCTAGCGGAAATCAGACCATCGCACCTCCCCCATCTTTAAGGAGGCATTGAATTGACGTCTACGTACGGTCAATAACAATATCGCAGATAGCATTAGTCCCGATATTTCTCACCCTCAATCTTCGCGTCATATACACTGAGCATTCTTGACCAATGCCTAGTAATGGCACGGCTCCGCATCAAGATCTTTCCACCCCGGGATCTAACCACTGGTAAACTTTTCATAGGATTTAATAGCAGTTGTCTGGAGAATGAGCAGAACATCTTTAACAACATGTACAAACGATGCCGACTATAGCCCCCTGGTAATCGCCAACTGTCGTTACTTAAGAGCCGTTGAGAATAAAGGAGTGTGTTCAAGGCGAGTATTTTCAATGTTTAGGTCTAGGTTATGGTGCTCATTCGACATAGCAGCGAACAGAATTCAGAACATCCTCCATACTCAGAACAGATCTTGTGGAACTAATGAAAATGCAGCGTTGACCGCCAATCACGTTGTATATTACTTCCATGAAACAAGAATTCTGGTCATAGATTCGTTTGCGGCTCAAAACCAAAATACCAATCATAGGATTTCCCTGCTGCGCAATGGTAGCGCGCAAGACTTCTAAGTGGATGTTACATCTACATTTGAATCAATCTTGAGGCTGTAGGTTCGAGACCTACGTAGGGAGTTACCCTGAGTAACAGCGGCTTGAATCCGTTGCTTGAAATCTATTTTTGCTTTTGCGAATAGGGGTGTTTTACCGATTTTTTGGATATTAGTGTCTAATTTTGGTATTATCTAATCCCCGCTCTGGTGGCTTAATTTTCACAAATACTACCGGTATAATCATTTATCTTCCATCAGAGGAGTGCATAGTAGTTATGCACTTGACCTCACGACCATTTGATGTAGCTATCTTTTCATGAACGCCTGGAATTAAACTTCTAATACCAAACAAAAACTCTATGTATCTCAATGTCGCATTTTTCATTGAGACTTTTTAGAACTAAAACATTTCTTGTAGTCAGTGCGTATAACCATGCAGCCATAATGCAGCCATCGCTAAAAGCCATAGAGGTCCCTTGATTTATTTTGAAAGCCGCAACATTCGCAAATCTCTCACTGAAAAACAAAACATTCAATATCAGATTGGCCCCTATTTCGGCAACTTTGAGCGAATGCTGCCTCATCCAAGTGGCTTTTGTTGCTGGTAAAGATTGTTAGACAATTATTGGCAGATTGATACCAACATCCGAGCCTACTCAAGACAACCAAGGGTTCTGGAACTAGTACTCAGCCCTGGTGCTGAAATGTTTCTTCCCCGAAGTTTTTGCTAGGTTCATGATAAATATCGGTGCATATACGAATTAGTGAATCCTGGAGATCATCAGCGTCCAAGAGATACAACGTTTCGCGTCTAATTTCAGTGATACGCCGGAGCAAAGGCGCCGAATGTGCCTCACTGCCATGTTCCAGTCTTTTGAAATTTCAATCGTTTTGATACAAGGTGATCCATGGTGCGAAGGGATTTATTCATCCCGCTTTCGACGGAGCAAACACAAGGATTGTTTGTAAACCGTTTGTGTCCTACATATAAATAAGTGTGGGATAACTCAGTCAATCTGACAATATTGGATAAACGTCTAGATACGACCATCCATTCACATCTAAGAATCTATTGTACGATCATCTTCTGCACCTGTCAGATTCACATCAGGAAGTAAGCTCCTTACACATTCACGGAGGCAAGATGGCTGACCAAAGCCCTAGGTAATGTCTTTCTTAAGTAGCGTTATGCGTCTTCTGGACGCTGTCATCAATAGACCCCATCCAGCCCATCTTCCCCGTTCCAATGCCGAAGTGATTCAACTTCTCAAAGGCTTGAAGTCCAAGGAGGAGATAGTCCGCTCGCATGCCAATTTCATGGAACCAATCAAAGAGCAGGAGGAGTTACGAAGAATATGCCTCTTTACCGAAGAGTGCTTGATATTGGTCACAAGTATCGCTGAATATCTTATCGAATTTGCTTCTGGAGATTCGCCGATAGAATCGGCGCGCGTGTGTGAAGCTTTAAGCATCATCTATCAGGGATTTGGCCAACTCGAGCCACTGGCAGACGATTTCGAAGCGAGGCCCCAGCCGTTCCAAACGTGTTGCTTCGCATACCTGGCAGGATGCTTGAAATATTCCATCCTATTTCAACGACTCCTTTATCCCGAAGACCAATGCGAATACCTTGACCTCCTTGCCGAACCCTTCAAGAGCATCAACGGCTTTTCTCTCAAAATAGATAGCATTCAGAATTATCCAAAACCCAATTCACAGCATATAACACTATATAATTGTATACCACCTGATGATAAAATACCCATATTTTGTTGGTTGCAAGAACAGCCGGGAAAGCCAGTCCGTCAACAATACTATCGGAACAAGAATCCTTACGGTCCGAGACTCCTACGAAACATGAACCACCCTTCGAATCAAGCCTATATCAGGAAGAAAGGATATATTCTCTGATGGTGAACATAAATGGTATGAGCCACTAGCAATGTTTTTCCCTACTTCAATTCACAAAAGGTGGCAATTACATGTCACGCATCACCCGTTCATGGCTGATATTAGATTATGGAGGCGCGATCTGGAGGCACCCGTTGGAAACACAGATACGATCGCGTAGACAAAGCACAAGATGAGGCGGATTTCCTCCTAGGAGTTGGAATAATTAATTATGAGAAACACGTTATAACAACGATCCGAAGGATGTTTACGACGGAAACTAGGGCATGGGAGGAGGATTAGCTTATTCTTATTATTGAGCTTTGGAACATTGTGATTGATTGATATTCTACAAATACAAAATAGTGAATAATTAATAAACATTCTGAACTATATCTACACGCCTGGTGTACTGTATAATTCCCAAACATTCCAACTAAACCAATGATACTCTACCCATTTTCCAGCCTAGCATCACACAAAATACCTCCAACTCCCCAGCTAAACGACACGAAAATACTTCCCCGGAAACCCACAACCCACTGACTACGTACCAGGAACTCAAGACGACCAGCCCGCCCACCAACCCCTCACTTAGTCCCAGCCTGCACCACCAATTAAGCATTCCAAGCCAAACCCCACGAATACCAATAGAGCTTGCTTCTGTCGGCCACAAATCACGCATCCATCATCACATCACTCGTAAACCCAACGAGCGGGACATCACTATCGTCGAGGTCTTTGCGTCCATCAAAAGAAAATACCACAACTCCAATTCCAAATTCCGACTTCCCAATTCCGAATTCCAACTTCCCATATCTCTCTTCTAGGAAAACACTGCATGTTACGCTGCATCTGCATATGCATGACGGAATGGTGCATGCGTGCGTGCGTGCGGCTGAGAAATGAGAAATGAGAAATGAGAAATGAGTGCAGAGTTCTAGATTCTAGATTCTAGACCGCTGGAAAAATATTTTGATTCTTGTGGAGGGGTGAAGGACGGGTGGTGGTGGGGAAGCAAAGCAAAGCAAAGAAAAGAAAAGCCTTTTAGGTAAGAGGCTTTAATTTTGTGCTTTAGGCATGGTAAGGGTAAGCAGATATGCAGACGCTGCGGCACGGCACGGCAGGCGGGGAAGGCCAAGAGGAAATAGGTATGTAGATCAATTCCTTAGAGTTGTTTTTAGTCGGTCGCGGATACTAGTGTAAGGATTATTATCGAGATAAGATCCATTGTAGAGTTATGGGAATGTGATGATTTGGACTTGGGAAATGCATGGACTTGCCATCCATTTGTATAGTGATTTGATGGGCAAATTCAACGTTTGAAGCAATGTAACTTTGAGTGCTGGTGCATGGTAATAGATCTGTGTGATGGAATACCTATATTATGTATATATTTGCATATTAATATCTATCAAGTATGTAGCAGCCACAATACATCCGATCAATATAATCTTCGCGGTGCTGCTTCTTCTCATACTAATCCTAATCCTGATCATGATCGTAATATTTCATCTTTCCCAACTTGAAAACTTTGTCCAGATAGTATCCCTTCTCGATTTCATCTTTAAGCCATTTTCCATACCCATCAAGGACCTCCTCCGGCATAGGTGGAATCCACGGCTCTTCCTTGATATTCTTGCTCCCATCAATTATTTGATCTGGAATCTTAATGTTCAATCTGTCACTATCCATAATGTTCTTTCTCGCTTCTGCTATCTTCGCTTCATACAATTCTTTCTTGATGGGAGTATGCTGGTCTTTCATATCCTCGTCCTCCCATACACAACACTCATGCTCGTGTAGACCTTCAATAAGACAGGACCCTGCAGTGTTGGGAAGTGCTCGTAGTGATGAGATACAATGCTGGTGCTTTGGTAACCGCTTCCCGCTGACGCATTTCTTATGGTCCGGATGGTAATGTTTTGAAACAGAACGAAGTGACCACTCGCAGTCTCCTTTTCTAAGATCGCACAATTTTGCAGTGTGATCTTTTCTAAGTGTCGAATCTTCGACGGTCGCCATGTTCTTTTTGATCTGGTGTCTCGTTGATATTATCGAAGGGTTGGTCCTAAGGTCTGAATATGCCGCAGAAAGTACCGGTTGTTCTGAGTCTTGGATCCGACTATTTGTGATCTGCTTGGCGACTCCTTGGACCACATCAGTTTGGCGTAACGCGCTCATTATATCTTCTCCGTCTTGTGCCAATATTGACTTCCTTAGATAATCACTGCATGGACGGATATTGCCATTCTCCATTGTCAGTGAAGGCGATTTTGTAGATGGTCGAGCGGTGTTCTCAGAGCATCCGGAATCACTCCAAGTATCATTAACGTCTGTTCTACGATATTTTCTGCGATCTCTAGAGGATGGACTTCGTTGTGGATGTATGATACTACACCGAAGAGGCCTCGATGTTCCTTTCGATGCGAGATCCAGGATAGAGTCCCGAGCAGCCATGTCTGTTTTCTTGGATCTCCGCATCGGCTCCGGACTGCTATGTTCACCCAATGGTTTTGAATTGTCCATACATGGAGATACAGGTGGCGTGTACAAGTCTCCGGATAGTAAAATTGAGGATCCTGCCCAAGTTGATGATTGAGGTGGAGGCAACAACGGCGAAAATATTTGCAGTCGATCTTTAATCATATTCTTATATATGTGAGCGAACAGTGGCCAAGCCTCAGAAGATGATAGCCACTGTTGTTTATCAGTACTGACATTTCTTACGGGTATTTGAATCCATTTTGTCGTTGCTGGCTTTCCGTCGAGATATTGGCATATGCCCCAAGACCAAAAAGTGAAGTTGTTCCTCCCAGGCAGTTTTTGCTTTCTAATTCTGTCCCCAAAGATCCATACTTCATTTCTAGGTCCTCGCATCTTTGGAAACCAACATACATGGAAAATAGGTACTAACCCCGCTACCATGGTTAATGACCGGAACGTCCTTCTCATCGTCATTTCTCTCGGGACCAATAAATAGCCAAAAGCGATCACCAGGTTGATAATCGAAGTCAGAAACACTTCGAAATAACGCCACGCCGTGAGTATCGATAAGTGTGGACTTGCTCGAAACCATTGCATTTTTGTAGGCAACGCTACCATCCTTTTCAATGTCTTGTACGGGCATAAAATAAACTGAATTTTCTTCATCGCCATTGAATCGTCTCACAGGAATAGCTGACTCATTTGTGATGTTCCGCACAGGAGATTGAACAACGACTCGATCACCTTTCTGTGCCCATTTAGAGGGTCTTGCTACAAGAACATATTTCCGTGTTACAACTTTGCAATCCATAGGAAGTGCTACTAATAGAAATGCTGTAGTTCAGGCTTTGAAAAGCTAAGTATATAGAGAACAATGACGCTAACCTCTTGCTAGAAATCTGGGAATCATTCAATTTTGACTTCTTGCCATTTATCATTGTCATAAGCTAAGATGTTACCTTCAAGATACCCATTTTATGGGTGGCCCTTGCATGTGGCTGACTGCCCACCCGCACCTTTTTTTTTTGCGCCCAATGGAACCGTCTCGGGTGAAATGATGGCTTCACCGTGATACGCGTCGCCAAAAGAAATACCGAAGGGATCCGTAACGAGACTCTTGCACTCGCAGCAATTACCGCGAATGTATCTCAGCCTCGGCATGCAAAGTGCACCTTTTGGCAATCAAAATTATTCTGGTGTGCAGTATTCTTCTTCAGTTTGAGAGCCAGGGTCATTTGTCTCTGGTGCTTGCCCGTTGTCTTGATAATAAAGTTTATCCATGCTAGTATTCCAGTACTGTGCGATCTCTACTATACTGTAGTTGCCGAATGTTGTACAAGAATCTGTTCCGGCTCTATGATTTCTTTGATCGGTCCGTATCTACACCCGCTTGCCCCCCCATTTCTCCAAGAACGTTTTCGCCTTTCTCAGCAGTATACTCCTTAGGATCAATATTCAATTTAGCCATCATTGTAGCTACCCACTCCTCCATTTGCTTCTCGTCTTCTGGGTTTGTTTCTTGAGCGAGCAATCCCATCTTCGCTCGATATCTCTGCCTCATGTCGTCGACAGTCGAAATATCGAAAGCCCACAATAGACCTCCACTGAGCATGAGGCTAATGCTAGCCACATTAATAGTCGCTACACTCAATGCTTCCAATGCCTCAGTAGATCCATCGACTTCATGAACACGATTACTGGGCGTGTAGAATTTTGGCAGCATCGCGTTATACTTTCTTACAAGTGCTCTGCGAGTGACGAAAGCCGAAAGGGCGACAAATCCTGCACCACCCATGAATAGGCCAAATTGCCGCCGTGATCGTTGTGAGAAAAGTGAAGAGTCTGGTGCCGGTGTGGGGTTGGATGAGGCTGCGGGAGGGATCTTGGAGGAAGATGTGGGTTGAGAGTCGGCCATGGTCGATGGCTTTTGTACAAATGCCATCAATTGAGTTCGGAATGGGCGCTTTCTCTGCAATCCGAGAGTATGGCTGGCTGGCAGAATTCGAAATCCGTAGCTGGGAGTTTATGGATTTGAGGTAGCTTACCATTTCCTGAAAAATTATAGCTACGCGAATAAGGCTTAGCGTGGTTCTGCGGAGTACAGCATTACAGCACTGTACCTAACTTTTAGAATACCCATCTCGACCTCACCTTATTTTTATTTTTATTCCCTGTTCTATAACATACCTAGGTAGTCCATAGCACCTAGCCATTTAAAGTTGTTGCAAATCTATTTCATGCGCATTAGAGGAGTGATATTTCAATTGGTGTGGTTTTGACTAGAACTATGCCATACAATTGAGAACCGGAAAAGCTTCCATTTGACAATGCAACCAAGCTTGGTCTTGGATGGGTGTCGAAGATAGATATGCAATAATCAATGTTGTTTAAGAGTCCCTTCATCAGCTCCTACTGTTATGATAATTCGAATTCTTACCATTCTGTCGTAAATAGAGGGATAAGAGCTGCAAGTCTATATATCCTGCGCATTATTAATGCTCATATCATTATGTCGCAGGCATTATTTATATCTTGATTGTTGTATGTATGGTAAATCGTGTTTTCATATAGTCTTCTTTCCATCTTCAGAGTTCATCTAACTAAGTTCCTTTTCCTTTTCCTTCTCTTTTCCCGCACCGGTCTTGGGAGATTTTAATTCCTCGACTTCCTTGGCCAGTCTCTCTGCTTCCCTGAGCAAGTCCATATCCAAGGCGATTTTTATTTCTGGGCAATATTGCAAAATATGCTTTCTGCGCTCCTTATTGTCCCAGATATCTGGAACCAGGGTTTTACCACTTCCTATCAAATGATAGCCAAAAGGTTTTTCATACCACTGACTTTCGACGCTGAACGTTGCTTCTACCTCCGGTCCAGGCATCTTTGTAGCGTCCGACTCTAGGAGACGATCACATATCCAACGATCTTCCCACGGATCACCCGGCCGACGGGCTTCTTTTTCGAGCACTTTGAGAATTGGAGGGATATGTCTGAGACTCAATCCTCCATTTCCGCCTTTTACGACCATGTTCCATGGAGCACCCACCCAGGAATAGTTTGCGGAAACGTATTCTTCTATATTATGCTTGGAGGCTGCACATATAATTGAATCACTTTGAAACACAAGAAGCCATTTCGCAGGGGCAAGAAAGTCTTTGTAGAAAGTTGGATCGGTAAGAGTCATGCTTATAGTCTCTGGGTCTGTGATGGCGTATTTTCCGGGGAGCTCGGTAATGACTAGTTTCCCGGTTTTAACGTGTGCAGAAAGAGATGAGGAAGCCAAAATAAGAGAGTTGGCCTCGGGTGATCCAACGAAGCGGAAAACCCATGGTTCTGGTAAAACGGACATGAAATGTGCGAGCAGTGCGGGAATATGAGGCAAGGGGCGCGTCTCGAGGAGGAGGGCAACGCGTGTCTGGTCCAGTGCCGCTATAGGATCACCACCGACTGCGCCCGACCCTCCTGATGCTAGTTTGTCTAAATGGATATTTGATATCGACGACCAGTTGTATTGATGGTAAACGACCAACATAAGCAAACTTCTGCAAAATGTTAGAATTAATGTCTAGACTGTGTGTCACTAGAATCATTGACGGCATAGACCGGATTTCCGGGATCCCAACATGCATGGAAAACCCGACGGGGTTGAATCTTATCGTTTATCATCACTCAATCTTCTCCAGTTCGAGAAAAAAACGGACTTACAATATACACATTGCTAAAATGAAAGTCCTGTGTATCCTCCGATTGAACCATATAAATGACCCTGATTCGTACGACGGCGCCATAGTGGAAAATATTTGATGAGTGTTTTTGCGATCTCTTGTAGAAATGATATGTACAGGACGGTCGATTTTATACAATGATTGTGGTTTATGAGCTCACAACTCGTAAATGATGAAAGGGAACGTTAGGCGTTGTGCAGAAGAGACATCATGGAAGAAACGGTCATGTCAGTACGGAATTCGGATGGGAGTTTTGTGTCTTGGCTATGTAGAAATCGAAGTGAAGGGATTCAACAATGTGGCTTGATAATCTTGTATAGTAAGGTTAAGCCAATCTAATGTGATGGTAATGCCTGTATTGCTCTGTCGTACCGTTGGGCGGCGTGTTGAGGAGGTTCCAAGGGGAGATATTTATATGAGTCTTCCTTATTCTGGCACATGCGATAGGTTACGGATGAACCGCCAAGTTTATTTTCGATGGCCTGAATATTTTGGAAATTGTGATCAGACTGGGCTCTCAGATCTCAGAGTCTCTCTCAATGAGGTGCGATGTATCAGTGTCCATCCTTGTTTCATACCATGCAAATTGCAATGACATGAAACGGCACACATCTTCCGTACCAAGGCTCGTATTTTCAACTTAATGCATTTTGACTCCTTGAGAGCTTATGATGATAAATTATCAATAGAGGGTGCAGGGTTAGTATTCCTCGATGTCAAAAATCGCCATGCTATTCTTGAAAACGGCATGGTGAACTTCCAACATAGAGGATCTAGTTGTTCAAAAGTTGCCCTACCGGTGACATGTTTGTTATCAGTTTCGATGTCGAATTCTGGATGGCGAACATCTTCGAATTAACCTGTGACCATGGAACGAAAACCCCAGGAAGATTGAGTCCTGGCCCAAATATCGAACGCTTTTTTTTGAGTTTGAATTGTCGTGCTGGTGCATCATCTTCATCAAGTCTGTGGGTGTGAATCCTGCTGGGCTCCTGGGTTTGTGGCTACAGCGTAGGGACATCTCTTCAATATAAGCACCGGCGGGATTTTGCTAATCACTCTAGGAAAAAATTGGCCAATTTATGCCAATCTAGTAGTAGTGACGCATGTCCAATTCTAGACCTAGCGAGACCAGCAGTTGTTTTCATGGTTCCGTCTCTTCATTGAACTGTTTTAGGTCTTATCGGTCCTGACTTTGGCTTCTGCCCTATCCAAACTCCTGGGCGATGGCTAGAGGCTACGTGGGACTGATGTTGTCAATACACATATCTATGGTCGGAAGGACAGTCCGCTTGGAATGTCTTTTCGACTTTTGGTCAAGAAGAGAATCGAACGCGTGCATCGTTCAGTCGTTCATACCAATTTCCTCGTAAGGATAATAGCGAAATAGAGTGTAAGTATCAATTACATCCTTCATCAAGTCGTGCATGATCATCTTAGTGGATGTGGCCCTGAATCCGGGCCCTGGCTTTATTAACGCGGGGTCAAGGGCGCTGTGTTTGTCATCATCCACTCCGTAAAAGACGTCATCGCCTGGCTACGAAGTTACATCAACAGTCTGAATGACACCCCATACGTACCTACATTTATTAACTGCGGCCCGGTTATCGATATACCTCAACCTCAACCACAACTGACCATTCAATCATTAAATATGGCTAATATCCTAATCGTAGGCGCCACTCGTGGTTTGGGTGCATCTCTTGCAAACAACTACGCTGCGCAGGAATCAACGACCGTTTATGGAACCACTCGTGCTGCTGCCGGCCCATCCAATTTGAACGAGAAGATTGTATGGATACCTAATATTGATGTGGCAGAAGAGGGTGCAGACAGAAGATTGGTGAATCAGTTAGGTGTGCTTGGAGGTGGCGGTGGAATGGTCGAGGGTGGACGAGTCACGTTTGATATTGTTGTATGTCCGCTCACCTTATTAGGTTGCACGAAAAGAAGACTGCGTTTAGGGCGCTATGCATCAGCAGAGAAGGACTGATTGAAACTCAGATCATCACGGCTGGATATTTTGCTACAGAAGACTTTGTCAATGGTCCAAAATGGGATGAAGAAGTGAAGATGTACAGTAAGGACTTCTCAAAATTCACAACACTATCAAATCTTAGCTTCGCATTCACTAACGTCTTATTCTTTAGCAACGTCAGCTATTTCTCCTCCTTTTATAGTCCGCTCATTGTTTCGCGCCAAAAACATCACGAAAGGCTCCAAAATTCTTCTTATTTCTTCCGAATCCGGCTCAATTACATTACGACATGAAAAAGAAGGTGGCGGCAATTATGGACACCATGCTTCAAAATCTGCGTTGAACATGGTTGGAAAACTGCTATCGCTAGATCTGAAGGAGCATGGGATAATTGTGTCGATTTTGCATCCTGGATTCATGCGGACAGAAATGACTAAGGGAGTAGGATTTGATAAATATTGGGACGACGGAGGAGCAGTGACGCCAGATGAAGCTGCGGTGAGCTTGGTGGAATGGGCAAAGAAGTTAGATATGAGTAAGTCCGGACAATACTGGGCACCTAGGGGTCCTAGAGATATCGGTACTGCAGATGTAACCATCGGAACGGAGCTGCCTACACCTTTACAACTACCATGGTGATGGAATGATGGATATGGTATACGACAATGATAAAGGTGATGACAATAAGTTGTATTAGTTCATGTAGCTCTAGACTTAAGTTCTTTTAACCTCCATGTCATAGTTTCGAATCGTATAGCGAGCAGATACTGAAGTGCAGAACAAGACTGAGTACAAAGAAGGGCTTGTTTGTATAAGTCGATGGGCGGAGGAGGAAAGAATTGATTGACTTTCAGTCGCCGTATATCCCTCACTCTAACAAGATTTTTATGCCTATTATCGCTTGACACTTTGCGTTATGCTCTAGTCGGGCGTTTCGTTTGACTGCACGATTTGAAGGTCCTGTGGCTGTCGAGCTTATCCGGCTTACATTTATTTTGAGAAGGTACCTTTAAATCATTTTCTTCTACAGGAAGTCGCGACAACCAGAATAGAGCCTCAGTTGACGTTTTCCTGAATTCGGGCAAGGGAAGCACTCTAACTCAGGACTGGCTGTGAATGTGTGTCTACCAAGCAAAATATGAAGCGGCCATGCATTGACTTATGGATTTTGCGAGGTATATGTGATATTAAAGATTTCTAGTTGTGAATCTTGCTTATATCGGTTTTATTAAGGGATATGGACAGTTACTGACAAATTCAGATAAAGCATTCACAGACTGTTTAAGCACTCCATCCTCCTCAACAAACTTCTTCTGCAGGATGGAAATTGGCCATACAGTCTCTACCTGATTGCGCTTGCCAATCCCAAGAAGTTCAAATTTAAAAGCATGATTTCAATGCATCACACGATAACAGCCATACATCCGCTTGATCTCATTTACAATTTCGAGCAGTTTTGTATTCCAAAAGTTACATTTTCGAACTCTGATACAATCACAATTGTAACCATTTTCTCTTCGTGGGCAATTCACCTGGTCGCAATATCATTAGTTGAACCAAAACAAAACAATCACATAGCAATGCAGTTGAGCAGGGGTGCTATATTTGCGATCACAGGCGCATGCTTTGTACTTCTAGCTGCTGCTTTTCTTTACTGCACTTTCCGCGAACCGCGTAAGGACAGAAACAACTCTATCACAAATCTCCAAGAATTAGGACAACTTCCAAAACGTCCACGACCAGTACACTCTCGAGACCCAAGACGCTCGCACTCAACGCACAATCGGCACCCAAGACGTCCACGTTCAACAAATACTCGAAATCCAAGACATTCACATTCAGCGCAGACTAGGCGTCCAAGACTGGCATCAGACAGTTCTGAAGAAAGAATCAAGTAATCTCATCAAATTTCTCCGTCAAACCTCCAAGATGCATCGAAATACCAAACATGGCCTTATATTTCTTGCTCTCTTACTTATCTGTGGAGGAGGCATTGCCCTGTTTTTCGTTGTTTGGCTCAAACCTCATAGTCAGCATCAATCTGCTACGAAGCGCTGGGTGGCGGCCACACAGCAACATGATTCTCATATCAGGAATTCTCCTTTGGATGATGCAGCTGTTGGCCACTCTAGTTTTGAAAATAGCGAGTTTCCTCAACTCTACAGATATCATACTCGCCGCAACACTCCGTCTCGACATAGAAACAGACACCGCTCTTCTTACCCGGAGACGGATATTGGTAATCTGGGTAGTTACTCCTCAATCGTTCCGACCAGCACAGCTATTTAAACAAGTGTACGATCGTCGTCCACTGCTGGTATTAGTGTTGCTCCAGCTATAAATATCTATTCGCCCCTCAAAATGGTAGCCTTGAGTACTTTGTTGGCAGCGGGAGGATTCCAAAGCTCTGCTATTACGTCCTCGAACCCAAGGTCCCACGGAAGCTACGTTTCCGCAACTCCAACGAGTGCACAACCATCGATAACTTTTGGCACTGGACGTAAGCATGTTCACGGTTTCTGAGCTTAGGGGTATGAAATATGGGACCGGAATCGATAGCTTTTTATGATCGCACACTAATGTTGGGGACCTTGTTTAAATATCCAGTGATAGACTTCCTGGCGATGTGTAGATACGTGATTTTGGACGATGTTGGAAGTGAGGAGAATAGTTTCTAGGATTTCATAGATCATAACATTTACATAAATCTAAAATCTTTTATTTCTTTCTAGTGTAAACTGTTTTATCGCGGTTGCAGTGAATTTCTTGACTAGGTGACATTGATGAATCATATCTATAAATGGTGGTATCTGTTTTCAGCTGAGTCATATAGCGGAGTCATGAGTTTTCTTTGAATATATCTATAGGGATAAAGATTATAAGGTGGCACTAAACGGGATGAATGCGTGACCTGGAATGTATTGCTAAATAGAAAACAATCACGGGGAAACATACCTGGCTTCTTAAATTTTGAGGTGAAACTCAGAATTTTCATTCCCATCCGATTTCATATCCATCTACATAGACTGAGGGTCGGAGGCATACAATGTATCGTTCTCAGACGGCTGCGGACATAGTGTGCCATTTAATGTTCCGGTAAGATCTTACCATTCATAAAATGAAAGAACACACATCATTACCACCTTCGTTATAATGCCAATTTCGGGGGCAGTGATCGTAGTAATAGTGCTTTCATGAATCATTAGTGTCAATGATAGCAGTCATTCTTTGCCGAGTTCAGTATATGAGCAGTCATCATTGCTGGGCAGTAAGTTCTTCACTTAATATAGCTCGTGAGTCCCCGAAGTTTATAATTTTGCCAGCGTTTCGGACTCCTTTCCGCCTTACGCGCCTACATTTACGTATTTAAATCCTTACCCCTCGTCGTCTTCTCATTCTGAGGTCAATTTCTTTGCATGGAGTCAAAATCCCTGGATCCCACTGAATGTCAACACACAAAGGTTCTAAACCGGCATCAAACATCCTCGAACCCGAGCACAATCCTACGCCATGGCTATTCACAACAGAACAACCAAGTCGACAACCCCAAGTCCAAACGCAAAGGACACTAAGGACGATGTTTCTCTTTCCCTAGAACTAGTTATGGTAGTGGGCATCGTTCTCATTGGAGGTATTGCCATGATATTTGTGGTACACAAGACTGAGGGTTATAGAGAACGAAAGAGACAGAGAAAGCTGCCTGAGGAGATGAATGGTAGCGGTGGCTCGGAAGCATAGTACTCGTATGAATCATAAATATGACTAGTACCAGTCATTCTAGTCATTCGTAGCCGAGTTAAAATATTGGGAGTCATTAAGTCATGGGGTTAAAGGCTATCTAGTCGATCGAAGTCCCCCGTTTTTCAAACTTTACCAACACTTCGATAGCTCGTCAACATTACTACTTTTCGAACACCAAATATCAACATTTTATTAGATCGTACTACTTGATCATTATCCACCTCGACAAGCAGTTCATGTATCTTAGTACTGGTACATTAGTCTGGTTTGAATTTCATCGCTTTCATAACGTCCTCACGCTCTCAAACACAGCTTCGCCCTTAACCGCTCTCACGCCGTAAAGACTTTACAGCTTTTACATTTTGATAGACTCTGCGCGTCGAAACTCTATCCACCACTACACTTTGCTGCACTCCACCACACTGCACCGTACTTCAAAAATATCAAAGGCTCAGGTCAACATTACCATAAGTACAAACAGGCAACACACAACACACACAAACCACACCAACAAGATACTCCAAAATGGGCTCCTCAAATTCTAAACATACCCCCGCACCACCTTCGGAAGACGAAACCTGTGATTGTGCTGTATGTGGAAATGATAACAAACTCTTTCACAGTGACCGTCCAAGTGCACGGAATGTGCGGCAGTGTTCGGTTAAGCATTGCAAGACGACACGGCTATTCGTTGAAAAGGAGAAGAGATGGGTAGTTACTGTTCAACCAAATTGGAACGCACCATACGTTCAGTACTAGCTGGACTGGAGATGATACATATGGAAGATTCCTTTTCCTTTTCTTTGAAAGCTGGTGAGAGCATCAAGTTATTCCAAGTGTGATACTGTGGAGTGAGACTAACGATATGCTTCATTGTGGTCCTATTCAATGTAGAACAGGATCATCGAGTTGGGTATCTGGATTTGATGGTCATGAAATTTCCTTTTTTATGCTTTTCTTTTGCTTTCCATTGTTTGCGTGATATTTGGAGGATGATTTGGCATTAGAATGTATTGGTGGGAAAGACATCATAGCTTTTTGAGAGGAGCGCTTGTACGAAGTAGACACTCAAGCATCCAGAAATTAATCTGACTTTCCATCCACTATTTGATCTTGGAATATATTTTTATTAAAAAGTTTTTGAAACAATTTTTGTAGTCTATGATTCTGATTTCGAGGAGGTTTCTGGAATGGGGAAGTCTTGTGGTGACTTCGATGTTGAGGGCTCTTATGGATTGTGAGTTTGAGCAACTTATTTGTGGTTGAGTTTGAATTAAAGTATTGGGAGTCATTGAATCATCCGGCATTTTATTCTCCGTACAACCATACGGTCAGTGAAGGGAAATCAATGAGTACTAGTCAACTCAGTGAGATGGCACCACAGGAGGCTTAGGCCAGGCATCGACATTCCGTCGATGACGGCATTTCTTCAAGAGTAATCTGGAGTTATATCCTTGCGTATATAAATTAGTCTGGGTTCTAAGCTTCGAATAGTTAATCTAAAATTACCTTTAAGCTTCACATTAAACAAAGAGTTATTTTTGCAAGTAGAATTCACAGTGGCGTGACCCTATATGGAAGTGAATATCAAATGGCGTTTCTTTCGCTTCCCTAATGAGATCATGAAATGCCACTTATTTATGGAAGTTCTAAAGCTCTCAATCACTACCAACACTTGAATAATTTTATTAGCTTTCAGAATTACAGCTTTCACTGCACAAAAATTTGACATTCTGCCACATCATACTGCTTGATCAGCAGCCTGTCCCGCCAATTAGTCTACTTAATTCCAAGTCTCATCGACTAGATGATATTCTGCACCCTCACTCTCTCAGGTTTCCACATCCAAGTCCTCACACCTCATGTCCTTGCTTTCTTAACTCCTCACATTGTGAAGCACTCAAACCTTTTGTGATTCTTCACGCCAATCGCTCTAGCACAACTCACCGCATTCTACCACGAGATAGCCACATCAAAAACCTCATATCAACATGCCACAGCACTCAGTCTAAATACAGTTCCTGTGCCAGGACCAGTTCATCTGAAACAAGCAACTTTAAGCTCATAACATACTAGACAAATACAATGCATAAAGATCTTTCTATTGGAATCAGCGCTAGAGCCAGAGTCTTGGCTGTGCTATTCCTTGCGATACGCTTCTGTAGGAGGGTAGTTGGCGATTCATAGCCATGCCCGTCGCTCTTGTTATGAAAATCCATAATATAAGCGAGGAAGATTTTGATGGATTCTGACCTGGAACTTTTGAGTTGGCTACTGGTGATATTTGGTCAAGTCAACCTTTTTTTTTTTGGAAGATAATTTTCCATCAGTACGTATCTCTGGGAATGGCAACATCGTGTTGCATTGGAATGTATCTTGAGCAACGAGGAATGTGGTGCAAGATTTAGTTGTTAAGCAGAACCCAAAAGCTTCCGAGATCCATATTAGCTTCCGCTGACTAACTCAGAACATAAATTTTACATCTGATACCCGTTCTTTTAACCCTCATGCTAACTTTGAAGAAGTAAAGATTTTCTGTGAGCTGCACCGAAATATCCATTTGGAAGGCGCATTCTCATTCCTGCCCTTGTGGGCCTACGTAGCCCCAACCTCTCATTTCTTGTCCGATTTATTAGTATTTATCCAACTTAAGAGCTGCGGGGAATCTCCATTCCCATAGATTATTTGGACTTTTCATCACAATTTATCAACTATAGTCGTTGCTAGTTCTAATATGAGCTTTCATTTCTAATGAATCTTGACGAATTTGGAACTTTGCATCCATCAACTCTCGTCTTTATCTATACAACTATTAGAACTCTATATCTTCTGGCTAACTGTATTGGCACACTCTAACAATCTGGGATTCTCGAAGATCTCCAATTGTCTCACCGAAAACATCTACAGAAACATGGCAAGCACTACTTCTATCACATACCCCGGCTCCATTAACAATCCAACGTACGGTGTCGCTTTCTGCGTCTCAGGAGTTGTATTGGTTTTTATACTAGTATTCGTATGTTGTGGATACGGATGTCTCAAAAAGAGGAAACTAGAAGCTCAGATCAGAAAGGAAGCAAAAATGGAAGCGAGAGCACGTCGACAAGAGGAATTCGTAATGATTGACATCCCGTCGAAGGTTTACTCTGCAAAATATTGACTTCTATTTAAAAGGAAAGGCGGTTGGAATTATCAACACATGTTGTCCCATTCTATTGGGTACAGGAGGATCATGGTATTTTTATTCCTCGTCTGTGGATTCACCATTATCAAGTGGTACTTCAAGTGCGAGTAAATTTATCATATCAGACCACAAACAACCTTGGAAGTTATGAACACCCTAGCAGACCAATCTATCTCTACCACACCTTTCCTATTTTAAAAAGTTCTGGTAACATCCTCAAAACACAAAGATCTGCAAGTTTTGATACCAACACAAGCAATATTGCAACTCAATCATAACTTCCCGACCAAGATTGTATCTTGGAAGCTCTTGATCAACTCTGCGAAACATTCCGCACAATGGGCCAACCATTACCAAAAATAAGATTTTGGGACATTCTCATGGAAACCCCATGGACGAGCATACCTTTCCGCCCCCGATGTCAGATAGTCCACGTAATCGCCAGATTTGGGGTCTACAGCCCCGCAGCTTATATACCATGGGCTATAGCGGTCGCGGTTTCACTTCCAATTTTCGCATGTATCACAGGGATTCTTTTAGTCATAGATGGCGTTGCTGTTGCTGTGGAATTCATCTATACCACACTCAAGCGTCGGACTACCAGAACGCGGCGTGGAATTTTGGACGACGGCGGTGATTTGGTTTCAGATCAACTTCCTACAATCAACAATCACTTTTCTGATTCTACTCCGAAGATCTCCTCAAGGCTCTCTTCGGCATTCATTCCGGATGTCGATCACACTTTCATCAATGGCTCTGTTCTTGCTGAAAAAAAGCTCTCACTTTGCAAAATTCCTTCGACAAGTCTTACCTGCATTTATGAGAATCTCAACCTGGCATTGCCTCAACCATGCGCTCAAGTTGGAGGTCGGATCAGAAAAAGCGAATCCCAGTTTACTTTCGACCCACCTCCACCATACCTTTAGACTACAGGATCGATGTTATTCGACGATGGCGATTGCCATGTGAATATCCTAAACTATATTTCAAGAGAATTCGAAAATAGATGGGTTGATATATGGTGTGTTTGGATGTAAGGTTTTACTTACGTTGCGTTGACGTTCATTGGATGGGAAGGAAGAAGAGGAGAGAAAAGATTTTTGCAGAGAAGGAATCAAGAGCCCATAAGCTTTAATTGTAAGGCATCATGGCTTTTACTAAGATCCTAGATACAAATTCAGATATGGAGATTCCGCATTACTTCTCATTCAGTTTTGTAATGTGGAGCTTGTATTCGTAGCGTTTTGATATTTGTTTTGCTTAACATCATCCACGCGCCTTTGAAACTGCCCAGGTGACTTCAACCTTACTTTTAGCGATAGGTTTCCGTGTACCTAGATCGAATAGACTGATACTCAGCAATAACGATGCATCTTTAGATGCCCTCTAGAAACGCTTGGATACATCTTTGACCTCGGCACTTTTGGAGTCTGGATCAGAGTGGGTAAACACGTTTAGCTAGGGGTCTCTGCATGTAAGGCTATGTGCGCATACTTGTTAAAGTTATATGTACATGTGGCACGGAGAGAGAAAGCCCAACCAGAAACGTCAACAGCTCACTACACGTACACACAGCACAAGTAAACCGCAACGATGTTTCAACCACCTTATAAAGATCAAATACCCCGGGCAGAGTATGGGTGCCTAGCCCTGGTCTTGATATTGTGAGAAAGTTGGAATTATAGGCCAAATACATAAAGGTTTTAACTAGTCAATCATATGACCTTTTGTAATTAGATATAAAAGAAGAGCCTTTTGCCTCTTCTTTTTACAATAATCAACCTTCTATATATATACATTTGAATCTATATAGCATCAACCCCAAAACCATTGTGAATCCCGTTTTACCCATAAGTGACGTATTACAATGTAATCTAATTCAGCTTTCTTCCAATTCCCTCCTCACAGCGTGCTATCGGGACGCACGTATCTCGACCTACCACTTTTACAATATGAAGTCCATGGTATATAATTAGAGAATTGTAAGAAAAGAAAGAGAAACAAGACTAAATATTTCAAAACGTCAAAAAAATTGAATCCGATGTATACTATACTATACATTGATTACTAATGCATATAATAAAGGCAAATAAAACTCCATCCATCTTTTCCATCTTTTCCTGTCTTCTTTTTCAACCCTAGGTATCAAATCATAGACTAAAACTCATATCCGCATCCCTATTCCGAAATTGCCCGTAAAATGATATAAAAATAGGTACTAAACTACACTCCCTTCGTAATGCGTATCCTGACCTTTCTTTTCTTTTCCAATACTAACTTAATCTTACATGACTTGTTACAATAAAGTGACCTACATAGGAGGTAAAGAGAGGTACACAATGAGACGAGAACCTAAGGATATCTTTCCCCAATCACACCCCTCTCACTCTCCCTCCTCTGCTCCACACTTCTAGTCGAGTCTCCTACAATCTCCACTCTCTTACCGGGCGCTTGATCCCCGTCTCTCAAGGCCGATATCGCCGCAACAGCCACAGGCGGCGGAGGTTCAACCACAAACCCCAACCCGCTACTCCTCTGTACCCAAGGCATCTTACTCGGATCCAGATATTTTTCGAATTCCCACGTTCCACTAGTGTTAACTCCATCAGTAGGGGTATCCATACCCATTGTCGTATTCGTAAAATGGGATTCTCTTCCATGACTATTATTCGTAGTCACCGTATCATTTCCAGCCCAATGATTACCACTACAACCACTTCTTTCGAGATAAGCTTCTGCTTCTTTATCCATTCGGGTCATGCGTTCCATACCACTATCCCTATTCATACCCATATGTAAAATACTTCCGCTCCCGCGAACTTCGCGCTCGGTATCCATCCATGGTTTGGGTTTCGCAGGGTTAGATGTAATCAAAGCAGCATTGCTTGCAAAACTTAAGGCGCTTAATGCGGGACTATTGGATCGGCTATCCATATCCATCTCTTCGAGTTCCTCGTCCATCTCGTCCAATTCTGCCCAGCATAGTTCATCATTGCCACCACTCAATTCATAAATTTCCTGTGCCTTTTCTTTTTGCTTTTTCTTGCGCTCCTTGCGCCGTGTAGAAAGACTTGCAAGATGAAATGTAGGTTTGGGTTCGGTGGGGACCAGGCTAGAGTTTTTGTTGACTATGGTATCCGTTGCATTGTTGTGAATGGGGCTTCGGGTTGTGGTGGTCTTAGAATTGTTATATCGAGGATCGAGGGTGAGGTTTGGGCTCCCGATAGCTTTGCCTATGTTTAGAGAGACGGTTGATCGGTTGGAAGGGGTGAGAAGGACAGAATTGGTTCCTTTGTCGAAGAAACTTAGTTCCGAAGGGGCTTTGGAAACATGTCTGGACTTTTTGTCTGTTTTGTCTTTATGGGATATGAAAGGAAGAGGTAAGGGGGAAGATGGAGCGGAGCGGAATGAATCTTTCTTCGTAAGACTCCAAGAAATAGATGAGGGTGCAGAAACAGTATTTGACCACCCAGGAGCTTGTTTGCGTTGGTGGACGCGGCGAAGAATGTAGATTGTTAGACACAAGGTTAAAGCTATGGAAACAAGAATTGCGAGGACGATAGCTGCTATGGCTGAGGTTGAGATTCCAGATTTTGAAGAGGATGAAGATGTTGCAGGGGTTTGAAGAGGGGAAATGGTTGTCGGGCTTGAAGCAGGATAGAAAGTGCTCCAGTTGCGTTGATGGACGGAAAATTGTGATCGTTCGTAGTCGGCAATTAGGTAGGCTTCTTGGAGAAATACCCGTCCAAGTGTGATCTGAGAGTCATCGACTGCTCGCTTAAGAGGGAAATAGCGAGTACTCTTTTCAACAATTGGGTAATCGGCCCACCAATCGAAAGCAGCGTATGGAAGTGTGATGTTTACCATAGCTTTAGAAGTGGAATTCGTGAGAGTAAATGTGACAGACGCATTTTTGGCGACAATTGTGGTATACTGGGCATCGTTGAGTAAATAAAGTTCCGATTGTGTATCGTAGGTAATGCCGAGAGCTTCTTCGAACTTTTGACATATGCTGGTTGGTAAATACAGGTATGGAATGGATGAATCAATGAAAGCTGGAAAGGACGATGATGGTGATGAGATGACCTGAGACTTCCCACCTGTTGAGGTGACTGTGATTGTGTTGACATCAATGGTCAGGTCGTTACCATTTGTGGCAAAGTCGACAGTAAGATTATTTGGAACGATGAGAGACTCTTCATATCCGCCCAATGTAAGATTAGCAAATACTCCTCCCCCACTTGCTCCCCCACCATTGCGATAATATGCTCCTGCAGTGTAGCCATAGGACAATGATGGAATATGACCTTGAGACTTGAGGTTAGACATATAACTTGGGACAGGCTCGGTTTTGCCAGAAAAGTTTGTGGGGGCAGGATTGAGACCAAAGAGACCCAGCCAAAAGTCATGAGTGGTGATGGTTGCGAGGACTTGCGAACTCAAAGAAGGAGATCCACTACCTGGGGATCCCAGCATGATGGTATCGCTGCCATAATATCCATCACCAGCAAGACCAAGATTCGATTCAAGTTCCAAAGCAAATTCGCCTTCTGAGTTGATGGTATTTGGCACCCTAGAGCTTTCTTAACACCATAATGACATGATAAGTTTCTTGTAGTTTACGTACCATGTGGTTGACCCGCTCGAATTATAATTCAGACCTCGCGAGCCAAGACAAGTTCCTGGGTCTGATGGAGTACACCCATCTGGTGATATAACCCAAGGTTGGTTACTTGCTGTTGATATGAAAATTTGGACGGGTTGATAAGGTGTTCCCACTGTGAGCCAAAAGCTTGACCAGTTTCCGTCAATACCATTCCTGATGATAGTGTTAACAAATGACGTGGTGAGATAGACTTTTGAGGATCGACAATGACTTACCAATTAAGACTTGGAAGAATGGTGAGAGGAGGAACAGGGGTCGATGAAATTGTTGAGGCCAAAGTCTGGTTAAGTAGGCAGAGTAGAGGCAATAGGATGGAGACCAGACACCTCCAATAAGACATAGACATTGGAAAATATCATTAAAGATAGCTTCATGAATTAATACTTGTTGAGAAGACAGAACATGCTGGCTATGGTACAATAGCTGGTAAGGAGAGACAAGAAAGAGAAAGGGCGGAAACAGGCTCAAACGGTACGAAAAAGGTGTAACTTGAACACAAGTTTCCGACCAGATCTGCATCCAGGCGGGAACGTCTAAAAGAAAAGTAATGTACGAGGGGAAGGTCGAGAACTTGAAGGATGAAGAAACGTGCTGTGCATACCGGGCACCTACTATATGATACTACTATCTCGTGTGTCAGATAATTTCAAGTGCCAGGATCTGCGGATGGGTGGAAGTAAAAAAATTCCAGTTTCTCTCAAATTTGCCTGGAGCTTAGAATGGTTTTTCATAAAGAGGGGCGAGATGTGATGGTTAGCATAATTAATGAGAAGGATTCATCTCTGGCTTTGTCATGGCCTATATGTAGCATATAGCTAGCCAATCCTCAGCCGTCACTTTGTAGAAACGGAAGATTCGTAAGACCATAGGTCTGTATAACTTGGGGCGGAAATCTATCTCGCTTGGTAGAACTGATGTACAGATGATAAGAAAAAGGTACGGTAGTAACAAGGTTCTATGGAGTTTTGTGCAGCTTTAACTAAACGGGATGGACTTCCGAGCTGCTCGTAGAGTACAGGATCTAGAAAAATGTAGCAGAACAAATTGACTTGAAATGAAATGATTTGATTTGAGCATTGAAACGCAAACCTGGGGTTGAACAAGGCTCTCTCCATAACACTGCCACCAAGTTTGAGTGCAATTCAATCCATTGCATTGGGATTTGAAATCCTGACTAAAGCTCTCACACATTCTACTGAGAAGAAAACAATAATATGCTGGCCTTTCACACTAGTATTTTCACATTGGTGGTGGTCTTCTTCTTCTTCCTCTTCTTCGAAAATCAGGGGCTTGATTCTAGAAATCTGCGACGATGTAACGATATCTTCGTGTCATTTGATTTCCCACGTAAAAGCATGGTCCCCTGTTTCGAAAGGATCGGATTAATCGAAGTTGAATCCTGACGAAAACGTGGAAAAGGGATGATGATGAGTGAGAAACGTAAGACGGTTGATCTTTGGTGGTCATTGAGATTTGAAGAAGGGAGGGGAAGGAGAACAAAAAAGGATGGAAACTCTCTGGCCGCCTTTAGTGAGAATGATTGCCACTTTTACAGCGTATTCCAGGTAACACACCAGGGTATCATCAATGTTGAAAGCTATAGTATAGTCTATAGAACCCCTCTACAGGCAGAAATATTAGTGATGTGGTAGATTAGTGATGCTGGGGAAAGCCTAAAGAGAGGCAATCGCAGGCAATCGCAGGCAACCGTAGGCAATCGTAGGCTAATTAATACACTATTAAACCCCTTGCCAGAATAATAAAGGTCACACCACCACCACACTAAAAGAAAACTCCACACAGATATGAGCATGCCTTACAACATCATCTCTGAACATATAATCGCAACAAAGTTCTTGAAGAGATGCCCTCAACAAGCCAACCATAGACCATATGCGTTCGAGTAACTCTATACAGCTACTAGTTCATGCACAACAGACAGCTATATTGATTTAGACCTGTTGTCGCAACACGGTTGACTCTACTACTCTCATCGAGACCTTAGGAAATGATGGGCTTATTATGCTTTCCCCATTCACCACTTTAAGCTTCACGATTAATTCATTGCATTATTGCACGATGGTACCTATTTAGATGTATCTCTGGAGATTCCGTCTTACTCCAAGGTTTCTAGCGACATGCAGCGATGTCACCTCAAGTGTCTCCGCCTCCAAAAATATCTTTGGAAAAAGAGAAGAATGCGCAGCCATCATACTGCACCACACCCACACCCACACCCACACCTCAATCGCACCGCATCTCAATCACACCTTCACCAGAATGCTCGAAAACGCTCTGTACCGTTATATGTAGGTGTCTTCTTGGGGTTTCTTTGCGCCGTGTGCCTTTTTCTGCAAGGGGCCACATGTATTTGTATAGAACTTTATCAGTATCCACTCGGACCACTGTATTATTTTTCAACCGAGTCTTATTCACCCACCCATGACAAACTGGCACAGCCGCTTTCGCAACCTCCCTTGATCTTTCTTAATCCTTCAACCTCCCACTCCTTTGTTTACGAGGTATGCGGGCTCTATATTTGGCCCACGGATGTTGCTTACGATGGATTTAAGTTACCGAATTGAGCAAGTCACTCTCTATTTATGCTGCGAACTCATTAGTGTCAGGCACAGCATCGGCTCTTGCATCAGCAAATAGTTTAACGATGACTCGCTCATCAACCTTTCATTCTATGGCCGAGGGGAGGAAACTCCCTGGCAATTTTTGGGATGGGGATCTAACTTGTTACTGCCCAACTACCAAGTGACTTGATCTGCAAACCTGATTCTTTAATACACTCCCAAATTTCATCTCGAGATTGTTTCGTGATGCAGGCTGGTGAGCTCAGCCCCCAAGGTTTCATTTCTTTCAAAAAGAATATAGGAACCTCTTCCTCTTGCAATCTTGTTCTTTTCCTCCTTCTCCCGTCGTTTATCTCTTTAATTCTATGTTCTCATAAGACCTCATCCACGGGTTGATGCCCGGCGTATCGTCCCATTTTCAACATGAAAACTTTACTAGGGCCTTTCCTAGGCACCTTGTCTCTTCTACATTCAGTAACTGCATTTCTTAGCCTAGACCAAGGTAAGACTAATCAATATTGATTCGTGGATTTGGTTCATCTGGTGGCGTTTAAGTGTTACATCTGCTGATACATCCTTTCCTCCTAGATGTTGTATTAGTTCGAAGGTATACTAATGAAACCTCATCGTCGCATGCAGTTTCTTCCGTCATATCATCAAAAGGGTCTCCGACCACCACACTCATTCCATCTAGCAAATTATCTATATCTTGTACGGCAACAGTCACTTCAACAAGTGGCCAGCCTATAACAGCTGCAAGAGAAGCTTGTCCCACCACTGTCACTATCGTTTATACATCTGTATCGGTTCCAAATAATAGTAAAAGTGCCACTAAAGTATCCACGTCCGAGAAGGCAGCCGTTACCACATCGGCCCAAGCATCGACATTGAAGACATCTGCACATACTACTATTGCCAGTCCGGAAACCAAGTTGAGCTCTGACAGTTCTAACCCAGTCCCCTCCATACTTCAATCTTCAGAGACCTCCGCTGAAGCTTTCAGTACACTCTCAAGTACTTCTGTCGCTCATTCTAGTTCTATCACCTCAAAGTCAGATGAACAGATAAGCTCATTGACTTCGAAGCGATTTAGTAGCAGCACGCCACTCTCGAGTGTCTCTACTGCACCCACTGCTTCACATCCAAGTATATCGGGTGGACCTTCATTATCAAAAATATCAGAGTTATCTTCGGAATCTCTTTCTCCGACGAACTTACCTGGCGGCATCACAACAACACAAGCCTTCACAGTCACGGCATCATCAGCGGGCTCAACAACACTACTTCCGTCCTCGAAGAGTGTCGCTTCATCCTTTCCATCTGTGCATACTGATATTCCGAAGCCCGAGTCTTCGAGTATCTTTATCTCATCCAAGACAACCAGTTCTGCGTCGTCAACTCTCAGTGTTACCTCTAACAGCGAATTGATCACGTCTAAGAATTCTAATTTTGCTTCATCAACCGCGGGACTCTCCGACTCGACTGCTCCAGCTTCTCTCACTGTGAGCCCAGAATCGAGCTTCAAGCCTAATTCGATATCCTCAAAAGCGCCGTCAACTACCACGACGTCAAAAACATCAGAATCTTCTGTTCAATCAACACGCGAGCCTAATTCTGAACCCGGCTCCGTGCAATTGTCAATCTCTTTTACAGTCAGCTCTCTTTCAGGCCCGTCTGAGTCTTCCGTCCAATCGACACGTGAATCGAGATCAAAAGCTAGCTCGGGGCCTTCAAAGGTGTCAGCAACTACCTTGACATTCCAAACACCCAAATCTTCCTCAGCTCAGACAACACATGAAGTTCAACCGGAATCTAGCTTGACATCCTCTTCGTCGGTGTCTACAACTGCTGTTTCGATCCCCAAAACATCTGGGTCTTCCATTCAAACTACAGCTGAAAGTAAATCAAAGACCGCTTCGGAGCCTTTGAAGATATCGTCGACTACCATAACATCCAAGACATCTGAATCTTCTGTTCAAACCACCAGTGAAGTTAAGTTGTCATCAAGCTCATCTTTATCGTCAGTCGTATCATCAACTGTCTTAGTTTCGCAAATCTCCGAGACGTCGTCTTCTCCAACGACACGAGAAGATCAGTCAGCTTCATCATCGACTTTCCAAACTCCTAAGCCCTCCGGAAGTTCCTCGTCCCTAACGACACGGGATCTTAAATCGGAATCAAGTAAATCGACTTCTTCTGCTTCCTCGCCGGCATTTCCTTCTTCTGTAACATCCGAAACCTCTTCTGCTCCAACGTCACGAGTAAGCAAATCAGACTCGAGCAAATCGGCATCACCAACTTCATCAGCTTCGTCAGTTTTAGGTATTGCAACCTCAAAAGCATCTCAGGCATCAACTCAAACTCAATCAAACAACGAGTCGACATCAAGCCCTTCCACGGTTGAAGCTCAGCCGACTTCGGTGTCTTCGAATACCCAAAGCAAAATCACGCAGGAGATATCTTCAAACAAACAGTCAAGCACTTTCAACCCGACTTCCAACCCTACCACTACCTTTCAAGGGCACACTTCATTGCAATCAGACACTACATCTTATAGCTCAAACTTACCAGGACAAAGTACATCGGAATTAAAATCAACGAGCAAAAGTACCGAGGCTCCTACTCAAGGAAAACCTTCAGAAACTACTGCTGATAATACAAAGCCTGCAAGCATTACTCAGGAACCCTCTACTTTTACCCAAGTATCTGGAACTGCTTCTACAAGTGTGGAATCCTCAGTCAGCGAAAGTTCAAAGCATAGTAGCTCAATTGAGGACCTATCCACATCTATAAAGAGCACGAAAGTTCATTCAATTAGCACTTCCCCGTCCAATTTTCCAGAAAAGACTGAGACTGGAAAGACTGCTGAAGGGACCTCTCTATCCTTCTCTTTACTTAGCAAGGTTACTAGTGAAGCTTTTTCCGCCACCGGTGAGAAATCCAAGACTTCAATCTCCTCGCCTCTTACGTCTCTCAAGTCGTCATCCGAGAAAGAATCAACCACCTCACATACGACAAAGATTCAAACTTCAGAAGTTAGTTCCAAAACAGGGTCCGCAAAGGGGTTGACAGAGCCTACTGCGTCACCTACGAGTAAAGTTCAGACTCCAACTGAAAGCTCTAAATCAGAATTATCGAATTCACTCCCATCAAAGACCTCTGCGACCTTACAGGGTGAATCAAGCATAAAGCCCACTTCCTCTCAAACCTCTGTCTCTGTACCATCATCTACAGACATGAATACGAGTGTTATTTCGGGTTGTACAGCAACTCTTTCGGTTGCTGGACAAGTCTTACCAGCATGTCCACATACAATCACTCTTGATTCATTCTTTTCCACTTCAAAGACACCGGCTCCGACTTTACCTACCAGTATTATAGTTTCAACCAGTAGTTCTGCTACTTCAAAGGTGGTTGATACTACTAGTAGTAGCATATCTAAGATCAGCTCTGCTAAATCTAACCCGGCTACGTCCAACCCAGCTACTTCCAGTTCAGCTACTTCTACTTCCAACCCAGCTACTTCCAACCCGGCTACTTCCAACCCGGCTACTTCCAATTTCGTCAGCAAATCTCAAGACGCGCCTACGTCTGTTCCTAATATTGCTTCACCAACTACTAGCTCAGCTATCAAGTCACCTGATACACTGACAATAGTCCCTGCGACTAGTAACCCGACAAATCCTATATCTATACCTGGGACTAAATCTTCTGAGACAGCAACCATTGGCTCATTCTCGGGATCTGCAGTTGCTTCGTCTACGGCATTACCTTCTAGTCCCAATCCAGTTTCGAGTAAATCACCTGATGCTCAAACATCTATGCCAGCCGCGACCAAGTCGCTTGATGCAGCTACTTCTAGTCTAGCGAATAGCATTAATCCTGCTACGAGCAAATCACCAGATGCTTCTATCTCCGTCTCAGCAACCAGTGCTTCGGTTATCCTAGCCACGACTAAATTGCCAGATTCTCTAGCTTCTAGTTCGGAGACTACCAAGTCACCTGATACACTTATTTCAAACCCAGTCACCACAAAGGCACCAGAATCAACTGCTGCTCCTGCAGCTAGTTCCGTGATTTCAAAGGTCGATGCTAGCGGTGGAAATACTTCTGAAATATTTTCAACAGTGACACCTACAAGTCAAGCTCGTACCGAAACCACTAAGGCTATATCAACTCCACAAGCAACTTCAAATCTTGTGGCTATTTCAGGGACACAAACTGTTGATAGCGCGACCAAACTAGCATCCTCAGAATCTACGATTTCCTCATCAGTAGCGCCACTAGTGAGCAACACAGCTACAACAGTCAATAATGTCTCTCCTCCATCAACTACCAATCCTGTTTTGGTTACAGGAACAAACCCGACTGGTACTGCTTCAATCTTATCATTATTAGGATCCACAGTCTCCCCGTCTATTGTATCATCATCTTTTTCTGACTTCGCTATAACAACGAGCAATGTTTCACCACCAGGAACGACAAACCCTGTATCTGTGCCCGAAACTCAATCAGCTGGTACTACCACAAACGTGTCGTCATTTGAATCTACAGTTCCTACATCGACCGCAGTTTCCCTCGGTTCAAAGCCAGCAGATACCACATCTGTAAGCAATCCAACCAACACTGTAATTGGAAGCCCTGCATCTCTACCTTCTTCTACCGGAAATTCTGGAACCAGTACATCAGCTGTAGGAATACCAGTTGGTCTACCAAGTGATAAAAGTAAAATTCCCGTAGGTTCAATTGGAACAGCCGACATTATTGGTACTCAGCCCATAGCCAGTAACCCCAACATTCAAATAGGCGCCACAGCTAAAGGACCTCTACCATCTGACACCGGTACCGCGATCCCCAGTATCCAGGTATCTCCCAGTGGTGTAAAAACCAATCCTGACGTCACAACTGCAGTTTCAAACCCAGCAATCACACCAACAACCATCAACCCCTTACCAGGCCAAACAACCATCGCGCCAGTTGTAGTTAATTCCCTAACACTCAGTCAAAAAACCTCTGACTTCGTCATCGGTACCCAAACCATCAAGCCCGGTTCCGAAGCCACTGTTAGCGGGGAACGAATCTCAGTTGCTCCATCTGGATCTGCAATTATCATCAATGGCGTAACAACAAGTGTTACATCCACACCCTCTCCTACAACTAGCGGTGTCAAAACCGTTTTATCAACTACTACCGAGGCCCTCCCCGGTGTTGTTGTAGTCGGAACTTCAAGCGTAACGGCCGATTTCAAGAACTCCGCTTTCCTAATCGGAAGCGCAACACTCACTCAAGGCGGAGCAATAACCACCGGTTCAACCATCATCACTCTTCCACCCAGCACAACCACCTCACTCCCCTCCAACATAGTTGTAATTGGATCCTCAACCTACACCAAAAATTCAGCATCCGGCGTGCTAATCGGTTCTCAAACACTGAAACCCGGATCAGTTATCACCGTCGACGGATCCACCGTTTCTCTATCTCCTACTGGGAATGCCGTGGTGATAAATGCCAATTCGGGATTTGTGACTAGTACAGCTAGTTTGCTGCATGTGGTTCCTGTTAGCAGTGTGATGATTGGTGGTCAGACGCTTACGGCTGGGGGGACGGTTACACAGGGTGGAGATATTTTGAGTTTGGCGGCTGGGGGGACGGGTATCGTGGTTGTGGGGACTAGGACTGTAGGAGCTGTGGGACAGACGGAGGCGCCGAAGAAGAAGAGTGCGGGTGTGAGGGGGAAGGGTGTGGGAATGGGGTTGGGGATGGGGTTGGGGATGAAGGGATGGGGAGTGTTGTATTTACAGATTTCTTTTGTGGTTTTGGTTTTATGGTTGTAAGATGCGAACTTATAAGCTTGTATATGCTTTATGAGGTTGAGAGATTGCGAGCTGAGGAGGGGATGTTGAGGTTAGTAATGGAGATTAGGTTTTATGTTTTTATATTCTACATTTGTATTTATATTCTAAGAGTGTCTGAAATTTGTAGGACAGACAGGATAACGATGTATCATATCTTTATTGAGCGAGCTAGTGAAAAGTTTTATCAACTCGGAAGGATATATTTTATATATATTATTTTTATTTTCTTTGTATTTTTTATTTTTTATTTTTTTTATTTTTTTTATTTTTTATTTTTTATTTTTTTTATTTTTTTTTTTTTTTTTTTTTTTTTTGAGATTGTATTATTATCCAGATATTATTTTTACTTTTATATAAAATTATATATATATTATTTAATATTTATTATCAATATAGATTTTGTTTTAGTATGAGTTTAAGTGTGAATTTGAGTTTGGGTGTAAATAAGAGTGTAAATTTTATTATGAGGGATCGGATATCTATGCGTATGAGTAGGTACATAGTTGAAGAGGTAGTACTTAGATAAAGTTCTGTGCCACGTGGATGAGGTGCTTTCGCTGTCAGAGGAGATTTATGAGGGGAGAGGAAGGGTAGATTGAGGAATTACAAAAGTGATGGAAATTTCATTTGACTCTTACTTTGCTTTTTTTTGACTTGTGATTTTTTTACATGAGAATAAACGGTTTATTTACCTGGTATCATTTAACCGTGTATACGAATTAATCAACTTTCGAAATAAAGTATTTAATTTATTTCGAATAAGCTATCTATAATGTTGTATTGATGGATTCTATGGATTGTAATCCCTTCTAGTATCTATGCTTGTCTATTCCCTGCATATGTACAGTATCTAAATCTCGGTTTGCGAACAGAATAAACGGGATGAGACGAAATGAAACCAAAACAAGGAGAGGGGATTTAAATTTCGTAAGAGGAGCAAATGAGCTTACTCCTTCTTGGCTCTTTTGCTTGCTAGCCCCTCTGTCATGCATTGAGCTAAATCTTGTACCGTCGTTCCTCTTTTTCTCTTTTCGGTTTTTTCCTCTCCAAGAACGGTTTCATTTGCTACGATTCGGTAAACGTCGGCGATTTCTCCGAAGATACCTTTGCCCTCCTCTTCCTTTCCACTAGTTGATTCTCCACCAGAAAATCCCGTTTCCCCATGACACATCTCAATTTCCTCCATTTCTCTTATCCATCTATAAGCTTTCGGTGGCATACCTGTCATTCCTCCGCCTACTGAGTTCCATAATCCAGGTACCCTCTCACTCATTTCCTTTTCCAATTCTCCTAAAACTCCCAATCTTTGAGCCGACGTAAATGCTTGAATGCATAAGGCAGTAAACCCTTTTGTCGTACTAGCAAAACAACATTTAAGGCCCGATGCCTTACCAATTTCTTCACCTAGATAATTAGTATTTAAGAGATCCGCCAAATGGGCACCGGATATAGGAGCCTTGGAAAGTTCATGAGGTCCGGAAAGGGGTATTGAAGGACGACTCCAATTGTGCTCTTGGTTTGGATCAATGGATGCTGTGGTGTTGGGAGTGGTCCTGTCAGTTTTGAGTCTGGGAGCACCGCCAAGAATTCCACCATCGACAAATCTAATGGATGGTGATGTGGCATCGATATGAGAAGCAACTGAGCGGGCAGTAGCAGGCGCTATGGCGTTGAGGTCGAGATAATAGAGTGGAGAGGATTTTGGCGGAGAGAGTGAGTTAAAGGCCGTAGTAATCCGAGTAGCCAGTGATAGTGCATCGCGAGGAGGAACAATGGAGAGAATGTAGTCCGATTGTGAGACTAAGGAAGCATCTGTAGATAGAAGTTCAATGTTGGATTTTTGAGCGCGTTGATGTGTATCTTGGCTGAGTGAAATAGGGTGAGTTCATTGTAAAATAAAGAAGTGTTGAAAGAGGAGATCTTGGAATGAATATGTATCTGCAATCAAGTTTGACCCACCAACTTTGATGTTCTCAAAGTATAGTAGCTTCTTATCCCACTGGGAACTCTTTTATTAGAACAGAAGAACGAGAATGGCTCCTTCATCATAGACATCCGCCAATTCCATTCCAAGCATAATAATAACAGCACTACACATGTTCATATCTCCTGACTCGATGGAGCATTCTCTCCCATTAAGAAAAATCTTAAAAATTAATTCATTTTGAACATCGCCGCTCTGTTGAGCAGATAGTTAATAGTTTGAGTCATAAAAGATAAATACACCAACCTTCGACCTTCAATATTCGTCACCACACGATAATTATGGGCAATAAGCAACTTCGCAACACCCATACCCATTTCTCCAATGGAAATAATACCAACAGTGGCAAGTGGTGACATTTTTAAAATCTTGATCTAAGAAACGATGCTGAATATATGAAATCTGGTCTCTAGATGATACGGACTACAATGCAATTGTTGCATGGATGATCACATGATATGTATGCACGGACCATGCTCGAGTCCTCGTCGCGACTCCAAAAGTTGACGTATTGATCTCACAGCAAGGACTACTTGGATACTTGGACAGGAGACTACGGCTTATACAAGTCGATATATTAAAGAAAACATCATTTAACAACTTACATCATTTTCAACATCTTAAAAATGGATCGAAGTCTTGATGAAATCACTGGTGATCGTCAGGTAAGCCCTGTCAAAACTCGACGCCTAGAAAATGTTGTCTCAGCCTTGCAACACGACATAAAACTGATATCTTTGAGCAGCAGAGAAATGGTGGAAATCGAGGTCGACAAGGCCGCAGAAACAATCGCAATGACTTGCCTCGTGACGGTGTAAGAAAGGTAAGAGTTCTATCTCGATCCTTCGAGTCTCCAATCTCGAATCTCAAGTCCATTCGCTCACATTTCACCGCTTCAGGTGCATACACCTCCTCTATCCTCATATACTTAATTCCTCCCAGAATGTTCTCAGATCGCATCGCTGCTTCAATCAGCGCATGGCGCCTCGACGGTTCATGGATAGTACGTAAATAGAATAAATAGCTAACCCACGCCCCCTCTCCTTTGGCAGCCAAATCGAGGAGATGATTCTAGAAACATAGACTCGTAAGTGTTAAACTTTCCAATTATATCGAAAAGTAACTGACATTACTAGGGAATGGGTGCATGATAAATACGATGATCGAAGTACGCATCACTTCCATATTTTCATACCCTTTCGATCTCCTAGCTCACAGATATCCTAGACGCCCATTCCTCGAATCGCCCGGAAAGACGCAACTATGAAGATGAAAGACCATTGTATGCAATCTATACTTCCCGGTTCGCACTACGTGCTAACACACAAAAGAAACAGTGCAAAGATTTTGGTCGAGAATGTACACTATGATTTAACAGAAGACGAATTGGAGGTATGAAACACGAAGCAATGGGATGGCCTCTTTTACTAAAATTCCATTAGGGTCTTTTCGAGCGCATTGGCCACGTCGCTTTTTTGAAGCTTGTTTATGACCGAGCTGGGCGTTCGGAAGGGATCGCGTATGTAACTTATGAGGACCCAAGAGATGCGAAGAGAGCCATTGAGGAGTTCCACGGCGCAAACGCCAACGGTAAGGGTTACGTGCATAATCGCCTATAATGTTTCTAATATTTTCTAGGTCAACCAATCCGCTTGAGATCTGTTCCAGAAGGTCCATCAAGGGGTCGTGGAGGTAGAAACCAGTATGAATCAGGAGCGGGTCGTTCCCTTGCCGATCGCATGACTCTTCCTCGTTCTCGTTCTTTATCTCCTCCAGTCAGACATTCTGATGTCAGCAAACCACCGCCTGAAAATGTTGATCGATATGTTCCAGGAGATCGAGGAGATCGAGGAGACCGAGGAGACCAAGGAGACCGAGGAGACCGAGGAGACAGAAGGAGACGCTCACGTAGTCCTTTACCTCGCCGAGGAAGAGATGGTCGCAGGCCTGGTGCAAGAAGAGAGAGAGGCGACCGTAATACTGGTCGCGGAGGGGAGAAACCTGCAAGAGATGGTAGACCAAAGAAAACACAAGAAGAACTCGATGCCGAGATGGATGATTACTTTGGGAATGGATCAAAACAAGAAGAAAATGACAATGGCACTACGAATGAAGCTCCAGTTGCAACCCAAGAGCATGTTCAAGCTGGGGATGACATCGAAATGGTTGAATAGATTTCATGCAGTACAATAGGAGGAAATTTTCTGTCTGACTCTGGATCGCTTATGGACTAGATTGTTTAACGCGTATAATATGGGAATATTCTGATAGACTAGGAGCAGGTCAATGTTATATATTATTGATTGCGTTCCTGCTCCTAACCACCCTTTTGGAAGAATTTCAAGGAAAGAATCACTTTTGCTTATCATCTCTTCTCAAAAGTATCTTTAGCAAGTCATGGATTTCCATTTTCCTTCACCATATCCCCAGCTACTAATATACCGAGCGACAAGCAGTCCTCTCGATCCTGATACTTAATTTCTATTCCTTGTTTATCTCATTCATACTTCACACTACATACATACCTCACTTATAGAATATTCCTCTTACAACCCGGCATTATCATCGTCATCATCATTACTACTATAGTTGATCAGTTTTCTTTTCCGCTGGTTGCTTGTATTTATATAGTTGTTAATATAGTTAGTTATTTACATCTTTGAAATTTATATCTCAGAAATTTACATCTATCGTTAATTAGATAATAGATATCGAGGTCTGAGGATAGAGAGAGAGAGGAATGAATTTTAATAGTTGTGATGTAATGCTTGTCATATGATGTGAGGTGATATTAGGATGGGATGTTAGGGTGGGATAATTGTTTTAATCTACTCTACTCTACTCTACTCTAAGGATACTGAGATATTCAGATATCTTTTTCATCATCTTATAACGAGAGTAGGGGCGGGCGGGTGTGAGTTTGAGTTTGAGTTTGAGTTTGATTTGATGTGATGTGATGTTCGAGATAAATGATAATCTTAAGATATTAATTATATAAATTTTACTTGTACTTGAGGTACTTGGGTATTTTTTTTATCTTGTCGTGCTTTAGTATATATACACTTACTATACTATACACTACCTAGTTCTATGCACGATTAACTTTGAGATGGTGTACTCACTTTTATAATCTTACAATTCTTCTGTGTATGCTATTTTCTCCAAGATTTAGTCATCTTCGTCTTCATCTTCGCCTTCATTTTCATCTCCTTCCCTTTTCCTTTCTTCTCCCCTAGATACCTCACCAGAAGGGCAATCATCAACCAACCAACCAACCAACCACCAATCTACCTATCCGACCTCCAGCCCGCCCACCCACCACCAAGCCAAAATCAACTTAATAGCAATTACGAAGAACCCTTTGGAGACGACGGATCTTCACCTTGATTACTATAAGGAAACCTAATTCTCAACTCCTTAACAGGCGCCATAACCCTCCTAATAGAAAATTCTTTCTTCGCTTCGGGTTCTGGCGAATATATAGGCCATCGCGTATGGCCTACCCTCTGTTTACGAATTGGAAACAATTTTTCTGTGACGTCGGTAAAATCTACTGTTTGAGGATCAATATCGAGCTTGGTGAAAATTTCCTTTTCTTCTTCTTTAGTAGGGACGCGTCCGGTTGTGATCATGAATCTTGCTGTCATGTCAGAAAACGAAGAATAAATAGCTTCCACATCCATATCGGGAAATTTTTCCGGGAACCTGTTCCGGAGAGAATTCATCTTCTTTTTGTATTCTTCGGTACCCCTAGGCGCTGTCCCGGGTTGATCTCGATAGATGTATGAATATGGCATGTCGATTTTTGTATTGATGTGCTCGTACGTCTTCGCGTTGAGTTGTTTCTGGTGTGAAGAATGGAGGTAAAGTCCAGATTCAGATACGGCGCCAAACTCGCCTTTTCGAAAGGTAAGGAAGGGCAAGGTTTCGTCAGAAGCAGCTGATGCCGAGACAATATCACTTTTGGGTAGCTTGTCGATTGTACTAGGAACCACTCCAAATATAGTTCTCTTGGACCAACTAAGGTCAGTAGCTTCATTGAGGTTCAGCTGAATCTTTCGTGGTTCTAGTGTGATGAGTTTGTTTCCCAATTTTCCATCGGCACTGACACTAGAATCTACTTTGGAAACTTCATCTAATGCCGGGTTCCCCATTGGAGGCTCGGGTTCCTTTAACTTGTTGGGATTGATGGTAAAGAATTGTATGTAATCACCGCGTCGAGCGAGATTGCCTAATGTTGAATCTTGCCCTTCTTCAATTCTATGGGGAGTATAGTCAAACCTCGCCGAAGCAATATCTTCATATGTCAATTGAGGATCCAAGGATAAGAGGCCTTGTTTAGCGCCCCAACCACCACCACCGCTTACTAAATATAATTAGCCTTCTGCATTCTCGAATGGAAACATAACGAGTTAAATCAAGTTGAAGCCACTCACCAACGCGACAAAGAATAGCTCCAAGAGCTATCTGAGTACCAACAAATCTAAGATTCTTGTCGTCACCACCCCAAGTTCGCTCGAGATCTTCTGTCTTTTCAAGCGTTGTGGCCTTGAGATTTGGATTTAGGAGCTCCTTGCGGTATATCAACGCCCACACTCCAATGTTTGTGTGCACTTTACTAAACTCCATATATCGTGTGACCTGAGTTTCTAGTTCTGAGGAGGCCGGTCTGTTATCTGTTTCTTCCGGTCCGAAAGATAGCTGTCGAATAATATTTCCTAAGCCGTTTGCAATAGGTCGAGGAAACGTGAGAGGAACGGCCGGTACAAATATTGGTGGAATCATGGTATTTTCATGATGAAAAGCTTTGATATGCTGGTATTGCTTATTTGCGGTTTGTATGCATTTATATTCACCTTCATGCCTCCGAGTCCATTGAGATATTTCGAGGGTTGAGTGTTTTCCGTTTACAAATAAAGTATTTGCCAAAGGTAGACTCATAGTAGTCGCCAATGATTCTTCGCCCGGCTTTTGTCGATTTTTCCCTGAAATTATAAGATGAGACAATTTTTCAGGATTCGTCGTATCAATCTTGAATGATTCAGGTTTCCACACATTTTCCGGCCTTAATACTTGACTCCGTAAACCATGCAAGAACGAAAATCCTTCAAGTGGGCCAACACGCTCCGCAACGGGAATCTCATGAGGTGAAGGCGCAAGTCCATCAATCACAGCACCAACAACAACGACGTAGTTTGGCTTTTTATCCACGTGATAATATGTAAAACAATCCAAGACTTTCTTGATGAAACCCTCGTCATCTTTAAGCCAATTTGTGAAGGCTGGGGTAACTAGAATAACAATTGCCTCTTCGGCTGAAACACTAGAGAAGTTTGCGAAGTATCGAGCTTGTGTCATGCGGGCACGTTTGGAGATTAATTGCAGGACTTGTTCTTTAGTCTATATGATATGAGTGATGGTGGCATTATAAGAATATCAACCTAGCTTACAGTGCGCTTGGGGTCAGGAGAGATGATGCTAAATTGACGAGGACTCAGGGAAGAAGGCTTTCGCTCGAGAACCATATCAGATGCGGTCGAAACAGAATGATCATGAATGGTTTTCTTGATACGGTGCTCATCTTGAGATTTGATCCTAGACCGGTATGGATCTTTGCCGGAAGTCTTCCGCTGCGATCCATCTTGGAGCCCTTGGACGTATGATTTGATATCCTTAGCAAGGTCCCGGGAAATTGTTTCTCCAGCAACAGTTGGATAATAATTGGCGGATGAGGCAGTATGCCTTACGAGTCCTTGTCGTTGTGATGCGACTCGAGATATCTTGAGCCCACTTTCGTGGTCGTCTTTGATATCATCGCCAACTTTGGCAGTCTGTGAGAATACGCGGTTGGCTATTCTTTGTCTGCCTTGGTAACGACTCACATTGTGAAAAACTCTGCTCGAGATCCCCACTCGTCGACAAGAGAGATGTAGCATCTGGTTTCCCATGTCGGGTGTGTCATGGAGCTTTTTTGTTTTCCTCCGGATGAACACAAGACAAGAAGTGCAGGGAAGTTCAAATCTTCAGATATTAGTCATCATCTTCACGTGATTACCGACCAGGTCGAGTAAGTAGCACAGCAGTGCTTGAAGATTTTGGTTGGAGTAAAGTATGGTGAAATCATTTTTAGCATTATGGTCGTCAAGCCAACATTCTTTGATAAGTCTCTAAGAAGCAAATCACCTTGATTAAGTTTGTGCTTATAGTGATGTGAAGACAAAAAGCAGTAATTTGATGAAACGAAATTGGATTTTCGTGATAATCATCAGTTTAGGGAAACCACCGCGAAAGATGTCTGTCTCCTGAATAAAACATTAATTAATGTAGAAGAACGTTAATTCATTTCGGTACGTCTTCATTAACGAATCATTGATATCATCAAGAAGTTACCTCGTAAAAGCATCGTAACTTCATAAAAGATCGTAATTAATAAAAGATCGTAATTAACCCGAAAAGAACACCCTTCGCTTACCCACTTGCTTGATTCCTCCTCCAGGTTTTCGTTCAGACCGCTTCTTGAATCATGAATCTCTATTTCATAATAAATGGCGTAAGCATGGCTTTAAAGTTTACAGAGGGCTGTTCATACCGCAGCGTGTGCAGCTGTTCAAGAAACGACGCAGAAAGAGGCTCGACCGCAAGATTCGCAATTGGCCAATTAGAGGTCTGTTTGTGGCTCTCTGCTGGGGGATCTAAAACGTACTTGGCCATATATAGAATAGTTTGTGAGATGAACTTGCAGAAAGGCTACACTAATTCCGATTCAAGATGGATGCATGCATGGCGAACAAGAGATGGAGAAATGGTAGGGTAGTTCGGGTAAGGGGTGGTTCAATGAACAATGATTGATGGTGACTGGTTAACATCTCAAATTTGCCTGTTGGTACAGCAATAGTCAAATTTGAATCCCTCTTTGAAATTCTAATCGAGTACGAATAGGTGGGATAATCTGGTGACTAGACACGGTAGGTAGGTACCTTTACCAAGAAACCAAGATGAGGGGAGAGGGGTTAAGGAAGGTACACTAGTAGGGAGGACACGGCAGAGTGAACCGATCGCCAGGTATGAACAATCAAATCATATCAATATCCGAGATCCAACGATCTCCTCCATCTTTTGTTCTTTCGTGGGCTATGGTAAATTAGCATAATATTTGAGTTAAGGTTGTTTAGAGTGAGAATTTGTATGTCAAAACGGTAAGCGATGTAAGGGGATGAGGCGTGGGTGGGTGTTTTGTCTCATCAAAAGGAACAATCAACACCGCAATGATTGAAGACTTGGGAGTCCATGCTTGTCTTCTTCATAGGATGTGATGTTGTTCTTTCGCCTTACGCGGCTAAAGGATTAAGCCTGTTGATCGCAAAATTTCATCCACCAAGCACTCTAGCGAAAGGGTTGCAGGTCGAGAAATTCAATGGGATCGAGTTCGTTGAAGGGCCCTGAAGAACTCCGTTTGGTAGCAATTAGTGCATGTAATTCGGGTAGATGCCATTGAAGTTTGCACGGCATATTAGCTTTTAATCAAATGACATGAGCCGGAAGTGTCAAAAAATGGTCAAATATAATGAGTAAGATGGCGTACGTTAATAGGTAATGAAATGAATGGGACGAATGGTGATGCAAGACTGGACTGAACCCGGCCTGCAAGTGTTCAATGTTCAAGTGGATCAAATATTGCGATTTATCCGATTCTTGCAACGCACAAGACTGAATGACAGCTGTGCAGAGGCTGCGCGCTTTTAGTAACACTGCAGTAATAAAGCAGGACCAGAGGAAGTGGTAGACTTGAACTTACTTTGTACGGAGTAGTAGCCGAGTAGGACTCTTATGCATATGCCGATGCATATCTTAACGCATATCTTACGCACCGATCCATTCAAGCAACTGCATAGAATTATTCCTGTCTTCAGCGTAGAAGGTTATCCTGCAGATGCAAGCAAGGAAAAGGACATCAAAACGCCAAAGCAGTTCAAGTTGTGCGTGAATATTTAGCAGCGCCTTCCTCGGCCACCCCGGAAAAGCTAAAGAAGAGGTTGAAAGAATACAGAGCACCTTTTCTAGGGTATTTCTGCTTGAGGGCTTGAAGAGAGGTGAGAGGTGAGAGGTGAGAGGTGAGAATAGAACAACTCATCAAGTGCATATCGTTGTACCTCGGTGTCAAAAATTGCATATTTCCGAAACATAAAAATGGATGCAAATTCGGCGTCATCATATTGTATCGAATTTCTTAAGATTTGATAATGTACATATGTTATGAACAAAGTGGTATTGAGAGAAGAAGAAAAAACGTTGACATTATTGAATATTTCCATTTTTAGTAAGGGTTCCCATACAAATGAATATTTATACAGAGGCTTGGAATGCTTGTCCTTCCGTACTTTAACCAAGGGTGGTCGGTACCTGGAATCGTCTATTTTTATCATCGTGAAGCAGCAATTCCAAAGTCACGGCTCAATAGAAGGACAATCTGAGGATTCTGAGCAGTTGAAAGTCCAACCACCCCGCAAAAGTGCATTTTACGATTCTTATCATCAGATGAAACCTTGACGGGATCATGGATCATGGATTATGGGTCAGCTGCTAAGGAAAAAGTTATCCAACCAAGAATCAATCCTTTACCTCCTCTGTCGTTATCATACTAGTGTGGACAGTCCTTAGTCCTTAGTCCTTAGTCCTTAGTCCTTAGTCCTTAGTCCTTAGTCCTTAGTCCTTAGTCCTTAGTCCTTACTAATTAGGCTTTACGGAGTACTCTGTCGATACTTTGACAATAACCGTATGGAGTATCTGTTAATTTCCCCTTCGTCAAAGTCATAAATTTCAAATTTCGTAAATTCGTACAGTGGCCATGTCGAATTTGGTTGTGATGCTACGCTGTTACCCTTGTACTCTCTCCATCTTTCACCTAAGCAATGGCTTCTCATTCATTGTGTAAATTGGTGATTTGGAGATGCAAGATAGAGTGCTCACTGTACGCCGTGTATCCCATTGGAAGGAAGGAAAAAGGACTTTGAATCATGATTCTCCACGGACAGGGCAACGAGGTCTCAGATATTCTTCCGATGAATCCCTTTCCCTACGTCTGTAAAAAGGTACCGGCTAGGGCGTACTGCATTCATTCGTACATCGTATTGCACACTTGGAACTGGATGGATGTAGATACGAAATCTATAAACAATTGTTCCTGGGCGCCTCGGGAGAGATCCACGTTCTCTCCGGTTTTTCTGATCTATCTGAATAGACTTTGCCAAAATTAGCTAAGATAGTGGATTTGTTTGTATCAAGGGAGTGAATACAATGGGAGCATCGTGACAAATGAGTCTGTGGCATAGTTCTTGATTTGGATCATGATATGAAATCGGAAGTCGAGGAAGGAAATGACTGATGTGATGTTTATTCTGGAGATATTTATTACATAGGGTACAGTATCCGGATAGGGAATATTATTAGTATCGGGAGAAGAAGGGATGAGGATGGAATAGACTGACTGAATGAATGAAGTGAACAGGAAGAACAATTAATGATTTGTTGTTAAATCAACTGAAGAGAATTAAGATTAACATTTTACTGATTTTGATTTTGATTTTGGTTTTGGTTTTGATGATCTTCTGAGTAAGATAGATAGATACATGACAGTAAAATCAGGACTCGAGTACTTCTTGAAGCTCTTTCTCACTCTTGTACCGAAAACTAGATACTAGATACCTACAGAGTACCTACAGAGTACCTACCTAATAACTACCTAATACCTCCCTAATACCTCCCTAATACCTCCCTAATACCGAACACCTACCTCATACCTACTACCTACTTACTCCTAGTAAAATACCTAAAATTCTTGTCAATCCATTCCAATAATACTCGATTGGGGGGCTTCCTTATTAATTTCTTAGATCCACTTTTCTAACCTCTGAGTTTAAGTGCCCTTTTAGCGTGCTTTTCTTAGCTAACGCCAGCATTTGGGACGAATTTCAAAACTCACATACCACCTCTCCGTCTTTCGTAGAATCTTATTTTGGGCCCTTTTGATTTTTGGCTCATAACTCTTCTTCTCTCTCTCTCTCTCTCTCTCTCTTTCTCTCTCTCCTCCCCCTCCGCCCAACAACCACCTCTTTCAAATCCCCTCTTTTTTGGTAGTAGATTCAGTTGCATGTCCATATCAAAGGGCTCTGCTTCTGATCTCTACCGTCCATTCCTTTAAAACTAAATCACATTTTATCACTCCTTTCTCATCTACAATTTTTACGAATCAGTTATTCCATCCAATTTCTTCAATTTCACCCACTATCTCCGAGACCTCATCTTTGCAGCCTTCGAATGTATGTCGAAAATCTATCCATTCTTGCCATTGCCATTGCGATTACCCTTTATCAGATTTTGCGCATTTATCCATGTGGATGCATTGAAAGGGTGTACATGCTAATTAACTATCGCAGATTGGATTACTGTCGTTGCGTCGCCGGTATTCCTATTTTACGATTTGAATCGAATAATTCTCTCTCTCTCTCGACTCACCATACACCTCAACTTATATTTTGGAACTGCGAGCGGTTTCTTCTTCAATAACCTTTTATATTTTACTTGAACCATATGGTATTCTTCTAGGGATTTGTCCAATTGTTGGTTGTTCGACCCGAATTTAGGCAACATGGCTACCATATCAACAACTGCACAGAATGAGGTTGGCGCCCCTTCACAACTTCCCACCTTCGTCTTTCCCGCAAGAGCATCTCTATCATCTGCCCCCTCACCATTTCCCAGAACCTCAGGTCGACGCCCGATGTCTATACCTACAGAATTGCCAAGTTTCTCCTTTAATCAATCAACGACATCGTCCGCAAGCCCTGCAATTTCTCCGCCAGTCTCTCCATGTTTCGCAAATTTCGATTTATCCAACTCTCCTAGAGCGGCTGTACATCGCAGAGGTACGAGTGAATTCATAGGTGGAGATGGAAAGGTGGGCTCGAGCGCAGGATTGATGAGTACCAGTCCAACTCAAGGAGACAACGTTTTACCTCCGCCTAATCCAGGAAGACGTGGGCATGCACACCGACGTTCCGCTGCTGTGTCAGCGCATGATATCAAAATGATTCTGAATCATAATGCTCCAAATACACCGTCAATCCCGCGAGGAGGATCCGCCCCAACATCTCCATCCAGTCATGAGAATCAACAAGCTGCACCCGGGCCAGCTAAACCTGCCAGCAGTGATGACGCTTCTGCTGTCAAAATACTCAATCGTGCCCGCGTCGGCTTCTCAGCAAATGTGGAATTCATTCCTAGGCCGGTGAGCGTAGTTTCTAGTGATACATCTAGCACAGTCACAATGCGACCAACTCATTCAGTATCAAATTCTCTGAGCTCGGTGGTGTCTGGGGGAACCGTGACTCCTCCGGCCACTCTCGCTCCTCCAAATAAGAACCTTCTCGCCCTGCCATCGCCCAATATTCGAGGGGCAGATTCACGGCCTAGAACCGCAAACGCCATTTTGGACCCAATTAAGGACACAGCTCAGCCAGCAGAGACCTCTGCATCTCAGGGACGACGTGGATCCATGCCTTTACTCAATGATATTCAGGCTATTGCCCCTCCAAGCCCTAGGAAAAAGTGGACGTTTTTCGGACACGAGCCAGCATCTGGCAACTCTTCACCAAGCCGATCGCGTCCTGTCAGCTCAACATCCATCGATAAAGCACCAGACACTAGTGTATCTGTTTCCTCGCGTTCAAGTCCCAAAGTTGACATCGCAGACATTTACCAGATGCCGTCCATCGAACCTTCATGCTCCCGTAGGTCTTCGATATCAAGAAAATCTGGCAAGAAGCAAAAGAAGGTCAAATCTTGGGCAGGATCGATACTATCGAGGAAGTCTCGTAGTCGTGGTCAGAAAAAGAAGGGAAGTCGTCGTTCCGCAACACCTCCTACGCGTCCTTATTCGGCAATGAGTGATTCCGCAGCACTTGATATTCAACCTCTACCTGTTCATGCTGAAGAATCTCCTGCTCCCGAGCAGCAAGATTTTGCATCATGGAAGCCAAGGCAAACTTACCCATGTGATGATGATGCTATGAGTCCTATCATTGACCTAGATGCCGCTCTTGGTCCTTTCAACACCCCTTCCTCCTACGGTGCTGAATGGGAATCACCGCAAAAGACATCTTCTAAGAGACGAATGCATAGTGCAGCAGGCATGGGTGGGTTCATAGGACCGGGTATGCATTATCATCGACGAACCGAGAGTGCCCCCGAAATGGTTCCATTCGAAAATAGATTCGGTATACACCGTCTTGGTAGCAGCTCCACTATGGCTGACGTATTTGAAGAAGATGAGGAAGACGATGAATGGGAGGATACGAAGGCTTCCTCAGACAAAGATTCTTTGGCCAGAACCGAAGATGATGACCAAAACGCCCTCGGTATCGACATCACGGTTGTGGAGATGGAAGCGTCCAATAGCGATAAGATTATGGATTGGTCCATTGACGAGTCACGAGGTATAAGGCGAAATGGTAGTGGTCCTAGTGAAAGTGAGCGTAAGAACAGTAGTGCGAGTCTGAAATCCGACCACTCCAATACGTCCTGGAAGGATGAATCAAACATGGAAGAAGAATATATCAGTCCAATTGAGATTGCAGATGACTCCATTCCGCCTAGACCAGATTCTGGCGCACAGTCCTCCGAATCTACCGCCACTCCACCTTTCCGCCCACGACCTGCCAAAGATCTTGCACCTGTCGAGATCAATCCTTTCTCTCTACAGCCTGCATATCTTATACCAAATAGTCCTCATTCTACCAGTCACTCCTCATTCCCGTCTCCCAGATCGCCATTCTCGTACGATACACAGCGCATATCCACAGCTCCATCCTCCATTGCAGATGAAAATGCCTTCCACTCGTTACTACTTGGCGAGCCCGGACCAGAATTGAGAATGTCCGTAGATGATGTTCCATCGCTGACAAGTAGCAATTCCACCATGACAAGAGAAAGTGGTGCAAATCCCTGTTACATCTTCCGAGACGGCCAACGTTCGGTCTCTGTTTCTTCTGCTAGTGGCCCAACTCGAAAACGCTCTAGTATGGCTTCCTTGTCCCGCTTGATAAGCACTTCTCATGGCGAAAGAAGTAAACTGTCTATTGAATCTCGTGTCCCTAGCAGTTCCGACATGGAGAAGAAGAATAAAGGAAGCAAGAGCAAACGAATCAGTCGCATGATTCAGTTCTGGAAGCCCAAGGAGACAAAAGAATCTACTTGATCGTTATTTGTGCTTTGCCATTTAACTCTTGCCGAGCCTCACCCATCTCTACTATACACAATTCTACATATCTCACGGTGATCGGATTCAACTTTATGACGCGAACTTGGTACATATGACCGGAATGACAATCTATCCTCATTTCAATGCACATCATTGAACATTGACGGGTTTAATGTTTATCATTCCACATCTCACGGCCAATCAATATCAGATTGGTCTCCTTTTTTCAAGCTTCTTTGGTTTATACCTTGGCAAGGCACTTTGCACTTTTGAGCGAGATTTCGGCGTTCTTCAGATTTGAACAGGCGCGATACAGAAGAATAACTTTACTACACTACTGCATATGCATCAAATTTCTCTCCGGGATTGGAAAGACTCTTGCATTTAGGACAAGATGTACGGGTGGCTAGTTTCGAAACGTTCTCTTATTTTAATGATAAAGCTCAGTGTATGGGGTGGCATGAAGATGATTTAGTGTTTGCTTTGGATTTTGCTTCATCTGCTTTGGCCCCCGGGCGTTCGGGAAAAAAGAGTAAACTTTCATTTCGACCACGGAAATTCACAAATAGGAATTTTAAAGGGAGGAGTGGTTACATCTGCTGTTGAGGGGCGCAAATATCTATCTCAAACAGGAAACATATTTCTCATCATGAGAGATAGAGTGGAATGATGGGATTGAAGAAAGGGTGGCATGTCTGTAACCAATAGACTGCGTGAGCGCTCTCATACTTAAGTATGGTTGATGCGATTAACATAATGAATATACTGAAATTAGAAATATACATTCCTTTGTCAAAGTGCAAAAGATATATAAATGTGTGGTACTTGGAAGTGATTTTGTGATTTCTTGATATTCAATGGTATAGCTAATTGTCCATACAAGTTTTCGATTAGTACAGGTGGATGTCAACGAGAATAACATGATCTCCTCTTGTTTGAGACAACTTTAGTTCCACTTCATCTATTCCTCTGCTCGCTGTTTGACTTCTTCAAGCCCATATAAACATTTTCACCCTAATTGGAAAACTTGGGGGGGTAGTGTAGAATCCGGCCTTGCGTTGCCTTGTGCACGAACCTCTTGATCTTGACCTCGGCAACCAAAAAGGCTAGAGTAGCTTAACTTTCAAATACCTATCTCTTGCTCGACCGACAATTCCATAACGACTCCTTTTACGTACTTCTCAAGTCGTTGTACATAATTGCTGGCATTGGACGATTGAGAGTTTATCTCTCGTCTAGATTACGTCTAAGATATCTTCTATCCCGCACCGACTTGTACCATTTTACTCAATCTCAAAATATACATCCAAGCACAAAATCACCTATAACGCCGCATCACATCACATCGCATCGCATCACATCTACTCCTCGAACCCATCAATTACCATGTCTCGCTCCCCCACGAAAAGAATCCTCACCGAACTAACCGCCTACAACAACTCCCCTCCCTCCCCAAGCCAAACCGGCATCGTCTCTCTCGCGCCCTCACCCTCCTCCCTCCTAACCCTCTCCGCAATCCTACAATGTCCATCCTCCTCGCCCCCATCCCTAGGCTACCTCAACGGACGCTGGCTCCTCTCCATCTCCCTCCCCTCTAACTATCCCATCGGCGCACCAAAAATAAAATTTGTAACTCGAATCTGTCATCCGAATGTTAAATGGGAGACCGGGGAGATATGTCTCGATGTTTTGGGGGATAAGTGGACGCCGGTTCTGGGGGTCGTGGGCGCGTTGGAATGTGTGGGTGCGCTTGTTGCCGGGGGTGGGGATGAGACTAGTCCGTTGAATGTGGAGGTTGCTAAGTTGAGGGGATGGGGATACGGTGGGGGCGAGGGCGTTGGTGGGCTGGTGGTGTGCGGAGGAGAGGTTTGAGGGGGTTTTGGAGGATGCTTAGATTTGGGTGTGGAGGGGGAAGTGGGTAGAGAATGGGAAAATGGTGGATAATTGGGAGGGGATGGTAAAAAGAGAAGGGTGTCAATATCATGCGGAAAGAAATGTGCGGATATTTGACGTAAATTGGTAGCAGATTGCACTTGGGAATGCGCTTACATCACGACTTACCTACAGACACGTTCTGATCCAAAATATATCCCACAAAATTACGAGTATGAAATCGACTTAGCGCCTAGCATTGCCATTATCGAATTTACCAAGCGCCGCCTCCTATACAATGACGAAGAACTAGGAGAAAAGAATAATTTGAACACAGCATTTAGAGTTTATTAGCAGGGCGTTTGGGTTTCATACCACAGTCGAACTACTACAGTGGAAAGAAATTACAGAAAGAGATGATACTTACTATACGAAATTGAGGAGGGAAAGAGTTGTACTTTCTTGCATGTACTATTGATAGGTTCTATGTGGTTAGATATGTAGATCTTATGTTTATATATAATCTTACTTCAAGGGAAAATCGTTATACGGTTATATGTATTTATCTACCTACCTATTCATTCATTCATTTATTCATTTATTTATCTATCTACTCATTTATTCATTGGCATAACCTACTAATCAAGCAGTAGTTCTGCTACAATCCAATAATCGAAATCTCTAATGAAATTCCCTTTCTTTCTTTCATCACCATATATATAAAAATATATAAATAAGCCTTACATAAGGTTAAAACAAACTACTCGTAGGCAAGGAATAGTTTCCTCCCTCCCTCCTTCTCTTTCGCTTCGAGTAAAGAAAGATATTCTCTTCGCGATATAAGGAAAGGTTCTGTTACAGTGTTACGGTGTTACTGTTGCATATCTGAAAGATGATAGATGATAGATATAAGTTTTGTGTTTGTGAGTCATTGTAAATGATGGGAGGAAAGGGAAGGTGGGAAGGTGGAAAGGTGGAAAGGATTTGGTATTTGGTGGGTGGGCCATTGGTGGGTGGAAATTTGAAGGTTTTGAGGGGGTTTTTGAGGGGTTTGTGGAGGGTGGTTGTGAGGGAGGGGGGAGGGGAGGGAGGAGGGAATGGGGGATGTAGGATAGGGATAGGGGGCTGGAGATTTTTTTGGGCTTTGGGTTTATTAGTTGAGTTTAGCACTTTGAGTAGGATTGAAATGTACTGGGTGTGCAGAGGTATTTTTGGGGGGATTATGGATTGTGTATTGTGGATTGTGATTTGTGTATTGCACATTTTGTAGAAGAGTCATTGTGTTTCAACTCGACTAGCGTTAAAGCTATATTCATATTCATTCTAGTGAATGATTTGATATGATCTGATATGACTACCCAGCATAAACCATTCTTACTATAGTTATAAGGGAGTAAATGTATCATAGATTGCTCCTCTACCTTTGAGTCAGAACAAAATCATCTATGACTACCTAGTCGGTGAAATGATCTTTCCTCAAGTCAGAGACTGCCAGATAAAGTAAATGTATCATATTATATATTTCCCATCTACCTTCGACTCAAAGCAAGAATCATCTATGACTACCTACTCGGTGAAATGCATCTTTTATCGTATTGCAGACTCACAGACAAAGTAAATGTATCATAGACTGCTCCTCTACCTTTGAGTCAAAGCAAGAATCATCGAGAACATCTTAGAATATCGCGCCTATAAAGACTGCTACAATCCCCCTGAGATGGACTGCGGATTGTGAGATTACAATTTACAAACACCATCAATAAATAATACGAGGAGAATTCAACTATTAGTATCCAAGATTTTACAGATACACAGATAGGCTGGGGTACTTACTCTTGCATTAAAACTTTCATATTTGCCGGTGTGAAAAGTAAGATACGAGGTGTTGGTTTCTTGGAGAGTCTGAATCTGTCGATTGCAACGATTGGGTTTCTCTGTGTCTATTTGATCGTGCAGCCTGATTTCTGTAGCACAGCAAATCCTGAACCCCGATCTCAACCACTACATCTATTTCACACGGAATCACATCACCAACTTCACAAACTTGTTCAGGTATTCCCCCTTCAGCATTTTCATTTCATGCATATAGACAACCCTCGAAACCCCTTCTAATCTCCAAAACAGCATTGCATCACTCCAAATCAACACTCCAAATCAACACAACACCACCACCAACAACAACTAGACACAAAAAAAAATGTCAACAGAAATCATCATTAATGCAAGTCTCGCTGGAGCAGCAACTTTGGTGGTTATTATCTGTTTGGTGTATATGTGGTATCGGAATTGGAATTGGAAATGAAAAGGAGGAATGGAATGGGGGAATGGGGGGATGGGGTGGATGGAATCAATAGAGTGGGTTAAAAGGGTTAAGTACTTGTGCTTTTGTTGTTTGGTTTTTGGGAGGGTGGGGAGTTGGCGATTTGGGGATTAGGTGTTTGATGTGTTTGCCTTTCTCTCGTCGGTATGGCATATGTATGGGGATTTGGTTTTTGCAGAAAAGGTAGGAAGAGCAGGAAAAGAGGATAGCTAGATAAATAGAATAACGGATTCGAACCCCGCTTTTATATTTTGCTTTACTGGTATAACCTACTAGAGTCCCAGAGAAATACCTGTTTTTACCAAGCATTCGAACTTCGAACTCCGACCACTTGCTTGTGATTGAGATTATTATTTTTGGATTTTAGGGTTTTTCGTTGTTGTTGTTATTGAATGTGAAGATGGAAAGATATAAAAATGTGGAAGGAATTCTGGTATATTTTTGAGGTTTAAGAATTAAGAGGACGAGGTTATATAAGAGGAGATTTGGAGATGTAGATGAAATGTTGTTTATAGGCAGCGGGTAGTGGGGTGATATTTGTGTTTGCTTGGTATGTTGTTGAGGTTATGAGATAGATGAGATAGGTGATGTGAATAGATTGAATATATACATGGATAATCATAGAGGAGTTTTCAAGTTAGATTAGGCATTAGGTGGAGAGTATCAGTTACAGTTGTATATTTGATAGATTCATGATTGTGTTAAGGTTATTGGGATGGATTCTCAAAGTGGTTTATAGCTTCATCTAAATGATTTTGAAGTCGTTACTGCAAGCAAGTTGACTCTTCAATATCACTTCCTATCAAATCATATCATATCAAATCTTGTAATTACTAAACTTGTATTTACGTCTACAGCATTTATATACTTCAGAAGAGAACTCCACAAGTATCCTTATCCACCAACCCATCTTGTACACTCAAATACAATAGATGTACATTATTGACGCAAAAACACTAAGATGAAGATGTATTTTATTATTATTCTGCTCTAGCAATACCGAACCTCACATGCAATCTCACTCGTGTTTATCAGAGTATCGTGTATGAAAACTGATACGGACGAGATTAGAATGGAGAAGAAGATTGCGAATAACTGGGTATGAAATCCCCGTGCAATCTGCAGAAGACTCTACTAAATCCTATTCAGCTTTTTGTAATGTAGGTTTAGCAGATCTGGAGATTTTGTTTTGTTTTGGGTTGGGGAATTCAGGAAAATCGGTGGATGAATCGACGGGTTTGTTAATATTCTTTTTTATATTTGTGATTTGGTGATTAAGGAAAAGAAGAAATATTATCAATATCTGCAGTTGGAAGGAAAATAATACTGGATTTTGTGTGTTTTGAGATTATTAGAAAGGCAAGTTGACGGATTAAGCGTCATTAAGAGTGAATGAAGTGGTCATGAATGAAGTGACTGCTCGAACAGAATGATATTCTTGAAGTCACAGGTATAACCAGCAAATCGGAATTGAAATTTTGATTCAAATGGTATTAGGTAGGTAGGTAGTCATTGAGAGTATACTGAGGAGGTATATCTTGACTTCTTCCTCGAGATTCCTTCAAGGAAATTCTCAGGATGCACACACCCAAAATTAAAATCCAAACAAATTCGACGGCCATCCAAAAAAAACTTTACATCAAAATTATCAGTCTCACTACGTACTGAAACCTAAATACTTTTTCAGTATTTAGGAAAAATCTTCAAATTCCAAGTCAATACATCATCTCTTCGTACTTCTTCCCAGCTTTCCCTCCCTCACTTCCACATCAAATTCGCTGGTGCTTCTTGCTCGTCAATATTCTTTTTCGACTTGGAGACTACTCCAACAGCTCCTCTAGCATTCCTCTCCTATTTGCGAAAGAAGGCACACTCGAAAACTTCATCCTCTTTGTCATCCTCATCCTCATCCTCATCGACAACACCTCTCTCTGCCTGCTTAGCCCAACACAGCCAAAGCAAAACATCCGTTCTCATATCCTCTAGAATTCCAAGAACTTTCCAGCTATACTATCCTTCCCCTCGATAAACTCAACCCAAATCTAAACCCGGCGACCCAACTTAACAAATAAATAGTAACATGGAGAAATTTCCCTGGCTTTCTTTTCTCCTTTCGCCACTTGGGATAGTTATAGTAGAACATTTGTTATTCTACTAGAGCTCTTGTCGAAGGAAAGAGGGAAAGAAGGAAGGAAGGAAGGAAGGAAGGAAAGAAGGAAGGAAGGAAAGAAAGAAAGAAAGAAAGAAAGAAAGAAAGAAAGAAAGAAAGAAAGGTGGAAAGGCGAAAGGGAGAGAAGGATACATAGATGAACAGATAATAATCAATCAAACTTATATCAACCCAATCACGTCCCAATCAAAAGCCCCTTTATCATCGGCCATCTCCACCCAACAACTAGTAAACCAACGCTCAAATGATCAAAAGACAAGCAAGCTCCCTCTCGAACCCATTCACCAGCAAACCATACCTTAAACAAACATCCATCCATCGCATCCATCGCATCCATCGCATCCATCCAAAAACAACACACAGAGAGTCAAAATAAAGGTAAAATGATACACCATAACAAATTAACCTGAATCAATCACCCTGAATCACCCAACATTAGCAATTTCCCGCCTGATGCACTATGAATATGAATCAAAGCTTCCAGCTCCACTCTTCCTTCCACTTCGATAGAAAATGTAATATTTCTGAAATCAACGAATTAATCAAACCCTATCCAATAATCCGTTTCGTACATCGCATCCATCGATAAATCAAATTTTGAGAATGCAAGGAGCAGGGAGGAAAAGGAGATAAATGGAAAGGGAAAAGAAAAAGAAAATATAATAAAAGAAAATATGTTTTCTCTGTAGTCGTTGGATATTTTGTGGTAGAAATTCACTTCTTAAAGTCGTGGCTTCAATTACGATCTATGATCTACGATCTACGGTAGATATCTTTCACGAATATCTTATTCCGAGTACTTGAAGTCTGCGTTCGAAGCTCGTCAATATCATATCATATCAATCGTGTCGCAATACAATAACTCTACGAAATAATCCAGTCATCTGACATCCTATCCAAGGCGCCCTCCTCCTCCAGAATCCTCCTCAACCTCAAATCCGATAAAAATTCATCAAAACATCATCATCATCATCATCATCATCATCATCATCCTCATCTTCATCCTCATCCTCAATCCCCAAATCCCACGCTCGCCAAGGGCCCCTCAATCCCGTGCATCGATCCACCACATCTTGGCCTCACCCTCACCCTCACCCTCGTCCTCATCCTCACACAACCACCAAAACACATCCAAATCCAAATCTACACCCACACTCACACCAAAACCGCAACCATGGAAGTAATGGGCGCTCTGATAATCATCATCTGTGTCCTCGGCATCATCGGCGTCGCAATTGGAATTGTGGGGTATTTTCACACGGGACGTCGGTAGAGCCTAGGGAGTGAGGATCTAGATTTATTTATATAGTCTTATATATATATAACCTTAGAAGGTTGGGTTATGTATAAGCTTAGATAAATGGATGGATGGATAAATGGACATCTTTTGTTGAGGTTTTATTGGCTGAGGGTCGGAGGAAGGGAGTGTTATATAGCTATGGTTGCATTTGGCTTTTCTGGGAGGCGTATAAAAAATGGTAATGGGGGTGTTGTGGGGATTTTGTGGTTTGGTTTTGGGTTTATTGGTATTGCTGGTTGGTTGGTTGGTTGGTTGGTTATGGAGTGTGGTGATTGGTCTGCAATTGTATTGGAAAATGGGAAAAGTTGATAGGGGGAAGGGGAGAAGAGGGTGAGGAGGAGGGGCGTGAGGAGGGGCGTGAGGAGGGGCGTGAGGAGGGGCGTGTATAGGGAAAGAAAAGATGAACATATATTCCTGTATCTGATGTCAGAGAAACTGACGAAATCAGATATAGAGAGTGCCTATATCTGAAGAAATCTCCAAATCTCCTGTTTGTGAGAGGAGAACGCTGGATATACGATGATATCCCGTGGGGCTGCTGGTGCCTTACTTGTCTTGTATATGTATGGAGCTCATGCATTGTAGTAGTATCCCGTATACTCGGGGTAGAGGAATATTGCACTATAGCAATGAAATTAATATACCAGCTTGCACTCACTTGTACTTTGGATTTTCGACTTTGAAATACATATTACATATATTCCTACAAATCTGTAGTTATACCATAAAGAACCCCCACATACATAATACAAGCAGTCTGAAGAGGACAGTATGGCTATACACTTATGAAAGCCTCAATCTCCTGACTCATAGTCTTATAAAATGCTCAAGATCAAGAGGTCGGGATGACTATTCACCCTATTCGACAATATCCCCAAAAAGAACAAAGAAAAATACATAATGCACAACAATTTCTCGACAGGCCGAAGAATTTTATCCGAGATTTTACTCTACATTTTCCTATAATTTCACAATTTTAGCAGCAAATCATTCTTATGAAGAAACTTCTTTATTAACTATGTAAATATTCTGATGTATATTCTCACCAACCCCGTCTTGATTACTGGACTTTTCCTACATTCTACATTCTACATCCTAGCTATCCATCCATTAACAACCTCATAGAATCAATATCAACATCAATTCCCCCTTCTCTTTCCTTCCGCTCTCCTATTCTTCTTCCCCTATTAACTTCTCCCCCTTCACCCATCGAAAAGAATTATAATATATATAAGAACACGAGGTGTGTATATTTATAGAGTTTCAAAAAGACATTCATATACAATATTAAATCTGATATAAGAGATAGGATATAAAAACTATATAATATATCTAATGTTTATCGATTTCGCAATCACCATCTATCTATATAAACAACGATTCCATCCATCCATCTTAACTCACCTCTTTCCCGTTCTTCTTTCCTCTTCCTACAAAACTCAAAATCAAAAATCAAAACGCCAATCAAACTCCAAACTCTCCATCTATAGAGTAGAGTGGTATCATATTCCTTCCCATCCATTTAAGTTTAAACACCAATCCGCAGAAAAGCAACCCCAAATACCAAATACCAAACCCCCCTAAATAACCTCATCCCTCTCCCACCCGACAGGCTTCAAACTCTCAATCCCCTTCCCCGGCTTCTCTCCCCCCTCCTTCCCATACGTACTAACAAACGGATTCGGATCAACATCCTGTCTCAAATTCCCCAACGTATGATTAACCTCTCTATGCTTCGCCTCATCTGCACGAATATAATACAATAAATCGCGCATACTCGTATGACCTTCTGGCATACCCCAATACTCAATTGCGAGATCGGGGGCTTTGAAATTGGGATCTGACCATTTGGGGAGATGCCCGTTTTCGAGATCTTGGATCGAGAGGGTGTAGGTGAGAACGGCTTCTTCTTCGAGGTAGCCGACGAAGCGGTGGCAGGTGCGGGGGGAGAGTAGATAGCACAGGAAGAAGGAGTTGAAGAAGACGCCTTGGGCGCCGAGGATCATGGTGCGCATGAAGATTCCTGGTTCGTACATTTTGAGGAAGGTTAGGAGGTGCATGCGTTCGTTGTATGCTGGAGTTTAAACATATTAGCAAATGATTTCTTTTGACAAGTTTTCATAAACAATAAGATAAACATACCTTCTTCAAGCAAAGTTTCAATCCAACCATTATCCCTCTTCAAACCCCTCAAACTTCTCAAATGTCTCAACATACCCGCCACCATACCGGGAACCCCAGCTACCGATTCCAAAAACACATAACGAATCAACCATTTACGTTCACTCATTTGATATGGTTTCGTAGCCGTAACTGCATTACTATCGGATGCTTTCTTGGGTTCTTCCACATAATGTTTATATCCCGTAGCGAAATCCGTACACCATCTAAGGAAACGCACCATGCACAACGCGACACGATCTGAGAAGTCTCTAGGTTTGCGGTGTGCGAAGTAGACTTTGCTGCGCATTTGGTCGGCGGTATAGCTAATTTATGATTAGGATTTGAAAATTGTCAAAGATATAAAGGAAGGACGTACGGTGGATGAGGCCAAGCTGGTTCTGTTTTCTTTATCTGTCCATGTTCAGGTTCTGGGAATAGATCTCTGCCCTTTACCTGAATTTTGGAACCAGATGTGAAGGCTCTTCTTGATTGGACATGTGCTGTACATGTTGTTGGAGATAAACCATAAGATTGTGCAAAGAAAGCTACAGCTTTTGATAGCTGTGCTGTTGATTGGTTTGAAAGAGATCTCTTGGAAACCCTTGATACATACATCGATGTCATCTAGTGTGTAAGTAGATTGACTGTATAGATTTGTGATACCAGCAGAGGTAAAAGTAGAAGTAAAATTTAAATGTTGGAATGTGTTACTGAACAATTGCCACAAAGTAGGATGGACGGCTAAGTTTTTATTTCACTTGAAAAAGATATGAATAGCAACAAAATTATATCATAATTAACGCTTGGCTAGGCTGACACAGCAATGTCTTGTCTTCTTGACTTGGAAGAGGAAGATACCGGAAGACCTGTACTGGTTTCATTAAAAAATTTCAATTACACCGAAGAAAAAACGGAATAGCTGAACCTTTCTTTGTATGACTATTGACTCAAATTTCGTGCATCGCCGGTGCACTGTCAGAATAATGCAGAGTAGAAAACAACAACCATGAGCTAATCGTATTCACCGTTCTATTTCCGCCCACGGTTATACTTTACATGATCCAAGCTTCAGCTGGGTCGCCGAGAAGGGCAGATTAATCGGAATGTGATATTCAATTCGACGTTGTGAATGGTTGAAAACGTAAAAAGGGATTTGAATCATGGAATGCATTTGATAATGCCCAACCGAGACTCAGCCTTGTGGATCATTTGATCACATGACAACGACAACTCGGAGATTCTAGGATGTTTTCATTATCGTAGCGGTTTCTTCCGATCGGAGAGGAGGCGATCAATCCATCAGCATGAAAGAACTTTATGATCAAAGAGTCATAGGGATAGAAATTTTTCAAGATACAGCTCAAAAAAGTGTGGACGACATGGTGACTATAAGTATTTATCTGGAAATGGCAAATCTCTCTTATATATTGAGTGTAACACAATTTAGTCATGATCTTTCGATTCTTTTCATGAATCAGTTGACATGCTAATCAGATATTATGATCAGTACGTCAGGACATGTAAAATAACCCCAAGATGCCCCGAATTCACAATGTCGCTGCACCTAGTCTTCCTAAATTATAGGATAATTTACTGCACGATGGCCTAGATCCTTTCAATATTGTGGGTTTGGCCGCCAAAATCTCTGCATTAAAATATCTTCCGAAGCATTCCCGTTCCGGCCCTCAAGTTCCCAGTATTGAGGTAATGGACGTTGGACTAATTGATTGCCAAGAAAGCCCGTTTCATGTAGTTGCTGTAGGTTTTGCTGATGTTGAGTCTCAATCAAAGGCTCCTGGAGATAAAGATTGTCACTATTCCACTGGTTATATTCATGTCCTTGATTGTGTTGAAGATGCTGGTCTGGGCTTTGATAATCCAGATTCGAATGTTCGTACCAGATTCCCGTCACCTCGTGCCTTGATAGTGGAGCTTCGCATGCGTTTGCTTCTTGAGGTCCGAGCTCCCCGAGATCCCGGGTGCAATGGCGATTCTCAAGGACGTCTTCCACTACACAAGTCATTTCCTGTTCTGTATCTGTGTTGTTCCAGTCCTCTCCGTATGATTCCGTATTGAATTTAGGCCCTTGCACAACATGAGCTCCATGTCTTTCAATCTTGCCGTTGAGAAGACCATTTGTCATTTGATCTTTCTCTTGCTCAATTTCCAATTGCTGAACATAAAGCGACGGAAGTCGAATGAGTGGCGAACGTGGGGTAGGTATAGTATGCTGCTTTGGCCGCCCATGGATGCTTGAGAACCCTCTTTGAAACGGAGGTTCGGTGGAGAATTGAAAATGCTCACTGTTTGAAATTATGCATGGAATTGTCCCTAGAGGCGTACGAGTTCTGCCTTTCAGATGTGTTCCCCTCGTCAAAGGTAGCTGCCTGCCCTCTTCATCCATCATTTCACCCTGAAGAATCGCGTTTCCGTTGATATTATTGGTGATTAATCCTGATCGACCGAAGTGGCTATGTTGGCCATGGTGGGATTGGGAACATGGCTGTGGAGACATTGGTTCCCGAACCTGTGGCTCAGGTATGCCATTATGTTGCCTCGCCCTGCCAGAAACTGGCGAGATATCCCCGCTCATATCTCCCTTCACAATCGAGGATCGAATAGGAGCAGATTCTGTGCGCTGTATTCCTTTTTCTGGAATACCAGAAATCGACGAGGAGCTGTTCTCCCGACTTTCGTCGCTAGCCTCCCTGATTACTGGAAGGGTAGTTGATGGACGTTTGATTCGAGCATTGCGAGCCATTTGTTGACGCGTAAGTGGTGTTGGTATGCGTGCTACTGCTGAATCCGAAGGACGCTCAAGTGACTTGGAAGGTGGTTTAGAATCTTCCTTCCGGTACCAGCCAAGATTTGGATCATAATACTCAACGACGGTTCTCTGGAGTCGATCAACGCGAATTTCTGCTGCGTCGAGGGCTCTTCTCTCCAAAGGTGCCTCTTCTGTTTTCTTTTCCATATGCGGTAGAGGTCGAGGCAAACAATCTTGTTGCTGGAAATTTGGAGTTGGGCTGATTTCGTGAGAACTTTGAGCAGAATTAGTGCTCAAGCTAGATAAATCTCTGCTTATCACGGCTGGGCCATCAGCTGTAGACGCGGAGCCTTTATCCTGGGTCTCATACGATCCTTTATTTACCGCCTCACGCATATGAGGCTTTCGTCGACTTGAAATCTCAATGCCTGTATCCTTGAATATACCTGTTTTTTCCATAGAACTCCGTACGGAGTCTGGTGTCGTGCTATTTTGCCTCTGACAGTATTGTTCCCTCGCTCGACGTAAGGCCATAGTAGCTCCAGGAGAACTTTGGGACTCTGACCATGTCACAATGGTATCAGCAGCCTCTGAATACATGTTGCAGTCGGCGACGTTTTTGGAGAGAAACTGCGGAGCGGGATCTGGAGGAAATCGTAATTGATAGATTCGCAGTTGCTGGCCGCTAGACTCTTTCAAATTATTTCTTGCCTCGTTAACACGTGGTGTCAACTTCTCGCTGTAGTACCGTTGTTGATCATGCTCGCGGTCTCTTCTCAGTTGTCTTTCGTAGAGGGAGGGCCCATGTATCGAAATTGGAGAAGTGGGATGCTCGATAATGGAACTGTTGTCCCTCACTGGCGTCTTAGATGGTTTGAAGAATGCTGCTATTTCATCTTGCGCTCGAGCAGCTTTCCTCTTTTCCTTGGCACGACTTTTTGGGACAACAATGTTATCGTTTAGATGAGATTTTTTACTAGAACGCTGAAGAAATTCCATCTCCGAAAAAGCGAGGTCAGGTACTTAGCGAGTGGGTTAGTAGTCTTTGAAAAATGTGATATGAATAATACTCACATCCTCGCCGTCTAGCCGGTGAAGAAGCCCTGCCATTTTGAAAGATGCCCGGTCCATTGGAAGGGCGCACCTGGAACCATCAGTTCCAGTTTTCCCATACTAAGGTTCTACTCACCGATAAACGATCCAGGCCTATTTTGTTTGATGCGAAGTTATTCATAAGATCTTGACTAGCCTTTCTTGCAGCCTTCTTTCGGTCTCCTCTTTTCCCGCGCCTCGTTTTGATTGGCTTGGCTACTTCTGCTTGGTTACTTTTCTTTTTCGGGTCATATCGATCCTCTTTCGTCTTATGGCGTGCTTTTTTCTCAAATGTTTCTTGCTTTGGCTGCACAACGGAGTATTGGGATGAAGTAGAAGTCACAGTTGATGCCGGCTTCTTTCGGTGTTTGTGAGATTGTGTGGTCTTTTTACCATCATAAGTGGCGCTCAATTCCCGAGGAGCTCTGGCCCTTTCCTTTACAACTGGTAGCCTTGGAGCTTCAAGTAGAGAACTATCAAAAGATACAGTTTCTTGATCGGGCTTCGGCTTGAATTCTGTGGTAACCTTGCTCTTCCCGGGTATATGTGCTGTATCGATGTAGTTCGAGTGTTTAGCTTTCTCTTCTTGGTAGCCTAGATCTCGAGGAGACGTCAGTGCATGTATTTTCGATGAGGTTACTGAAACATGCGAGTGATTTTTCACCTATTTTCGCGCTGGTTTGTTTCAAAGGTTCCAGCCAATCGGTAATGCCCTCATTTTGAGTTTGCGCGAGCCAGCTGCGAATGTAATCTTTGTCCCCAGATAGTTCATTTTGATCTCTGATTGCAAGTGGCTGCATCTTTTCCGCTGATCTTCCTGAAGAGTGATTTCGAGGGTGCCTCCGATGTGCGCTATCATAATTACTATGCTTGTGGTGTTTTCCAGACTCTCCAAGTCTACTTTTATGCTCGTGGGCGTGCTTGCGCTTGCGAGAATGATGATTGTTCTCCATTTGAGGAAATGAAAATATTTTCAAGCACGGAATAAATAGCAGTGGATATTTTTGTGCTACGGATCCAAAGAAAGTCGATGGTGCTATGAAATTATTAAGATGAAAGAAATGATGGACTTACATGGTGAGTAATTGCTTCTCCCAACTTTGGGAAGGCACGGTTGAATAGAGAAGAAATGAAAGGCGCGACCCTGCTCGATTGCGCCTCTTACTGAGAAGGAACCATTAAGGGATACTTTCAAAAGGATGCAACAATCTTCCCCTCGTAAATGATATTAATTCCAGCGCAACTGTTTAAAGGGGTTGTACTTTGATCATATCCTCAAACAATCCGAAAGATTACCATCATGATGTTTCGCTACCGTTGAAGACGTCCTTCTGCAATGGGTTTTTTAATCCTTACTAGAGTGATCCTAACTCGATAATTCATTCAGGAGACTCAAGCAACTCGCGAGTTCTCCGTTGAAGCTGACCGCAACAGCCGCATTTTATGAAACAAACGACAGATAAGGCAAGCATGGGGTGGGTAATTGCAGCCCTATCATCCACATAGGCAAACATCAAATTCGCAACGGCTCTTCCCAATCCAACTCTCGATGAGCTATAAAAATTGCAACAGTGTTGATTTCAAGATTACCCATACATCACCTGATTGAGACGAAATGGAATACAAGAGATGCTGTGAGATGTGAGTTATCACGATAATCAACATACCTTTCGAGGGCCGCGAATTATTGCACAGAGGCGGGAGATTCTGCAGCTATGTACCAGTACCTTAGAATGAGATATTCGTTGTATACCTTCATCGACGATATAAAAATCTGATTATCTGGCATTTTCGTGCGACTATTGCCACGACTCCCCGCATGAAAATATACGAATGATTCGGTACAAAAGGCTTGTGTACCATGTCGCCATCCGCCCGGATTTGAAACCATCCATCAAATGTAGACGAGGTCTTGATTGAAGTGACATGGTCTTAATTATTATGCTTCATTTGAAGAGTCGCATTGGGTTCTAGATTTTTACGTTACTTTTAATAAGAATTGAATGAGTAGGTAAATTCAAACTCAAATATCCGTCGGAAGGAGAGTGTTGGTGTGAACAGATAGTCCTCCTAGCTCAGTCAGGTGTGCATCTGGCGAATAGATTCTGAATTGGTATAAGTTTCTGTGCACGTGGGTTGAATTTGATGCATGTAAGTTCCAAGGGTTGTCTTTATGCAGACGATCGAAAGATGGCGGGGACTTTTGTAGTGTGATTGTGGGATAAATGGCTGCATTTGCGTATTGGGGTGGTGAAGAGAGGCTTAACAAGACAGGATGCGTAAGGACGCCATGAAAATTCAAAATTCGGACTGGGAAGCGATGTTGTGAACGAATCGAGTAAAGTTCTGTTGATGTTGTATTATTGGAACGGGAATCTCGGCTTGTTTTGAATAAATAAGATAAATGGACAAAATAGTAGAGCTTGTATTCTCATAGGGACTCTATCCAAAGTGTTCCATATCACATCAGTCATTCTTTTTGAACGGAGTATGATAACACGGCGGGACTTCACATTCGTAACCCTTCATTCATGTAAATAATGCTCATGGTAAGTTGTCATATTCCGTCCTACCCAGCATGAAAGCTCAAAGCTGCAAGTTCAAAGAAAATGTGGAAGGACCGTTGGCCTGTGTTTGAACTTTGCACGGCACTTAGGCCACTTAGAGCAGCCAGCTCCACCGAGACCCTTGATCAACTTTACCCCACCTCACACCCACCTAGAGCCCTGGAATACCTGTAAGATAATCAATAGCAATCTTTGGATTCCCAGCTATTTAATGCAATGGAGTGTGGCTTCATAGCTTCATAGCTTAACAGCGTGAGAGCTTCATGTCACGACATCTTATTACCAATCTGGGTAATACCTGCACGTTGAGCCTTTTTGGCAAAATGCATATATGCTGGGATAGGATGGAGGAATCCATACCCAGCATACGAGATGCTAGATAGGAGATGCAGTAGAGCTTGTGAAGCTTGGGAAAGCTACCCAGTAAAAGTTATCCGAAGAGCTTTAGGAATCTAGACAATTTGAGCTTTAAAAGATCAAGCTCATCTTTCAACCTGTCTGTAGGTATTGTTCAATGTTGAGAGACCATCCTTACCTGTGTACCTAGTGATTGATTGAGAATGGTGAATCCAATATCAAGGAAATAGGTGAATTGCACCATCCCAGACCCTGATCCGAGTATCGGAGATCTGCATTTGATCCAGCCGAGAGGCAAAAAGTCCAGCAGAGGTTCTTTTATATCAATCACATCCCCAAGCAAGCACATCCAGATGGTTCTCAGGATAGAATATTAGAAAGATCACATCAGAGGAAAATATTTGCTTGTTCCACCAACAGAAGGAGGTCGAAAGCAAGCAGGGTTGCTATTAAGCCACGAGCTTCAAACGCTCCATTTGGGTTTGAGTTATCAAGGAAACTTACGCCTTCAACTGATGTCTGCGTTATGCTTGGCTGGCCGAATGTTACACGGGAGTGTGAAGTGAGAAATTGTGAGGAAAGAAAAAAAAAAGAAAAGAAAAGTATTAGTAGTTCCTTTCATAGGTAAAGTAACCCAAAGTAGAAATACGTAGAAAAATACATCATATTCAATTGGCTGAATACCGGTGGATGACCGAATAATCTAATGTTTTGTGGTTGAGAAGTTGGTAAAAGTACCTGGTACCTACCTGGTAGAATAGGTAAAACTAGGGTGGACCGGGTGCCGTCAAGGTGGCTGAATCACAAAATCAAATGGATCAATCAAAGGTCGAGCGCAGCCAAGGAATCTCCCGAATTCTCTTAAGCGCTAGTGATCTTTTGAGAGGGGCAATAATAATAATTAATACAGTCTCTTTCAATTCCCCCGCTTTGCGCTTAAGGGAAAACCTTCCACCTTCCCTACTTCCAGACCGAAACCCGATCCCTTTCTTCCTACAACTTCTTCCATCCTCCTTACAACTTCAACTCAAAATATCTCCCCTCGCGATTTACCTTCGCATTCTTACATTCTATCAGGTCGCACTGTCCTTTCAATCGTCCGATTGATAATATATTTCTAACGATCTGTGTTGCTCAACTCAGACCGTTACCTCTACCCCAACAATCAATCAAACAAACAAAGAAATCTCGATATTTCACTTCAACTCGACACTCTAATTTTTCAAGAAGTTCGTCCGATTCTCCTGCTTGTGCTCGCTGACTTGATTGTCTTTTGCGATTTGATTCCAAAATTCATTCCACATCACATCACCTTCCTATTCCATACATCCGTTTTGCGGATACCTGTTTTGCCTCGATGTATCTTTCTTTGTGTGATCCGTCCGTCTCTCGTATGCACAACTCCCGCCTGAAATGGCGCGATCCTTTTTGTGTGAATGCGTGCGGACATTGAGACTTTCAGCCAGGTTTTCGATAATATTCAATCATGTCTAAATTATTCATTGGGTAAGTCTAAACATCGACATTCTATTCCAAATCATCACTTGACAGATTGACTAACATTCATCATTAGTGGCCTTGCTTGGCACACAGATGAGGAGGCTCTCCGTAAGAAGTTCTCTGAATTCGGAACTGTTGAAGAAGCAGTATGTCTCACGCTCCCTTTATCGATAAGCTCGTCTTGAAGATAAGAAACTGATGCAATTAATACAGGTTGTTGTCAAGGACCGCGACACTGGTCGTAGCCGTGGTTTTGGCTTCGTTCGTTATGGACAAGGCAACGACTCATCTCCAGAGGCAGATGCTGAGAAGGCCATTCAAGAAATGAATAGCGTCGAGTATGATTATCCCACTATATCTACTCCTGATCTAATACTAATATGCATAAAGATTCGATGGCCGTACTATTCGTGTCGACAAAGCCTCCGAACGTTCAGGAAATGACCGCTCTGGTGGTGGCGGCGGATTCGGTGGTGGCCGAGGCGGCGGTGGATATGGAGGCCGTGGTGGTGGAGGTGGATATGGAGGCGGCGGTGGAGGATACGGAGGTGGTCGTGGATACGACAACAACAACTCCAGTGGTGGTTACTCCGGAGGTGGTGGATATAGCGGGGGTAAGACTTCTTCCAAACGGTTTCTCCTCAATGATGCATGAATTAATTATACTGACGATTGATAAAATAGGCGGTGGCTACTCTGGTGGTGGAGGTATGCAATCCCACTAGACAAGTCTGTCGTGAATATTTGAATAGCATTTACTAACGGTTGAAATTATAAAGGCTACAATGGAAGTGGAGGTGGCGGTGGCAGTATGTTGCACCACGAACATCCCTTCTTACAAGTATACTAATTGTCCATAGGTTACTCTGGTGGCGGTGGTGGTGGATATTCCGGTGGAGGAGGATATGACCGTGGACAAGGTGGTGGAAACGCTGGCCAGTGGGGCAATCAATAGATTGCTTTTCCAGTGGGACGGTGTTTTTCCTCAATCTTCAACAAGAAAAGTCAATTCCTGGGGTGTTTTCCGCGAAATTCTGTTGTGTGGTGGATTTTAGGATGTTGTCCTTCTCGATGGCAGCTTGATTTTAATCTCGTGGCTTCTGGCAGCGGTTCTGGCCTGGCGAGCTATATGCTTGCATGGAGTTCGGAAGGGGTATCTTACCTTGCTCGATCACTATTTCTTTGAACATCTCACGAATGTTTTTCAATTCTGCCTGTATTTTCGGCTCTCGGTCACTTTGATCGAGGTCTCTTTATGAAGGTCTGCATCTTTGCAGGTCTCTCTAATGGTCTCTATGGCAATAATACCCCACGGAGGGAATGAACGAGTGGCTCTTTCACGCATTACTTTTCAGTCTCTTCTTGCTCATCCGTGCTTTTAACCTTTTTGAGCTCATGCTCTATAACTTCCGTGTGACTTGCTTCTGCTTCGACACCTATTCGCCCCATGGCAATCTTCCGAACTCTATTTGCCAGGTCCTTGACATGCTCATCCCCGCTCTCAGGACTCAGCTCATCCACTAAATATATCAGCATGACGATCCACCCTGAGAAGCAGACAAGTATAACGACTAGAATCATTTGACAAAAAGTGTAGAGATGGAAACCACCTACAAGCAATATCCAAACTCAAAAGATAATCCCTATTTAACCCACTGGGGCCCTCACTCCTCCATATATGTTCAGCTAGTTCCTGCGGGTCTTGCGGCCCGGTAAATTGCGCATTGTCAGGCGTTCCTATGTAGACCAATGTTTTGATACTCGTAGCCCCACCACTCTCATTGTCTGGGTTGATGGATGAGGAAGAAGGGGGATAAAAAGGTGTATAGTGTATAGTATATCCATTAATCTCTCGTATATCGAGATATTCGCGCACTTCGGCAACCTTTGAAGCGAGGATTCGATAGGCGGTTCCCCATACTTTTGGAGAGGTGGTTTCGGAGGGGATGGGGTGCGGATCGTGGAGTGTGAGCCAGTGGGCGTGCGGGATGAGTGTTACGACTCGTCCTGGGGAGGTGGGTGTGCCGCGGTGGTCTTCGCTGGGGTGAGGGGAGGGGTGTTAGATGGGTTGCGTTTGGGGCTGGGTTCGGGGAAGGAGATTGGGGTAGGAGGGAGGTAAGGGGTGAGGTTTTGTCATGGGGTTGTGAGTTTACCTAGCCTGGATTGTTGTCAGCTACTCTATTGGTTCTTCATCATTTGTACAAGATATGTTCAATAAATGAGAATCCTCAAACTCCAACACTATCTAGATTGCAAAAAGAACCACAAAGACATAAACATAACCATACCTGCCAAAATCTTCTCACATATCCAGTCACATATCCCGGAACACGACGATCTAATCATTCATCACAAAGGATTGGTCATTAAATCCTACATCTAGGTTTTCGGTGGTACTCTTAAAAAAGAAGCAAGTACGAGGAAGTACGAGGAAGTGAATAATGATGAACGAAGGGAGGTTTACCGAAATGTGGCGGGGGTTTCCAAATTAAACTTCTGTATTATTTTGGAAATTAGTTGGAAATTGAAATGTATAATTTTTGTGTATAATTTTTGGTTTGGGAAAGGAGGGGAGGGGGTTTTATGTACCCATATCCAAATATCCAGAATTCGTTCTCGGAGTTGCTGTAGTCGTCGTCGAGGGCGTTGGAGCCCATGGTGTTGAAGGGTTAGAAGTTGGGATGATGATGAGGTATGATGATGATATGTATTATTTAATCGAGGGGTAAAAATAAGGATGATGTAGAACGGAATGTTAGTAAAGGTAAAGCCGATGCTTGTTGGTACCGAAAATACTTAGCCACATTAGCGTTTTGCTTTTCCACTTTTGCCTCAAGATGAATGAATCTATTTAGTAGTTTACTTCACGCAAAAGGGGAATGATAAACATATGAAGCATGAAGATGATCACATCATGACTGTCCAAATCTGGTACCGAGTTTATCCGACTACGATGTTTTGTACCAAGGCGAGTAGAAGTGACAGTTGTTATGACAAAGTTTTTCCAGCGAGGTTTGCTCACCGGGCGCAAAATTGGCACATTAGGTAGGTATTGGCATTCTCATCCTGGGGTTTTGGAACAGGTGGGTAGGTGGGTGGGTTGGTGAGTTGGTGGATGAATCATTCAAGTATCCTCGAACAACGACTTCATCCTGAGTAACTACTTACCTACTTAAAGAAGACTCATTTCATACCAAATATCTCTGGGACTTGGGCTTTCAGCTCTTCTCTTTTAGCGATACTTCTCATATCATATCAGATTAATTTCGTAGGAAGTCTTATTTGATACAGTCGGAAAATATCTGAAATTAGATCCACCGTCATAACGCTGCGCTTCGTGTTCAGGGAACCTTTTACCTAGTTACTTCGTACATGCTCACGGCCCCTCTACCCGCTCGAGCTCGCATTCGCATCCTTAGTATTCTAACATCAAAGCCTTACACCTTCATACATATTTGACAACTCAAGAATAATCTGTCGCAAGGCATATCCTATAATCGACATACTCAGATAATCAAAATGGCCTACAATAGAGCATTCAACCCAGATTCGCTGCCTGCGTAAGCCAATTCTCCCTTCTAAGAATCAGAACCCCGCTGAACCAATAACCACAGATTTGCAGAGCCAGAACGAGTACATCATCTCTTCCCTGAATCGCATCGCGTAACTATAGCTAATCGCACAATAGAAACACACTCAATCACCAGCCGTTCAATCCCCCGTCCACAGCCAAGCGCAACAAGCAATGCACAACGCGCAATATGAAAATCGACCTCCCCCTCAAAACATACACCCAGACGGACGAAGACCTGATGGCAGAAGATTCTCTCCGCAAATGCACCCCCCAGGAAATTATGGCGTATCTCCACCAAACCGAGGCTACGCAACACCACCTCCAGCGCAATTCCAGGCAGGTAGAGTTGCGCCTCAGACTCGACCAGTTCAGACTCGACCAGTGCAGCAAACAAGGCCCAATACTTCGCCTGCTCCTCCGGGTGCAGATCCTCAACTGTGGCCACTCTTCAAGGCTGTTGATAAAGACAGTACGTTCTTACCCATTCCTCTATTCCGATACACAAGCACCAAACACTTACCTCCAACTTTTATCAGGAACCGGTGTCCTCACAGAGAGAGAGCTCCGCGCCGCTCTTGTAAATGGTGATTGGACAGCCTTCGATCCATATACAGTCAAAATGATGATTCGTATGTTCGATACGGACCGCAGCAATACAATCAATTTTGATGAATTCTGCGGGCTCTGGGGATTTCTCGCTGCTTGGCGTTCGTTGTTTGATCGGTTCGATAAGGATCGCAGTGGAAATATTAGTCTGGATGAATATTCAGAGGCTTTAGTGGCTTTTGGATATAGATTGAGTGATAGTTTTGTGGGGGTTCTATTTAAGGCATATGATAAGAGGAACGAGGGCGCGATTAGTTTTGATTTATTTGTGCAGAGTTGTATTAGTTTGAAGAGGATGACTGATGTGTAAGTTTTGCGGTTCTCTTTTGGCCAGGGTTTGGAATACTGTTGGAGGCTTGGACGTCAAATTCCCTACCTTCGAAACGTTTACGGATTGGCCGCTAACATGGTGTTTGAAATAGCTTCAAGCGTTATGATGATGACCGCGACGGTAAGATTTGCTATCTATATTCCAAATGCAATTTTCTAATTCATTCCATTAGGTTACATAACTCTCTCCTTCGAGGACTTCCTCTTGGAGATTATTCGACAGAAATACTAAGTTCATTACCAACAAATAGCTAATGGGATACCCTTAAAGGATCGGGGAGAATGGGTAAACAGGAGTCTTCCGCTTTGCAAGGACTAGGAAAGAGAAATCGTTAAAGTTTTAAGCTTGCGATTACAAAATGATAAGTAATGGGAATGGCGAAAGATAGGTCTGGAAGCGAGGAACGTGATGTGATGTGATGTGTCTATAGAATTTATATAGATACTCATTGTAAATATGATACCCATGGTTTTTTGCACTTTCTGTCCTGTTTTGTTTCATTTGATCGCTGTGCTTTGGTTTGATCGTTGTGCTTTTGTTGAATGTTTTGTCTAATACTAGGTACTTACAGCATGGTTATGTATCTATCTCAGCGTGAATTTTGTAATCTTACATTTCTAAGAGCGCACTTACAGCTCATTGGAAAAGTTTTCCAGACCACATATTACTACGCGCGCTCCACATTTTCTCGTCCAACTGTACCCGAATCTTCATAGAGATGAATATGTACCTACCTTAAGCCCATTTACGGCTAGTGCCACTAGCAACGCTGCAATCACACTCATCTTTGGCACAACCATGAGCTCTCCCCTCCGATGGTAGATAGACCGCTCTTTATACCTAGCACAACATTGCTAGTCGTGGGTACGATATGTCCTGGCTTGGGCATACATGTCTTCATAATCTTACCCTCCCCCCACTAACCAACCCAACCCAACCCAACTCCCGATCCCCTAGCGAATTCAAGAACTCTCGTCTTTGTTTGTCCCTTGGTGGTGGGTGATTAGGATTACCCATTTGGGTATCCTCGAAACTCCCTCGGCACTCGCAATGCTCATGTAAATGAAGCGGAAAGGGTACTCGGAGGTAAACACGGGGTTCTTACTATATTTTCTGCATATCTGTTGTGTCTGTTCCTTGCCTGCTGTGGTGTGATTTAAGATATATTATATCTTTTGTTTTTTTGATGGACTTTTGTTTGTTGATTCAGATGGTGGTAGTCCAACCGTGTTGTGGTAATCTTATATCTATCAGTATCTAAATCCAGGCGAAAATAACATCCAATAGCCTAAACTGCAATTCGAGAATGAAAAAGTTTTGATCCATGAGATATCACTCTCTATATATATCCATAATGGAATGTGGGAAATATTACATCTTGCTAGAATTATTCTGCACCGTCAAAGTGAACCATTTGCTATATCTATACCTCCAGTCGAGGTTCGAATCTAGTTCACTTATGGCTTATTCTTGATGCAAACTCCAGTATCCTTGGGTCTCGATTTAAATGCCGCGGCATACGCTCACTCTCTTGGATATGTATAGTACTGCTTCAGTCTCACCTGGAAATTTATCATAGAATTAATTGTTTGGCCGTAGCAGTGCTTTTTAGATCTTTGCTTTTGTTAAATCTTACTCAATAGGTACCATTGAGATACGTACGTATTGTTCGATGGCGCCGTGCTATCCTCACCCCATCCCCTCGCTTAACACTGCATCTCCACAAATAATCAAACTCCGAGTCCACTTCAAAAATAAATATCCAAAGGTTCATACTGAATCACTACTTATCATATTCGCTTGAAATTTCTATTATTTTGTTTTCTGCTAGAGTAAGTAGCCACAAACTTTTGCTCCAGAAGTAGATGGGGTTTCAGTGGTACTTTGATATACTTTGTTCCTTATTTGTTCATGTGTGTGCTCATTAGTATACCTTCTTCATGTACCGGAGGGGTGCACTGGGTTAGATCTTTTCTTATCCAATATATTCACCCTGTGGGTTGATTATTATTGTTTTGCAATCATCTATCTCCAGTTAATGAGTTATTCAGAGTTCTTCTTATGCTACCGCACCAATCTAGAGGTCAGCGTGTCTTTGAGAGATACAAAACAAGAAGTCCTTGGCTTTGGAATTACTACTGTACTGTTATAGTTCTCACAGAACAAGTAATGAATAATACAGCCACAGATACCAAAGAATGACCATGGCTTTGGGGAGATGATTATAAGAAGGTTCAACTTCCCTTCCTATCTTCCCAATATCACACAACCTTGCAAAACTTACGAAACACCTGCAGAAGAAATCTACCCAGCATCAAACTATCACGCAATTACAATACTACCTACCATACACACCATCAAGCAAGGTTCGTCAACGCAAAAGATGAAGTCCCAGGAAGTATCAAGCAAAGGGCAGTCCCAATCCCCGCCAGCAAAGGCAGAGGCAAAAGCGGAACCGAAAGCAAACCCAGCAGCACCACCTCAAAAAGAAACAGCCACACCTCAAAAAGAAACAGCCAAACCAGAACCAAAAGCTCCAGACACCTCCCACAAAAAGGAAACAGACACATGTCCTCGCTGCGGAGCAACTGGATTCCTTGGCGCATGCTACACTTGCTGTTTCGGAATGGGGATCGGTTTGTAGAACAAGCATACTGGGAAAAATGGAGTTAGTTTGTTTCCTGTTTCTCATTCCTGCGGGATGATAGAGCGGATCGGAAATTGTTTTGGCTCGTTAGACGGGCGGATATGATGGTTTTTATCCTAGTCGTCTCTCTTTAGATGCAAGCATACTTTGTTTGTATTGCTGACTATTTTTCTTTTGCGCACTAGAGGTTCGTGCAATCCGTTGCATTTATTCTTTCGTTTTGGACGGAAAACCGAAAAAAAAAGAAAGAAAAAAAATACCATTTTATCTATCATTTAATCATATGGTCTTCGTCGTGATCTCGTATTTTCCTTATTAATAGTTTTTATTTCCATTTTGATCTTCATCTCCTTCATCGTTGCCCTCATTGGCCTCATAATCATCATCATCATTATCATCCCTGCTTTCTGCTCCCGTATCCTTCAAACATTTCCGTTTTCTTTCCCCCACTAACCCCTTAATTATCCAACGATGCCCTGATACCCATTCCCTCCACTACCCTCATCATCTCATCCTTCTCCAACTCCAGCGCTCTCACTCACCCCACCAATTCCTTCGCCTCTCTCTTCCCGTGTCTTACCAACTTCAACTTCTGCAACTTGTTCTTTGTCTTCTCCCTTCTCTTGTCCAGTTTCGCTGAATTCTTCTTCTGCTGCTGTTTTTATGTCTTCCACATATATACTCGCATTAGCCCTCGCCTTTTCCTAAAGACATTCATACGCAAAATGAACGTGTGAATGGAATCAAAAATATATGAATGGTATAACTTACCGCGGGCTTTTTATTTCCGACGTTTGATAGAGAGGCTGGGGGTTTTGGTCAGAAGTGCTTTTTGGTTGAATGTTCGATTACGTTTTATAGGGAGCTGAGTGGTGGTGCATCGGAGGATGGACGCATCAAAATGTGATCGTTGGTAGAGGAAGAACTTTCAGAATGAACATGGAAGTTATCATTATGAAGGACTGTGGTAGTGGCCTCGTTACCTTGGACGAGTGCTGTGCTTTTCATTTCTAAAATCTTTAGCTTAGCTTGAAGAGATCAATGAATCTAATCTGAGAATACGAGAGCATAGGGTCAAAGTTTTACTTGGACTTTTAGTATTGAGCAACTAATTACTTTTAGACAAAAAATAATGGATAGTATATACATTTCCCTAAAATTGAGAGTAAGATTTAGTATATCTAATTCAATTTTCGAAGAGAAAGAACTTCGATTATTCAAATTAGTTTCGAGTATTCAAGTAGTAGTGTCTTGAGATTAATAGAGATGAAGTCTAATGCTTAAATCTATATTTTATACTCGAGTAATCTAATTCGAATAATAATAAATTAAATTTAAAAACTAAAAACAAACTTTAAATAGAAAATAAAATAGCTTTAGTTCTAAAACGAAGAAGATTGATAATTATATCTAAATCATTATTTGAATAACTTAATATAATTATTAAAACGTAAGGAATTCAAGTGTATTAATCGACTATTAACATCAACTTTGGATATATTGTGCAGCTGCTCCTGAGCAGTCTACACCCGCCTGTTGTGAGAATTACCACTGCGTTGTCGCCGTCGCGCCTGAATGATGTGGAGAGCGTCAGTCCGGAGTAAAATAGGACTTTTCGACCTATAGCACCACCACAAGCTCTTTGCGCCTTTCAAACTCATTGAATAGTTGGATTCGTGTTTCTCAGACTCGCCATAATGCTGAAAATTATTGTTAGCCTTGTGATGACCAGGGAGTGCTGTTTTATCCGACGTCGACACATGAGTTGGTACCTCTAATCAAGCAATGAAGGTTCCCTGGTTATAGTTACGGTAATTGCAATGCATTAAACTCTCATATAAAATAATTAAGACTATGGCTGGCTGAGTATGCGGACTGCTACGGAAAAATTCTTTTTTTTTCTAAATACTGTACTCCCCGTTGAAGCGTACCCCTCTCATGATCAGGCTTAGCAAAAAGTGGCCGATGTTTGCCAACATTCGCTGATGTCACTTTCGGGCCACTTCTCTTTCGACTGTCGCGACGGACTTTATAGAACTGTTGGAAAAAAATTAAAGAAATCTTGAGACAATTTCCTTCCCCGCCTTGATTTCGACTACCGACTTGAATAAGGCTTAGAACGATCAAACTCTACGGTTGTCAGCCCTGTGTCTACAGGGAATACGTTTGTTCTTTCTCGCCTGACGGGTGGGGCCGCGTCCCGAATCAACAAATGCCTTCAAGATGAATGAGCCGTTCACTACTCAACTATATATAAGTACAGGCCCTGGAGAGCTGAAGATGTCGTGCCCAGTGTTGCACCCAAGAGTTCTTTGGAGCTTGGGAACTCGATTGCTAGAAAGGTGTTTCCGTTGATTACACGAGCCCCTGGGTCGAATTGTATCGAAGGTTCGCACTTGAATGTGTGAAGGTCGGGAACTGGCATGTTCTCTTGAAACACTTGTTCGTTTTCGGTGCGTTCTGCGAGCAACAACAAAATCCCAGGATTATTTCCTGGATTCCAGCCTGGAATAATGTGCGAGAGTTTCCCGATTTCATAGCAAATGTGCCTCTATTGACATCCAATATCTCGTTTCTAGTCATGAGACAAAACGACACGAAAGTGTCATTTTCTGCCAGCGGGTCTGGAAGAAAAGTAATCGCCACTTCTAAAGAATGGCCGCCTGTCCCGGAAATGAATGACATCAGATATCATGGGCGCAAAGCATTTGCAGTATTTTATGTTCTTGTCTTCGCGTTAGCTAAAGGACTCGTCAATCTAAGCACAGACGATCAGGCGACGGAGGACCTACTGAACCCGATAAAGGTATCAGGCCGATGCGAAACTTGGCCTTGGTCAAACTTAGCCGGCAAATCAAAAGCATTAAGTCGAAAGCAGGATGTATCTACCGGCGAACATCTTGTGCTTGGTATCCTCGAATCGAAAACCTACTCTCTACTCAAATGGGAGGGCGATGTTCTTGGCATCAGGAGAGGGGACATACACGCTGGTGATAACATGGTTCACACGTTTAACATTGTGTGGTGCTCAGACTTCCTTCTCACATTCTGTACACGGCCTGTTGTAGCTCAATCGTCGCCATTATCTCATCATACGTCTGGCCGTGGCGCACAACAACAGCGTCCGAAAGATCAAGAATGGAGAATGGCAGGCCCTGCTTTTGTCCTACTTAAGCAGCGGGAACTGAAGTCTGTGAATAGATTGAAGGAGTGCTGGTTTGAAGAACAGTATTTCTCATGAAAAACAAGGTTATATTTAGTGGCTAGTGGGTAAAGCTAAAATATTTACTCTAGCTCGAAATTAGACATATAGCCCGACATTAGACGAGAATATATGAGATGAAGATATGGTAATATTTAACTTGGTTCTAAATATCTAGTCTAATGTCAGATAAGAGTATTAAGCTACTTTAACTCGAGTATTAGACTCCTCATCAGATATAAGTGTGAAAGCTCTAGACATTCAACTCACTATTAGACGAGAAATAAATAGCTCAATTGAAAGCCTCGATCACAATGAGGTGATAAGAAACAGATAATAACGTTCCTCCCAATCAAATATACATTACATAGAAAGCATTCGCCTAACTGGAGCTTTCAACCCCCAAATTAGATTGGCACCTACGGCTATGCCAAGTCTAAGCCTGTTAGATTCCAAATCGAACTTCTGAGTCTCATTTATCTGCAATACTACTGCATGAGCAAGTTCTGGGCATACTAGACCGTCTAGACGTGATATCTACTCACTCCAAGCCGCTTTAAAATGAGCATGCCATCGAAGTGAAATCCCTCAGCATGGCTCCAATTAAAGCCGAGATCCTATCAGAAAAGTCCAACTACTCGTTCATGAGGAGGATACAGTACTAGATAGCTACCCGTACAGGTAGATACAGCCCAGAATAGAGCCGCAGTCTGAGCTCTCAGTGAATCTTCAGAATTGAGATCTTCTGCGTAAAAGAACTATTTTTCCCCTGTTCATTTTCTCTTTCTTTACAACGAAACACGGCCATCTACCCTCGTTCCCCCATCACGGAACGCCACATTAATATCATCCAACACCATTTTTTCATCCATCCATATCATTTAACACACAGAGTCTTTATCATCATCACATCAATATGTCTGGATTAGAGCCAGATTATGAAGAGAATGAGTATGGCAATATCATTCGCCGCGCCCCGGTCAACTATCCTTCTCGGCTTATGAATCACTCGCCTGAGCCTGAAGCTACGAAGGAGTACTGTCCTCTAAGGGCCCTTAGCGATAATGAGGGAATGAGAAAGAAATCTGTGAGTACATTGCTGGTCCTTGGTTGCATATCTAGCGCTATTGATGCCGATTCCTAGCCCGAAAATCTCGACAGAGCGTGCAAGGAGACCATTGAGAACACCAAGCGAGCGAACAAGTAAAGGGCCAAAGAGAATAGAGCCAATTGGATCTTGCAGACGGAAAAGGAGCATCAAGCTGCGGTGCAGAAGGCGGAAAATCGGAAATCGCAACAAATGATAATCAGAGAGGTGCCAAGAACTCAGTTGTCAATCAACTTCGCAGGACAACCTTGACAAGTTCTACCTCGCTGAATCTATGGACTTTAAACTAATGTATTATTCATCATAGACTGATGGAAAAAATAAGGCTAAGACTGGTGATGGAAAGGACAATGGAAATGATATGAAGTGATGGTGGTTTTTTTTCTTTGGGATTTGGGAAGGAGGTTGTATTTTAGAGATCTCATACGCTCGTCGAGATAGCCGTATGGCAACATTCTACATGATAATGTATAATTTTAAGTGAAAATTCATATTTCATTCAACCAAATCAGAAATCTTTCAACTCTATCATCACAACAATATGATTGTAAGTCTAAATTGAGATACCTGGCTTGGGCATCGAAATAGTGCGAGATACTATACAACGAAATCCTTATGAGACTCCATACACCATCTACATAAACGGCAATGGCGATGGGAATGACAAAGTGCAGGATTTTAATCATGATCTTTCGACATCAAATCTCAATCTCAATCATAAGCTCGTTGAGCTTCAACATTCGAGCAAATGCCGGTCAGATAAAACTTTAAGGATTGGAATCAGTCTCCAATACTGGAAAGGAGGGAACTATCCGTGGAGAAAATTCGAGATATTTCTCAACGTAAGTTGTGATATCATCATGCTCGGCAGCTTCGGCTCGGTTAGCAATTCGGATGAGCTTAGGTTTCCCCACACCTGCAGAAAATGTGGTTATTTTAGCTTCCAGCATCATTAGCGTTTCATTTTAGCGGCTAACGCTTATTGGGACTGAACGCATGTCTTTTGCACCTTCCAACCAAGATCTTCGACCTCTCTCGGTCACTTTCCCCGAGAAATCCCAAATTAATACCAAATTATATCCTACAATCAAACTCAGGAGAAATGGAGCGTCATAATGAAGCAGTCTCTGCCATTGCCTCTTCTATTAAACAGTTTTACGAGAGGAAAGAGGCTTTTAGATTATATCATGGATCGACCAATAGTACACGAGATTCGAATCGACGCAGGGACCGCATGATAGATACGAGCAAATTAAATCGAGTGCTTCATGTAGACACGAAGAAAAAGGTAGCTCTCGTTGAACCAAATGTACCAATGGATAGTCTTGTTGCGGAAACTCTTCGCTATGGTCTGGTACCCCCGGTGGTTATGGAATTCCCCGGCATTACCACTGGAGGAGGATTTGCTGGTACTTCTGGAGAGAGTAGCTCTTTCAAATATGGCTTCTTTGATCGCACGGTCAATTGGATCGAGATGGTCCTTGCAAACGGCGAGATCGTATCAGCTTCCAAGAATGAGAAGCCGGATCTGTTTTATGGTGCGGCATCGTCTTTTGGAACGCTAGGAGTCACGACTTTGCTTGAGTTGCAGCTAATTGAAGCAAAAACCTATGTCGAGTTGACATATATAAATATAAAAAGCATGGAAGAGGGGATAAAAAAGATTGAGGAAATTACAAAGGATCCAAACGTGGACTATCTTGATGGTATTCTGTTCAGCAGAGAGACTGGCGTCATCTGTTCCGGACGTTTGGTTGACAAACTGAAGCCTAATATGCACATACAAGGCTTCGTAAAGAAGTCGGATCCTTGGTTTTATCTCCATGCCAAGAACTTATATAATAGGAGTTCCGGATCAGTCACAGAAGCTATTCCTCTTGTCGATTATTTATTTCGATATGATCGAGGAGGCTTCTGGGTCGGCAGATATGCATATAGGTAACTGAGCAGTCAAACTTTAATGTTGGAAGGCCACTCACTCTTGCTTCCAGATACTTCATTACTCCATTTAACCGTATCACGCGTCGTCTACTCGATTACTTTATGCATACGCGAGTGATGTATCACGCACTACACCAAAGCGGACTTTCCAAAAAGTATATAATCCAGGATGTAGCAATTCCATATCCCCGCACAACGGAGTTTGTCAATTATCTAGACAAGGATTTCGGGCAGTGGCCCATTTGGTTGTGTCCGCTACGACAGGACGGGCTCTCCAGCGAATCGCCACTCGGGCTCCTCGCTGAGAGAAACGGGAATTCATCTACTCCGAACATGTTGCTCAACTTTGGGGTTTGGGGACCAGGGCCAGATGCTCGTGATGCATTCATAACATGGAACCGAAAGTTTGAACACAAAGTTCGAGAGCTGGGTGGACAGAAATGGCTGTATGCTCATGCCTACTATACCGAGGAGGAATTCGATGAGATTTATAATCGTAAGGAATATGACGCTCTCCGTGTCAAGTACCATGCAACACATCTTCCTAGTATCTATGATAAGGTCAAAGTTGATATTGAGTCAGAACGCAGGGAGTTGCAAGGATCGTGGAGTTTGTGGTTGCTGGCAATCTTCTGGAATATTTGGCCATTGAGTGGACTGTATGGCGTATTCAAAGCATTTTTAGGTGGAGATTATCTTCTTCCGAAGACCCGCGAATCTAGCAAAACATGGAAAATTAAAGAATAAGGTAGCTGAAGTCAGATGATCCAATTGCGTTGTAAGGAAGGGGTCTACAAACTATGCATTTCTTATTGGTTCATGATTATCATCAATAGCTTTATTAACAAACAATCCGCCGCTTTCGCATCGATGGAAACAAAGGTTCACTTTTCCCTGATAGGAAGTTGAAAAGTTGCGCCTTGAGCCTCCTTACCCGCCTCCATCGTATCAACATCTGCCTCCTCCGTCGGCTCCACTATATTGCCATTACTCTTGCTCTTTGCCTCCTTTCGAGTCTTGTATCGCTCCCACTTCACAATCTTCTTAAGCTCTTTCCTCTTCATTGGAGTTTGTAAACCCTGGGCATCCACATAATTAGGCAATCTATAACAATAGCATCCAGGATCCTCGCCAATGAGCAAGGAATGAATAAAACTTACCATCTTCTTAGCATCTAAGATTGCCATCCTGGCCTTCTTCGCTTCCTCTTTGCTTGATTCTCTACCTTCTTGACTTCCCAGTTGGCTTTCTTCTTCTCCGCAACTCTGGCTCTCTTCTCCGCAAGCTCTAGCTTGTTGACAGATTTGTGTCATCTCCGCTCTGATTTTCCTCTCCTTACTCCAAGCTTGGTCTTTGGCCTCCCGCCTCAGATTCTTTTCCCTTTGCGTGTACACCATCACTCTTCGCTTCCTTTCATCATCTGCTCCTGGTCCCGTCAATTTTTTCAAACTCTCCAACAGCTGCTCGGTCTATACAATGTTGTCAGTGCAAGGTATGGATATGATCATATTATCAGAGTCCTTCCAATAATTTCGAGATAGTGCTTACCGTCATATTTCTGCTGTAAGTCTAGTACCCTACTTTTGGACCACCCCCTCTTTTGGACCACCTTTTACATCAAAAATCATTATTTTCATTTATTAATAACTTTATAACAAATGAATATAATTTAATCAAATTTGAATCATATATTTACTATATGATTATAAATGAAATTTGAAAATTTCAGATTTTTTACAATTGATTTCATTGAGATCTACAAGTTTAAATTTTTCAATTTTCGATTTATATAGGATTTATATATAAATTTGGAAAATCTTTAAAATATTAAATAACATTTCAACAAAAATACTTGAAAATAAACTATAAATTTTTTGGGAATATTTATATTGCAATTAATCGAATAGATCAATTTATTTTGAAAAATAATTTATAAAAATCCTATTAATCAAAATTTTATGATTTTTAATACTTGTAAAATTTATAAATATTAATAAAGATTCATTTGTATAATATAAAATTCAAAATTTTAATCTTTTATATAATATTTGATTTGAAGATTTCAAAAAGATTTATAGTTTATTTTTAGTAATTTTTGTTGAAAAATTATTCAAGTTTTTCAAGTTTTTTAGATTTGTATATAAATCTTATACAAATTGAAAATCGTCATTTCAATCATTTATATCTCAACCAATAAATTGTGAAAAATTTGAAATTTCAAAATCAATTAATAATCATATAATGAATCTATAACCAAAATTTCAATTGATTGAATTTATTGATTGTTGAAATATTAATAGTTGAAAATGGTGATTTTTGGTGTAAAAAGGTGGTCCAAAAGTAGGGTACTAGACTTACCTAACATTCGAGTACCTAGCTTTCGTGACGCTATCTTGATCCTCTTCTCCGACTCCTGAAATGACTCGAACTTGTTCTTCGACTTTCGGCATGGTTGGATTTTTTCTCCGGACTCTTGACATTGTGGTGGTGTTGGGGTTGTTAAGATTGCGGTCGGTCGTCTGGGGAAAACTGATTGTTTGTTGGAAAAGTGAGGAGAAACTATTTGATCGTAGAAGTCAACTATATGCAAGACTTCTCTGAAATTCACTATTATCCGACAAGGTAAATTTTGTGCAATATCCGATAAGCTACTGAATTCGATGGCGTGATCCAGATTGGCTCAATATACCATGGGACAATAGTCACTACCTAAATCATAGAGATTAGATCGGAGTCTTCGAATGATAATTGTTTCGATCTTCCATCAATATCACATACAATTTCTCTTTTTTGAAAAAAAAAAAAAGGATATAGTAAATTTCAAGCTTTTGATAATACCAATGCCATAAACATATACCAAAATAGTATGAATGTCTTTTAAGAAAATGCCCCTACCTGCAAATGGTTTGTGATATCCATAGACTTCTAAGGATGTTTTTATTAGATTGAGCTAATAAAGCATTTCCTGTGTACTGACTAGAAGACGAGTATTTCTTGCAGTATGGAGATAACACTACCAAGTACACGAGTATATTCTAGATTGCCCATCATACAATAGCATACACTTAACGTATAATAGAGAGAAACTATCTCAATGTCCCTCCATGTTCTTTGTCATGCTGCTGCATATTATTAAAACATATTGGGAAGAACCATCTCAGCGATTATTCGAGATCTGAATAGCAGGGAGGAACATGTATATAAGGGGTGCAAATAGTTTGTTGCTTGGACATTTAGCACACCAATTTTCTAGTTCACCAGGTAAGTTCGGATCTAATCTTACCTAATGATGCTTACCCCTTAAGTCCGTCGGAGAAACCAGGCACAAATCACACTATGAACCACACTATATCCTAAATACGTTAGAGTCTACCCTAGATTAGGCACCTCAGGCTTAAACAAATTATTTCACACCCCGCAGAATTGGTTACCTCTAATCAGTCTTGAGCTTCTTTTCAAACTGCAAGTCCTTTCACTTGCGCTTACCTTAAAAGCTCCATCAAGCAACGAAAGACTCCCCAGATGCTACATGACCAGCTTGAGGTCATTGTTGAATCTTGGGGACGTCAGTCGTGAATTCAAGAACAAGTAGAAAAACTTGTTGCGACTGGGTGAATACCGCGAAAATGGCACCGGCAAACGGCGCGTCAAAAGTCATGCAGAATCGCTCTAGGCCTGCAGTTGCGATTCTGAGAGGCATTACTCCTGCTCTGCCTCTTTCCTATGGTAAGCTACAACAAAAGAAATTACCTAGCCGGGAAAAGACGAAGGAAATCATACCCCCCCCCTCAACGGCTCCAGCAGTTCAAGTGCCCATCACATCGGATTTTACTACAAATATGCTTCCTACCCATGCCGATGAGCCTGTTGCTGAAGAAAAACTTTTCGAAGCAATCAGGCAGTCCCCCAAGCGCGTTCCAGCAGCTGTTGCCGATGCCTCATCTACGTCGGAATCATTGGATGGGTTTAATTCTACTGAGAGCGAAGTAAAAATTGGTTCTGCTTCTAATGAACATGGTTCTGCTGAACTCGAAGATGAGGAAAAGTTTGCCAGCGTGATTGAAGTCAAAGGTGAGATAAGGAAATCCCATTTCAGCCTTGCGATATCTGTAAGCCCAAGAAGTTGTCCACATCGCTAATATTTGCCTTTTGCAGCAGTCGAAGAGGAACAGCACTCTGCCCCATCTGAAAGTCAATCGACCACATCGAGATCAACATATCAATTGCCTCCGCCATTTGTCCCTGCTAGCAATCCATCCACCATGTCCTCCGACTCTACCCAATTCCAACAGCAGGTTGCGTTCAATGGTCAGCATCCAATGCACCATGCGCATCCCAGCGGTTCAAACCCGGTATTTGGAGGATACCCCGATTCTAATAATTCATCACCAGCTCCACCTTCGAGTACTGGCAACATTCCACCTTATGCTTACGCGCAACAAAGTGGTTTGCGCCATGGTCCTCCTCCATCGAACGGCGGTCATCAACACCACTTGTCAAACGGATTCTCACCAATGACGCCGGTATTTCCTCCAGGGTATTATCACCACCAAGACGGCTTTCAGGCCGCTCCAGCTGATGATTTCCTCCGCAGACAAATACTACCATTTGGCCCGTCCGAAGGTTATTCGCCAACCGGCCCTCAAATCGCAGAGAGTCCTCGATTTAACAGTGGCTTTGATCCAGCTACTGCGCACAACATTCATGGGCCTCGGCCATTGGCACAGATTGATCAAGAGAATGGTCTAGGTCCTCATTATGGCCATCATCCATCTCCAATGCCACCAATGGGACCACCACCTTATCGTGGAGTTCTCGGTTACCCACGTAAAGAAGAGATTCCTTGGGCAGGCGCCAATCGTCGAGATCTTTGGTTTCACCTTCGTGAACAGTTTGCACAGCCAGAATTCTCCGACTGTGTCCTTGAGCTACGCTACTCTGATGATCGTGCCGCTCCTCTTCGAATCAGTGGGCACAGATTGATCTTTGCTCGCAGTTTCGTGTTGAAAAGTCTCATCACATCTGGAGTACGAACAAACGGTGATTCGCCCCTGCCTATTCAGAATATCTTGATCGAGTCGGACGACCGTTACTTGCGTTCTGATGCTTTTTCGTTGACGGTTCGATATCTCTATGGCGGACCTATATTGGACTTAGATGCAATGGCTCGCTTTCCAGCTCCGTACATTGGATCAGCTCCCGTGCCATCAACACCAGCTGACCGTTTCGACTTCACGCTTGGCTATGTAGCAGCAGGAGTTATTCTTCAGATTCCTCAAATTTGGAAGACTGGCTGCGCTATTGCGAGTCAACTGATCACTTGGGATACCGCTGAGAAAGCTCTTGAATTCGCTCTTGAAGGGGGTATTGATTGGTCATGGAGCTCAAGCGCCCCAGATGTCAACGATGTCGTCGGCCGAAGCATTTATACGCCATGTGCTAATATGCTCATTTACAACATAATTAACTTGATCATACTCTCCTTCCCTTCCAATTTCGAATTGGATACGACGGTCTCAGACCTTCATTATAATTCTAGAATCCCGCATGTACCAGATCACCGACCAAATCCTACACCATCACGCTTGAGCTCTATCAAATTTGGCGATCACCCTACAGAAGAGAGTCTTCGCTCCCCTTCTTCGGATCCTATCACTGTTACTTTGTCAAGACTATTACTCAACTTGCCATTTGGTCCTTTGAAGCATGTATTAGAGACTGGAAATGGCGGTGTTATCCATGGCCACGCAACTCATTTACTTCGTCGAAAGGTCATGCACACTCTCATCGAGGAGCGTGAGAAGAGAAGACAGAGAGCACTCGTTAGCGAAGTACCAGACGAGGAGCGAATTAAGAATGGACGTCAGTGGAATGCAGTTGGCTGGAAAGAGGTTGTTCTCCCGTTTGATGATCATCGCAATGAAGAGGTCCCATGCTTGAGGAAGACTTGGGTGGGTTTCACACATACTGAAAGCAAGTAGCCTTGGTCTATTAACAGACCCAAAAATGTGGCTTTTGTAATTGATTAATAAAGGTGCATTGGCGTTGAATTGGTTCACTGGAATGAGGGCAAATGATATATGTCTTTGCATAAAAAATGGGCGGATGGGATTGGTGGCCATTTCTTCTGGCCTACCTATTTTCTTGAGGGTTGAGACAATTACTTGCCTTCGTTGCTAGGTGAAGATGATCACTTTTATGAAAAAGTTTACGGTAGTAATGAGATATGTATGACACGGCTCATCGAACTACAAAGTAGTTTAATGAATAAAAAATGAAGTTTATACCTTTACAGCTTTTGACCTGATGTTCTTGCGAATCCTTGTAAGACCTAGTACGTGAATGCCATTGAGTTTATAGTACATTCGAGTACATGATTGAGATATGTAAACTGATGTCCCAATGCAAGTGAACAGATGACCACTGGTAATGATACATCACTTCCCACGATTCAGGACTGGTTAAAAAGTAGAGTATTGCGATGCCAATAAACGAATTAGAACGAATTGAGTTATTTGGACTATCAATATGCCCCATAACACCGAATTATTTCTTGTATTACGCAAGATCATTGCGATATATACCAAAAGGTTGTATCTCATGGCGATGAGTATGGTAAAAGGGTCTTGTTACAGAAGGGAGGGAAGTGCAGATCAATAAAAGAGGGGCTCACGGGCTCACAGGGATTGAAGAGAAAAGTTTGCATCACGTGCTCACTAATTTGGAAAATTCGGTTGTGGGATTATTTGCCCTAGGTCGCCAAAATTTCGAACCCAGCAAGTTCAATACTGCGACAATTCCGACATCTCGAATTTTAAGACGACGACCAACGACAACTTGATCGCAATCCCGACAAAATGGCGATCAAGCACAACCAGCAAATTGCCCACAACCGTATGTCTTCTCCGCAGATCAATTAGGATTCCGAAGATGCTGATTATGGATAGATTTCCGAAAGGATTGGCAAAGACGAGTTAGAGTTCACTTCGACCAGGTAAACAACGCGCAGATGGGAAACAAATTAGCTCTGGAATCGAATCTAACAGTCTAAATAGCCTGGCCGAAAACTCAGACGTCGCAATGCTCGTCTTGCGAAGACAGCAGCTGTCGCTCCACGACCAATCGATTTGTTGAGACCAGTTGTTAGATGCCCAACCATCAAGTACAACAGACGTGTACGAGCTGGTCGTGGTTTCACCCTCGCCGAATTGAAGGTGAGGAATAAGGATCTTTGATTTTACGAGTATAATTTCTGATGTCATAAATAGGAGGCTCAAATTCCCCGCAAGCTCGCCCCTACGATCGGTATCTCTGTTGATACTCGCCGCCAAAACCTCTCAGTCGAGTCCCTCAAGGCCAACGTCGACCGCCTCAAGTCCTTCCGTGCCCGCCTCATCCTCTTCCCACGCAAACTCGGTCAACCCAAGAAGGGTGATTCCACCAAGGAGGAGGTTGCATCCCTCAAGGAGATCAGCAGCCGTGTCAAGAACACTCTGCCAATCGCCACCGTTGAGGGTGGATTCTCAGAGATCAGCAAGTCCGATGTGCCAAAAGCAATTGAGGGAGGTGCATACAGAAAGTTGCGGGTTGCAAGAAGTGACGCTAGATTGGCCGGCAAGCGTGAGAAGAGAGCAAAGGAGGCAGCTGATGAGGCCGCTGCTGCTAAGAAATAAATGGCATGAATGGTTCATGGGTCTGTTTTATATTCTTGCGGGGTGCGATGGATGGATGTGGGCTACAAGAGCAGTTCATAAAAACTGCATAGGTGTACTCTCATGAATTCAAACGGCTATTGCACAAAACTAATGAATTTTCAATAAAATGTTTTGCATGTGAGGTGGTTATTTTGGTTGTGAAGAAGTATTTTACTTTGAATATTCAAGTGAATAAGTGAAGGGAACAAACGAAATGACATTCCAAATGCTACGCCGATGATGATTTTCGGTCCGCTATTCACTGAAACCATACTTGACGGATTGTTCACTAGGAATGGGACAGCGACGTCACCGACTCACAAAAGCAAAAGAATGAAGCCTTTCCATAACCCCGCATGTTAGGAGCGGACCTCTGGACCGCTTTTCACATACTACACTATGCTCTTTTGATACATCCACCACAGACTGGATAGCCATAATCTATCAAACTTGGTCTCTCTCTCCGTGTGTGTCTCTTATCTCTAATCCAAATATCCTAGTATCCTCATATAAAATCAATGTTCCATTCTCATTCTGCTTTCTAACTCTTCTTCTTGCCTTCAGCCTCCGTAATGCAATTGAACAAGTAATAGGTAATGGTAAGTCTTAATTTAATGTGGATCTTTGAATTTTCTATGGGGATTAGGGATTCGGGAGTCGGGAGTGGGAGTTGGAGATTCGGGATTGGAGAATATTGTTTATAATGGATGGGATGTTAGTAGATGGATTTTCTATGGTTTGATTGAATTAGAATTGTTGTGGTATTTAATAGGTATGTTGGTATGTTAGAGTGAAATGGTGTGAAGTGATGTGAAGTGATGTGCTGTGCTGTGCTGTGCTGGACTAGATTGCTTTGTGTGTGTAAGGATCTGGTTTATTCCCATTTCTATTTTCTATTTCCATTTGATGGATTCGAGATATACAATAAGTTGTAAGAATACACAAGACAAGATTGTGATATTTAATGCAGGGTAGATGTGGATATTCAAAACATACACTTTTATTTAAAAGACATGGAAGGTAGGGTTTCTTGTTTATATTATCTTTCTAATTACCTAGTAGTTAGTCGACTGTTTACAATGGTTTGGGTGTGTATGTTTATATTGGGGTAGAATATCTATCTCATTATTATATTATGAAAAACCCCCATTCCCGATCTTCGGCTTGATGCTTGCGCTTATATATCTTCTATGTAAGGATAGATCGATAGATAGATAGATAAACACATCACACATAGTATGAAAACCTATAGGCTATACCTCGAAATCAAAATTTACTAGGTATTAACAGAATCTCCAATCGAGGATTCGAGGCGAATGGTATGATACATTTATTTCCTGTTCTTGTTCTTCCACCTCACATTCTTTTCGTCTATATACATATGTATGTAGTTGTGAAATAACCCTCCTCTTATCGGCTCATTATGCAAAGGTGCAAAGGTGCAAAGGTGCAAAGGTTTAAAGATTCAAAGATTCATGTAAAGCGAGTGTGATAGTATCAATAACTGCTTCGAATTCATCAAGATACCATGTAACCATGCATGGGTAGCAAGAGAAACCCTGCTTGATACTTTTGCTGTTCCGCAAGGGTGGGAGTTAGATAGATTACTTACTGAAGCTTTTATCGTGAAATTGAAATTGAAATGTAGATTTTTGGGTTTGGCAATAGTAAGCTTGGATATATGACGAGGAATTTCAGAGCGGTAAAAGTATATGTCTTATTTATCCCTGACTAAATGTGGTTTTGTAGAACAAGTTGAAGAAGAACGGGATTGGATGGGTTTGTTGGGGTGTGTGTAGATGAAATAGGATTCGAACTAACGTTTGAATGATCGTATATTAAATTAGTGAAGGGAAAAAAGGGGTTTAAAAACAATGTGCATACCCCTATCCGCAAAAAAGGCTCTTCTCGATTAATCTAGAGATTGACATTTCTGGTATATGTAGACAGATGTGTTGGATCGGTAACCTTACGCATAAGCGAGAATATGTATGATGCTGTGCTGTCTAGGAGAAAGTTTGGGGATGATGCATGCTGTATACATCTACAGAATGCTATAGTACCTTTTTACTCATGACAAGAGCCAATACAGAGCATTTATTCACGTATGATAAACTTCTTATTTTAGCAAGTTATAAGAAGGCGAAGTCGACGACTACATAGCCTTAAGTAAAAGGGTAGCTCTCACGAACTTGCATATCAACTCATTGGATATCGGTGCCCATGCTGCCTGTCGGTGTGCCAGAATTTCATGTTTACAATAGTGGTGATGTCTTCGGTAGAGCAGGTCATTGGGTGTGGGGGGTGGAAGGGGAGAAAAAGGAATTGAGATGAGAGTATATAAATATAACCACTTCAGGGACATGAAGATTGAGGTACTATCATCTAACTTCAAGAATCGATAATTCAGCGGGTTTGTGGATGACGGTAGAGCTAAGAATGATGACCATGTACTATTTCCTAGTTCGGAGAAGTTCCATAGTCTTAATCAGTGGTTAACGCTTGCGTATGTATCAAAAATCACTCGTAGTTTTGAAAATTATGTCTTATGATAATCAAGCCTAACTTGAATATCGATACAGCAAACTTTGCTATAATATAATACCCGAAAGTCCTAGATGAATGCATTGGGCTCGCATCAACACAGTGCATATCCCAAGCCAACACAAGATTTCCGACAAGGAAGTATTGACCAGACAAGATGTTTGTAAACTTCCATTACAAAGCCCATAATAAAATTGGCAAAACCTGGTATTAAGATAGTACCATGCTATAACCCACGCTATGCACTCTAAATCAGGACTCATTAAAACCCAAACTCCATTTTCCAACCATTCTCAACATTTACACCCGTATCTCAAGCAGGTCTCCTCCTAGCAAACTCCTCCAAATCCGTCCTCGTCGCCACCCCCAAAACAAACCTCCTCCTCTCATCCGTCACAACCGCAAACTCCTGCTTTCCATGTTCCCCATTCTCGCCCCCATTAAAAAATAGCTCCAACTCTTCTAATGGCGTATCCATAGTAATAACCTTATAAGCCTTTCCCTTCCTCTTAAATTTCACCATGGCTTTCGATACCTCATCTGTTTCTTTTACTTTGCCCGTCTCGAGTAAAATGCGCAGATGCGGAATGGAGAGATAGCCTAGCAGTGCTCGGGTATCAGGTGTTACAACGGTGAGATGCGTGTAATCGCGTTCGAAGGCGCTCATCAGAGCGTAGGATATGGGATCGGTAGGGTTACAGGAGAGGGCGGAGGGAGGATCGAGATCTTCGACTGTGGCCTGGGGCGAGGGTTGTGTTAATATACATGTTTATGTGGATGGGTTTGACTGACTGGGTGATGTCAGGAATAGTGTACTTACACCTCTATAACGATTTGCCAATTTCGAGATGGTCGGTTTGGATGATGAGGACATCTCTGCGGAAGCTGGGTTTGTAGTGATTGCTTGATTGGGTATAATATTCGACATTTTTTTATGTGTTGTTTATGAGGTATGTCCACAACAACAAAGTATTTTATGGTGGGGAGGAATTGGTGGGGTAATTAGATCGAGCAAATGTTTAGATCGTGTCCCTGAGTATTCCCATTGTTTTGAGACATTCTAGAAGCTTTTCCCTCGGAAGAAGTTTGACAAGTTTGAGAAGAGCTTCAGTCACTTCAAGGTTCAAGAAAATGGTATCATAGAATTGAGAGGGGATAATGATATAAAGGATACAAAAGTCCCTAGCTATGGTCACTCATAGACGGGAAAGCCTGCAGCACTCTACAAAGCAATTGAAGGATCTCTTTATGCTACAGAATAATAATCCAAAGATGCATATCATATCATCAAACCGAAGTTTTTGTATTGTACTATTCATAACTCAACCGGCATCCAGAAATCTCGTACTTAAGTAAATGATATTCCATTCTCACCCGGTGAATTGAACAGTGCCAACCTCGCACGGGAGTAAAAGATACCATCTAGAATTCGAGCCGTATACAGATAATTGTCATTGGCCATTGAGAATATTACTTCACGTCAAATTGCGTCAATTGTGTCTCGTCAATCCGATTTATCCATGCAACCCAACATTCCTGAATTTATTTAACAAATACATATCGCATCGCATCGCATCGCATCGCACCGTATTTCTCTTCTTCCTCATCAGAAAACTTCCTATCAATCATCTCTCAAAATGCCTTCAATTTTCCCTTCTCAAAATACTCTTCACGATGTATTCCACCATCCCCATCCCTACGGTCGCCGATCCGAACCAGCAATTCAACCACCTACCACTCCTGTATCCAAGCGCACCCCACTTCAAGCTCGTCCAGAGCTCTATACAGCTTGGTCCGTCGTTGACGATGCGAAGAATAAAGCCAATGCATTGAGTGCAGAAGCTGCAAAGGAGTTTGAGAAAGCTAGTGCGAGTGCCCAGGCCAAAACTGGTAAAATCGAGTTATACTCGCCAAAGTTTTATGCTGCTTGTACTTTTGGTGGATTACTTGCTTGTGTGAGTGGCTTTCCATTTATCTTATGATATTAAGGGTTTTGAATTGGGAGACACTATCTATCTGTTTCATTTTCCATTATGAAGCTGTTCCAAGGTACTTTGGATTGCGCCCAGGAACTGGAGCCACGATTGATAATACTTGACTCGACTTTCACCTGCGGGATATACACCATTCAGCGAATGATATTGGCCCGCTTTTCAACCCGTTTTAGTCCTTCACACATTTATCTACTTTCCACCCACTGAACTTCATTTTGAATTTCTGTGCTACCTGTTGAAAGGACGATTAGCCAACTCTTCAGGACTGGGCAATTGCCCAGATGCCGCCGGGGTTGGGTGCCGGACTTGTGATCCATTGTCTCGCTATTTCTTTCGTCAAAAGCTCGATAGATAGGCATCACAAAAACCTACTTCCTTCTCATTACCTATCTCATATATAGACTCAAATATGCAAAACCCTCCTACTAACCAAAAATTTCACAGGGTCTCACCCACACAGCAGTTACCCCCCTCGATTTAGTAAAATGCCGTCGTCAAGTCGACTCCAAAATGTACACAGGCAACTTCCAAGCCTGGGGTAAAATCTTCCGCGCCGAAGGATTCCGCGGTATCATGACCGGATGGGGTCCCACATTCTTTGGATACTCCGCCCAAGGAGCATTTAAATACGGCGGATACGAATTCTTCAAGAAATTCTACGCTGATCTCGCCGGTCCCGAAAATGCATACAAGTACAAAACATGGCTTTATCTATCCGCCAGTGCATCCGCAGAATTCATTGCTGATGTGGCACTTTGTCCTTTCGAAGCTGTAAAGGTTAGGATGCAAACTACTATTCCCCCCTTTGCGAAGGGTACTGCAGATGGTCTTTCTCAGATTATATCAAAGGAGGGATATGCTGGATTGTACAAGGGCTTGTATCCTCTCTGGGGTCGTCAAATTCCATATACAATGATGAAGTTCGCATCCTTTGAGACCATCGTAGAAATGATTTATGATCGTCTTCCAGGTCAAAAATCAGACTATGGTAAAGCTGCTCAGACGGGTGTTTCGTTCACGGGTGGTTATTTGGCTGGTATTCTCTGCGCTCTCGTTTCGCATCCTGCTGATGTTATGGTAAGCTCCCTCATCCTCCTTGTCAAATTTCCAACTTAATCCCCACAGGTATCAAAATTAAACGCAAGCCGACTTCCCGGTGAAGCATTCGGTGCGGCTACAGGACGTATCTACAAAGATATTGGATTCCGCGGACTCTGGAATGGTCTTCCGGTTCGTATCGTTATGATTGGTACTTTGACTGGTTTGCAATGGATGATTTATGTAAGTTTCTTTTTCTCAATTCTTTGGTGGATGGATGATGTTAATCGTAGCGAATATAGGATTACTTTAAGATTTTCATGGGATTGCCAACGACGGGTGGAGCTGCACCTGTACAGATTGTGCAGAAACGAAATATGGAATAGGTATGGTATGGTAATAGTGTAGGTAACTGAGATCTTTTTGGAGATTTAGGTTGGTTGGACGTTGGAGGATAGGATTGATTCGAATAAATGGGTCTCCGCTCAGTATCCCCGTAATGCAATTGACAAATATGTTTCATAAATTTGCTTGTGATATCTTAACGTAATGTGTATGCGTGGGCCATTTGTATGTGTTCATTCATATCTGGTATCCCTTTTACTCAGTTAAGATATTGTATAACCGCAAATAAATAAATACCGAGTACATCCGTACAAAGATATTAACCATCAAAATTTATCCAACATTTTAAATATTAAATATTAAACAATAAATCCTTTCTTACAGAACACATAACATAACTAATAACCTACTACTCACTCCAAACCCCCCAAATCCATCACTCCTCATCTAAATCTAAGCCGAGGCATTTACAAGTTACAAGTTACAACTCCTCACTCCAAGATAAGCCCTCCCCATCCCCACCGGATCCCTCATTCCCTTATCTCCCTCCCCTCCCTCCACAAATCAAACAACCAAATAACAAATAACAAATACAATAACATAATACAAACACCTCTGATATGCAACAAAAGATTTCTTGTATTATTAATATTGGTAATTTTTCCTTGTAATTGGTTTATTCTGGGTTATCTGGTTTATTGGAGGGTTGATTCTTTGCTTAATGGGGTTTGGAGAGGTTTGAAGGGGACTACTCCTGAATAGGCGAGTTTGTTTGTATGTATGTGTGTGTGTGTGTGTATGTAAGATCTTATGTAGTGGGAAAGGATGGGAAGGGATAGGATGGGGGGGGGCTTATCTTTGTTTGTGAAGTTATGTATCTTGGTATTTGTTGAAGATAAGGAGGGATAGGATAGAGGGTTGATGTTTGATGTTTGATTTGTATATATTCAGTATTGGAGTTTGTGTGTGTGCTCCATAAATTGTTTGTAGGGATGTTGAAAGTATGTACGGAATATTGAGAGATGGGAATGGTGATTATGGTTACGGTTCACCAGCTATGAACTACCTACCTAGTACCTTGCTCTGTGCTTTAATCGATCCTGTCTGTGCTGCAGGTAAAAAGTTAAAAAGGTAAATTACATCATAGGTTCTCTGGTCCAATTTGCAGATAGGTAAGATCTTACTTATTGACGATGAAAGAAAGAAGAATGAACCAAAATAAAGGAAAAGAACAAGAACAGAATTGAAACGAAACGGGAGAAGACCGACCTATCTAAATAAATAAGAGCCTAAACAAAGCACGTGTAGATATAGCCTTGTCAATTCGAATCTTATTGAAAGTTTCTTACTCGACTTATCTTCTCTCATCATCCCTTCTTGTAAATGCTTTGTCGCAAAAGATTGTTGCAGTTGTTACCAGATCCCAAAGTAAGTACCAGTCAAACCTCAAGTCAAGTCAAAGTCAAAGTCAAATCAAGTCAAATCACATCTCATGGAAGGAAATGTGCTTTCATTGAAGTCATTGGTGATTCTTGTATGGTATGACCGATTGCGGCGTGTGAAGTGGGCTGAGAACAACCAAGGATTCCTTTGCGCATTATATATTGCGCGCGTTCCCATTTCTTTGATTGCATAGTAAAAAGTACGTACTTATATTTCTAGCGCAGACTTTACATCTAAAGAGTCTAATCGCAAGAATAATTTGAAAATCATCATAATGGCCGAGCCTGAAGTTAGTCACGGTCGCGGAGGTATGTTCTGTTTGCAGTCGCAGTCAAAGGAGGGAAATCCTAACGTCATAGCAGGCGCTGGAAATATTGGAGCTGATTCCACTCCGTATGCATATACTTTCTCCCATCGCAACTTTTACGCATTCGTGATCCAGTATGAGGCGGAAGTTTTCGACAAATAAACTAATGGACCCAATAGATATGTTGATGGTGAAATCGTTCGCCAAGGACCAGCGGGAGATCATGGTGATGGAGCATTTAGCGTCGGTCGAGGAGGAGCCGCAAACATCGGTTCACCTGGTCTCCCGGCTACCAAACGTAGCGATGCGGATAGTATTCCAGAAGCTGCATTAAGACCTAGTACTGATGGTGAAAATGTGCACTTTGGGCGAGGTGGTGAGGGTAATGTGGTTAATACGACGAAGCCGGGTGTAGAACATCCGATTGGATTGGCGGATAAGTTGAAGAATAAGTTGTTCAAGAAGAAAGCTCATTCTACCGCCAAATGAGTGGCTGGGAAGGAGGATTTTGTTTCGAGAGCTTTGGAGAGGTTCTTTGGTTTGGTTTCGCTGGGGGTTGTTAAGAACTCTGGTTGATTATATTTGAGGGCTTGATTAATGATTTTCGATATTGGAGAGGGGAGTTTTCATATCCTCCTGGGAGGATGGGGGGATAAAATGATACCCGATTATGGCTTGTGTCTGGGATTGAGGTCGTTCGACTCGCTATTTACGAGAGAGAAGTTGTTCAAACAATATTCTTTCACTATAATTTTCTAGTTTGACTTGCTGCCTCCTAAGTGAAATAAGTCAACTATCTGCCGCATTCAACGGGTGACTCTCTTGACAATGTAAACATATACTATTGGTGAAATGGGTACGTATCCTAGGAACCTGGAAGCACTTGATGTTTCCTATGTTTGGAGATTAGATACCAATTTAAGGTGAAAAGTGTTTGAGGATCTAGTACATTGCACTCTGCATTATTCACAGGAAAATTGTGGACTGACCAACTAAATGATAAATATATCGAAAGAAAACATTGAATTAAGATATTGCTTTCCTCTATTTACATTATTTGTGGGTTGACCAATGAAATAATAGAATTAATATAAATTAACAAATGAGCTTTATGACTGATTAATTAAATAAGCTTATGACTGTTGGTTGGTTTGAGCTTTTTTTATGACTGTCGCGCCAACATCTAAAGAGTGTTTTGGTTGAAGTTCTTCACCAACCAAACATGTTGTTATAACAATTGAGAATTGTCAATTGTCAACTCCAATCCCGAATATATTTACCATTAACTATATTTTACCAAAGGGGTTCACTTTTTATGATCTTCATTCATTCTAAACTATCTGCTTTTTGAGCCGTTTGATACTCGAGTATCCTCTGCAACTACATTCAAAACTCACAAGGCCTTCTCAGCCAAATCTTTGGATTAACTTACAAACACAAACTTTACCTAAGATAAAATACAGCATCTTTCCAACCTACTTCTATCCAACACCTTTATCCCAAAGAAATCTCGTCAAAAGTCGAGTCTTCACACGCAACCATTCTGCAATTCGAAATTGGTATCTGCGCGCGCGCATATTTGTTAGCATACTCGACACTTCTTGAATCATCGGTCCGTCGCGCCTCTACCCCGCTGTTCATTATGGCTCCGAAACATGGCCTGAATGGTTCGAATACATCTTTGACCAAACGCGCAAGGGCAGAGCGCTCAGAACCTACATCTATGAGTCCTCCTGCAAATGTGCACGATACAATATCATTCGAGATCAAATTCCCGGTTATGAATGCGAAAGCAAAGGAGTCAAGACAAAATGCGGAATGGAGGTTGCAGGCAGAGGAGCATATATCACCATTTCAAGGCTTTAATGCTCCTGAGAAAGAACTCAACTATCACTATACTGTTGTGCCAAATACAGAGTGGATGTCCATGAGGAAATATAATAACTTTATAAGTAAGTCTTATCCAATCACTGACTACTGCAATTTTCTCTAATTCCAAGTTCAGTCCAAGGTGATACTTATAAAAACAACCAATTTGTCTACGTAAAGGGCAAGACAGAAGCAGGAACGGAACCGAGGGACTTTTGGACAGCAAGAATATTACAGGTCAGAGCTAAGAACCCGCAGCATGTTTATGCCTTGGTAAACACCATTGCCCTGGATGAAGACTTCTGGCTAATCGGTTTTAGGTTGCCTGGATGTATTGGCCGGAAGAATTACCAGCAACAGCCAAAGCTGCGGATGAGACATCGGCAAGGCCAGGACGGAGGAAATATCACGGCAACTTAGAACTCATTGCGAGCAACTATTTGGATGTTGTAGATGTATTGACTCTTGCAGGAAAGATAGACCTGGAGCCGTTTTCTGAAGAACTTGTTGATAATGCAGTGTCTGAGCCAGCGCCTGGCAAGTTTTATTGGCGTCAAACATTTTGTAGAGCCACTCAAAGACTTTCGGTGAGTATTATCTCTGTGTATCAAATGAGCCCGAACTAATTTAATTTTCCTCCAGGACTTGCCAGTATATTGTCTTTGCAATGGCCACTACAACCCCGATATTCGCGAGTATGAGCATATTTGCGATAATAAAGCTTGTCAAACTCTTTATCATTCGCAGTGTTTGGTAGAGGATGCTCTTGCCAGAAAATATTACGAGGAATACCCTCAAGATGAGGCAGGACCAACAGCCAATGGAACCAAGCCTAAAGATAAAAAGAAAAAGAATGGAAGGCCGAAAGAGAAGATCTATTCTAAAACATTCAATGGACATTTGGTACACGATCATGATGACCAGACTCCACCAATGATTAAAATTACCGACATGAGATCAACTCCTCCTACGGAAATCCTGCAGCGGGTTGCATGTCCAAAGTGCTCAACTCTTTTTGAATGAGCATCGTTTCTCAAGTTTGCGGCGTTTCATGCTGGCATTGCAATTTTTTTCGCCATACATACTCTTACGATTAACGGACGCAATTTTTACCACTCGATTTAGAATAATCCATCTATCACACTGTGGAAGCAGCCTCAACTCGAATCTTGAAGATCCGTTATATAATCTGGCGCATGCATATGTGCTTTTCTATACTTGTACATATATTCCACCAACTTTCCATCACATACTTCATTTTAGGCCATACTTCCGCGAGCTCATTGCATAAAGATAGCGCAATATTTGCGATCGGTTTTCTGAACATATCATATTTTGTATTAAGGAAAAAGCGAGCTGCGTGCTAGGTGGATAAATCAGCGGTGTTCCTTGAGATGGAGTGACGGCATGCTCCTAATACCCGGGCTTTGTTTTGGATTAGGCCATTAAGGCGCCTAATGTTTTTTATTTTTTAGTATGGTTTTTGGTCATTGGTTTTTCACGAGCTTTATTCTGCTTCACTGCGCTTGAGGGCGGTGGGAAAGGAAGTGTGTATGCATGTATTTTTTAGACGGGGTAAATTAGCAGGGATGGAAGAACAGATGAGGAACTGGATGTGAGCACGGTGATTAATTGGCAGTGTTGTACTGGGTAGGGAAGCCTTATTATTGAATAGGTACGGAAATGAAAGATAGGGATGAGAAAAGCATATGTTGAGTTTGCTGAAAGTAGTACGTATATAGGTGTGAGTCTGTTTGAGAATGTGAAAGGAGAGAAGCTTACAAGGAAGGTCAAATATGAGAATGAGAATGGGATTAAAAATGGGAAGTAATAAATATATTTACGATATCATACCTTTACTCCTAGCGATTACTCCCAGCGATTCTATCTATGACTAAGGAGAAACTCAATCATGCGTCTCTATCATTCTTGAGCATTATATTAGCAGTTTCCTCATATGCAGAAGGGGGAGAGGAGTGAAGGATGGATTTGGAGTTGGATTTGGATTTGGAGTTCTTGAGTCTTGTGATTTCTGCGGATGGTAGATGGCTTCTATTGAATCAAACGGGTTTTTTTGGGAAAGGGTATTAGTAGATGTTTGAGGGTGTGGGTGGGGTGACGTTGGATAGATGGATGTTCGGGGGTACTTATCTTCATTCTCTGTGTTATGCGGCGGGGGGAAAATCAGAGATGTTGCACACAGGAAACGATGTGGATAGAGATTATTGATGAATGAGTAATTTTTAATATTATATTTTTATGTCTATGGTGGTTAATCTAGGAATTGGCAAGAGATCAATGATATCGTAGGGAGTATCAATAAGAATAAGAGATGGCCACTTGACAATATAAATGATAGCCAACTTTGCTACCATTACGCCAAATTCAAAGGGCGAGGAGTCAAATAGGATCTGCCAAGCTCTTTTCGTCTCGGATCACTAGCAAACTTGCAGGAGCACAGAATCAATTGATCCACCAACCCGGTTCAACGCGCTTCAGCTCGTATCCTGCAGACTTGAATGCCATAGACCTATCGTGGTAGTATAATAACCCTGGGCAATCCCCGATATCGAGTCCTTTCTCAATGGCAGCAGCGGCTCAAACCCATCTTGACCTTCTCCTATCCAAATCTCATCCCCATGTCCTTCAATCCCCGAATAACATCCTATTCTTAATCCAAAAAAGTTAGTCGATATCCCAAAACTTTTTCCTCAAACCAACGAAACCACATCACACCATTCCATAATAGAAAAAAAACTTCAGAACCCCACACTCAAAGCACCGTCAACGATCCCACACCAACCCCAAAAATCCGCTGCATATGACGATGCCACACGGATAATTGGCGTGAGTGTTTTTGTTAGGGATGTCAACCTCATACGGCTCTTCCTAAAGATAATTTTGAGGGTATTGATCTCATCATTGTAGTTTTTTTGGTGGTAATGGCTTGGTTGGTCGATTGAGGATGGAAGGAGAAGGAGAACTTACGATGGTTGGGAGGTAAATGATGTGTTGGGGAGAAGTGAGTGGTATTTCCACTTGCTGGTTTGGTGTAGAAGATGTGATGCGTGGATTCAGCTGCTTGTTAGTGATTTATAATGATATTGTAGTTGACGTTTAGAATTGTATCTCGACAGATTGTCCATAGATAAATATCATCGCGCCCGGCCGCCTTCCAAGATTTCCCATACCCATCATATTTTACCCCTCTGGCGACCATCGAACTGAAATCCACATTTACTTTGTTTCGATCTTCACTTCTCGACTGAGTAATTCTCAATCAAAAGTCATTTTTGGGCGAACAGAATGTGCTTCATCATCCCTAAATTGTGGTGATGATTGATGTAGTGTTCTATCATTCCCACAACCATAAGAAAAAAATTATTTTAGCTCGTTCAAGCTTTCTACGCTAGTTTCAGTGGTTCTTGATTACGTAATCATACACACCGTACTAATAACCTCCAAGCAGTATCTCACGTGATGGAAGATTTTGTTGCATGTCTGGAGAATGGGTTGACAAGGTCCTATCTAGGTGTGAAGAGGGTTGTCTTTTTATTGGTGTTACGAATCCTGATTATATAGTAGACCCATAAGTCTGCATCTCTGCCTTTGCCTCTGCCTCCTACTTAAACGTGACAACCACATGACCTGAAATATCCATCCTGACACATCCGAATTCATTTTCCTCATCCCGAGATAGCAATGTTTAAATCGAAAAGGCAACGCTTAATCCTAGGTAGGTAGGTAGGTAAGTAGGTAGGTAGGTAGGTAGGTATGCAACACAGGTATTTAGAAATCCACGCATTGATGGACTGTATGATCTAGACTCCAAGCTCGTTTCAAAACTCATCCTCTTCGGTACTTCCCTTCCCTTCCCTCCCGCAAGTTGACAATTGACAATGTGATTGACATGACATATCATGACATGACATCTCGTCCAAACGAATGCTCGTCCCATCCCATACCATCTTATATTTAACTTTCCGTTTGGTTTCGTTTCATATCTACACAAAACATTGTTTTCTTACCTTCCGACCCCATCCATCCCGTCTTACTATATCTTTCACTTCTTTCACATCACCTAACACAATAAACACAAAACAGATATCAACCATCTTATTATTCCTTAACAATCCACTCCCTCATTCATCCATCCATCCATCCATCCAAAAACATGATAACCACCCCTCTCCCCCTCTTTCCCACTCCACCGAGTCCACTCCCAACCCCCGGAAATTTCAGGACCTCGCCCTCTCCTTGCCCCCCTCCTTATCACCAAAATTACAGGAGATCATATCACCCTACTCAAACATCAAACACTAAACATTAAACACTAAACATTATCTATCTAGATAAATACTCAAAGATCAACATTCATTCCGTGCGATCTGTAGGTTAGTTAACAATCAGAAACCTAATCACAAATCACAAATCAAACCAAAAACCCAAACCTCCCCCCTCCCCTAAAATACCCGCCCGTATCGTAAAACAGCATTACCATTACTTCTCTAATCCTCGAATACCTAGATATGATAGAATAAACTATGACTCGATACCTAGGTACCTATTTAACTTTCATATACCTACCTAGTAACCTACCTACTCATGCGGCCAGTAAGTATGTCTGTCACGCTCCCTCCACTTTTAAGCACATGCCATAAAATGATAAACTACACTACAGAGGGATAGTGGCCCATATTCAAGTGGACTGTGACATACTTTCTGGCAGCACGAGTTAGTCCTACAAAATAGATCATCAGGAGTCAGGACATTCATTCATTCATTTACATGCAGCTTTTGCATGTGCTTCGCATTGCATTACATCTTAGCATGAAAAAAATGCACTCACTCAAACCTAAACTTAAACATAAACAAAAGCTCCACAGCGTACTCCGTACATGCATACGACTCCGCACATGGCCGGCCCATTCGGGAAGGTAATCCTTTAAATTCGCGCAGGGTAAAATGACAAGCACAGGAGGGAAAATGACGAGATTTAGAATCTTTGGATAACTTGGTAAACATTGCTGTCTGTCTGATTGTCTGATTGTCTGTCTGTCTGATTGTCTGATTGTCTGTCTGTCTGTCTGTCTGTATGATCTTATCCTATACTCAAGTAGGTGCCTAGGTAATAGTAATTAAAATTCAGTCCGAACCGATCCATTACATCGTTTCATATCTATCCCCCACTTCCACCACCATGAGACCTCATCTCCTCGCCCACCAAATACACGAGTACCAATCCATCCCAGTACCGCCAAATCCAAATCCAAATCCAAATCCAAATCCTAATCCAAATGCAAATCCAAATCACGCGATGATATCCATTGATATCTTAAAGAGAGTATAGTGATGGATAAATGACAAGTAATGAAATAGGCACCAAAGAGATAGTGAGGGAGTCCGCCCTAAAAGAAAAAAAACTCCGGGATATAGCCAATCCATGGATATCGACCGACCAAACAAACAAACATCTTTCCCTCCCATCCCACAAATGAAATTCCAGGCCGTAATAACTCCTCCTCCATCGGTTTTTCCATGACAGTTGAAAGAGACGTAAATGTAAAGATTATATGCAATAATCGTGAAAAGAGCGTAAAGAAAGGTTCATCAAGTGACGAGTGGTAATCAAGTATGTACATTGAAAAAGTGTATAGGGTAGGGCAAAATTGTAGAATAATGAGAAACCGGCCTCGTATATTCTAGATCCATACCGGTCCTATGGTAGGTTTGACTTCGCCGAAAGCACTCATGAATAATCCTTGGATTTCGCTCATGTAGTCTTCGGCTCTGAATTTAAATAATCCTCTTGATATCAACTCATGTTCTTCCTCATCGACAACGGCTAAGATTTCCTTGGTGATACCATATTCTTCAGCAATCTCGGTGACCTGAGCAAGTTCGTTACCGAAAGGATGCGGCTCAGCAGCTGCCGCTTCCTCAATATTTGCCGAAAACATATGCATTGTCGATCTGACTGTAGTAGCGCTCTTTGGTGACGACATTCTTGCGACGGAGTTTTTGCGGGAGATGATTTCGTGGTTCTTTTTAGTGTGTGAAGGGGCTCTTTGTGGGATGCCGGGTGCTTCATCACGAAATGCGATCTCAATCGACTTTTTGCCAAAGTTGAATGCCGAAAGGTGATCTCCTGCTGGAGTTATCGGTGATCGAGACTCGATCGACAATGTATCGGCCGACGTTAAACTTGTTGAGCTAGTCATCCGTGAGGTATCTGAATCTTCTCCGGAATGAGTTGATGCAGTGCTGCTCGAAGCAATTCGTTTACTGATATCTTTGGGGTAGAGATCTGGAGCATTGTATGACAACATGTTGGTGGTAGAAAGAAGCTCAGTTGGTCCAGAAATTTGTGAGCGCTTAATAGTTCCATGCGCAAACTTGGGGGTCATGGATCGTTGCGCAGTTGGTGAAGGAGGACCGGCATCGAGCTGCTTCTTTGCCTTCCTCGTAGTAAATGCGCGTGCAAGAGACATTTTTGCTGATATGGAATCTGTTGTCCGGATAATAGGAATTAAGTACTTTTTTGCCAGTGATATGGTGGGGGTATTCGTTAGCCCCGGTAAGATACTCCGGATTTGATTTTCCGACGGGTAATCTTTAGTAGCGTGCAGGAGATCGATTGACCGAGATGGGTCAGATGTATCCTGCAGGTGAGCTTATGGTATATTTCTGGTTGGACAAGAAATATTATTTGAAGCTTTAAAGTATAAAAGCTTTGAGATTATGTGTCGCGCGATTATTTTTTTTCCTGTGGGAATGACCTGAGCTGTGAAGGAATTACTCAGTGACGCAAATCTAAGATCGAGGCGGGCCGATATTCAAAAAAGGGACTCCTTGAGTTTACTTTTGATTTGTTGGATCGAAGTGAATATATGTGTGTACTGGAAAGTTGATTTGTCGTGATGTGTAATAGCAACCAAAATAGTGAATTTCTGCTCAACACGTCTCTTTCGCAGTGTTCAAGAATGACTGTTTGGAAGTTGAATGCTATTTTGATATCTCTTGGGCGTGTAAAGTGTTCGAAGGATTACTCAAGGGGAGGGATCGTGGGATATGTGGATTTCCTGTTTGTCGATAATGAACGTGTCGAACAACCTGTATCCAGCAATCAAGCAAACTTTGAAGGAATGTATAGTCCAACACTCTTTTCGTCACTGGTATCTATCTTATCGATCCTGCGATGAGTGAAATAATAAAGGCCTTTGGCGTTATGAGATGTTGAGCAAAAGAAGAGAAGAGAAAGGAAGGATTCTGAGGAGGTGGAAAGCTAAAGCCTACTTTGGTTAAACGGAGTTGGAAGAGGCCAAAACAAGGTAAAAGGTAAAAAGCAAAAATTGCGCCAAAAGATGCTAATTCTTCCTTTTGATCTTTTGACCGAAGGCCAAAAGCAAAGACAAGCACTCCAAGGTTATAGGTTATACTTAAGAGACGGGTTCGTTCACAAGGATTCTCTTCTCACCAGGATTAGAACCAACATGCCGCTAAGGGGGAAGGGAAGTTGATAATTATTTTATATGCAGGCCATTTAAACCGACTATAGCATAGTGAAAAGAGCCCAAGCTTCCACAGGGCATAAATTAGTATTGATTGGACGATAATGGGAAAAGAAAGCACACGAAAAAGGAAGAAAACATGATATACTATTATCCTTCCGTACACTAGAGAGTTATCCCCAACAAGAAAAGCGATGGTTCATCCAATTACATCAACTCCATCAAGGGAAGCGTGTTGGGCCGGAGTTATCGTTCTCCTTATGATCAGCAATTAGCTCCCCTATCAGGTAAATAAGCCGATATCATTCTCTGAGCGCTAATAAGTGATAAGTCATGAACAATTGTAAGCTTGAACCATCTGAATGAAGATGGTTCATTCATTGATTCATTGTTAGCCCTGCTGCACCTCAGAAAGATGTCAAGAAGTTCGGTCGGCCCAACTCCTCTATTTCATGCATATACTAAGCCCATCACTCTCAACAATCACAATCACAATCACAATCACAATCAAAAATCTAAACGCCCTGGTCGAGAAGGCGTAGCGCAGCCCGCGCAGCTCGCGCATGTATGTGGTAGCTCAAGTGGACCGACCAATCATCATATTGACAGGGACACGTAATCTCTGATTTGACCATTTCAACCCATATGATGTTTCACCGTTTCAGGTACATGATCCCTCGTGCAGAAAAGGGTATGTCTGATTTATCAACCATTGGACATGTGTATGGATGAAGCATGAACATGGTGAACATGGTGAACAAGGTAAACAAGGTAAACAAGGTAAGCAAGGTAAGCATGGCCAAAGCGAGAGCGGACGCGAAGAATGTGGATTGCGATGAACGTGCGTTTATGTGTGTGAATCGTGAAAATGGGGATTTGTGAAAGGATTGGAAGCATGAAAATAGCTAGCGGTACCGGCTGAATGAGAATGGGAGTGAAAATGAAGTGAAAGTGGGACATGGAATGGGTTGATGATTACACACAAGCCCATGAATATATTATATTATCTATATCTAACTTCCGCTCGCGCATTAAGAGATAAGATTAGTTTTTCATTTCGCCGTCTATCAGTGTCTCTCTGGCGGCACAATGCATTCATGTGTTTGTATTTTCCAACTTGCCTACCTAAATAAGCCAGCCTATCTTCGAATTAACAAGCGACACACTACTACTGTGCCTAGCAGTGTAACTTCAGAAGGAATCATGGGAAGAGGCAAAAGGGAAAAAGGATCAACTATCTAGATCATCTGATACCATGACATAGATACATCGAATCCCCCATCTTATAATCCATACATAGCCTATTCCCAGCACACGAGAGTCTAGATGTACCAAAAAGCCTCGTCATCCATGTTACACTGCTTGCTGAGTGTAATTTTAGGTGTAGGTGTAGCTGTAGTTTGCGCGGAGGCATGGTACGTTATGCAGTGAGTAAAGCCTAACTAAGCCTGTATTCCGTGTTTCGCAAGCCCTAAATAATTAATCTGATGCCTAACACCCACCGCCAAATTTCTATTTCCATTTCCACTTCTTTTTCCATCTCCATCTCCATTTCCATCTATCTTCATTCAAATTCCCAACAAGAGAAATTTACTTTTTCATCGTTCTAGCTCCGACGACAGTGCAACAAACTAACATCAACTGACAGTTAAACGCCATTTTACGTATGCACTACATGTCGCGGTTTGACACTACGTAGTTCATCCTATTTTTCAATCGTCCATTCTAGATCCCAAACGGTTTCGAGGACTCTGACTCTCTCTGACTCTCTCTGACTCTGATTCTGATTCTGACTCTGATTCTCCCCGGATCCGACTTTTCCAGCAAAAATCCCGTTACGTTAACATGTGCGCGGTTCCATCAGGCTGATCAATCAGACTTAACATCTTACTGTAATTTTTCTTATTCATTTGTTCATTTGTTTTTTTTCTTCTTCTTTTCCGGACGTGCAGTTTCTTATGGGCTGAGTGGTTTCGAAGTTGCGAAATATGGCATGATTTGCTGCATGCTCATGCTGTATTACGAACTGCGTGTGCTGTGCAAGCTATATGATTTCATTCATTTCATTCATTTTCATCTATATCAATCCGATATAATATTACATCTTCCGTTATGATACAGGAATCACTCGAAATGAGATGTAGCAGGTCATGAAGATAAATGCTTCAGCTAAATTTGATTCCCCGGTTTTTGTTCGCTTATGTCCATCCTTAGTCATTCCGGCGAGGTTTGATCTTCAAACAAAATCTCCGTGTGAAACTTCGGATGGACTATGGGGAGGGATCTACATTTACCGTTTGAAATAGAATTGCGAGTGAAAAGATTGCCGAAATAAATTATTTTGATTTGTTGTGTAAATTTCGCGTGGTCTTTATAGATAGACATGTGCTTATTTAATCATCCTCGTCCATGGACTCAACTTCACCTCCATCGCCTTCTTCAAGCTCTTCATCATCATCTTCCGACTCGCTATCATTTTGCACCCCCACTAACCTTTCCTTTATTTCTCCTTCGGCAGGTGCCACCCTATCCGCAAATGCACGTCGCACACCGGGGTTGGTACTGCAGTCCCAAACTTGTACAAGTCCCTTACTGCCTGCTACAGCAAGTCTGAAGCTAACTTCTTCGTCTGGCGCAAAGGTTGTTGAGAAAACCTTTCCAACATCCAAGTCTCGTGATACTACCATTGTAGGTCCGGTGGGCTGTATGTTCCAGAGCTTAACTTGCTTATCTCCTGACCCGGTAGCCAAAAATCCAGGAATAGTAGGGTTTATATCGAAGGCGGAGACAGAATCGTCATGTGCTTGTAGCATCCATACTGGTTTAGTGGCACTGGGGTTTGCTGGTGCTTTTCGGATATCGTGGAAGTGAATGACACCACTTTCAGTTGAGACATAGAAGTAATTTGGGTCGTGAGGGTCCCATCGGACATTTTCGACGTCACTTTCCACTCCCCATCTGGGTGCTTTCGCATCTGGAGCTCTCATATCTGCAGCTACCACCGTTCTATCATAACTACCACTCAGCAGAACCGTAGATTCCCTTGGATGCCAGGCTAACGAGCATACTTTGTCCGTGTGATGTGTGTACGACTTCGCACATGTGGTAGTGTGTAAATCCCAAAGTTTAACTGTCTTATCTGCCGATGAAGAGGCCAGTAGGTTTCGGTGATGTTTGTTGGCAGCTAATGAGAGAACTGCATCTACGTGAAATTCGTCATTGGCCTTTTTCGACTTCTTGTTCTTCTTCTTCTTCTTGGCTCCTTCATCTCCACCTTTGTTTTGTCCACCTTGCCCTAGAATAGCATTAGGGTACATGCAATCGACTGTATCTAAATCCCAAATCTCAATATCCGGATCGAACGTTCCCACGGCGACGAAATTCGCCCTCGAGTCCTTATCAACACTAGGTTTTCCGACAGGCAAGTCGAGCCATTCCAGACATAATGGTATTGCCGGTAACATTATATCGTGATGTACGTAGAGGTTATCAGCTTCATCTTCGTAAACATATACCTCAAGATGTGCAACCTCATCCTCTATCTTTGCCGCCAGTAGCATATTGTCTGTTGCCAATATTTGAAGTTCTTCCCTGTCCTCATCTTCATCCTCCGCATTCCCTGCCATCGTAATATATGGATCCTCTTCATTCGATTCGTGGTATGCAAGTGATTTCACATTTCCAAACATACCCATCCCCTCACCACCTTCCTTGTCTTCTTCCACATCATCATCGTAATGATCCAAGTCGTATTCTTTTAAATCATCATCTTCCTCACTACGTCAAAGTCAGCGGAATCCAGTATATAGAGAGGACCAAACGAACGCTTTTGACTTCACCCCTTTCGAAACGGCTTCGTCATCTGAGCCTTCATCATCTACCATAGGATCTGGATCTGCGCCAATTTCTGCTGTGTTTTGCGCTTCCTTCAAATCCTCGTTCGCATCATCCAATTGCAACTTCGCGAGATCAGCAATTCGCTGAAATTCTTCTTCGTCAAAGTTGTATTTTGTTGGGAAAGGAGCTGCGAAGCCACGAGGGACCCAAGCTGTTGCTGTGATCATAGACATAGTGATTTAATATTATACCACAAATTGTACAAATCGACTTGGAGCGGGGATATAAAAAATTAAATTGTTCCATTGATCAACTTTTTTTTATCTTAGCGTTATCTTGACCATGATAATGCGGCCGCTCGATGCCGCTAGCGTCATCTACCTAACTATCTTCTCGGCCTTTAGCTTCAAGCTCTAAAACACGACAAGCAAGCAATGAATCAATTATCTTTCAAAATCCCCGAGGCAATTTTATTTGAGATCTTGATGGCTTCGGGATTCCAGGTCAGCAATCAGCAATTATAGTTATTATACTATTCTTTCTTGGTCAAATTAGCTGCAGGCCTCAGACGTGCAGGAAAACTTTTGAGAAAGGTGTTGATTCAGTCCGGCTCAAAATAAACAAATAAATATCAGCACCTCGATACAAAATGGGTCGCGAAGATGGAGAAGTCAGTCCCAAACGGCGCCGGTTGGACTTTAATCCTTTAAAGTCGGATGATCGATTCGCAGTACCAGGTCGACCCTCTACTTCTCGCGGCAGTAGCAGACCTCCCTCGAAATTTCAAAGCCGATCAAGCAATGGCTCGGCGATGCCACGATACACTCCTTCGGCCCGGTCTGTTCCTAAGCAGAATGAATTTGATGGTCCAGAGCCACTCGTTGATGAGGAGGATTCGAAAGCTCTAGATAGAGATTGGTATGCGGGTGATGAGATGGGACACACCTTTGGAGATGATTCGCATAACCCATTCGGCTCCTATGACAATTCTTGGGCAGAACAGCAACGAGAAGCAGCTTTGATCGAAAAGAAAACAGGAAAGCGCCAGAGCGCCCGCGCTCATCAAAAACAAAAAGATGTTGATGCATGGGAGACAAATCGGATGCTTACCTCTGGTGTCGCACAGCGAAGAGACTTTGGCGATGACTTTGAGGATGACGAAGAGGCCACTCGAGTGCATCTACTCGTACATGATCTGAAACCTCCGTTTTTAGATGGAAGAACTGTCTTCTCGAAACAATTGGAGCCTGTGCCTGCGGTTCGTGATTTTCAGAGCGACATGGCAGTATTTAGCAGGAAGGGAAGTAAAGTGGTAAAGGAGAGGCGGCAGCAGAAAGAAAGACAAAAGCAGGCTCAAGAAGCGACTAATATGGCTGGTACGGCCCTTGGGAATCTTATGGGGATCAAAGAAGAAGAAGGCGATAGCGCGGCCCCAATGATGGGAGAGGAAGAACCCCAAGGGAGTAGTAAATTTGCGCAACATATGAAGAAGAACGACGGCGCTAGTAACTTCAGTCAGAGCAAGTCGTTGAGAGAGCAGAGGGAATACCTTCCTGCATTTGCCGTGCGAGAGGATCTTCTCAGGGTCATACGAGATAACCAGGTCGTAATCTGTGTTGGTGAGACTGGATCCGGTAAAACTACCCAACTCACTCAATTTCTCTACGAAGAGGGTTATGGAAATACTGGCCTGATAGGATGCACGCAACCCCGAAGAGTGGCGGCCATGTCTGTAGCGAAGCGTGTCAGTGAGGAGATGGAATGCAAATTAGGAGGTACTGTCGGTTATGCTATCCGGTTTGAGGATTGTACGAGCAAGGAAACCGTGATAAAGTATATGACAGATGGTGTCTTGCTAAGAGAATCATTAAACGAGCCAGATTTGGATCGTTATTCCTGCGTTATCATGGATGAAGCTCACGAGCGGGCTCTCAATACAGATGTCCTTATGGGCTTATTCAAAAAGGTTCTTGCACGCCGTAGAGATCTCAAGTTGATAGTGACATCCGCAACGATGAATTCCAAAAGGTTTTCAGACTTCTATGGCGGAGCTCCCGAATTTTTCATTCCCGGACGTACTTTCCCGGTCGATATCATGTATCACCGTTCACCCGTGGAAGACTATGTGGATCAGGCAGTTCAGCAAGTATTGGCTATTCATGTATCCCAGGGTGCAGGCGACATATTAGTGTTTATGACGGGACAAGAAGATATTGAATGTACTTGTGAGCTTATCCAGGAACGTCTCAATGCTCTCAACGATCCACCGAAGCTTAGCATTCTACCTATTTACAGTCAAATGCCTGCAGATTTGCAAGCCAAAATCTTCGATAGGGCCGCACCTGGTGTTAGAAAGGTCATAGTAGCGACAAACATCGCTGAAACCAGTTTGACTGTCGATGGTATTATGTATGTTGTGGATGCTGGGTATTCAAAGTTAAAGGTGTACAACCCGCGTATGGGAATGGACACTTTGCAAATCACGCCGATTTCACAAGCAAATGCATCTCAACGTGCTGGTCGTGCGGGTCGTACCGGTCCAGGAAAAGCTTTTCATCTCTTTACTGAAGCTGCCTTCAAGGATGAACTTTATATCCAAACCATTCCCGAGATTCAGCGAACAAATCTAAGCAATACTGTTCTATTGTTGAAGTCATTGGGAGTGAAAGACTTACTTGATTTTGATTTCATGGACCCTCCACCTCAGGATACTATCACTACCTCGTTATTCGACCTTTGGGCGTTGGGGGCACTTGACAACATTGGAGAATTGACGGACATAGGAAGGAAAATGACGGCTTTTCCCATGGACCCTTCCCTAGCCAAATTACTAATTACTTCTGAAGAATACGGCTGCAGCGAGGAAATGCTCACCATAGTTTCGATGCTCTCCGTCCCCAGCGTCTTTTATCGTCCAAAAGAACGTCAGGATGAATCCGACGCCGCACGTGAAAAGTTCTTTGTCCCCGAATCAGATCATTTGACGTATCTGCACGTCTATTCGCAATGGAAATCCAATGGGTATTCGGATGCGTGGTGTACACGTCATTTCCTCCATCCAAAATCCCTTCGCCGAGCAAAGGAAATCAGGGAACAGTTATTAGATATCATGAAAATGCAACGCATGAACATGGTCTCTTGCGGTACTGACTGGGACGTTATTCGGAAATGCATATGTTCCGGTTATTACCACCAAGCGGCAAAAGTCAAGGGAATAGGGGAATATGTTAATTTACGAACTTCAGTCACAGTACAGTTGCATCCTACATCGGCCCTTTATGGACTTGGATATCTACCGGATTATGTTGTTTATCACGAGTTAATTCTCACATCGAAAGAATACATGTCGACTGTCACATCTGTGGATCCACATTGGCTGGCGGAACTAGGCGGTGTGTTCTTTAGTGTGAAAGAGAAGGGATATAGTGCGAGGGAGAAAAGGGTTACCGAAGTGGAGTTCAGCAGAAAGATGGAGATCGAGGCTAAGATGGCTGAGGATAAATCGAGAGAAGAAAAGCGAATAGAGGCAGAGAATAATAAACTCGCAAGGAAACCGATGGCCATCACCGATGGAAGCGGGCCGGTAGTTAAAAAAGTCGCTGCAAAGGGTGCTGTGAGGAGACCTGTGGCGAGAAGACCGGGGAGGGGATTTTGAGGTGGCATACAGGGCGTGTTTCATATACATAGGCATATCTGGATATATATATCCTTAGAATAATTGAATATACCAGCTACTTGAGCATAATGACATTATATGTACAATTTGCTATGGACATGTTCTTCCTTTCGTTTGCTTTTCTTAAAAAAGGAGAAGGCAGGATACATGCGACTTCCTAGAATGCAACACACTAATGTGGAGTACTAACCGTCCCGCATCAAAAATGAACTCATTTGAAATCGTTTTGCTACCTCTTCTTACTTCCAGTCATCGACTTATTGGGATACCACTTCTGATGAGTATCCAGAAAAGGGAAACACGTACACTGCTCTATATCCGGGCTGAAATTGATCTTTCTCCTCAGACTTATCTGCGCCCTTTTGCAAACTTGGCATTAGATATCGACATGTCTTATGGTGTCGACAGTAAAACTTGGAATATTGACAAGTAGTGTTTTATATACACTCTAAAGTTTCCAGCCACCTGGGTCTGTTTCCTTATTTTCATTCTCTTATACGTCAGTTTGCCCGCCTCTGCAGACACGTCCGCATAAGGATGAACTTTTACTGGAAGCTTTCCTCCTTACAACATCGATGTGGTACCTATACATTTATGGTAAGATAACAAAACTTATTTTTAATACAAGTTGCTTTATCAATGACGCCTTCAAAGATCGGCCTTCACAGCAGATCTACCGAAACCTCAACCGTCCCAGGCCTCTCATAGTCTCACGTTATTAATTCTGCAAAGTAGGATCTTATTTCTTCGGGTGCAAAAACTCATTTGACTCTATCCTTTCCACCCACGTTTCTATCTCCACATCACAGGCTACTTCTTCGGGCCTGACCCCGATTGAACATACAAGTGGGAATAATAGGGGAAGTACATGCGTCCATAAATATGTGCCGAGGAGGATCTAGAACCTGATTGTATATGCAAACACGATTGACAGGTGCCGTGCAAACATATCTTGATGATCATGCAAGGTTCTCCAGCTTCCAATTTAGATCAAGTAAGTTTCGGTAATGGAGTCGGTCTTGGTAGACTAGGGCTTGTGTAAATAGGCTAAACTACCAACGTATCATTTTCGGTTTTTAAAATGGTTTTTTACCACGAGACTTCCTTTTTCATTTCAAGCATATGAAATTTATGATTGATATGATCATCCAATTCAATTCTAATTCATATCAAAGTTTTGATATTTTGTTGATACCAGTGAATCGGGAAGTAGTCTTTCCATTCGGGAAACATGTAAGATCAATACACGAGTCACGATGAGTCTTTGCCAAGTTGGAAGCCCTTCAGTTTTCGGATATTTGCACCGGATCAATGATTTGAAATGCCAGGTCCTGTATCACGACATAATCCTTATTTGAAGTTGCCTTATGCATCACATAAAGGCGTGGTTCCTCAGCATTAGTAAGTATGTCCGAGCCTTTTACCTTCTTCCCGGTACAGTCCCGTATCACACCTTCCCTATGCATCTTACGCATCCTTTGCATTTTGATAAACCTCAAACTCAACAGCTAATTTTGTTCCCGTAAATTTTGCTTGCATTCGTAATTGTTCGTCATTGGCAAGTCAGAACATTCTCCGTTATCCCGTCTGAGGCTGTGAGAGGAATGTGTCCGATTGGGATGTCTCTTGGAAGTATTATATCAGCTAACTGTTGCAAGGGTGTCAGACGACGCCAACCCTCGGATTTCTCTTTGGTGAATTCAGCCCATGTGGCATCTTTATTAAATACCTAGGTATGCTTTAATAAATGATTCAATATATTCACCGTGTTCGCTGTATTCGTTGCTACGGCTGGGTCAACTCTCTCCGGTTTTACGTACCCCGCAGGGCACGCTTAAATTTCACCACCTGCCCAAATTCCATCTCGTTCCTCCACATTAAACTTCCATGATACAACAAGTCGATAGGTATCAAATATGCCGAAATTCTTCAGTTCCGTGCTTCTCATTTCCATCGTCCTCTTCGTCGTCCACGCGGCTCCAGCAAGCGCCGCAGCAGGAGGCTTCTTAAGCCAAAGTCGCTGCGATGGATCTACCTTTCAATTTTACGACATAGTCGAACTAGGTCCTGCTCCTGAATACAAAATTACAGTTACACCCAATCTCTCAGGTCTTTGTCCCGGATCGTCCGGCCAAATGACAAATTCCACTTTGAATTTGAATAAATGCCTCGCAAACAATAATGCTCATCTCCTCGTACGTCCCTTCCTCCCTTTGAATTTGAATTTGAATTTGAACTTCCTCGACTGACATGAACGGAATAGTGGCAGAAGAAGTACACAACCTCTCCGCTTTCCTTGATTCCATCTAACATATCTATACAGTGGCATGTTCCAAAGCTCCTGCGGCTGTACACTCCAAATGCCAAATCTATGCTGCGGCTGCAGTAAATCAAACGGCGAGACAGTTGATAGCGGAATCTGCGTCGATCTCAGTATGTTTGTTTCTTCCTCGTTGCACTAATATTCTCCTAACATGTGCCCCAGATCAAGGAGTCGCAGCAGCAGCTGGAAAATTGAATTGCGATACTCTTCCTAGCAACAGTTAATGGTATGCAAATTGTTTAGCAGGGAAAAGTTTCATGTGGTGTTGGCATAGCATTTATTTGGGCTCATTGATTGGGTTTAGGAACTGCTGGGTTTGGGATTTCCTGATTTTGAGGGGTTTTTTGGCGTAAGACTTTGGATTGGGAAATCTAGACATGGCACAGCACAGTACACGCATTAAGATTACATTTTTTTCATTCCGGAAATGATGAGGTTTCTTTTAGTACACGCTTTGGGAGTTGCTATTTGAATTTTCATAATTTCTTATTCATTTATTTATTTACTTCTTTCATTTGCGATACCTACTTCTTGATGATGATGAAGATGATGACGAAATGTGAGTTTCACAGTTCATGATGTAATTCTATTATTAAACTTTAGATCTTTGGTCCGATGATTGGTGGTTCACTGTCTTACATCTGAAATGTGGATGGTTAGGTTAAGGTTAGGGTCATGTAGATCATTAGATGTATTGTGTAAATTTGTTTTGTTCTTACTTGGTATATATATATAGAGAGACAGAGTGTGTGTGTATGTGTGTGTCCATTGATGCCGGGTATTAGCAATGAATTGGATATAGCCTTGTACTTGTATTGTAGGAGGGGTATTACTATGTAAGATCTTACTATTGTCTTTTTGGGAAATAGTGTATTATAATGAGGTATAGGTTAGTTCATATCTATTAGGCAATTATAGTTTTTTATTGTATGTATTTAGGTGTATATGTATATATATTTGTTGTTTAGCGTCTAAGTTTTCAAGGTTAGATTGTAGATGGTGAGTTTAACTGTGATGTTGAGGATGTGATATATATTAGTGATATTGGATATTGGATATTAAATGGATATCAAAGATGTGATAGATGTTAGGTAGATGATGGATAATATCAAGATCGAATTGTGAGGGGTGAAGTTGCAGATAGCTGCTGCTATCGAGATGCATTCATCTCAAGATTACAATTCTGTTCTGGAAAAAGAGGGGTTCAGAGACGGCAGCAAGCCTAGGTCAAACGGTAATGAAGTGAAATCATGGAAAAGCTAGAGACAACCACAGTGATACGTATGTTGCAAGCATACACCCAGATACCCCGCAAATGTAATTCTATAGGCTCTTGATTTTTCCAACGACTTATCGGACTTCTAGAATCATCTATTTCTACCGCCTATAGTCATTCCTAATTCTATAATCCTTATTCGGTCCCTTCACGCTATATTCCTGTTTCCACTCTTCCACATTCACCCCCTTGAATCTAAACTCATATTCCACATCATATGTATCAGCAATACATAGATGACTCGACTTAGCCCTCCATCCCATACTCTTCTTTCCCTGCCCTTCCACCTCCTTTCCAGCCTCAGGAACCAAAATCTCCATCTCATGAAACAAATAATCTACTCCCAGATTATCGTCAGTTTTCACAAACCACAAGGTAAGCGTATCAGTATCCTCCCTATATCGATACACATATCTCCTACTAGCTCTAAACGTCATCCCGGTATCCGTCACAAAATCTCCTTCTTCGATGTACAAGTATTCGGAATCGAAGGAGGGGGCAGTAGGGAAACGAGGGAGAAATTTTGCGGTTCCAGTGAAAGTGCCTGAGGGAAATGTGGAGAGAGAACTTTTGAGAGACCGCAAAAGCTTCCATGTCCCTTGGAGGGAACGAAATATGGCTTTGGAGACGAAGGCGCCGCAAGATGATGAATCGAATGTGGAGTTGACGATGGAGAGGGCTAGCGCGGCCTGTTCTTTTTGAGCATCGCTTGCGTGGGTATAGAGATAGCGGGATGGAAGAACAATCCCTGTACGTGCTTCTGGATCGTTAGTAGGTTCTTGTCGTTGAATTCCTACAGCTGTAGCGAATGATTCCATCAAGTACGCATAGTCACCCATTGGAAACTGGGCGATGCGTGGATCGGTGCGCAGTTCAAGAAGTTTGTTGATAGTATCGTCTGTTTCTAGGGTTTTTTGCGCTTGTGCGCCACCGGACCAGAGTTTCCCCAGGAATCGAGCTTGCATTTCCATTACGCCCCAGTAGGGACTTCGGTAGAAACCGACGAAGCCGAGAGACGGGATCTTTGCGCTGATTGTAGAATGTACATTTAGAGCTAATGGAAATTCACTGCTTGATTCGTCGAATGAGAGATGCTGGAGAATTTCTTTCGGTAGAAAATTGAGAGATCGTGATGTGTCAAAACCAGTTGCCAAGATTACTGCGGCAACATCGTCGATGATTTGTTGTGCTCCATCATCCTCAATAATGATGGCATTTGGTTGGTTGGGGTCTGCACTCGTTAATTTTCCTCGGATCGTCTTGATGTCTCCAGATCGGACAAACTCGACATAGTTTTCGCTAGCTGTAAGTCGTGGTGGTTCAGAGCGAACGTGTCCTGTTATGGCTAGATGATCTGTACCGATTCCACTTTGATCAGTTCCAAGATAGTTGGCCATAAAATCGTTCGTCATTTTGGCTACTTCTGGCGATATGTGACCGGACGAGTTTTTGAGAGGTCCGGGAGGCTTCCGCTCAATATTGTAAGTGATCAGATCGAGGGGTAAGAATGTTGGTGCTGGATTTGGTATCTATCAGAGGTCTTAGCACAAAATTCTAGTCCGTAAATATGTATCATGTACCTTTTCCTCCTCGGGAGATGCACTATCAATTATAGGATTAGTTGGTAATGTGAGAGTCATCACCCAAAATGGTTGTTGAACCACATTGTATATCTTGTACTCGTTCGCGTTTGGAATCGGACGTTCCGATGAATTCACGGAGGAGGATACCTGCAAAGCGACTGCTGCTGCGGTTTCGATACCTGACATTTGACCCCCGACAACTACAATATTCTTGCCTTTGGATGAAGAGAGTTTTCCATTGTCGGTCAACAAACTGTTGACATCACGAAGCTTTGAGCTGTGCCAGACTGGGGCTGAAAGACCTGTGAGAATCTCGGGTATTTTAGGTTTTCCGAAAAACCCAGTGGCCACTATAACATGGTCAAATTCGTAGACTTGTGGTGATCCAGTAAATTCGGCGGATTCGTAATGTTGAACATGCACATTCCATTTCTCCGTCGTGGCTGGATTGGTTTGCCAACCAGACGGTGGCTCGACCTTGAAAACTCTGACACCAGTCTTAACAGAATATCCAGGGTACATTTTGACATAGTCTTCGAGATATTTCCCAACCTGCCATGCTTTTGGGCAAGCGAGGGATGAAGCAGGCCATGCCAAATCACTGAAACTGACGGTGTGACGGCTTTGGTTCGTACACATATCTGGATTCACTAAACCATCGTCATCATGGGAGATAGGCCATAGTCCACCTATTCTATGCGACTGCTCAAAGACAGTTACGTCAAAAGTGCCTTTTGGATAATCGTGAGTAAGTGTTTTGGCTGCTACGAGTCCCGAGGGACCACTGCCTAATAATTTTGGTTAGCTATGTCAGTCCCAAAAGAAAAGAGTTCACCCACCAATCACACAAACAGTTTTCGTTCGAGTTGCCATCTTAAAAAGTGTATAGCTTGCCCGCATAGAAAGTTGAGAAACTCCAGCTTGTCAAACTCTGTATTTCACGATTCAGAGATGACTAAACCGAGGAATGTGCTACCAGCTTGGTAATATTCTCGATAACGTGTTATGTGTATTCTCATGCATCATACTACTCTCCTTGTAACCACAACCGTTAGTACTTGTCGCTGCACATTCGATACCAACATAAATTCTGACATGCATAGAGATCACGTTTTTGCGATATGGTATACTATCACGTGATGTGGGGTAGAATAGGACCCGAGACCGGGAGAGCCCATCTCAAGAACTACACTATCCCCAAGACGGTCTAGCTTGGAAACCTGACTACCTCCTCGAGCTTGTCCAGATCTTTTCGCTCTCCAAAGAAGGGAGGTACTAGGTAAGCTAAATCATAAACCGACTGTCATTGCCTTTAGCTTCCCAACACATTAAAACCTGCAATTCTCCGGAAGTGGTGTAGGTACTGAACTTTGAAATAATCCATGGTGTTGATCGATTCGAGTCAGTCATTCTGTCACAACACTCTGCCCGGGAAGTCGATGTCTCAGAAAACTTCTACGGAAGATTAATGAAAATGCCAACTTCCTCAGAAAGATGGAATGTGGAGGTGCAATACTTGGGGCTGGTGGAGCGCTCAGAGGGGGGTAGTTATTACTTGGAGATCGTCATTTACCACTTGTATCCAAGACAATGGGAGCCATTTTTGGCTTAGTCACGAGGCTAAATTAGCTAGTAGCAGCTTTGGAGATGTTTATCTTGGAAGAGCGTTGGCCCGCGAAGTATGGTAGTAACCATCAACAAGCCTTCCTGCAGTATGGAGATGGTTGAAATTGTGATTCCACATCTTGGGCGAAGCGAATGCCAATATCGAGTGATGAAGTATCTATCGGGATTGTTTGCAACGAGCAACTGTTGTGCTTGTTTGTGTTGACTGTGATGACTGGCATTCGACAACATATTTGTCAATAATATGAGATGTAGGAGAATCTGTACGTTGCAAAAGTTCATCAAAACAAACGATTGGAGCTTTGCGTCACAGGTTGGATATAATGTTTGAGCCAACTATTCTATTGGCCCTATTCCCCGGATTCTGTGGGGTATGGGGGTTGGCAGGTCTTGAAGCTCCTAGATAGCTGATATGGAGTGTCATAGCGCATTTTAACTGACATTAGGCTCAGAACTTACTAGCTACTGTTAGCTATACCATCTGCTGATGCTACTATATAGTCCCTGAGCCACGCCCTGCTGTTCTCTTTACCTCAATTGACACTACGCAAAACACTGCTCCGACCTTGCGAATCATGACTTCAAATAAACTGCCTAGGACCTCTAGTAATGCCGACGACGAGAAGGAAGTCGTAAGGCTTCATGAACATGCTCCGTCTGTTGATTTACCTCTAGATCCAGATGCGGATTTGAGCGACGCGGAGAAGGCCGATATTGTAGGTCGATGAACATCCTCATGAAATCCAATGATATACTGATGATTTGTGTAGGAGCGCAAGCTGGTGCGGAAGCTTGATTGGACTTTAATACCATGGGTGAGCGAATCCTTTGCTTTAGCACCGCTTTTCCTCTCTAACTTTGAAAGCTCTGTGTTCTTTACCTACTCGCTTTCCTTGATCGTACGAATATTGGAAACGCAAAGATTAGCGGCTTACAGAAAGACCTGAGCAACATGTCGACTGGGATGTATAATGCCGTACTATCCATATTCTTCGTCTCATATGCACTCTTTGAACCTATTACGAACGTGATGCTTAAGAGATTTCGCCCATCCATATTCGTACCAATCATTATGTGAGTCTGCAACGAACAATTGGAACCTTTGCATAGCAAATCCCGCGGTGGCATGGCCAAGTTACTGACATTGTCATAGAATTGCCTGGGGCTTGTGCATGACATTCATGGGCTTTGTCGAGAATTGGTCAGGCCTGATGGCCGCCCGATTCTTCCTTGGTGCCGCGGAGGCGGGGTTATTTCCAGGAATCAGTTATTACTTATCTTGTTGGTACAAGCGATCGGAGTTTGGTGTTCGAATTGCAATTTTCTTTTCCGCTGCTGCTGTATCTGGTAGTTTTGGTGGACTTCTCGCCGCGGCTATCGTGAAGATGGACGGTATTGGTGGACTTCATGGATGGGCTTGGATTTTTATACTGGAAGGAATTATTACTGTTCTAGCTGGAGTCGCTTCGTTCTGGCTGGTTTATGATTTCCCTGAAAGCGCCAGCTTCCTTTCTGAAGTCGACCGAAGCAGGGTCATCCGTCGCTTGCGAGCCAATCAGCAAGCCGCAGGGCATGAAGCGTTCAACTCAAAATTTATTTGGCAAGCATTCAAGGATTACAAAATGTGGATCGGAATGGTACTGTATTCAGGATGTTGCATGCCGCTATACGCGTTCTCTCTATTTCTCCCTACCATTATCACTCAACTTGGCTACACAACAACCAGAGCCCAGCTTCTATCCGTTCCACCATATGTGGCTGCCGCTATCCTGACGGTTGCGATTGGATTTATCGGTGATCGTACACGGCAACGAGGCCTGTGTAATATCATCGTGTCCTTTCTTGGTATTGCCGGTTTCTCCATGCTCCTAGGTAGTGAAGAACCGGGTATTAAATATGCCGGAACTTTTCTCGGAGCTCTCGGTATCTATCCTTGCATAGCTAACAGTATCTCATGGGTCTCCAATAATATTGAAGGCTCCTACAAGCGAGGTGTTGTCTTGGGAATGATGATTGGCTGGGGTAATTTGTGTGGTATCATCAGTTCGAACATCTATTTTGACAAGCCCAGATTTATTTCCGGCCACTCTATTGTTATTGCTTTCATGGCTGTTTTCTTGTTGGGTGGAAGTACCTTGATGCGCTTCTTATTGAAAAGAGAAAATAGCAAGAGAACTAGGGGTGAGAGAGATGTGTGGGTTCAGGGGCTCAATGAAAGCGAGCAGACGGCTGTGGGAGACAAGAGACCAGATTTCTTGTATACTTTGTAACTTAATGGGAATGAACTTCCGGAAAAAGGGTCTAGGGCTCGGAAGATAAAAAGATGTGGATCTCGCTTGACCGATGATGTTGGAGACGAGGAGGATACTTTATGTAATGCTGGACATATATGGGTGAGTACATAAGTCTGTAATGATGGTTTCGTCTTACAGCGCGTTTGCTCTGCTTGTCCAAATTTGAAATGGAAGTGGTGAATCCGTGTATAGCATGCCTTGGAGCCACTGCAGTAGACATACGCAGTAAACACATGCAGTAGACATACATCCCACCTGTACCATCCCACTTGAATGAGAATAGTCTAATATCACAACGCAATCTGCACACACTTGGCCTGAGGTAATGTAAAACCATTGGCTTAGATTCTTGCATGAATCTCAGCCATGTTCACCTTAAACATATTCGCTACCCGGGGTCTTCAGTTGGTTACTTGCCCAGCCCCAGCGCTCTTAGCTTTAAGTTTCGATGTTGCAACTTCGGTAGGGAAGATCCTACATCGACTTGTTGCGGCAAACTAGACGGGATTAGGTTGTGATTCCAGAATTTTCTGACCGGACCATCGTGCAGGTTTATAAGAAGCATCAATCCAATGATGTATGCTTTCATACCAATTGCAGTAGATTTTGAAGATGATTTTGTTTGGTCACCAAGCTTTGGTGACGACACCGGGTTGTTTACGTAATTCACTTTACGCCCGTCGCGTCGTCGCGTCTCCACCTACCCAAGCAACGTTTCAATTGCAAATCTAAACCAATTCCCCATCGCAACAAAAAGCTGTTGGGGGGTTTTGCCACGATGGTTAAACCAAGGTCAACTCCAGTTAAGACACAGAAATCAATATCTAGTTTCTTTACTCCAAAATCGAGTCAAAAACCTCAAAATTCAAGTCCGCCACCTGCTTCCAATGTCCCAGAAAATCTGTATGATGGCCAAAGTGACCAGGAAACAAATGAAGCAGCGAAGACTTCTGGAAATAGTTTGAAGCGGATATTAGAGGAAGACGCAAATGGAGCAAATACTGGAGCGACAGAAAGACCATCCAAACGTGCAAGAAATGTTCATGCTGAGGAAGAAGATGGCGAAGGCTCCAGCCTGCCACCTGCTAATGCTCGAAAGGCGCCGTCTAGCTCAGCACTAGGCAAGTCCAGGCCATCTCCACGAACGAACAAATATATGTTCTCGGGGTCGAGTCAATCAGCAGCTGCGGAACCTACAATTGAGGAGGAACCCGAAGAAGAATCGGAGAAAGCACGGAAGGCCGAGTTACACAGGAAGTTTGTCAAGAAATTGGGACATCCGGATAGCATTAAACGGAGTATACCTGAAGATGATGCAGCCTTAGAGGGCGGGGATGAAGATATGGAGGATGAGGAAGAACCACCGGCGCCTGTGAAGACCAAGAAGAAGGGAGCAAAGACGGGAAAATTGACCCCAATGGAGTTACAAGTTCTCGACATTAAACGCAAACATATGGATACATTGCTCATCGTAGAAGTTGGTTATAAGTTTAAATTCTTTGGCGAAGATGCAAGAACAGCAGCAAAAGTGCTTAGCATCGTGTGTATACCGGGCAAATTTCGATTCGATGAGCGTAAGCTGTCTGTTCTTGAACTACCTGATGATGTTTCTGACGCAACCTAGATCCTTCAGAGGCGCATCTCAATTACTTTGCATCCGCGAGTATTCCCGTTCATCGACTTCCCATCCACGCAAAGAGGCTGGTGGCAGCGGGCCACAAAATTGGTATAGTTCGACAAACGGAAACAGCCGCGCTGAAGAAGGCTGGAGACAACCGGAATACTCCTTTCGTTAGAAAACTTACAAATGTTTATACTAAAGGCACATACATTGATGATATTGAAGGATTAGATTCGACTGACGCACCATCTGGTGGTGCTCCAGCAACAGGTTACCTTCTCTGCATAACGGAAACAAAAGCTAAAGGATGGGGAACGGACGAGAAAGTTGAAGTTGGCATATTGGCTGTCCAACCGGCGACGGGGGATGTCATATACGATAATTTTGAAGATGGCTTCATGCGGAGTGAAGTCGAGACACGATTACTACATATTGCCCCTTGCGAATTTTTAATAGTTGGGGAGCTTACAAAAGCTACCGAAAAGCTTGTACAACATCTTTCAGGTAGCACTACCAACGTTTTTGGCGATATAATCAGGGTTGAGCGGGTAGGAAAGCCTAAAACTATGGCTGCCGAGTCATATTCCCATGTGGCCCAGTTTTATGCAGATAAATTGAAAGCTCATCAGAGCAGCAACAATGCGCGAGAACAGGAGCTTTTAGAGAAAGTTTTGAGACTTACTGAGCCGGTTACCATTTGTCTGTCTGCTATGATTACGCATATGACCGAGTATGGGCTGGAACATGTGTTTGATCTCACCAAATACTTCCAGTCGTTCAGTGCTCGATCTCACATGGCACTAAACGGAAACACTCTTACGAGCCTCGAGATTTATACGAATCAGACAGATCATACCGAGAAAGGAAGTCTCTTTTGGACTCTGGATAAAACTCAAACGAGATTTGGACAGAGGCTACTGCGAAAGTGGGTCGGTAGACCTCTTCTCGATAAACAGCGCTTGGAAGAGAGAGTCGCCGCAGTGGAGGAATTGAAAGATAATGCCAACACCCCAAAAGTAGACAAATTAAACGCCACTCTCCGGGAAGTTAGGTCAGATCTAGAGAGAAGCTTACTCCGCATATACTATGGCAAATGCACGCGACCAGAGCTACTCACGGTTCTTCAGACGATGCAAAGAATAGCCAACGAATTTGCACCTGTCAAAACACCCTCCGATGCAGCATTTGACTCGGTTCTTCTCAATGAAGCTGTAGCATCCCTTCCCGCAATCGGTGGAGTTGTGATATCCTTCCTCGAAAAGATCAACGCACAAGCCGCTCGCAAGGACGACAAATACGCGTTCTTCCTTGAAGAGTACGAAACTGAAGAAATAGGTGAGCATAAATGTGGCATTGGAGCCGTGGAACAAGACCTCGAGGCCCACCGCAAGGAGGCCGCCTCCAAACTATCCAAGAAAACCCCCGTCACATATGTCACCATAGCTGGAATTGAATACCTCATCGAAGTTCCCAACAGCGATCTCAAAAAAGTACCCGCTTCCTGGGTTAAGATATCCGGCACCAAAAGTAATTCCCGTTTCCACACACCCGAAGTCATCAAATTCCTCCGCGAACGTGATCAACACAAAGAATCACTCTCCTCAGCCTGCGATACCGCATTCCTCACCTTCCTCGCCGAAATATCCACCCACTACGCCCTCATCCGTGATACCATATCCCAGCTCGCTACACTAGACTGTCTCCTCTCGCTCGCGGCCGTGGCTTCCCTCCCCGGCTACTGCAAACCCACCTTCACCTCCACAACCGAAATTTCCGTCATCGGCGGCCGCCACCCCATGGTCGAACAACTCCTCCCCTCAACCTACATCCCCAACGACACATCCCTTTCCACTGACCACGAAAATACACGCGCCCTTTTAATCACCGGTCCAAACATGGGCGGAAAATCCTCTTACGTGCGCCAAGTAGCTTTAATATCCATCCTCGCCCAAATCGGCTCTTACGTACCTGCTGAATCCGCCCGCTTAGGTTTATTAGATGGTATATATACACGTATGGGCGCATATGATTCATTATTTACCGCACAGTCAACATTTATGGTAGAGCTTTCCGAAACGGCATCGATACTCAAATCAGCAAGTCCGAGATCTCTAGTTATATTGGATGAACTGGGACGAGGAACCAGTACGCATGACGGGGTGGCAATAGCAGAAGCAGTGTTGGATTGGGTGGTTAGGGAAACGAGGTGCTTGTGTTTATTTATTACACATTATCAGACATTGGCTAGCGTGGCAAGAGGATTCGAGAAAGGAAAGGAGTTGAGGAATGTGCATATGAAGTTTACTGCTGAGAGCAATGGAAAGCAAGTTTCCAATGCTAATGCGGATAAGGATGGCGAAGATGTTCATGAGGAGATTACATTTTTGTATGAAGTCGGCGAAGGCGTTGCACATAGATCCTATGGTTTGAATGTCGCACGGTTGGCACGAGTCCCAAAGGCTGTGCTCGATACTGCTGCGTCTAAATCACGGGAGCTTGAGACGGAAGTGAAACAGAAAAAGCTATTGGGACTTTCTAAGATGATTTCTAATGTACTAGAGAATGATGTAGATCAGCTAGAGCAGCTTATAATCGGTATGGAGCAGCTGTAAAACAAATATATGATACCAAGTCAAAAAATTAGATAGCAATGCAGAACCAGCATACCCACGCAATTGTCAGCTCTTTAACGCCTCATTTCCAGTTAAAATAATTGTAGAATGTAAGAAAGAATTGGAAAAACAGACTTCCTTATAATATGCCTTTGATAAAAGTTCGACCACAATTACGGCCTGCTATAACAAATTTTATTCGAAAGTCGAAACGCCTCAAGCGGTAATATATAAAAACGTGGTGTTTGAGGCGTTGTAAAAAGTAAGAGATCCCAAGCTCACATACCAAAATGTGGCATATTGACATTCGCACTATGAGTAATGGAACCTGAAAGATGTAAATGATTGCTAGGTAGACGTGAGCCGTGGCTGACTGAGTTGAAGTTGCCATGAAAACCTTGACTAAAACCATTCATTGGCTTTGATTCCTGGTTGATTTGGGAAAGATCAGAATGGTCGCCCCCAAATGAGAAAGATCGAGGGTGGTGGCTGTAAAGCGGGTTATACATTGATGCACTATCAAAAAACATCTGAGCTGGGAAGCCATGGTGAGGAGTCGAGACGGTTCGACGGACATGGGCGTCAGATTGACTATTGTCTTTGGAGAACATACGCATTGCAGTAGGTTTAACAACTGGTGTGGGAGAAACATGGTTGCCGATGTTCGCATTAGTGAAGCTATTCGAGACGCCATCCGAAAAGTCGAACCTATGATCTTCTAATGGGCTCTCTGTACGACCTGGACTAATCTCAGGAGCATCCTGAAAAACGCTAAAAGAACGCTTCTTAGCTCCCATCTCTTCCATGGTCATTCTGAACTCTTCGTCTTCCTCGTTACTCGGAGTGAATCGGGCGCCAAATGCCAACGGGTTGAGGGTTGGCGTTGGCTGTAACGCAAGTTGGCCAGCAGGCTGACGCATTCTGGCAGATACTTGTCGCTTCTCTGGGCTCCTAACCGAGTCCCTTGGCGGTCGACCAGCTCTTAAACGGGGGACATTGATACTGACATCTGTCAAGGCCGCTTTGCGAGTTCTGCGTTTCTTTGGGGTGGGGTCTCGAATCTAAGCGTTCTAAAGTTGGTATGCAATATCTTAAAACGAGGGAAATTGACCATGATCAGGAAGAACTTACAGGGCTAGTCTCAGTCGAAAGAGGACCAAAAATATTTCTTGAAGTCCGAAATGCTCCATCTGGGTGGTAGGATATTTCAGTGGGCTGGACCTCTGCAGAAGCGGCCATCATCAGTTCAAGGATTGAGCCATCTTTTCTCTGGTTCCTCATTCGCTTCATTTCAGCTGTGGCAGAATCAAAGAGATCCATGCCAGGCCAGAAGACACCCTTTAACTTCGCACTGTCTGAAAGCTTCTCGAGAATTTCAGCATCTGCGCCTTCCTCCTTCAATGGCGTGGTAAGACTATACGGGGCATGGTTAGCACAATAACTTTCTAGAATGTGACACATATGCTGCTTACTTGGTAGCAACTGATGCCGTTCCTACTGCCGAAGGTGTCTTCTGAAGTGTATAACCTGGAATCTGACGTCTAGAAGTGGGCGTTGCATACACACTGTGATCCCACTCGCTTCCAATCTCAGAGTTGGATGTAGACGTATTGTTATTCATATTGGTGTTTGTTGTAGTTGGCCAAAGATGCATTCTTGGAACAGGAGCTCGAAACATGGGTGCCAAATTGGCCTCATTGTCATGAATATTGTCGTTTTCTTTCTTGACCTTTGCTGGTCCGGGCTATTTCCTCATAGTCAGCACACTCGTATATCTTCCCATTTAAAGGGTAGATTACCATCGCTTTACTGTTCCTGACCTTCCTGTCCTTGGCAGCTTTCTTTTGATCTTTTGAGGCAAGTCTTTCGGACAGTAATCGTTCTAGATCATAATTGTCATACCAATCCTCGAAATTGTCCAGTTGAACCTTTGCAGTCAATTCCGACGCAGCTCTGATTTTAAGCTTAAAATAATTGGATAAATGGGCTTTAGAAGAAGTGTGGGTAAGAAGATGGGATACATCGGAGAATTGAGGATTCTTTGGGCAAATACTGCAATGCAGTGGAATATTGGTGTGGTTCTTCGACATTTTGGCTGCAGCTATCCATTCAAAACAGTTAGCAATTGTGTGAATGCAGAAGAGTTGAATGTACGTGAATTATGGCAGACTGGCAAACGAAACGAACAGAAAACCTCCGCGGACGTCTACTTCCCTAGATGTTTAATTGCTCAAATGGCAAATATCAAGCGAAGGAAGAAGCATTGTTTTCTGCTATGCGCCCAAAAGTACAGTACTTTTACATGTCAAGAAGTAACAATCGAAGATTTTGCGTAGTGTGTTATGCAGAAAGATTGAGAGGCGTCAAAACTTACAGATTGTTCTAAATAAATGCTCCAGCTCTTAATTGTCGATGGGAATGAGCAAAGGTAGCAAGTCGTCGATTACTTCTCCAAATTTGTGAAGAGAATGGTTTCCTCAAAATAGGACAATTGAGAAAGAAAGGACTTGCATGTAGTGAAGAGTGATGAGTGACGGAAGGAAGAAAAGGTGACAACGATCGAGCATCAACTGTGTGGTGGAGTGAAAGTGCGGAAGGAACGTTGGTGAAAAACGGAGTACTGACAATTTCAGAAGAGGCAGTCGCATCAGAGAGGTCTTGCCAAACAAACTAGATGTAGCTTTTGCAGTAGACGAGCCTTAATTATGTGTACCTGTATGGATATCTTGAGATAGATATATTTGATTGGGAGCAGAGGGAGTAGAGCGGTTCATTAATAAAGATATGAGGTGAAGGCCGATAATGAAAGTGTCTAGACAGCGAAAATCTCGATTTCTGCTGTGGAAGACTGAATCTACTTACTATTACTGTCGCGCCGAAAGTGTAGAAGTCAAAATAAGTATATAATAAACAATGGAATGAAAATGGAGCCAAGGTGGAATGTACCTCTCATGAAATCACCATTGAAAGAAAAGTGCGATGGTGGTTGAGGATCCAGGGTTAAGGGTTCAAGTCACCAACAAAAGTCTTCCTTATCGTGTCCCATCTGTATAAACTGCTGCGGCAATAAAAATGATGAGAACGATGAGAATGAGGATGACAGTAAACAGGCAACAAATCTCAATAATATTTGTGTAAGCCAATAATTTATAGAGATAAAAACCAACGGTCCGCTCATTCGAGGAAATTGGCAGTGTAAGGATAGACATTAGAGATAATACTTACTTTACCACCAGCTGAGTGAAGATATAGATCCTAGGAGAAATTCTCACCAGCTTCAGTCTCTTCCGAAGATAGTAATACAGGAGGGCAGATATTGTCTGAATTACTTTCCAGAGTTCTCACCTCCTCAGCCAGTATCTCTTGTCATTCTTTCTCATTACTACACTTTACCCTTCCCTCCGGGGTTATATAGCACCTCCGCTGACACCAGATCCCATTGTGTAAAGTATACTGGAGTAAATTTTAACTTTGCTTTGGTATTACCTAGTATGTACCACTGATGAGTGAGTGTTCATGCTAGGGTCAAGTCATGAAACTCTCATATCAATGAATTGCTATTCTCCTGCCTTGTATCCTAACACCACTCTTTATTCGGTGTGAGGTTATTAGATGGCAGGAGTCGAGGTATATAGATTTGACTGCAGTAAGAATAAAAGAAAGAGAGGCTTCTGAATACTTAAGCAATTCCATATTCAGGTGCGAATATTGCGTACTCAATAATTTATACAAAAAGTTCTAGCACTGGACTCGTGGGAAGAGCTCTAGATTCCACTTACTAAAAATACCCAAAGTGCAAGGGTCTGACCAAGGAATCAACGCGAATACGTTCACCCTATTCACAACTCATTATATCATTGAAGCAGAGGGCATCCTAAGACTGCCCTAGCACTCGCTCAGTAATTTTCTTCGGCATACAACTGGACGAAATTAGCCAGCGCAGAGCACAATTGTTGGAGATGTGAGAACTTACTAAATTGGATCAACCTCATCGACACTAGGGAATCCTAGAAGAGACAAGCCGGCCATACCAAAGCAAGTGTGGAAGACATCAACCATATCCCCCGGCCTGTCGGCAAAGCCACCTTCCTCTGTATCCTGACACTTCAGAATGAAATTGGTGAGCTTTTCTCCATCGATCCAATGTAGCCTTCCGATCATGGCGAGACTCGTCGCAACCCACCAGCTATAACAAACATCTTCTTTTTTCTCCGGTCTGCCATTCAATCCGCCGCACTCTACTTGCCTCTCACTCAACCATTTACCCAGTTTATCGATGTTGACCACATCTACCCGCTTCGCAATTGACAAGGCACCTAAGCAGGCAAATATTTGTCCCGAATGTGATTCAGCTCCCGGACTAACTCCGTAACCACCATCAAAATTCGCACACGAAACGATGTAATTTACTGCCTTGTCAACATCCACCAGATGTAGAAAATGTAGCAGTGAAAGTGCGTTCAGCGCTGCGTAAAGAAATCTTGTATCTTCCTCGCCCCACTCGTCCCCAGCAAAGGTCCCCGTATCCTTATTTTGTAGATCGGCGAGGTCTGCGCATCGAAGTCAGTAATGGTATGGCCACGTCGAACGTAAATATGAAAGCACTCACATTTACCGACCAAATGTTTTCCCTCGCCATTCAAGTTCTTCTCTAGATCTTCAACAGCATCCACCATCACTAATATCTGCACGGCACTAACTGTGTACAACAAATGGGCGTCATGACCTGGCGCAGCTCCAAATCCACCATTTTTATGTTGGCAGCTCAAAACGAAATCGATTGTTTCCCGTCTCGGTAGCGCATCAGGTCGGCCAAGTAGATAGAGTGCGGTGAGTCCCCAGTAGAGTCCGTTTATCCGTAGATGTTCTGTGTGCCAATATTCGAGCTCATCTTTGCGCTATAAGCAGAAGATGTCAGCAAGTGCGGGGATGCGAAGAGGATGGATACTTACGGAGTCGAGACTCTGTATGTATTTCACATGGGGTTCGATGGCGAGCTGAAGTTCCTCTGGCAGAGCAACAGAACCTGCTCGTCCTGGTCCAGAGACGAGAGCCATTTTTTAAAAGTATTATCAAGAGGCAGGAGGTACTGTTAGTGTGGACTTACGGAAGCCAAAGCTTGGAGCTACGGAGTGTAGCTCCCTTTCGGAGAACTAGCTGACTAATCATGTGCAGTCCTGATCCTCACATATTTTCGGGCCTCGTTATATGATCAAGCAATTTGGGAAAGTGACTTGGTACATATAAAGTGGAAGACGGAATTTCTCGTAAAGCTCATATTTGGGTACCGAACATTGACATTTTAATTTTGCTCACGTACTGAGCTCTCTATTCCAACATCTTTTCTTCCAAATCTACTTACGTAAACTCCCACAACCTTCAAAACCATTACTCTCAAGCCGGCGCAAATCTATTCGTACAATTCTCAGAAATTGAGTCTTCCTGTCTTGTTCTCTTGGAAGCTATTCTACGTCCCGATAATTGATTGTAAGACTAAGCCTCTCTTGTGCCGAGAAGTAATCAACGTTGCCCTTTCGCTGCTCAGGAAATGAGGTGGTCGCAGTATTCTTCATTAACAGCTACAAGTGTCTCATACTCCATGGAAGAATGATCTTGATGGTCTTTCTTCTACCTGTATCCAAGTATTATGGGTTTCCTAGAAGTTTTTAGGACGAATAACCAATCCAGCTAAATAAGTTCTATCGTGAAACAAAGCTCAAGCAATCAACCAGGTTTTTTCATGACTTGCCTGGTGTTGGAGAATGCGCATACCATAAGTCTGGATGCCCTTCCTACCATCGACCGGGTGAAGCTATGGGGATGGAAAACCATTGAGTTTAATTCATCAACAAAAGCTTGTCCGTCTCAATTAGCAGCGTGCAACATCTTGCGAAGAATATCGCTCCGCCTGCTGGGCAATACAAGATAGCGTGGGACACGGCCACGTTTTTACGTCGAGTACTGCGAGCAAAGCTGGAGAACCAAGAATTTCCCATAGTCTATGTTTTGCATTCCTCACATTGCTGCGGATGTATGCGGACCCATCTATCTCACAGAAGTAGGAATCATTTTCATCATCAGTTTCTTCAAATCTCATATTCCTTTAAAGTCTCAACTAAGGATCTGAAGGTCATGAAGCAAGTCCTGGTTGAACCGAGAAAGATGATGCCTCTTTGAGTTTGACATTTGATTGTAGAATGATTTTCTTGCCATAACATGTCGTGGTGGTAGTTCTCCAGCACTTATTTTAATTCGTTGCGGAGGTATCCGGAAGGGTCGGAAAATGGAGCGGATGTCATTCCCGTGACATTTACCGGATTGCATCCTAGCTACCCCGCCCAGCTGCCATAACCGCTAGGGATAACATACCCCGTCATTTGAGGGACAGAAAGCTATAAAATACCAGAAATCTTATCATATTTCCAGATCTTGATCATTTTATACTCAGCAAAATAAATTTGAACTCCTTTAACTTGTATACCGAGAGCAAACCATATAGCAGCCATGGTTTTCTACGAACCTGGCGTTACTGATCACAACCTCCCGCGGGATCCATTCAAAGTCAGAACCTCTAAGACTTGCCCGATACTGGCTTTCATTAACAGGAATAACAGGCTTGTGTTGTACCTAGGCCTATTGGTTGGATTTCTACCAGATCCAAAGATGGCAAAGATAACCTTGCACCATACAGGTATGTATTTGTATTTCGATTCCCATTGTACCATATGAGTTGGATTTGTAGGTGTTAGATAAGAAGACTGATTCCTGATAGCCAGTTCAATAATCTGACCTTTGACCCACCATATGTAATGTTTTCAGCCAATCAAACCATTGAAAATCTTCGAAAAGACACCACTATCAATGTTGAGCAGACAGGTTCATTCGTATGGAACATGGCAACATGGGATCTTCGAGAAGCTGTAAACATCACGTCTGAGCAAGTCGCCTACGGTGTTGATGAGTTCGTACAAGCTGGACTAACAAAGATTCTGTCAACAAACCTTAAACACGCTGTTCCTATGGTAGACGAGTCGCCCATCAGGTTCGAATGCACGTACCATTCTACGTTGAGATTACCAGGAAATCCTCCTGCAGGAACTGTCGATATCATTATTGGCAAGGTCGTAGGGGTTCATATCTCGGATAAAGTTTTGACGGATGGATTAGTCGATTTGAGTAAAGCTCAACCTATTGCCAGGTGTGGTTACTATAGCTACGCCGTGGTAAGGGAGACTTTCGAGATGAAGCCTCTTCTCGGGAAAATGACCTATGGGTTAGAAGGAAATGCAGCGAGCAATGCGAAAGAACATCGTGAACAGCAAGCGGGGTCGAATATCACACAATGAGTGGCTTAAAATCTAAACTTATTAGAAACTCCTTAGATATAAAATGGCCTCCAATCCTACGTCGAGGTCCTTCTTCCATGTGATAATATTGGATCCGATATATCTTGAATAAAAGTTGCTTAACTAAACGGACCGTAGAACCTGGACTGAAATTTCATTCTTCTAGAAGGTAGTGAAGCGTGTTTCAGCGAGTCTAGAACTCGGTCAAATCTTCACTGGAGAGAGCCTCAAAATCGAGAAATGGTACAGGGTCCATTGCGGTCAAGACTCTCAAATTAAATGCAGATGGAAGCTCGGCGTCAATCTCACTCGAAGATACCTTTTTTTACGACTTACGTTAATAAAAATTTCTCCTCGAGGCCATCAGCTTACTATGGGCTCACTAGGGGCGTTTCAAAAACATAAGACTTGCTTTGGTCACAAACTGGAATATACAGTTCTTCTTCATCGAAGGGTTCCTAAATGACTGAAGAGGAGCCCGAGCCAGGCGGAAAGCAGCGCAATCCCACCATCCATGAACCTGTGTCTGAGTGCAACATGTATGCAATCAACTATTCAATACCATTCACCACGACACCGCACTCTAATTTTAAAATGCTAAGATTCATGGAAAGAGCTCATTGGTGTCCTGGAGTAACATCCACCTGATCTATTGGCGTCCTATAGCTGCTGTTTCAAATACTCAGAGGCTTTGCTAAGGTGGTTGTTAGCTGCAGCACAGCGAGTAAAGAGGCTGCAGAAAGTACGAGTTTTGTACGTATGGACTGCTGCGCGATCAATAGTTTTGCCGTCAGATCTAGACCTGTATTGTATTATCGCACAGTGCTTACTCTTGGAGCAGCAGCACAATCGCGGAGGTTCACATCACATCTCACCTTATTTTGTATAGACGTAGAATGTTAAGAGTCACTATTTGCTCTTGCAACCACTGCGGCGAAATTGAAAGGCGAATTGATTTTTGACGAAGTACCAAGTTTCAACCATTGATCCGGCAGGAAAAATGCTCGAAATGTAACCTTGCGGTCAAATCGAGCCCTCAATCAAAACATCCGTGATTTTGATAATTCGAAAGCCAGTAGTTTCCGTTCTCGATTTCTTCGACCAATAAGGCCTGGTGGGCTTCACGATTCTTGCTAAGCTTTTGAAAAGGGAAAACTGTGCAACACCTCTAGTGAATGTAGCAAATGCAATAGCTCATCGTCGACACGCGGCCTCTTTTAAGAATAGTCCACAAGTGTGCAAATTCATAAGCAGCTTAACCAATAGAATAAGGATACCATGGTGGTGATGCATCCAAGGGTGGTAGCATTCGCTGCAGCGAAGCTTCACCGACTAATCACAAACGAAAGCCAAGCTGGTAGTGAGCATCTTTGATGTTTATTAATCTGTTACGAAAGTCGAGGAAAAGCTCCCTTTCTATGACATAACCTCCAATTTTGTTAGATAACTGCGCGTTGTCCAAAATTTAGCAGGTCTCAGACAATACTGCACGGACGATGCAGGATTGACAGTCCCGCAGCTTGGTAATAACTTCCATACGTAGAATATTCCAAAGCGTGCAGCGGTCGACAAATTTCGCAGACGCAGGGCATTGGGCATGGGGTATTCCAAAAGCTCTTCCCATCGGGGAATAGTTAAGGGGGATGGAAGCTGGGTCCACGCCGCTTTAGAAGAATATCGAATATAAATTCTTACTTAAGGCGGCGTCTCGCAACGGGAAACGGGTTGTCCTCAAGTCCGAGCATTCAATCAAACGGCGGACGAGCGGTCATGGAATCAATCAACAATTTGAAAACATCTAAAAGCTTTATAAGCATGAAGGTAGGGTCCAGTAAGTCTTCATTATTTTATTTAATTCTATAAATTCGTCATTTTGTGCCTCGATTGCGTTCGTTCCAACCGAACCAATCTCATCTCCAGAACTTCATATCTTCTTCACTCATCATGCAGCGCGACGAGGAGCCATGCGCGCCATCGCAAAGATTCTGGGATTTATACACTCCTAAACCACCGGCAGTCGTTTCCCAGCCAGTCAAAGTGCCCAAAACATCGATTTCGCGATTAGAACTGAGTTCCGCGCCTCTGCTTCCACCGACTTCAGCGAGTCAGGAAGAACCAGGGACCGTTCTCTATCTAGCTTATGGCTCCAACCTATCTGCTGAGACGTTCAAGGGAAAACGCGGCATCAAACCTCTAAGCGCAGTCAACGTCCATGTTCCCGCAATCGATCTCACATTCGATCTATGCGGGATACCTTACGCGGAACCTTGCTTCGCAAACTGCCAATACAGAAAAAACCAGTCAGGTTCTCCTCGATCAAAAGACTATCACAAGACAAGATGGCATAAGGGGTTAGTGGGTGTAGTCTACGAAGTGACTCTCGATGACTATAGAACCATTATTGCTACGGAAGGAGGCGGCACTTCATATAAGGATGAACTCGTTCAATGTTACGTTCTTCCGGATGGTAGCAAGACTGTGGACCCAGATCCCAGTGGCACACCGTTCCAAGCACATACTCTACTCTGTCCGTTCGACAGCAAAGATCCAAATCGCATTTGGCGACAAGATCCCAATTATGCACAACCATCCGCGCGGTATCTGAAGTTAATAACAGATGGAGCAGAGGAGCATGGTTTGCCGGAGGAGTATATTAATTATTTGCATGGTATAAGAGCATATACAGCCACAACTTTAAGACAAAAGATGGCGCAACTATTGATTGTGTCCTCTTTACTACCTTTTCTTCTGATGGTGATGGGACTGTCAAAGGTTGTCGCAGATGAAAATGGGAAGATCCCGGCTTGGCTAGCTAATATAATGGCTGCCATTTTCAGATACGTTTGGATTGCATATGATAGAGTTTTGAGGAATATTTTTGGCGACGGAGAGAGGACAATAGGAGGGAAAGCTTTGACTGATATTGAAGAAATAGATTTAGAAAAGAGGTGGGATGAGAAGAAAATGGCTGGCTCCGGTGAGATAAAAGAGAGTATGTAATCATCAATTTCGGGCATTGTATATTTAGTAGAGGGTTGGGATATATTAGGTACTATATCCGTAACTAGTAATATTATAGATATAGAGAAAATCGCAGGTGTATCGGGTAGTTTTCGTCAAAGTATGATAGTACCATCTAAATATTTTTGCACCTCTCAATCAAACCTACCCAGTAGTTATCTGACATCCTAAAGATATTGCTTTGGATATACAAAACCCTCAATTTTTCAACGAGAAAGAGGGGCAAAAAGGTCAATAGTATCTAATTGAGCCATATTTTCAAGAGTAGTTTTTGAAGCATTACAAAAAGGTAGCGGAAAGAGAAGATATGAAGGATGTTAGTGCCGAATTGCTATTCCGGGCTCAGGAATCAAGAGTACTTGTCCAATTTTTCAAGGGATAACCATGTATATAAGTCCTCATTATCTCGGCGCTTAAATATGATAAGATGAAAAGGTTGACGGCTAGATGCTCGATGATGTATGTGCCTTGAAGTTATTGGGGAAATTACTGCGGATATACAAGACGTATTTGATGGAAAATGAATCAAAATCTGACTCCCGTTTTGACACATTGTCTTGTCATTTTCATCATTATCGTAGGATAGGAAAAGCCCCTCTACAAACAAGAATCTCAGTCACCTCCGGCCTTCCTACCCACCACATTCACCAACCTCATAATTAGACAAGCACCCCTCTGGACCTCCCGAGCAGCCCGTCGATGCAATTCCATTGCCTCTTTCGAGCCTCCTGCTGCTACATTAACTAATTCCTTCATCCCATGCATGTGCATTAATGTCCATGCATACGCAATATCGGCTTCGGGTTTGATTAGCTGGTCTTCGAGAATGGTTATTCCGCGTTCTTGGAAGATGGAGCTGAGTTGACGTATCCATCTATGTGATGTTAGGGTTTCAGTATAGTATTATACTATGACTATGACGGAGAGGAAAAGAAATGAGGGGGAAATACTCAAAGTTGGGGAATCCCTTCAACGGAACTTCATATACCCATTTCTTTAAGTTGTTGAGCTCGTTGGTTGATATATCCGCGCTAGTAGATGTGCAGTAAATCTCACTGAAGTCGTTTTCTTTCCATTGGATGTAACCTCCCGGTTCTGAACATATTTCAGTTTAATTCACAAAAAGACTCCTTACGGAGCTGGGAACAAACTTAGCAATGTCAACAGATTGTCTAAAACTGATCTTGGATCTCCGTCGCGGATCACGAGGCATAGAAGACTTATGTGAATCACATCGTATTGTCCTCTCAGTTCCTCTGGGGCGGGTTCGAAGATATCAAGGATATCTAATTTGACATTTGAGGGGAGCAATGCGGACGGAGGATATTGAGCGGCTGAGATGTCAAAACCGTCTAATTGTACCGATGTGTTTGATTCCTCAAGCTCTTTTGCTAAATCTATGACCCAGATCCTTCACTTTTGTTAGTAACATCAATCTTGTGTTACGAGGCACAAGAACGCTTACCCGGTTCCACACGCTATATCGGCAATCTTCATGTTTTCCTTGATTGCAATACTTGAATGCAATAGGTTCCCGGCCAATCTTTGCCAAAGCCAATGCTGCATATAGAGACTTGAATTTTTAGCTTCTGGTTAGATATATGGTTGAGTGACTCAAACTCACCGGGAGGAACCTAAAATGGTTCGATCAAGGGGATACTCATCTTCGATTGCTGAAGTCATTGTGTCGTTTGATTATAACTTCTGAATGAAGGAGTATTTCGGTATGTTGGGTAGAGTTCACGGTGGGTGAGAATTATTAGATAAGGAGGTTCAAGTAGGGCATATATATACTTGATCGAGTAGGCTAATAAGTTCGATGAGGTGTCTTGCAACGGCAGCTAGCATTGCATAAACAAGTCCTAGTTGTTTTATTTCCGCCGAAGATTTCCGTTTAGGAGTTAAATGTCGTGTATCTTATACAAGCAAGCAAAGGACAGAATTTTTGCGACACACTACTAATGCTCATTGGGTTAGCTTGAAGCGAGATGATGAGATTTCCATGTTCTCCCCATTGAAATGTGAAGCATCTGTCTATGAACAATCCAGTCGCCAGCATAGATTTTACCTAGTGAGTGGCCCTTCTTATTTCCTATCATATTCCGTTATGGACAGAATGCCAAATGATGCCTCTCCTGTTAACGAATCAATACGAGAAATTGACGAAAATTCTTGGGTTATCGGGCACAGAATACTTCTCACTCGACAACGCTCGCCTCCATCCAACTACACGTGGAGTGATGGCAAAGGCTTCTTTTACGTCGTTTCCGAAGCACCATACCCACTACCGGTATCTCGGCCTTGCCTGCCAGGACCCGCATCGGGATGGTCTACGATGCTGGTGGGGCATCAGCAGTGTGGAGCATCGGTGATGCTTTCTGCAAAGTCAAAATCCTGAATCCTGATGCCACACGAGAACACGTTACGTTAGACTACCTTCACAAAAAACGTCCCCTCAGCTTTGCAATTCCAGATGTTCATTATCATACAGAGCATGATGGCCGATACTATATCATTCTCAGTAGATTGGCTGGCCAAACTCTGACTGAGGCGTGGCCTACTATCGACGAGGCAATGAAGCAACACTATGTTTCTCGAATCGCGGATATCTGCAAGGAGCTAGCAGTATGGCGGGGCGATGGTATCAGCGGCGTTGATGGCCAGCACCTATCGGATCATTTCCTTACTCGGCTTCAATTATCCGTCGACTGCAGTCCTCAAAGCCTATTGAATAATTGCAAGGAAGTAGAGATGGATTGTTCTACATTTGTTTTCTATCATTGCGACTTGGGGCCTGGGAATATAATTGTGAACGCCGTAGAAGGATCAATAGGAATTATTGACTGGGAAACAGCTGGATTTGTTCCTAAGGAATGGACAAGGACAAAGTTCTATATTTCAAGCGTGATGGACCTGCCGGGAAGTGATCAAGGTTCTAGAGTGGATTGGAGAAGGAGGGTTTTTCTGTGGTTGGAGAGAGGTGGATGACTTGTGGATCGATGAGAAATAAGTAGTGAACGGCTGCTAAAACACATTTCCGTTCCTTTGTTCTAAAAGTCTTTCTAATAGGTGGATAGGTACTTCAATTGGTCTAATAGGAGGTGATGATAAAATGTTTTATTGTTAAACTGAACGCTGAATATCAAGCAAGAACTTGGGGCATATTGCACGCAAGGGAGCCGTACACAAACACTGTCAAATCACCAATTTCGAAACTTATTTCTCGGCCGCTTATGCGCTAGCTCCTGAGTGAAGACAAAAATAGCATGAAAAGACAGCAATAGCATGAGAAGACCCAAGCTCAGCCCAAGTCACATGCTTCATATCTGGGTCCTCTTTCATCCAGGCCCATTATCTACTTATTATCCGAGATACATACATACGTACGTATAACATATCTACATATACATGTCTCTTTAAAGCTATCCTCAATTAATCAAATCATAATTAATCAAAGACCCCTAAAAATAGAACGATACTCTATACCTCCATCTACAAGCTCCACCAACATAATAATCACAGATATCACGATGGCTATAACACAGACGGACGAAAAGGAGTTTCACACGACACAAGAGGCAAAGTAAAACAGAAATTTCTTCCCTCCACATCAAATTGTGAGGTTGCACTGGTGCAAATACACTAGCTGCTCTCTTGTACAGTCTGAATCTCTCAACAACCCGGTACTGTTTCCTGACAGGTACAACCAAAGATAACCTTGTCCCTAATCCGCCCCATTGTGCCATTTTGATCCGCGGAGTAGTGAATACTTGACATTCGAGACTATTAGAAATTGCCCTAACGTAGTCGATAGATACTGACATAAAAAGGAATCTCCTATTTAACAAATATAGCAAGCCTCTGCCGCAATGGCTTCCGTCTTGCTTCGTCCCAGCGCAGGTTCTGGCTCAGGTCCTGTTGTTATATCCGCACTTAGAACAGCTGGCACTGTCCATTGGCAGGAGATGACTGGGTGTTAGCGTGATGGTATGAGAGTTATACTCGACCCCGCCCGCTCTCATCGCCACTTTTATCCCCATTTTGGATTCGAAGCTGTATTCGACAAGATGATTTGCTACCAATATAAGTTTTGAAGTCTCACGGCGGTTCACGCCGTGTTGGACCAGGAGATATTTTAGAAGTGAAGGGTTCCAATCATACCCTTATCTGTCAGGACCCTTGCATCGCATCCATGTTTGTGGCCTTGATAGCCAATGATGTTACACCAATTGACCCCTTGCGATGTTGCCCTTTTGTCACTGTAGAAAAAATAATTTTGTTATATCTCTTCCTATAAAAAGATTGTTGTATTTTAAAAATAGAGCGGAGCGTTATCATGATCAATAGTATGGAATACATGGCACTTTGAATTCGACGGAAATAGATGATACATGATTGAATAGAGTACAATAAATGAATTGATTCTTCCTCGACTATATGGATTAGCAAATGTATATACATCCCGAATAGGCCCTAGTATAGTAGACGAGTATCCCGATTAGACTAGATTTCGAATGGTATTATACGAAGATCGATAAGGTCTAAAAGAGCATAAGATTAGAGGGAAAAGCCTCTCTGCTCTTAGCCTATAGGATGGTGTAGATCACGGCCCTTTTCCGTGATAGCCATCAAGTTTGTTCGAGATATATATAGACAAGGAATACCTAGTCTTCCGAGGAAGGACTGATCGTATAAGTAATTATAAACAGTTAATGGCTTGTAAAAGCAAAGAACTTACAAATATTCCGAGGTGGGATACCCACACACAGGTGGGGAGGAGGGCATAGGGGGTGACGACGGTTCTCCTGGGTAGTAGTCATCCAATTCTGCATCCTCCTCTTCCACCTCTCCTTCCACGTCTTCTTCTTCAGCATCTGCTGCCCATTGTGCCTATAACGACAATCCCAACAAAGCTATATTAGCTGTCATGACATCGCTATTGTCTGTCCAATCTACTGGGAAAGGCTCGGACAGCTTCAACCAACCACGAAAGCCAGGGACGCGATATACCGCAACACATTCAACTTCAGTAATGAAAACTGCGTATCTGCAATTCCGCTTGCGTATGTAGTAGTTATCTGAGCCAGAACTTGCCGGAAGTCCACACGGTCTTGTAGATACGGTGACTTCCAACGATCGTAAGACCATTTTGCAAAGAGTTTGATATCGCCGACTGCAATTGGAGAAAGTTGGTTATGGTCGCTGTAAAGATGGAAAGCGAGATCCGGTTTACCAAGCCCATACTGGAGGCCTGGCGAGATGGCATGACGCCCCGGTAGTCTTTCAAACCTATTGGATAATTGTTCATTTCGAACAAGGTGTCTATTGACATATTGCAAAGCAATATTGACTCTTTTCAGTCTGGTCATATGAAGGACGATTTCTAGTTGATGCTCTGAGCGTATTTAAGGTAATTGCCTGGTACTTTATCTTGCAGAAAAGATCTTGAGATCCTTAAATCAAGCAGAGGACCAAATCGACTTGTGATAGTGTCCAATGAGAACTGGTCCCTAGATTCCACACGGCGAATGTCTGTGTAGCCTCCCACCCTTGCGATTTACTTTTCGTGTTGCCGCCTTGAATGTGTTTGGTGAAATAGCTGACAAGAGGTTCGTGCGGAATAGTCAGAAATTCGGATATAGTTAAGTCAGTCATGATTAGATTAGTACAGACGATTTTTTTCCACACCATAAATTGACTGCAATAAGCTCAGTGTTAGAAAAGAGATGATAAATTGAATAGACTACAAAGATCCACCTTCCAACATACATACTGGCCAGCTGGACAGTTTAAGCCTAATTAGATTCTATCTACTCCGTACAGGCGTAGGCGGGTGAACATCTTATTTGCGACACATGTTTATTCCATTGCTAACCTTCGAAGACACCTCTCCTCCCCATTCCGACTCGATTTGAAATTCATTCTAACAAAATCAAGTAACTATAACTACAGCATGAGTTCGGTTCAGTCCATAGAGCTGTACAAGTCGCAATGACATGGGGGAATATGCCGCCACCTTTGAAGAGAAACCGCGATGAGAACAAAGGGAAGGAGAATTCTCCTGGAGCAGCCAAATCTGCAACGACAGGAGGGAATATGCCGCCACCTTCGATCCTGCGACTGCTCAGGAGTGCCCTAAAAATTTCAATATTCGGAGTCGGAAATCACCATTCTCGAAGTCATTGGATCCGGAGACCATGCGATGGTGTACCACATTGCAGCTGGAGGGAGGAAAGTCGCACTTAAAATAGTAAGTGTCCGCACACTTTACAAAGACGAGACGCTTTTCTAACCATTCAATCAAGCATAAATACGAAAATAGCGATATATCACTATCCGGTACACCGAAACTCAACATCTTCTTCGAGCGTGAACGAAACGCTTATAATAGACTTTCCCAGACGAGCGAACTGCCACCTGCATCAACACCGAAGTACTATGGATACATCAACTTTACAAAACCGCCCCAAGTAAATCGGACAGTGAGAATACCTCGAAAACTATTCAGATCGACGGTATACCGGCCGGCAGTGTACACTGATTTCCTTGTGGATGAAGTACCCGATGAAATGGTACTAAAGGACCCCTGGCGGAGTTACTTTATGAATGAATCCGGAAACTGCATTCTACAAGGCGTGATTCTGGACGAGATCGTGGCAGCTCGACATATCGATATCTACGGCAGTGATTCATCAAACTTCAACATTGCTCGGTCTGGCCGAGAAGGTCTTAAAGCTCTGCATCTGCGGGGCATCTTACACGGTGATGTGAAGAATCGACTTAATGCTATGATCAAGCGTTCAGGGGACCGTGTTATTTGGATTGATTTCAGTATGGGTGAAGAATGCGATGCAAATGCTAAAGATAAAGGCTTTAGGAGGAAAGCGCGTCGAGAAATGCGTGAGTGGGATCGTTTCTTTGAGGTTAGGAAAGTAGGAAAGTGAGTCTGGGATGCCTTTAGTCTGTCATTTTAGGGATGTGAGGAGATGATAGCGGGTAGGGTTTGCGTGGGTGCTAGAGGGTAGTAGGATCTTAGAGGAGTTCATTACGAAAACATTCTATACATCAATGGACATTAGCACATAAGGGGAGTATTGTCCTAAGGATATTGAATTACTCAAATAGATATTCTAGTGGATGCCTATATGGTTGACACGACACACTTCACATTCCCAGTTCCTCGAACCCCCGCGCCAAAAGAATACCATTGACATGGTATTTATTTCCGCTTTGAAAGCAGCTCAGCAGAGGCGAATAGAATCTCAAGAATCACCAAAAAAATGAGTGGCTATTGCCGTATTTTACTTCCACTCAGGTATCAGCGAAGTCAAACTACATATTGTCCTCCGCAGAATAGTGGTTGTATGTCGGGTTCTCTGTGAAGCTTAGCTTCTGTCTTTGCTTTCCTTGTTTTGTTTGAAATGAACTCGTTGCCACAATCCACCCTGCTGGCAAAGTAGGAATGGCATAAACTTTACAGGAGGGGCATGGAATGAATGCCGGGGACATTTCACAGGGCTTCACGGATACCGGCACGCGGTGGGGGATTTCGACTATAATGTCTTTGGCGAGTGCGTGCAATAAGCGCTTAATTTGGAAGGTATAGGCTATTTTGAGGTTCGACGGAGAGTGGTTGTGGTGGGTTTTCAACATTCATAAGATTACATTCTCACCCATATACCTACTCCAAATGAGCACCATTATTTGTCCACACCGGTATATTCATTGATCCTTGAATTTTCAGCTGCAGAAGATCCTGTGTACATTGCTCCTGCCCCTTTTGTTCAATTCTGCATTATCAAGCTTCTTGTCTTCCCTAGATCCGATATTGACAAGCAAGATCTCATTCCCAAGACCCCTTAGCCCGCATTACCGCTTGCCAAATCTATAAAACGTGGTGGCCGCATGTCAGATCTAACATCCGTCTGGTCCGGTCCGTGTGTTATGCATATACGGGACGCACGCCTCTATGTAGGTACAACGATCACTTGATGTCAATTAAAGATGCAGGGTACGGTTTCACCACAGCGCTTTGATGATATACATGTGACGCGTGCCGTCGATGCATACATGTTATAATGCAATTGGAACTGCAGGATTCCAAACTTGGATAATGTATCCCGCAGGATTCAATTTTGGTATTTTAACGAACTTGGGTAAGATCCAACCTCTCACCGGCGATTTATCTTTCGACCTTTCTGGGGACAATATGACAGACATCATCAAAGTCTGAATATTTCATACTCCGTACGGCCACCCTCTAACTATCTTACGGCTAATGCAAAATGAATATGTTCCAATGCTCCAACCGAAATGGCACCTGCATTAAAACTTCGCAAACCCTTCTCTTTACGATTTGATATACATATCCAAATCACATCGCCTATCACATTTTCTCCTTCTGCCCCGCGTAGGATCTCCCCACTACTCCATCACCCTAGGTACATACAAGCCTAGGTACATACTCTCTGCAGATCTTTAACTTGCTCAATCACTCGACTCTCACATCATCAAACTCTAAATTATACTAATAAGTGTGGGGGTCAGCAGGTCTTAGTGTGGGGGTGGGGAATGATGACAAGCCTTTGAGACCGAGGTTCGTTCGTTCCATAATTATCTCTCGTCCAAAAACATCAATTCCTTCAAAACGTGATATCCACTCTTGCTAATCATCCGCATGCTCTTAAAACGTGGGGGCCGTGTTGGTATGGGGAGGTGGCATCCGACACTAAATAGTAAGTACAGAGCGTGAGATATTGGGAATTGATGGTAGCAATCCTAGAATATGATTTGTTGAGCCAGCTGCCCTTCACTGTCATGATCTTGTGCGTAAGTGACGAGCAAGATCTGAGCTATAGATAGTCCCAATTCCAGTCGTCCGAGACTACATTTAGACCCTTATTTACTTCTGTTCGTTTTTGTAAATTCTTCTTCAATTTCTTTCATTCTCATGTTCATGTTCATATTTCTCGAGACCACCATCAATTTTGTAAGATTCTTTTAACTGCCAAACGCAATGACTCCCTCCCAATCTTATGCAAATAGCAATGGCATTGTCACCGGACATCGTCCATTGGTTCAAGGAATATACGTCCCAACCGTGGCATTCTTCCATCCAGAATCTGAAGAGGTTGACATCACAACAGTCGCCAAACATGCTTCCAGACTTGCCACTTCTGGTATTGCAGGTCTTCTTACCCATGGTTCAAATGGTGAAGCAGTTCATCTCACACATTCCGAACGCTCTCTCATCACATCCACTACACGTAAAGCTCTCGATGAAGCAGGAGCATCATCCATGCCTATCATCGTAGGCTGCGGTACTCAATCCGTGAAGGAAACCATTGAACTCTGCAAAGAAGCTAAAGAATCAGGCGGGGACTATGCAATTGTTCTCCCACCCAGTTATTACGCATCACTTCTAAACCCACAAAACATATTGGATTTCTTCACACAAATTGCTGATGCAAGTCCAATCCCCATCATCATATACAATTACCCTGCAGCACAGGGAGGATCTGACCTTACTTCTGATGTCATTCTTACACTCTCTACTCATCCCAATATCGTGGGTGTAAAACTCACATGTGGAAATACGGGAAAATTAGCACGGATTGCTGCATCTGCCAAACCATCTTTCCTCACCACGGGCGGTTCTGCAGATTTCATCTTACAAACCATGGTAGTAGGAGGTCATGGAGTTATTGCCGGATTAGCCAACTTGGCACCAAAAGCATGCGTAAAAGTTATGAGACTTTTCGAGGAAGGAAAGCTAAAAGAAGCGAGAGAATTACAAGCAATTGTTGCGAGAGGAGATTGGGTGGCTATTAAGGGAGGTTTCGTTAGTGTAAAGGTTGCGTTGGAGAGATATTATGGATATGGTGGATTGCCTAGGAAACCGTGTGCGTTACCTGAGAAGAAGGCGTTGGCGGCAATGAATGATGAGTTTGCAGAGTTATTGGAATTAGAGCAGACTCTTTAGTTTTATGATGGATGGATGGATGGATGGATATGGATGGAAAGGAATTGGGGGGGGAAAAAAAACAGGAAAATGTACTTGTGACGTACAAGAGCCTCATAAGAGCTGAATAAACAGGGTCAATTATATTCCTTAGAATCTACAACTGAAGAACTATGGCTCGTAAGGAGCATCCATATATATACAAAATACCTATACGGTAGCTGCAGGGTTGTGCACATCCTGCCTTAAGGTGACCATAATCCCATACTAAAAAGGGTAAATCTGGCAAGATGTGCACAGACTACCAGCTCACCGATATAGGAATTGGGATCACGTGATCGTCCTTTATACGAGACCCGTGACAGTACTCACAACTCTATATTCTGATTACTTTCCTCATCAAAAATAACGAAAATCGACATTTATAACTTTCTTATTTATGAATATAATTTTTTCAAATCTTAAATATAGATAGATTTATTACTTATATAATAATAAATTATAAAAATTTTAAATTTTTTATAATTTTATCAATTGAGATATTAATAATTGAAATTTCAATTTTTATTTATATACAAATCATATACAAATTTAAAAAATTTAAAAATCTTAAATGACTTTTCAATAAAAATTATTTAAAGATTTTCAAGATTTTCAATTTATATATAAATCTTATACCAGGGGCCTGCGCCCCTCGAACCCCTGGCTTTTCGAGAAAGTCTAATGTGTCACGGACGCTCCCGGGTTACAGCTTGAAAACCTATGACTATTACGGATTATAATCCTACTTATATAAACTCAATGCTTTGCTAACGAAATACTGAATTATTAATTTGTAAAACGTTACATAAGCCTTTTATTAGTATTTATATATCGAATTGTATTCGATCTGAAATTATCTTTGTTTTTGTTTATAAAAGAATTGGTTTTTCTAATTTAAAAACGATAATGAAAAACTTTGAAGTTGTTGATTCTTTGTCACATGTGACTCGAACATTTTCTACCGCATCTATTGAGTTTATAAATATGAAAAGGATATATATAATCTTGAATGAAAACCTTGCACTAATGAACTCGTATTGTATCGTATTCTATTCTATCCTATAGATTATATCTATAATCGTCATTAACATTAGAGGTAGGTATCAATCATATCAGATCATATGCATGCATATATTATCCTCCATTTCTTATCCATTTCATATCCCTATCCCTATCCATAGTCCATCCAACGATTCAAGCCCATTCATTAATACCAAAACCAAAACCCATCCCTTCCTTTCCTTGAAGTATTCCCTATTATCAAACTCCTCCAAATTCGCAAACCTTGCCAGATTCCTCCAATCCTACAAAACCAAAACCATAATCCCCAACATACCCAACAACCCAGAAAATCCCACCTGCACTTCCACCTTCCCACCTCCACTCTTCCCCTTCGCACTTGCGGTCGCACCCGCCGCACTACCCAACGCAGAAGCACTATCACTAGCTACAACCGTCGTAATCGTCGCCACACTCTCACTAACCGTACTTGCACTCCTGGTACTAGCACTTCTTGTTGTTCCCGGAATCGTCGTCTGGGTAGTGTCCACCTCAGTCTCTGTACTGACAACCTGGCTTCCTCCAATCGAAGTCGTGATTGTTCTTGATACTGAGATTGTCTGAGAGGAAACGCTGGCTGGTATGGTGGTTGCGGGAATCGTAGTAGCTGGGATGGTGCTAGCTGGGAGTGTGGTTGTATAAGTAATTGTTACTCCACCTAAAGCAGAAGCAGGAATAGCACTTCCAATCCCACTGGCTGTGAATTGAGTGGGCATAGGTAGAGTTGCTGTGTTGGGTTTGGCGGCTTCGTCACTGCGATAGATATTTCCCGTTGTTCCATTTTTATCTGTATAATCTCCACTTTCCAAATTTGCAGTAGCGCCAGATGGGGAAGTATAAGAACCTCCTACTACAGTTCCATAACTATCATCTGGGAGATAATAGTTTGTTGTGAATTGGTCGTAGCAGAATGGAATACTCAGAGAGTGCATGGTGAGACAATTTAAAGAAGAAACGCAGCATAGTGAAGGCGAATCGCGTTTTTCGAAAGTGGCTTCTGAAGAGGAAGGGAATAATCGTTTGTTCGCAGGCAAAGATGAGAGAACAATATCTTGGAATAGATTCACGAAATCCGAATCACCAATTTGTGGGGTATTAGCGTTTGTGGCGCCAGCGGGAGAACATAAGGTATATCCTTGTCGACAGTCACCACTACGAGATTCCAATATGGATGGTGCTGCCAATACTGCAGGGGCAATAATTGCGAATAGAAGTTGATGGCGCATATTAATTGTATGATGTGTCGTCGTTGATGAGAGGTGTATCAAATGTATGATGTACAAGCTAAATGGTTTGCGTATGTATGTGCTGGGTTCAGAGGAGCTGTAAAAAGGAATGAACCAACGAACGGTCGATCAGAAAGTAAAGTAGATAGGTAGATTAACAAATGTACAAACTCAAGATAAAACTTCACAATGTAAAGAATGTCAGAGAATGAGATGACAGAACGAACGACGGCGAGGCTCTCTCCACGATTTCTCTTCTCTCACAATGTACACAGTTTGCGGACGCGACAACTGTTAAAAGAGAACAGAAAACAAAGATCAGCGATGAGATTTGAGGAAAGAAGAAAAGGAAATTTTTCGATTTTCCGTGTACCAACAGGAAAAGCAAGGGAAGTAAATACTTGGCAGTTCGCGTTGGACCATAACCGTGGAGAGTTACTGAATCAAGTATAGTACTCTGCATGCTCGGGATACGAGGTCTAGATATAGGCCTATAGGCTTGACTGTGCCTTGCAGAGGTCTTGCATCAGGTGTACAGATGAAAAATTGTTTGGATGCGGGAGAAGGGAATATTTGAAAGTATAGTGAAGTTGATGGGAGTATGATTGGTTGGAGGTATTTGGTTGGTTATGATCAGATGTTGTTGATTAGTCATGCTAGATCGGTTGGCTTTGATGGGCTCATTTTAGTGGATGATGATTATTTTTAGCCTTTGATCATGAACTCAAGCGTCTGGTCAGCGTCTGATGTTTGATGTTTGTTCTTCATATTGGAAAGCAATTGACGATAGGTATTGAGTAATATAATTAACATTTCCATCAACTCCGAGCTTTATACTCTTTCTATTCTTGGAGATGTGTATCATAATAATTATATATCCATAACACATATTAAACAGACCAAATCTCCCCATCACTACCTCCCTCAATCCAACAAGTAAGACAACCGCACAACCAACCCACCGTCCAAAATCACACATTCAAAGCCCATCCACAATCATCCTCCCCTCCCACCCAGCCGTTATACCCGTTGAACATCAAATCATCAAAGCGAAAAGGAGCATTGTTAAAACCCAACAAGGAACAAACTTCATCTAACCAATCGGTCCAGTGGTCAAAGCACAATTATTCAATCTAGGCAGTTCTGAAAAAGACATCCATTATCTGACCGCACCGCCACAAAATTCTATTCCTCAACTAATTCCACTTTCTATATTCGCTGACAAGGAAACCTCTAGGCTATTGATGTGCTGATATGTTGATATGTTGATATGTCGAAGAAAGTTGTAGATATTCATTTTCTAGCTTCATTGATCCCTGTCGATTTACTTTCTCATTTCTCCATATTCCTCCCCTCCCCTTCTACCGATCCAGTGCCAAAACTAACTCAAACCCGATGCCTTCGCGCTCCCATCAAGAAAGTAACGTGATAAAACAAGAAAGCGTGGGTATACATGAGTCTCATCTATTCTTTATAATCTTCGTGGCTCGTCTTCTTTCCTTTATTCATCCACTGCCCCTCCGTATCTATATCCGTCGCCCTATTCATCCGCACCCTCTCGCAACTCCCCCACCCCCCTTAACTCATCCACTGTCCCGCAACAATGGGTAATATCCTCAGCCTAAATCCAATGACACAATAACCTCCCCGGGCTCCTGCTATACATTTTCTCTTTCCTCTCCCTCACTGACTTCTATTCATCTATTTCTGCCCCGAGAAAAACCATGAGCTTCTCTTCGTGCTCACAGTGCTTCCAGTCTCGGAGTTTTGCAAGTTACCGATGGTCGGAATCTGCCCATCACCACCACCTCCTCTTAGTGGTTTGGCAATCCTGCTGCCCGCACCACCAAAGCTAAATCCTCCGGTGGGTGAGCCTAGTCCACGGGTACTACCTGCTTTGGCGGCTTCGAGTCGTTCTTTTACGGCTGAGAGTTGTGCCTCGAATCTAGAGTGGTATCAGTAATGTTACTGATGAATAAGGAGAAGAAAGATAAAGGGAAGGCAAAACCAAAACCAAAACCAAAAGCGAATAGGGGGACCGAACCTGTGACTAGCAGTCGTCAACTTCTCCTGAGAATCCTGTAACAGACTCTCCAAACTCTGAATTCGTTCATTCCTTGCAATCAACTTCCTCTCAGCAATAGCAACTTCCTTCTTCAAGCTGCCGTTCTGCTCGACTAATTGTCTTTGAACATGAGTTAATTGTTCTAGATTTCTCTCCAGGAAAGCCATTTTCTTTTGTTGGGCCTTGTTGTTAGATGAACGGAGAACATTGTTGTATTGTTCGCGGGTCTCATCGAGAGAGATTTCTAATTCAACAACACGTTCACAGCGATTTTGCAAGTCGCGCATCAAGCTCTTCTTCATCACATCGAATTCGGCGATCTGCTGTTGAACAGTCTTGCCGCTCGCCGAGCTAGGTGCTGTGCCGTTGGTTGCACCGCCTGACTTGACTCTTTGTTGAAGGTCTTCATTTACAGCCTTGAATTTTTCAATCTCGGCTGACTTTTGGGCGACCTCCTTTTTAAGATTTTCCACCAATTCAACTTTAATGTCTTGATTGTTGGCATATGCCTTTTCGAGACGTTCCTTGATCTCAGCTACATCCCCGTCGCTCAAGTTACGCTCGAGGAGGTCTTCATATTCTTGCTCGAGGACCTGAAGTCGTTGTTCTAACTCCTCCCTGCGCTTAACATTGGCATCATTCGATGATGATCCAAACATGGAGAGTTCCGCTTGTCGGACAATACCCTGTGTTTCGACCAACTTTACCCTCAATTCTTCAAATTCATCAGGAGGAATGGCTTCCCCTGCAGAACTTTGCTCATGAAGAGAGTCAATATGATCAATGACTTTCTTGATGGTTGCTTCATTCTCGCTGAAGACATCCCCACCGAGATCAAATCCAGCCATCATCTGGGCCATTTTCTCGGCCTTTCTCTTCTCCTTTTCATCCAAGGCGGCACTTGATTCTTTGGCACTCATTTTGACATTAAGTAATTGCTGCTTGAGTTCATCGAGCTCCGCGGTCAGCTCGGCGTTAGCTTCTTTCAGACTATCCATGGTAATCTGTGCCTCTTTACTCTCGAATGCTAATCGCTCAAGTTGCATTTTAAACTCGTTTGCTTCACTAGTAAGCTTTTCGTTATCCTTGTTGACCTTGGCATCTCGTTCTTTTAGGTAAGTGAGTTCCTCCTTAGTATCTCGCAAGGTCTTCTCTGCAGCAGCAATTTGGGTTTCCTTCTCGGTTATCTGGTCTTGAAGTTCATTTTCGCGTCTCAAGAACTCTTCTCTCTCGTCTTTGTCTATCGGTATACCTGGAGTAGCTGACCTTTCTGTCAGCGGTGTCTCTGCTCGGCTTTCCATTGCCAAGCGAGAAGGTGTAGATGGCCGAGGTGCTCGAGCAGCCTCTGCTTTTGCCCCACTGACGCCTGCGAGTGGGGGTGCCCATTGTTCCTTCGGTACGGATTCTCCCTTACGCCACAACTGAACTTCTCCTTCAAGGGTAGAAACATAGGTTTCAAAGGTGGTGACTTGTGACTGGGCTTTCCTAAGTAAGGCTTTAAGTTCCGCTGGACTGAGCTCTGCGTTGACCTTGGCCTTATTCTTGATTGCCTTTGCTCGCATACCAAATCTCAAAGTACTCAGAGTTTCTTCGGCATTGTAACTACTAGGCGAGCAGTTGATGATGAGTGTCGTTCTACTATTTCCTCCCAAACTCTCTTGTAAAATTCTAGTAAGTTTCGAGTCTCGATAAGGAATATGCGATGATTTGCCGTCCGTCAGGTTGTTGATAACCATCCCAAGAGCACTCAAACTCTTGTTGATCTTCTTTGCCTCCTCCAGAGTCTGTCCACTAGCACCAGTCTTGCCGACCTTTTCACTACCAGCCAAATCGACCAAGAAAAGTTGACCGCTCTTTGCCGATCCGGTTTCAACGTTCTTTTGTGTAATCGTGATAACAAATATGGAATGCGATCGAGAGGATTCTGCATTCATGTTGGTCGAGGCCACAACTCTTGCATCCCCTCCTCTCTTTAAAACTTCATAGACTTCTTGGACGCTTGAAACATAAACCTCTAATAACCCCTTAACGTAAACACCTCTATTTTTCTCTTCGTGGATAGGAAGATTGTCATTTTGCGGCTGCAGCAGATCTCTAATACGTTCCATATAAATTTCCATATAGCTGACCCTTACTGTATACTCGATCGTACCCGGACTGGACAAAATGCTGGCGAATATTTGCTCCACAATTCTCGGAATAACACCTCTACCATCATCGTTCTCGAGGTTTGTTCCCATCATCGTATAAGACTTTCCCGCTCCTGTTTGACCATATGCAAAGACCGTTCCATTGTAACCGTTGAGGATATCGTCTACAGTAGGTTTGATAGAGAAGTCGAAAATATCTTTTTGCCGTGAGCTCATGCCAAAAACACGATCGAATGTGAAGGATCCAGCCGCTCCATTTGACTATCCCCTGTGATTAGTAGAGTATAACATTCTGGAGTATTTCGACGAGACACCTACATCAAGGGCGCAAGTGTCATCAGCCTCGAATTTCACAACCGGTTGAGCACCTTGTTCATTTTCAATGCGATTCTGCGGCCTAAACCGACAGACAACCTTAATAGAGTTCGACATGATCGCGAGATGGTTGTTATCCCGGAACGACCATATGTACAAGAGTCGAACTCAGAATTTATGTTGTCGTTGGCAGGTTTAAAGAACGTTGGTATTGAAGTAATACTGTGGTCAGTGGTTGATAAGGAGAGGTTGTTGACACACAGTCGCGCTAAAGATCTTCGCGTAGTAACTCCAAGGCCAATGCAATGTCGGAAGAAATTTGTGTCAATGCAATGCGACCACGACTACACAAGAATGGTCGTACCGTAAATGACCCAAGGAAAATGCTTGTTTGCGGAGTAATAATATTGACTTGTTATATCTGTTGCACATTACCAGTCTACTGAATTTTTATCCGTGAATCTAGAAAGGAGAAAATTGGTTGTAAATTTTATGATTCATTTCTGTTGAATTTCCGTATTACTGTTACCATAGGTACCGTGTGGCATGCATGTATGGTAGTAATATCCAGCACGAAATGCTATAATCGAAATATATTGGATAATGCTGTATGAGATGGGCCATCGTAAATATTGCCCTTATTGACTGAACTCCTTGTAGAAAAAAACGATGTAGACAGATTGGAAAGGAAACTCCATAATAGATGCCGTTTCAAAAACTCCAGAACCCCGCCATTTCATCATTAAATAAGGCCTAACTCAAATACGACTACCTATGAATCACGCTGAATGTGCTTCAATGTAATCCTGCCGTATAGTCACTCGGAAATTTAGAATCGATTCTCAATTATCCTCCCAACTCTTCTCGACAGTTTCCCTAACACGTTTTGTATATTCTCTTCTGTTGTCTTTGTATAGGTTGGAAGCTTCTACATTGGCAGGGGAACCGGTATTTGGATCATTAAGCAGACTACATGAAACTTAGTATATAGACTCAGGAATCAATAGATCACTTGCGAAGTATATATGTACCTTTGGATACTCGTCAACACTGCCGCAACATCATATGTAGGACTCCACCTATTCTGCAGAATATCTAAACACAACTCTCCGGTTGCATAAACATTAGGATGGAACATTTGACTAATGAACTTGACGGCGGGTGGCTTGTTTGGATATTGTTCCTCGAAGGTCATAACAAGTCGGAAAGTTCCATCTTCGAATGGAGTATCTGCTGGACCGATAATGACAGCGTTCCTAATAATTTCGATATTAGCATCAAATTCTTCAACGTCAGACATTCTGGAAGAAATACTAACCAGAGCATGACATTATCTGCAACAGGAGATGCTGAAACACCAGCAGGAGGGTCGGTTTGCATGCGCTATAGATGAAAGTTAGATTCCCTCCGAATCATGATCTTGTGCCCCTCCACGAATTGCCACTAACCTTGAAATCCCGCATAAGACGACGACGAGCAGCTGTAGACATTATGGCGGATTGTGCGAATGATAATCAAGAATCGAAATGTGGAGTTTTGTTGAATCGAGGTGGCTTTGAATGAATGGGGATATTTTTTGTTTAGAAAACAGCTTTAAGGTATAGCGGAGAGCAAGTTCAACAGGATGGTTGGTAGATATTAGTGTCCGATCTGAAAGCCGGCGGCGGAAGTTTATGTGGGTTCCCGCAAATGGCGACTTTGTGTAATAAGTGGTGTCGGGAAGTTTTGATTGGGAAAGGAATCACAACTTCTAGAAAGAAAAGCAGATTTGACACATTAACAGTTTTGAGATTATACGAAAGTAGTGCAAAGCTTCACGATTCTGTTGGATTTCCTCCAAGTTGTTATTATATTATTGACAATGTGCCAGTATGTATGTACAGCTAAGGCACAAGACTTAGACCGCTTTCTATTCAACCCCTTCATGCCACGCATAACCAGGACCCTTGGGCCTTGAGTCATGTTTATCGTGAAGTCACGAGTAGATTAGCATTTTACGCTAACTACTGAAGTGGCTTAGTCATAATTTTATTCTCCACCCTTCCATCGGCTTGGTCCGAGCTTTCAACTTGGGGTAAAATACATTCCACCGCTGTTAACCGCGGGGCAATTGACATGAATAATAATCATAAGGCAATTTGATTTTGTTTCCTCTTCCTTTCTTTTCTTTTCCGTAGAGCCTTGTCAATTGTTCCTAGTTCACTTATTGTTTCCAAAATCATACCCATCATGTTTTCACATACTGCGAAATCCTCGATTAGGAATTTGAGGATGTCATCTCCTTCATCAAGGTTAGCACAAGTCCAAAGGCAATTCAGTGCAAGTACCTCGGCGAAAAAAGAGATTCAAGATGCATACATTTTGAGTGCATCAAGAACACCAACAGCAAAAGTAATTCAATATAATCCAATTTATTGTTTAAAATCAATAGAACTAACTTGAATGGTAGTTTAACGGATCTTTTCTTACTGTTAGTGCCCCTCAACTGGGCGCTGTAGCCATCAAATCCGCCCTCGAGAAATCCAAAGTTCCAGTCGAGAAAATCACAGATGTATACATGGGAAACGTGCTACAGGGTAATGTGGGACAAGCGCCAGCTCGACAAGCTTCTATATTCGCAGGTTTACCTTCGACAGTCGAAGCGGTCACTGTAAATAAAGTATGCGCATCTGGAATGAAAGCTGTTGTGTTCGCTGCACAAAACATTCAACTCGGCCTCGCAGAAGCTCAAATTGCGGGAGGAATGGAAAATATGTCCCGAGTACCATACTATTACCCTCGAGCTAGCAGTCTTCCTGCATTCGGGAATATACAAGCTGAAGATGGACTCATTAAAGATGGATTATGGGACGTTTACAATCAATTTCACATGGGGGTATGCGCAGAGACTACAGCAAAGAAATATAATATTACACGAGAACAGCAAGACGAATACGCTATCCAATCATACAAACGGGCGCAAGAAGCATGGAAAACCGGAGCTTTCAAAGAAGAGATCGCCCCTGTAACAGTGAAAGGTCGCAAGGGCGAAACTATTATCGACACGGATGAAGGTTACCTAGATGTCAAATTCGACAAAATACCTTCATTAAAACCGGCATTCGTTAGAGATGGAACTGGAACAGTTACCGCTGCCAATGCTTCAACATTCAATGATGGCGCTAGCGCATTGGTGTTGGGAAACAAAGCCATTGCACAAGAATATGGGTCAGGTTCGAGAGTATTGGCACGAATTTGTAGCTATGCAGATGCTGCAATTGATCCCGTCGATTTTCCTGTTGCTCCCGCTAAAGCAGTCCCGATTGCTTTGGAGCGAGCAGGAATCAAGAAGGAAGACGTAGCAATTTGGGAGTTTAACGAGGCATTCGCAGCCGTTATAAAGGCAAATGAAAAGGTTCGTCTCACTCAATCGGATTTCCGAAGGAAATACTAATACAATCTAGATCCTCGGACTTGAGAACGCAAAAGTTAATTTACTTGGTGGAGCTATCTCACTTGGCCATGCTCTCGGAAGTTCAGGTTCACGAATTCTCACAACATTATTACATCAATTAAAAGTCGGAGAATATGGTGTTGCGGCGATTTGTAACGGTGGAGGTGCTGCGACAGCGATCGTCGTACAAAGAATTGATAGTGTTTAAATATGATTTCAGTAGCATTTGGACCAGTAATTGGTGCGGAGTTTAGGTAAAACCCCAAAAAATTCCATTGTATTGGAATTATTTCATATCTACACTGTTAGTGACCAGATTGAACGTAAAAAGGCAATATCCAAATTAACAGTCGCTTCTCTTTTCCCTTTTAAGAAGGGGCATTTTCACATGTCAATGGAAACGAGCCGAGATCCTGAAAATCCATCCCGTTTCGCTTGTGACATCATCATCAACAACCAAACGCGACACGGCTGGAATTTATTTCACCATCCTCTTCTCGATCAAGCATCATATACCAATTGTCTTTGTAATTGAACCTACTTCTGCCGGTAGATAAGTTGACTCAATATATTTCGCAATTGCAATTAAAAATTGTTGAAGGAAAACATCTAAACATCTAAGATGGATCATCCAAGTACGTTTGTGATTCCCTACATTCTTACCCCAGGTCACTTTCTGTCCTGCTGCATTCGCATCACATCTCTCCTTCGTGTCATTTCTACTCTATATCCCCACTTCCCTTTCCATCCATTTTCCTACAAAAATCACATCGCTAACGCAACCCATCTAGAATCACAAATCGCTCCCATAATCCACACCCTCTGTTCCGGCAGTCCTTCCGCCCAGAAAGAGGCTCTCGAAACTTATTTCACGAATGATGCATCTTTTTCGCATCCCTTATGTTCTGTGCCTTCGTTTTCTTCCGTGAGGATACCCGTTCTTGGGGAGGTTAATAGTAGATGGGTGCTTTGGTGTGTGTATAGGTGGTATAAGGTGCTGAGTCCGAGGATTGTGGTGGAGATTGATGGGGTTGGTATGTTTTTGTTCTTTTCTAAAATTTTGAGTTTTAGTTTGGTCTGGTTTGAGCGGAGGAGAGGAAGAAATGTTAGAGCATACTAATTCCAACCAACGATAGAATACAACCCCGAAACCCAAACCCTCTTCCTCCAAATCCACCAAATCTTCCACCTCTTCTTCGTCCCCTTCTTCACCCCCACCGTCTATCTAACCACCATCCTCCACCTTACTTCTTCTTCCGGCAGGTTACAATCTCATGACCACAGCTCATCCGAAGGATCATCAACAGGCGCTTCAGAAACCAGGAGAAGAACAAAATACTTGATAAAACACCAAGAAGATTTATATCAAAGCACGGAAGTGGTGAAGTTTTTCTGGCCCGGTGGAACGAAAATTATTGGTGCTTGGAGATTGTTTGCTACGCTGCTTTGTATTTTTGGGGCGATAATTTTCGCGCCTTTTACGTGGATGCAGGAGTGGGGATGGTTTGGGAATGGGTGGGATGTTAGGGAGAAGAAGAATGAGGGTAGGGACGAGGTGAATGGTGTCAATGGTCGCAATGGCGTTAATGGTGGAAGAAGAGAAAACAGGAACACTAATGGGGAGGTGAGGAAGAATAGGTAGGGCTGGTTGGGAATATGAATTCTCATTTTCGGAAGGAGGGTAGTTTGGGACGCCTGAGTGAATCCGGGGAGCAGTAACAAAGAAATTTTTGAGCGGGAGTACGTCACCCATAGGCCATGGATCGGTAAGGGGTTACTTCGACGTATAACAAGGAGTCGATTGCACATAAAACGAATACGAAGAATGAAGAACTTATCACGGATAGTATGTTTATTGTATAGATTTTTTAATTTATTTATTTTACATGCTTATATTCTAACTAACATATCTTTTTATCTATTTATCCAATCTTATCGATATTCCCAAGATCACTCTAATACTCCATCTCCTGCAATCCGAAACTGGCCTCTAAAATCTGTGGCTTGACACCACGACACAATCTTCGCCTACGAATTGGAGCCTCTGACTCCTGAAAACTGTCACTTTCATTTTGTTGGTCGGGACCGGTTTGGTTGGCCTGCCGAAGTCTCCAAGAGTGCATCGGTTTTTTATACTCCCGTCGTAATTTTTGACATGGTCCATGGGCTTTGACTTCTCGTACTGCTGCAGCTTCTTCTTCTCCAGTTTGTGGTCTTAGGCCCCGGCACAGCCTTCGTCTACGAACTGGAGCTCCTGGTTGTTGAATGTCAACAGCTTCATCTTCTTGGGCGGAAGCAAGCCGTTGGGAATGTTGTAATCTCCCTGCGCGAACCATTCTTCGATTGTATTGTCGTAGCTTTCCATACGAGTTGGCGGCATTGCGATCAATAGATCGTTTGGATATTTTGTAATAATAAACCGAGGCTGGCACACTCGATCCAATACGAGCTAACAATAAGTTGGAGGAGTACATGCCATGCCGCTGAAACTTTTCGTCATTCCGCATTTCCGAGAACATGTCATCAGGAGGATAAGGCTCTTCCACAGTCTGAATTTTCTCTCTTATGATGCGCTCGCAGTTTTTAACGTTATTTGCCATCATCAGCCTCAGAATTGTACGATTGCTGAGAGAACCACAAAAAGCCACGTTGTCGCTCACGGCTCTTACACCGAATGCCTGATATATTTTGTTAATCACCTGCGAAGTATCGTTCCGGGTCATCCAGTAAAATTTGTTCCTCCCAAAGCTGTTGCTAAGCCAATTCACGCGGACAGTGACAAATGTTAGGATTCGTCTGTCTTCTCTCTCCAGAAAACGATTCGCCCTGACTATTCTGAGCATGTCCAAGAATTGTTCAAATCTTTGATGATTGAGAACGTTCAAATCGTCTAGCGGCTCCCAGTAGATCGGATCGCTTGGGCCTGGCACGGGCCTATCCCACCTCGCTTCACGTACTATACCCCAATAACACTTCTGCTTTGCGCCACCATCTTCAGTCTCAACCACATCGCTAAGACATGTAAGAGCTCGCGACATATTCAAACCCCCAATGAAACTCCATGATTCCTTCCAAGGAATCAACTCGAAGAGCCTTATACTTTCAAATGAGTTGAGAATCCCGAATGCCTGGTACCACAACCCGGTCTCCCATAAACCAGTCTTGCACGTGGCCCGTTCATGTATTCCCGCTTTACATCGAGGGTGTACGTGCTCGGCATATTCACAATTTGTAATCAAAGGCGTCACTGCGAATTCTACCATTCGGACGTTATTGCGCAAGTAATCACCCCAAGAATTACAATCATGGAGGAATCGCTTAGGCCTATCCCAATAAAATGTAAGTTCTTGAGCTAGAGCCAGCTTGACCTCCTCATGAACCCTCCTACTGACAAGAATAAACTCCCTTCCCGGCATTCTATCGTCGTCGATGACGCCATTTCTCGAATCGATGAGTCCAATGTGCGGAAATGTATAAGGGGTGATTTTCGATCGATTCAATAACTGCGCACTCATATCTTGGGTTTTCGGTTCGATGATGGAATATCGATAAATCTTTTCACGTATCTCCATCGGGAGGTCAAAGAAGTTGACCATCGTTGCGGTTTTCTATTTGAAAGCTTTCGGTATCTAGATATTTTAAATGGATTCGGCAATCGATCAAAGAATGATTTATTATCAAGCTCCAGTTCAGACTTTGAAAAACTCCGAATGCTGATGACCAGTTGAGGTAATATCCTTCAGATTCAAGCTAGGAAACCAATAAATATTTGCTGTATACACAGAGGTATTGGCCGCAACCGGATTTGGTTGAAGTTTCTTTTGACGAGGTTGTGACGGTAATAAAAGGGGGTGAAATATAATCGATGCCGTATTATTGCTTATTTGAGCTCGATCATAATAATTTAGCTATGAGTGAATATGATAATAGTGAATACCGTGTCTCGATATAGATAAATGTGAATGATTCGTCGAGGTATTGATGAAAATGGAATATGTATTAATAAATGTAGGTAGGTAGGTAGTGATGAATTTCAAATACTAATGTGGATAAAAACAGGGGAAAAAAGAATGAAAAGCTGTGCGGTGTTGAGTTTTTACGGGGAAGCGAATATCTGTGCTAGTTAGACACTAGGGTATGATGGATTTCTCTTAAGATCACTAGTACAGCAAACTAAATAAGTACTAGAGTTGATGGTTAGAATAGAAATGATCGGACTCGGAGATAATGGGAAATGTATTGTAGAAAGTTGACTTGTCGATTGAGATGGCGAAGTGAGCATACGGTTGGAAGATAACAGGTTCATAAAAATGCCGGAGTATCGAAGAGAGGATCTCCCCAATCTCTACATACTCTTGAGGTATGATTAGAGTGGGAAATATTGTATTGAAGATCAAGTGTATGATGTATGAGTGTTCAGGTTAATAAAGTTATTCTTCACCACTATAGCTTACGATGAAGATCTTGGAATTTGTGATTAGGGATTATATTGTTATAAGAACTTCTCCTACCCTCGTACCCAATTACCATTCTTCCAATTTGCTTCGTGCAGCCTGTGCCCCTTCAAAATTTACTAAAATAGATATTTAATCGTTACTCGAGGCGAGCATTGTGCTATACATTTCTCAACTTACGAAAGTCCCGCGGTCCAGTTAATATTGAGTTATTGCCTGTTACATTGTCTCCTGATAAATTAGTTATTGATAATATAACTCCTCAAATCCCTAATTGACTTCATATGTGCCTGCATAACGTTGTCTTTCCAACACAAGACACCACCGGCCCATAATTCTCCACCACCAAAAGAATGATGGCATGTTTTTAGTGTGTTGCTTATTGTACTCCAGTTCTTCTCATGAATAGTGTCGTGATAAGCGTCCCATTTGAAGTCGAAATCTAGAATACGCTCAACTTTTCGCCGCGAACCGTCGGCCTGCGGAATTATAATTAGGAAACTAGCACTTATCAACAGCTAATCTAAGCAACCGCAATAACAGAATAAAGATGTTTTCGTCATCCTGATAATCTCCGGGTTTGCGAACTCGTTCCATGACTTCAGGAGAAAAGTGTTCGTACACATCATCATTGTTGGTGTGAGAATTATATAGATAGACCTTCATTCGTTTTAAGTTCTGCCATGTATTGGTGATCTCGCAGGGCGCTGAAAATTCTCCGAATAAATAGGACAATACCAGGCCTTTCTTTTGTGTAAGGAGTAATCAAATATAAGCTCCACGTTCGAGATGGTCTTCATGCGATTGAGTTTAATAAAAGCATCACCATTCCCGCGAAAGATCCTATAAAATTCGGGAGTTTGAAGACAAACGAAAGAGCGATGTTTCTAGATGATATCTTGACATTCTATATTGCCCTACAAACGAGTAGTACTTGCACTTGGGGTTTGGCTCTTCTCTGATCGATTGTTTCTTTGGTCTTTGTATCGAAGTAACGCAAGAATTTATCACCGTCGGTAGTCCATGTCGTAATGCTCCATTCGGGATGCTCGAGAAGGACATGTTCGAAGACAATGCGGCGAACTTCGGAGGGCAAGTAGAGAAGAGGTGATGCTGTTGTATTTGAGGTTTCTACGCCTGACAGTGGCGGCTGAGATAGCAATGCAGGCATAGGGATGATGTTTTTTTGTGGGTATTTTCGAGTGATTTGATAGTGAAATAAACCTGAATTTGTATGTAAACATATATAGAAAGAAGGCTTATCTGGTAAAATGGTGACTGGTATTCACTCATGATGACGGAAGTGAGTTAGATCTTAGCTTGTGTAGATTTTTAGGGAATGGTAGGGCAGGTGCAACTGCAGTAAATATATATGCCAGACTCGGTAGCTTTATTCGTCCGACCATAATGAACCAACCCTTCCTTCTCTGTATGACCTTATATCTATAACGTTAACAGCTTAAACATTTGAAGTCCGTGCCTTGCTACTTATGCAGCCCTAAATTAAGCTTTGTGATATTGCTTGAAATGGCAACAACTAGACAAGGATGGCTTGACAAAATACAACATCCCCCGTTCTGATCCTATAGCTCAGATAAACTTAACAGGTGAACATCCACCATCATACTCGAGGTTAGTACCAGTATATGTGATGAATCAGCGAAGATTACTCGAAAACGGTGAAGTTAGTTGATAGATGAAGGTGGTTGCATTAATACATTTCGAGGCAGTTCAATTCCCCAATCCCGATGACGTCATATGCCTATTTCAGTGTACCTGGTAAATCTATAATGTGCATGCATTGTATACAAGGAGGGAACTAGGTGTAATAAAATAGAGACTTACGATGCTACTTCCACAGTTACCAGCGGGAAAATAACCTAACTACACTATCCACACTATCCAGAGATAGAACAAATCCGCAGTTTGGGATAACTAAGATATGAGAAAAACTTCTCAACAACTTCACTTCCAACTTTGGAATATGCAATTGGCCATGTATATCAATTTTCACCAGTGTGATTTGAGTCGGCTTTGATAATACATCACGTGATGGTGTTGATTGGGGGACGCCAGGGGTGGCAGAAAGTAACACAACATGGACCGAAATCTATACTACGTAGAGATGTCCTCCTTGACAACTGTGATTGCAAGGAGTTACTGACCAATCTTTGGATCTTCAACCTTGTACCAAATAGGTAGTCATCAGCAAGTGTTGGTGAATGAACCGGACTGGCAAAGTGCTCATTAACGTTAGTAGAAATATTTTCATCGAGCGTGAGGTCTAAGATTAATTTTTTGGTATATATATCTTGAAATCATGTTCTCTGTCACATACGACCATAGACTGAAGAGAATTGGGCATCCCGTCCGCTCTGCCATACACAAGCTTCAGATCGGTGGATTAGTAGTTGGGTGGGTGACCACCAGCGAATCCCCACTGTTGTATGTTTATGCCCTTTTCTTTTTGCCTCGGTAACTTTTTTCTCCATTAATTAGGTGATTCTTAACTTCCAACCGCAAAATTCGAATTACCTTTTTCGAATAAACACACTTATGATTTTATTCCTAGTGTAATGGATTTCCCAAGACCAGAAGCCATGACGCTGTGTCTGCACCTTACGAACGAGAATGACATTTCTGTGCTCAACAGGCACAGTCACTGCGGGAAAAATACTCGTTCGCTACCAACATATATTGTCTCATTATCTCCTTGTCTCGAAACACATGAACGATCACCTTTTGGGCGCTCATAAGGAGGGGTACGCTTTCTTCCAGGCGACTGGAAATGTTTATAAACAATCCTAGGGATGAAACCGTAAGACGCATTCGCACTAAAAATCCTCCAACTTCCAAACCAGGTAATATACGTGCGGCACAGTCATAGGGCATCCGTTGGGCGAATATCTGGACAGCAAATACATGTATATGGCTTCTAAACATCCCAGTTAGATCATACCGGCCGTTTACCATAAATCGAGAAATTACAAATCAGATCTATACGAACCCGAAAAATGCCATGCATTTCCTCTTCGGTTCAAGAATAAGCACACCAGGATTCCGATCCTCCATGCATACCCTATTCATCCAGGCCTCTAAACTTGGATTAACTCTTATGATGGAAATTCTGCTCCGAAATCATGGGACCATGCTCCATATTTCATATATTAAAGTCGGCTGAAGAGTATTCGGTTTCACATGCCATAAATTTGACGTCGTGTGTGCCAAGCTGCTCATTTCATAAAAGTCACCAACGTCAAGGCTTGTGGAACGATGCATACGAGTGTAGTTAGTTCCTATCCCTTTATTAAGTGGTAATGAGGGTCAAGTGTCTAAAAGACACGAGAGACCGGCTGGAAAGGGATGGACGGAGTTGAGGAATCTCGGAGAAGAGGATACTTTTGGTGGGAATAGAAGCGGTAATGTTAATGAAAAGGGAATATGACATGCATGTTTGGAGTAAGCCATGAGGCATATACAGGGTGAGTTAGACCAGGGTCAGTAATTAAAGAATAGACAGTCTGGGAACTCATCTGAAAGATGAGAAGATTAAAATGGTGCGTATAATATACTATTTGCGAAGTAGGGCTATAACAATATAGCTAATAACACACTGTGCTTAAAAAAAGTGAATAGTATCTTCATCCAGCATGACTGACTTTCATCCATAAATATATCCGGCGGGCTTGTCAACGTCAACAATAATCCAATACCTCAATCGATTCAAAATTCAAAATTACAAATCAATCTCACAATCCTACAGCCTCCCAAACTTCTCCCCACTACAAGAGTAGATCTCAATCATACTAGTGCAACAAACCCTTCCATGAAAAAGCATCTCAGCTCAATTCACTTTCTCATCGTCAGATACATACCCTCATTCCGTCTGCCGTGAGCATTCGACTCGTTGAGCTTCAGCATCATTAATGAGTCTTTTAGTGCGGCCAACTCAAAATGAGGCCTGGGGAGTTGATGCACAGAAACAAGGTGTGGAAACCCAAATTTTATGAGTGAGAACGACCCCAGTTTTGTGTTCCAGTCTGCTGCTATTATATATATGTGGATCTGTGAGAAAAAGTAGGAATTATTGGATGAATACATGGTTGGTGGAAGTGGTGTGGTTATTCATGTATTAGAGTTAGCCTGAATATTGGAGTGAATGCTGGATGCTGATATCTAGATTTTTTGGGAAGATTTTGTGGAGTAGAACTTAACAAGGGAAGTGATTTCGAGGAGGTTAAATAATCATTAGAACATGATATATGAGGATTGTATTTAAGTAGAGATGATTCACAGATGATATTGATAGGGTATCTTGAACATGATGGAACTAGCTTAAGGATTCCAGAAAAGTCATCTACTTGAGTACAATTACTATTCACGGAGGAAGAAAAACTTTACTTTACTCTTGTTACTTCCGGCTTTGAATAGAAACAAGCAATCAATCCAATGTTTGCACAATTAACGGAAACTCCTTTGAATCGTAGAATGTGGTACTTCTATAGCAAACGAATTAGTTCTTTGACATCAGTATCTTTATTTGTGAATGCCCAAATTGCAAAAGGCTATCTGATCCACCTGCAAGAAGCCGACAAATCTCTAATCTTTGATTGATGTACAACCCCCAGTTTTATAGAAATATCATCCTCATACCCTCTGCCTTCCAAGTTCTTGCTAAGACCAAGCCCACACTCCCAAAAACCAAATCAAAATGAAGAACTTTTTCAATAAAATCCTCCACCGCAAAAATCCCTCAAATACTCTCTCCCCACCACCTCCACCTCCATCTCCATCTCCCAACCCAAGCTACAACCCCCAAGATTGGCTCCACCGCGCCCAAACTCTCGACTCCCACGACGCCATAAGAAATCTCCTCACGGAGATTTTCAGCGCACCAGAAAACTGGTGGCATGAATTCATTTCACATGGTGAAAATATCCTCCGGCCAAAATACAGACACTTGGAGAGAGGAGACGTGCCTAAGGATCGGAAAGAAGAGATGTGGGATATGTTTTTGCCGAGCCGGATGCAAGAATTAAGGAGATACTATGGGCGTGAGTTGAAGAGACGGTTTGAGAGTGGGAGAGAGAAGGTTATGGGGATGGGGGATGTTAGGAGGTGTGTTGATTGGATTGTGTTTTGTTTGGTGGAGTTGGGGGGGATGGGGTGTGAATGTGTTTGGTGAGGTTTGAGTTAGGGGGTGGGGAAGGGTGTAGGGAGAAATTGGTGAGGGTCTATAGGGGTTGTTTGGAGGGTTGAGAGGTTTGGGGTGTTAGTCTTTAGATCGTTTCAATGGGTCTGGTGGTTTCGACTGCTATTTTTGAATGACAATCCACTTTTGGATATAAAATTCTCTAATTTAGGGTTTACAATGTTCGGCATTGCAATCTGGAATCAGCCATTATTTTGAGCCTTGTTGTCTTCCTCCATATGCTCAATGAATTTCAGATGCTAGTCTTAACTCAAATGTTATATAAATCCAGATGATAAAGCTGCAATTGATCAAATGGAATTTTTCGAACGATTTTCAAATCTAGACTACACTACAAACTAGTAGGCAAAGATGCTTAAGAAAATGACTTCATGATCATCAAACTTTTTCTAGATAATATCGTAAGCCTTGATGCTATCAGTACTAAAGAAGCTCATTCGCTAAAGGGACTAACCCCTTTAATGTCATTTTAGCTCATATAAACTATAATTGGCATCATTTATAGATAGATCCTCATTGTAAGTGAGTTAACACATTATCAACACTATTTATTCCTCAGGATCTAGGGTTCTAGTCCAATTTATTCCTTCCATTCATAATAAAATAAAATAAATCCATATAGAAAGCTCGTTATCCGAATATAGATTTCGGATACTAGTGTCGTCGGAAAATATATCTTCTTCCTTCTAAGAGACGGGTGAGTTCTCTTCGATCTAGATTCTCACAGTATCAAATTTCCATTCTTAAAGTCATGCTTTAATCTCGACGGTAAAGTCTAACTCATGAATAAATTTGAAACCTACTTAGGGGAGAATTTATCGAATAGAGTACTTTAGTCGAAATTACTCCGTACTGTGTAGTAGATTGATGGATTCATAGGAATAGACTAGCAGAAACCACAGAGGAGGGCATTGATAGGTAATCAAACCATTGCTCCGCCAAAATCAATACAGTACACATCCGCAATATTTCGCAGGAAAAAATTAACGATATAACTCGTAAATTCGTAGGTATAGTACATCCTGTACATGGAAATGACGTGACTTCACCACTTTCTCGTCCCGCCTTTCCTATTTCTAATGCCCTAGTCACCGTCCTTCCAAGCTTTTACACAAGTTTTACTATGCAACTTCGTACAAGAATGGAAAGCCCATATCTTGAGATCCCTCCCATATCAATCACCAACGCCATGCCTTAATACGCCATCATGAATAAGTTGCACACGACGAGTCCTCATTTCCCGCCTTCACCCTTTCCTCGATCTATCAAAAACTCATTTAATCCACTCCAATACTTTTACGTTCCCGTCCCGAAGAAATACTCATCAAGCAAATTGATCCCCGCCGGTCCACCACCTGCCCCTACACCTCCAACCGTTGTTACATCCCCCAAGTTCTCTCCAAATCCCATATCAAACCCGCTAAAATCCCATTCATTCTCGCCTGGGCCTCCCATACCACCATGTCCTGGACCCGCATAATTCAAGAACCCAAGTCCAGGCGTATTTTCGAAATCAAAATTGTAAGCATTGCTGTTGCCACCAGTCCCATTGCTAGGATCATATTGATACATTTCGGAATTTTGGCTCTGACCTGGCACTGATGTGTATCCCTGCACTGGACTTTGTTGGGTAGGAAAGAGGTTTGGATCAAGGTTCATGTTATTGTCTAAATTACTAAATGGAGGTGAGACGGCGAAGTTTGGTGAAGGGATTCGTGGTGAATTGGCATCATTTCTATATGCATCAAATTCTGTCTTGACCGCATTATTCGAACCGGTGCTATTTCTTGAATGCGGTCTCTCATTGACAAAGCCACCCCTAGATTGTTTACTTCCAGAGGCCGCCCTAGAATGTCCTTTCGCGCCAGCTGGAGGAGGTTGAGGAGTAAAAAGGTCATTGAGACCCATGTCGAATTGAGGTTTTGGACGATTAGACTGCGGAGGTTTTCGAAGTCGAGAACTATTGACATTGAAGTAATCATCAGGTTGCGATTGTGAATGATGTTGGCCGCCTGGATGATGAGGACGTCTGGATTGAAGCCCCTGCTGAGCCCCGGAACCGAAACCAGTAGTAGACATGCACATCTGGACTGTAGCTTTCGACATGCGGTCAAAGGCATCTCGACATGCCTCGGCTGGAGGACATTTCTCGATGAGATCCCCAAGAACAGACGTTGCGGCCAGGATTGTGAAGTCAACTTCATCCATTGTCTAGAAAGATAATTAGTAACCATGTTCAGATTTGAGGAATAGAATAAGCCTACCAATCGACTTCTGACAACCTTAGAATGCCAAATAGCATACAAGAATGAAATCCCCGCCATGAACAAATGATGCGTCGCCAAGAAAGTATAATTGACCAGTCGCACTCTATGCAACTGTCTATATAATCTCAGTACTCTTTGCCCCGCCTCTGCGACCTTCAAAAAGACTCTTTCTTCATCTTCCCTCAGCTCTACATTAAGTATGCTGGGACTTTCCACCTCTTCACTCGTACTAAATTCTCCTTCAAACATCGGCGGTACACTCAAACTTTGTCTATACAACATGATGACACATTGCCAATAGTTGAGCTCCAGAAAGTCCGTGGAGAACTCGACACCCATCTCCCGTTTGGTAGGAGCTGACGTCTTCCACTCCCAGAGACGCTTATCGATATCGATACGCCAAGAACGGAAACTATCGAATTTCACCAGGAAAGGAGATGGCAGTTGCGTGTGCATAAAAGGATTACGCATATTCGCACCACCTGCCCGCGCATGCAATGCCTGTTGATGTTGTAAAACTTGTAAAATCTCAGACTGGAGCAATCTAAGGCGGAAATAATGATATGCCACGTGCTTGTAACTTGTTCCAACAACCTCAGGATCTTGTAAGCCAGCAGGGGTAATATATCTGTCGTCGAGCAGAGAGGGAAATTCCGTTGTAACCACTTGGTCGGTGATTCCAAATGGTCTCCCAACACACGTGGAAACAAGTCGATCAAACGAGTATGTGCACCACCACAATCTCCTCCTATAATCCCGAATATACTCACGACGACCTCGTTCTCGCATCGCACGTTCACGTTGTAACCTTGCAGTCTCCGTATCTTCCTTCTTGACCCCAGGCGCCTCCAAAATCGGAACTTCGATATCCTTTCCATCTTCATAATGCAAACCCAGATCGACTGCTAGCCGAACCGCTACTCCAATAATGTACCATAAACCAGGAGCCACAGGTCTTAGCAGCGCGAATCCAGCTAGAAGCAAAACAGCTTGAAGTTCCTCCAAGCCCCCACCAAAACCATCGACTCTATCGACTGAGGAGCTGAGACAAGCTTCAAGATGAACGATTGCTGAAGCGTGATATTCCTCAGGCTGACTTTGTTTTCCGCTAGTTGCGCCATTTGACTTTTGACCGTCGACATTCTTCCCCGCTCCTGATCGAACGCCTGTGTCGCCGAGGAAGATACCAGCACCAATCGCAAACACAATATTAAGCATATAGAGTTCTCGGGGTGTCCTAACTCTATTCTCTCCAGTTGCGTATGCCTCCTCAAACATTTTCATGAATTCTCCTCGATGTAATATAGGTATCTGTGGATTCGCATGCTCGAAATAGAAGTCCACCAATCTTTTTCCAACCTCCTTGTCAGGGAATGGCACTGGTTTAATTGTAGGTTTTGTATGCAGACCAAAGAATGAATCACGCATCGAAGTCCCCCCTTGGGCAGCAGCCTTCGAACTTCCAGGTGGTCGCGAAGGCCTAACACCGCTTGTATCACTAGCCGCGCCCGAGACGGAAGATCTCACCGCCGCAAACACCACTCTCGCAAATGATATACCGGAGGTCGAGCCCAAGTATCTCTTGTCTGAAGCTCCCTGGACGGAAACACTCTCAATATTCGACATCATTTTGTCTACCTTCTCGGATTCATCCTGCTTCTTATTCCATGTCACGTCGTCTTGCCTTTGCTTCCGCACAAGTGCCGTGTCTCCATTAAATACCGACCTGCCATCATCGCTAGGAGTCTGTACAGCCGCAGGATCTGTCCCTGGCCTTGGGGAGTGTTCAAGGACTTCGGCTGGCGCAAATGCGATATTATGTTGCAGTAGTAAGGATTCCAGGTGTGCTGTTCTTGTCTCCAAATAGTATACATAGCTGCCAAAGTCACGTATTAGCCTTCAATACCTCAATTAATCTTCATGACAAAAGGAACGTAAAGAAATTCACCTCCTAGGAATCTCTCTCTTGGTAATCGGATCATAGCCCACACATTTATGCCCCGCCTTCTCACAACTTGCACAACTGGGCAAATTCTGATCGCATCTATTCTTTCTCAATCGGCATCTATTGCAAGCGCTCACATTGCGAAAACTGCTGCTTTGTCCCGCCTTAGCACCCCCAATTCCCTCAGCCTTTACTAGTATTGGTTCCGCAGGCACAGTTTCATCTGATGTGATTCTCGGACTATCACTCTTTGCTACCGTAGCAGATGCATTAGAAGGCTCTGGGGAACTATGTCTTGCTCGTTTGTTTGGGTAACTACTTGAGTTCGCAGATGGGGAGTGGGGGTTCATCGTTCTAATTGTCTTCTCAACTTCGTCGGCAGCGCATCCGTGTGTATTTTTCCCGAGGTTGGAAAATGTCGAGGATTTACTCTGTTGTTATAAATCGAAGTCACGCATGCGACTGAGTATACTGGCCCGTATTACTATCTATTCTCTCTCATCCTGCTTCTTACTCAACCTCCGACTTTGCGATTGTGTAATGATAAATCTCAAAGTGATACCGCAGCTTTGTAATCTTTCGGTCCCTTGGCAAAAATCGTCAGATGTTTTGTTATCGCACTTCCAACAGAAGGGTTCTTTCCATTATTCACAGAATCAATAGATATCAAAGTATTGAATGAGAGCCGCGCCTTCCTCTATAATATGCGTGAAAACCTCATGAATTGAACATTTCATTGCATCTACTCGAGTACCTCAAAGGCCTAAGCCAGGGTAAAGATTTCCGCTAAATGTCATTGATAGATAGCCGATGGGGAAGAGCTGAATGATAAGAGCTTCGACCAATTGAACACATTTATTCAAGATTATCTTTTGTACACTAAAGGTGGGTGAAATAGTTTATCAGTATTGTTGACTCGATAGCATCAAGTAAAATCCTTTGGCACGGGATGTCTAGTTAAGAGTAAAGTTTGATTCCTTTAAAGAAAAGGGGCATCACATACAGTAAAGCTCAATCAAAAGAAGGGGTAAAATTGCACGTATCATTCATGTATGTATTCACAAAGTAAATTCAAAATAAAAATGTTTGAGAAAATTAAATTAACACTAAATAGCTCATGTCGTCCACAAATCTTAAGACTGCCTAAACGCCGGACCTCATGCCAGGCAAACCAAGACTATATGTTAATTCTCCAAGCCAGCCAAAAAGTTATCTGCAATTGAAATTGCATCCTGCGCCCCATCCATAGTAGGTAGCGCGATATTGATATCTCCCTTTTATCGAAACTCCCCCCATCCTGCGAGGAACAAAACCGTTTTCGCAAACACCCCATATCTGTGTCCTTCATAGCTCCAATTGCGCCCCCCAAAAAAGAAAACCCAAATATAAAATACCATCATCGTGATGTTATAGCGCTCAAAGGCATAGTGGGGATATCTTAACATCGAAACAAGAACCCCAAAGAAATGGCCCATGATGGCCTAAAATAATTTTTATACAGATGCCCTAAGAGGAGCAATCTTGGAGAATTGAAGGAAAGAAATTTCATAAGTCGTGAACCGATAACAATGATCAAAGTATCATCTAATTATCAGCAATCGTGTTCCTTAGCTCGGCGCCAGCGGCGATGCCAGTATCTGGAGCAAAATGATCAAGCATTTCGTCATTGAATGCTTGCTCCTGGTCTTCTTCGCTCTTCTCGTCAACATCCATTCTTCCACCCTTGTCAGTCATGTAGAGACTGATTATGGCACCGATCATTGCAATGATAGCACTGCACCACCAAGCAAGTCCAGAGTATCCTAAGTTGGCACCAGCCGACAAGAGGAATCCTGCGACGGTGGGTCCAAAGGCTCTGGAAATACTGGCTGTCGATGCTGCGACACCATTGATAGTTCCTAACATCAAAAGTGATGGTGCTGAATTAGTCAACAGAATAGCATTGCTTGGGTAAGTCATGGTTGAGAAAGTACATTTCCAGATGACAACCACATACAAGCCGACGACTTTAAGATTCTCCGGGAGCAAGACCAAGTAGGGTGTAACAATGTAGAGGATGGGATAGGAGATTGACATAGTTCTGAACAAAGTCAAAGCTCCAAGACGTCGAACAACAATTGGGAATAAGAAGATTGTAGCAATCATGGAATATAGCCCTTGAACCGAAAGAACCACTCCGACATCTGAGGAGCTCATGCCATATGTGCCGACAAATTTAAAAGGTAATTTAGGTTCTGGGAATGGTGGAGCACCCTCTTCTCTTTTGTAGGAAAGCATTGTTGGGAGCATGGAGTCGAAAGTCATCGTGTGGCTGGAAATCTCGGGTTAGTTACTCAATTCGTGTGCTTGTGCAGCAAAAACGTGGAGATGGTGGAACTTACTAAGCTAAAATACCATAACCGATAATATTGATGACGACCTGTCTCGTAAAAGCCTTCGTTGCTGCAGGTTTAGTTCTTGCAGGAACAACGAATTGGTCATGTGCATTCAAATCCAAGGGTTCCTGCGGGTCCTTGGAAGTCGCAGTTGATGAAAGTGTAGGTGAACCTTGGGTTGTTCGATATCCTGGTGGCTGATCCTCTGAATCACCAGCCAACAATGGAAGAATCTCGTCCGACTCTGCAACCTTCTCGCATCGACTATTCTTTGATTCGGCGCATCGTGTGAATTTGCTAATGATCCATTTTCCGGCTTCTAATCCGGGGTCCCGACGATATTTCTTTTCTGAATGCGTTTCCTCCAAAAATAAGAATCCGACAATTACTCCGAAAGTTACGACAACTGTACAAACGAGGTTGGGAAGCAGGTAAGGGAATTTTTCCCAAATCGATCCATGCTGAAATGTTCCTGGCCAATTGACTACGGGTCTCGCCAGTGCGCCTCCAAGGGATGGGCCTAATATGGATCTACAAATTGTAATATTAGCATAAAAATATTGAGAGCTGACAAGAGCTGCGAATTAGTTCAGACTTACCCGAGACACCAGACAAATGGCATGATCGTATAGGCGCGAGCTATGACTTGTCAGAACGAGGCTCCCAAACCCGAAATGATAGATCACTTACGCTGATGTTCCTTCACCGTCACCATCTCGGCTACGGTGGTCTGCAAAACGCCAATGTTTCTAGAAAAAGCAATTTATCAGAAATTATTGCCTCGAACAATAAAGGGAGAGACGGAAACATGGAAGCATACCCGTTCAAAAGACCGCCCAGCGCGCGTGCCAACAATGCTGTTGGCAAGTTGGGCGACAATCCAAAGATTAGCATACTCAAAGCCGTACCCGCAAGCCCGGTAAGCAGAACAGGTTTTCGTCCAATTTTATCGCTCAATCGACCCCAAGCCACTCCAGAGGAGAATTCTGCAAAAGCGAAAGCCGATGTGACCATGCCACAGTACATGAATACTTGGGCATCGTTGTCGGTGATGTGGAAATCCTTGACCATGAAATATATATAAGGGAAAATGGACATGAAAGCAATTGGTTCGCAGATTCGACATAGTGCTAGAGAATGGATTAGTGACTGTGCAATTGGACTAGTCATTGCCCTACAGCAATACAGGCCACAGTGAGACCACACAAACTTACCCAAGATTATCATCTGCTTCAAGGGAAATGGAGGGGTCTGCCTCCGCGCTCCCGTCTGTCCTGCCGCGGAATGCATGTCCGCTACCTCTCTATAGAGCTTCGATGAGAAGTCGAAAGGTCGGGTTGGTTGTTTTTCTATAGTATCGTAGTAGACTTTTAATTGTTTAGAACGGTTCGACGAGAAAGTGAAATTCTGAAAAGCTCGATGTTTCAAAGGGTGCGAGGAAGTTTTATATATTGTGATTCACAGGTTTTGCTTTTATGTTGTGCAATCAAACTTTATATGATTGAATTGGATAGATGCATGGGGAAATGGATAGTTAGGGGAAAAAAGCAAAAAAAAAAGGCGCAGCAGGCCTTTTGCTTTATTATGAAAGAAGAAAATAACACAGTTGTAATAAAATGATGAGTGAGTACCAAGGTAAGAAATATGTAGCTGACCGCTGGATGGAGACCTTTAGAAGTATAATCAGATGCAGTGGGTAGCTGCGGCACCGACTTTAATACAATTCTGATTATGCTATTTCATTTCATCAGGCGGTGACGAGGGTAGAGAACCTGCTCTATTATTACAGTCGTGGCTCATTCCCTCCCATGCTAAGGCCATGTTGAGCGTTGTCTCTATGGGGCGTATACAGGTTTGGGCCTCTGTGCTAGAGTAGAAGCCGTGTATCTGACGGTACTACCGTATCCACCACGCTCCGGCATTTGTCTCCGTGACCCGTTGGGCTAAAGATGAGGGAGAATTTAAAGAGGGACGATTTATTCAGATATTGTTTGCAGGCCACTACGGAGGACTCACATGGAGGGAACCCTGCCCTGTCACGACTTGGAAGTTGGGTGGATTAGGTCTTGGGTCCAGTAGTATCGTGGATCAGGGCAATAAGATGATACTGCGTCGACTAATTCGCAGGGGCCTATTTTTTTTCTTCTCTCTTTTTTTTTCTTTTTCTTTTTCTTTTTTTCATCTAATTTTTTTCTTTTTTCTTTTTACTTGCGGCAGCGGTGTGAATGGTGGATGAAAATATAAATATATAAAAATACTTAAACTTGAGTAATATTATTATATTATATACTTAAAAGGTTGTTGTAGTTATATCAAAATAGGCATGAGATTTTTTATAGATATATACATACGATATACAAGGGGAAATTCCAGATGGAAGGATGCAGAGCTTCCAAGGTTGTCAAAGGGAAACGATATGATGTTATCATTGTTATATGCACTGTGTTATTGGGTGAAGATCACCCCGGATAGTGCCTCGACAAGGCAGGGGACAGAACCTAGACAGGTCATCAAGGCTGTGGTGTCTGCTGTAGTCATGGCCGGAAACGTGTGATAACCGTATTGTGTTATTCCAACTTGTACTCAACATACAGTAATCTCCAAGGGCATAGATGCCCTTGGATGATACTCTAACCTTCAGCTTTCCCCTCGTGTTCGCTTTTGGTATTCCGACATTGCCAAGCTTATCCAAAAGAGGCACTTAATGCGATGTTTAAGCCTATAAAGACTCATATGTTTCATTCATCGGCAATGCTTTGCTGTAGAAGTCCAAAGTCGGAATATACGTTGGTATAGCCTTTCCAAAGTAAGACGTCTGAGTGGTTAGTGCGTGTAATCATAAGGTGCCGGGATTTGCTTCCAGGTCGATTATTTCCTCATGTAAACTTTGAGTCGCAATAGAAGGCGCTGAGCGGAAACACCCACCCAGCCTTAACGTTCCAACTCACGACAGCTGATGCGAATGACATTCCGAAGAGTCCAGGTGCCGCTCTCCTCCAGGTTTCTTTCAGGGCTCATTCTTCCGTGAAAAGCTTATTGCAGTGCCTGCTCTCCTGGTCATATATCGAGGTGGCAGAATTAGCCTTAATAATGTGTTGCGGGCAGCTACATTATTCGCGCGGTTTCTACACTTCTCTTGCATTTCCAATTTTCTATATTTTCGAACATTACGAACATTAATCATTAGGCCACTGATACCACCCTGTATTTACCCACGCCATTTCAACGGCTAAAACGTCAGCATGTGCTGGCGAGGCGCCGAAATTTAACTAATCCCGAAGATCAAAAACACCATGTGCAAAATTATTATTAGTATACTATGTCGATTACTGTATTTTGACTTACAGGCGGCTCTGATACTGTAGCTCATCGCAATTGCCCCCTCAGAACGCTGTTACAGGTACAACTACGGGAAGTGGTTTGTGTTACATTGAAACTAGAAATACTGGGATAAGGCATGGCCACCCTGCCTGCTGAAAAGACAAAGACTTGGTTTGCCCGAATTTATTGGCTAGTACTGGGGGTCTTGTCCCGAGACCAGAGCAGTGGAAAATGAGCCCTGTACTGGGCCCATGTCGACTCTTTGGTTAGCTTCTGTTTAGGATTTTGTGCCTCCCGCCAGCTAGAGAACATCCTCGGATGTTAAGAATTCATTGAAAGATTAGCAGACCAGCCAGCCGGCCTTGCTGATCAAATGACTTTTATTATTTTCGTTTAGAGAATTAGTCAAAACTAGTCAGGGGGAGTCTACCGCATTACCTAAGGGAGCGGAAAATACCTAAAAGGCTGATTCTTGGGATGATGGGGTGATGGGATGATGGGATCCCCATGGATTAAAATACATAAAAAAGACAGGGCATGGGGTATGAAGGAACGGTAACATAAGTAAGATACCCGCTAGCTATCCCTTGTAGCACAGCTTGCCCGCTTACTCGATCGGAGGGGTTTTCGTATTTATACCGTCGAAATGTAGCTCTTACAGATACCTATCCTCGGTAAAAGGCACAGGTGATCTGACGCCGATTCTAAGCAGATGTGGTAGGATTATTAAATAGGTTGAAGAAATTGGTATCTTGGCTAAGCAGTAACGCAATGCTTGATATATTCAAGGCACCGATAATCGATCACCGAGTCATACATAGGTATGTGTCCCTTAAGCCTCATGTTGTTGAAGGGTTCAATAGCCATATTAAGCGTAAGCTGCGTTTAGTAACTTTGGCCGTTGTAGAGAAGTTGGTATATGCCAGTTGTAAGTAAGGTAACCAAAAAGGTGCTTTTCCATCTTCTTTTAGCTCAACTCATGATACCTATTACAGTAAGTGGCCGAATTCTCGTGTAAATTGGAACACGCTGCAAGTAGCACGATAGCAAAACTCGGATTTATTCTCCGAGCAAGCCTTTCCATCAATAATGGGTCAAGGATCGGGTCTCTTACAGAGGACCGTTGGAGCCGCGGAATCAAAGGGCATAGGAACATGGATTAGAGAAGAAATGAAAGCTTCGAAAAGTTCCATTCAAGATCCATACCAAAGGAAATGAACCTTGGCATCTTCGCGTCCTTAAAAGTGTCTAGGGATCATAAGATGGAGCCAAATGATTCAATCAACAAGGTGAGCCAGGCCAGTTTTAAAATGGGTCAAACAGCAAGCAGAGATCAACAATTGGGTCGATTGGCTACGTCGAAATCAATTTGCAGGAAGAAAAACGGTCCTTGCCACGTTTTTGCTATAGCACCCCATTTTTGCGATGGCGATCATTATAGGGACCTCGTAGCTGGGAAGTTTGGATGGAAGGGTTCAAGAATTCCCAGATCCAAGGAGGTTTAGCCTTGGTGGAGCACCCTCAGCTGCATTTTTAAGATGAAAGGGGCTCAAGCAAAAGCAGTTTGTAACTAATGATCTAGCGACATGGACCGGAAAAGATAATGAATGTGCTTGTTCCCAGATCGTAAAAGGAAACAGACCCAGGTGGCTTGATTGGTGTCAGAAAGTTTCGCGGAAGTTGTTCCTGAAGCCGCAGGACGCAATTCCGAACGAATGATATTATGTATTGAATCAGTTACCATCCAATTTTTTTCTTTTCTAGTGGCGTGGTTTAATATCTGGTGTGGTCGTGCAAACTTTGACTGTGCCCACTGCCTATCTCGGACATTTTCTTGACGCCTGCCGGTGCAGGAAAGTTGTTCCGGGCTTCCCATTTCCTTAGCTTTTTCAAGTCAGTGTTACACAAACAACTCACGTACGTGTACACGCATTTTTGACGCCGGTTGATCGATGGGGTCGAAATTTTCAAGTAGCCGCGTGGTAAAATTCTAGAAGGAAAAGAAATGATCCAATACTGTCTTTCTATGGATCGATCCATCGTTCCACAGGATGATAATACGTTCGGGCTCTTCCTAACCCTGCTGCTGTCTCACAACTCCAATCCTCTTCACCTTATATCGCAAAGTATCGCCTAGTGAACAACAACGCTGTTCCCTGAACAATAAAGAACGATTTTCAATTCTCATCCACATTCAACTGCCGAAATCAATATCTGTGTAACTAACTTTCTACTTTATTTGAACAGGCGAGTGGAACTATCATCATCAATCACAATACAGATTGATACACCGCCTGTTGTAAGTTCTAGTTCCTCGCGATAGGATTCCTGTTCTATGTTATTCCAAACACATACTCAAGCACGCCACGATCCAAGCGGCTGTTTTGATTTGACGGTAGCTGCGCTTTGCGGGATTTCCAGCGTCGAATCCGGTGGCACTGTCTGTATGTGTACTCATATTTTCTAAATACTTCATTTGTCCATGTTGCGTTTTGGGGACATCACCTAATTTTCGGAAATATATTTTCGATATCGTTCTGCTACGTGATTAGTCTAAATTATTTTTTTTTCCTCGGACACAAAAGGGAAATCCTAGGACCCGCGGCCACCACTTTTGGGAAGGATCTTGGGAACGTGACCTTCTACAGACCTACTTCACTGCTGCAATGCTGCACAATATATGAAATGAATCTGAGATTTGTCGCGTGGTACTTAGGCTTTGAAGTCAAAATCATAAATATCCACTCAAAAGATCTACGTGTGTCCTTCATTTCTTGCCAATCAAAGGAATATTCCAATGTTTGGGGAATCTTACAAAACTAAAAAAAATTCCTTTCATGGGTTCAGGAAGTCTCCCGGAGCATCGTCATGCGTTATGAGTCGCGGCGGCTACGCACATTTGCAGCCCACATCATCAGCAGAACCGAAAATTTCAATCGGTGGATTCTGATACGTCAAGGCGTTGTTGAACGTGTGCAATCTTAGCTAAATGGCATTCCCGACATCGCGTTGAGATGCAACACGAGGAGATAATTGACAACCAATTGGGCATCTCAGGTATTTGAAGCATGCGCTGGTTAATCTCGTTTGGATATTGGCTATATTACCCTGTTCATATAGTGATATCATATGCAAAATGTACCTTTGTACCTATACACTGGAAAGTTCATGCACTTCAATCTCTACAAATTTGGATGGCTTGCAGATGCAAGATGCACTCACTAGTTGCACTGCATTTACCCATGCATTAGCATGTAGATTGCATATGCATCGAAGGTCACTTCTCCCGCGCTCTCTTTTCAGCCCCGTGTCACAACCACGAATTTGCACCATATTGGCTAGAATTGGACCCGAAAATGGGGAATTGGAGTACGATGTAAACAAGGTTGGGCGTCATTTTCATGGAATTATCGGTAGTAAACAATTTTTCTGGCATATTTACAACTATATTTCCGTCTCTTACTGAATTGAAATCCGCTAGAATGGGCCAATTTCTCCGTGCAGAGTGGCGCTTTTCATCGCCCTTGGTCAGACGGGTCATTGCTGGGTGCACCAGGCCAAATAGCTTGGAGAGTTGTCCTCGCCTCTTTCTCGCCAGGCTCTTTATCCGAAGTCTGGCATGACCCCCAAAACGCAAGTAACCGTTGCAGCGGATGGGCACAGCCTTACAGAAATCTTTTGAGCACACCGCACGTCATACTTATGGTTACAAATTATATCGAGTTCATCAATGATCTTGAGCCAATCATAACTTGACCGCAAGGGCTGCACTCTTCTCACCGAGTTCTTGACCGCACTCACGTCTCAGCGCCTTACTCAAACTTTAATATAGCACCTTAGTATGTAGTGGGGGTATCATATGTGGTGTTTCATGGGCAAATTTTAGTCTCAAATATGGCTCGGAAGAATGATCCCATCCTTCCCCACCTGCATCGAAAGATGATTTTGTATGACAGCACAAGAGAAAAGGTATGCACCAACTCAAGTGATGTATTCAAGGACCGGTAACGGGATTCCCTGGAGATCCTCAATCTTGTATCACACGATATTTTATAATTTCTCCCGCAACATGCCGCATACAACACTACTAGGCATCGGGCTCGTTGGAAATGGACGAAAATGGACAGAAATGAGGATCATATGATTTTCACCTACAATCTGCAAGGCTGAGCACACCAATACAGTAGCGGCTTAAGGCTTGCCCTGCATGAAGGATGCTCATCATATCAACATTTACATTGACGCCCATGCAGTAATGGGAGAATTGGGCAATATCGTAATTGCAATTCCGGCGGCATAAGTGGTAGGTATGAAAATTAATAGCCAAGGGAATAATGAAATGATTTCTTTGGGCTAAATCCCCGACAAGTCTTCTTTCTCACACTTTTCTTACGTTCTGATGGACGGCTAACGTAGTATTGTAAGCAAGGTCCATTTCTAATCAATTTAATAGCAGGCTGGAAATCTTCATAGTCACGTGATAATCATGTCAAAATTTGCATGCCCAGCTGTGTGACTAATCATAAACTGTGAGCCTGAGGCAAAAGTCCGGAAAGCGGATTTACCACAGTGTTCCATCGCTCCATCCTTGAAAAGGACTGCATCATTCAGCATTTGGCGGGGCAATCAGCAGCCTAGAACCACCAAAAGAGTCATAGAAAACCTCTCAAGACACTAATTGATCAATATTTGTCAATATCACCATACAAGGAAATATTTTTTCAATAAATCATTCCATCATCCGATATTGATGAAAATATAGTTTCTTCATCGGCTCATTCCTTTCAATAGTCCAGGGTCGGTCCATCACAGCGGTAACTAAACTGGTAAGCCGAATAGCTAGTACGCATCAGTCAACATGGCAAAAAAGCAAGCTGCTGGGGAGAATAGCAGAAAGGCAGCAGGAAACGCCAAGAAAGCTGAAGTCGCCGCGGCGAAAGCGGCAGTTGAGAACAATAAAAAGGCTCAAGTAGAGGCCGAGGAATGGAGTAAGGGAGCAAAGAGCAATTCAAAGGCGTGAGTCCGAATGGCTGATTTCATCTTAAGCTACCCTGCACATCACCCGACCAATGTGCTAACGTAGGATTGAACGATAGTGAAACTGCAGCTGCCAAAAAAGCAGAAGCAGATCGGAAAAAAGCAGAAAAGGAAGCTTTGTTGAAGGCTGAGGAAGCTGATGCTCCTTCTGGTCCGAAGAATTCGAAGAAAGCCGAAAAGAAGCCTGCCGTTAAAAGGGGTCTCGACCTATCACAACTTGACGATTCCCCTACTAGTGCTAGCCCAACGTCTGCTTTGAATGCTTCCGGTATCGATAACGCGTTGGATGCATTGGCATTGACATCAAACACGAAGGAAAAGGTTGACAGACATCCAGAAAGGAGGTTTAAGGCTGCTTATGCGGAATTCGAAGAAAGGAGGTTGGCCGAAATGGATCAGGATGGTAGCGGAGCGGGACTAAGGAAGAACCAAAGGCAAGAGAGGATCAGGAAAGAGTTTGAGAAGAGTCCTTTGAATCCTTTTAACCAGGTCACCGGAAACTATGATTCAACAAAGGACGAGTTGGAAGAGATTAGGCAGGGCGTTAAAGCCAATGCCGAGTCAAGGCTAGCAGGCAACTAGCTAGTTCTAAGCTTGTGGTTGTCATGTGTGCGGCGACTTGCTAGCCAAAACTATCGTGGGTTTGGGCTTTTTGGCGATTAAAACGATACCAGCAATGCAGGCAAGCACCCAGTAATGGTAGAGAGAGAATGAATGATATCCATGATTACATGCAAATTCACTCGTGCGACTAACCGTATTTGAAACAAAAATAGACCAGGAAGTAATGTGCAAATGGCACTGATGTTTCTCAAACCCGTGAATAACCTCCTGAACTTTAAGCCATGGCAATAATAACTTCACCGCTTTCACCTCATACCAAGCTCTGGATCACAAGCCAGAAACACAACATAGTCCAAGTATAACAATAACAATGGCGCCACAACAATTATCAACTTTACCTACGGTCCGAAAACAAAATTTACTTGTAGAATTGTCCGTTGATCCACTCTTTCTACATACAGAAACCAACCATGCTAATATATGAATCCACCAACTCAGTTCAAGTCTAAAATACGCATGTCCGCATGGCGTGTTCATGAGCCTCACTCCAGGCGACTCCACCCTCTGGTCCGGCGTCCTCTTCGTACGGAAAGGTAAATCTAAGTCTCACGCCATCCGATCTGCCACTCCATGCATCCTGCTCGCGCGGAGGCGGCTTCGAAATAGTCATGTTAGATCTCAACTAACCTGCCTTGTTGTGTCTTATACTAGGCCCATATGCGCCTTCAGTCCTGCGCTTCCATATCTCGTTTCCTCCGCAGTATCCAGCTCTGCCGCCTCTGGTGACTTTCTCGACGGACATTTTTCATCCGCTTATCACGCCGCTTACGACGTATATGTATAGTACGGATACGCAGTCTGATGGCACAGTGAGTGCGACGGATGAGGAGAGGTTACCGCCTGGAGGGTTCTCGCTGAGAGATGGATTTCCGGCTTGGTTTGGGAGGAGAAGTAGGAGGAGTGTTGAACAGAGGACTCCGACGAAGCCGGATGGAAGCACGACCGGGAGTATAGCTATGAGTAGTCCGGGGAGTGGTATTTCGTCACCGGGCAAAACGGCAGATGGTATAAGGGTAGGGGTTTATGAGGTTTTGAGATATCTTAGGAGGACTTTTGATGATGAGCTCGTGCTAGACAAGGTACCTTTGGAGGCGGCTGGTAATCCTGGCGCTTGGCACGCGTGGAAGTCGTATCGCATCAAGATTGGCAAGATGACTGCAGAGAAGAAAGATCCCGATTTGAAAGATCCGACATCACCTATAGTAGCACGCGCACCAGGAGAATGGAATTGGGATGGTGTATGGGAAGCAAGAGTTAAGAAGGGCATCGAGGCCAGTATAGCAGACACAGTACTATATGGTTTCGGGGCAGATGATTTGATACAGTTTCTGAATTTTGACAAGGAGAAGGTTGAGCAAATCACAGAGCAGATCAAGGAGAGTGCACATGCTCTGGAGCCACAACGAAGGAGCGTGGCATGATATCAGAGAACATCATGGACATTTCAGCATTTTTGTGCGGTTCAGCATGTTCTATGGACTATTGTTTCTAGCATTGATACCCCCAGTTCACCCAATATGACTTTTAATTCTTCTTTATGTCTTGATCTGGAATTGGCGTTTGGGTACGTACAAAAGGAAAATTTCGGACGGTTTGGGGTATACATATCCGGTATTCATACATTTGTCAAGTGATTGTCTTCACACAACACGGTAGCCATGCTCGCAATTAAGAATCTATGAATCGCTAACATTCAAATTCTGCGAAGGTAAATTCTCGGCAGCGCATACGAAGTAGTCTGTTTTTTTTTCCTTTATCTTCAACTATGGAAACATCGTAGACGGGTTCAGATACAGTAAGGGATTGTTGGTTTGATAAAGAAGATAGACTTGCACCATGTTCAGCCTCATGCTCATGAAGAAGACTAGATGCGGTTCAGTAGACCATCTAGTCACCTCCTGCTGCGACATCCAGGGAGACGCAGAGTGAAATTATTCATTTCATATTAAACTGAGTAATACAACATGCGTTTTCATGGGCGCTTCTCCTTTCAGCTACATTTTACCAGTGCTTGTAATATATGGGAGGGGCAGGCAATGTCCATTCTAGCACTTGAACCATGGGTATGGAAGACCATTAAATAGACTAGGTCCTGACAGATCTTTTGATGTTCGTATTTGTGCATTCGGATTGCGGACTTGTTTTAACTCAGAACTCGAAAGTCATGTGTTGAGAAATATTATGGAAGTTTTTCTGGCGTTTTAAGCAGAACTCTTTTGGGTTTATTTTAGAGTGAAGGCGAGGGAATTCTATTTCACTGTTGTAAGATTGGAAACCCCTTTCGCGTTTTATGGAATAAATGATCACTTTCCCATATATCATCTCTTAACCTTCTATTTCTTAGATTTTGTGGGTTTGAGGACTTCTGACATTTGAATGTTCAAATACATTCACATTCAAATGTTGATTTTCGTCAAGCTCCTGAAGATTCGTCTGACTTTTACTAATAAAGTTCCTATTGCTCCTTCCTTTACAAAAATGGAAGTATCGTTCTTTTCAAAAGGTTCATAAAAGAGCCATACCTTCCTGTTCCAAATGTTATTGTCACAGTAGGATCTTTCGGTCTTCAAAAAATCGTTCCCTTCAACAACATTACTGTTTCAAATTTCTTTTGGCTATGATTACAAAATCTTTTTCTCCCATTGGCGCACTTTTAATAGTGCCAATCGTTATTCTACTATCTGTTGTATTAATTGCATTGAAGGCTGGCAGTATTTGGAGGTGGATCGTTAGTTGTTGCCATTGGCCTCGGAGGGCTTTTCATTCTTCCAGATTGATTCGGAAATCCAAAAGTCGACTTTCAAGCTTTGACAATATTTACGACGACTCCTGGAGCGATTTGGAGACTACGAGGTCGGGCGGTTCAAGCTTTGTCAGTAGAGTCTCTAGATTAGACACTTTTATCGTCCCACCATTAGAGACACATTCAACAAGCTCATTATGGAACACCCCAACTCAAACCGCCTGGAGATTTATGAACCCGAGGAGCCCGCACCGCTACGAATCATCAAGCGTAGCCAGACCGTCGCCGGTCGCCCTTCGAGCTCCGGATTTGGAGGCGCAGACGAGTGGGGAGTTTTTGAATCCACGTTCGTCAATGAAGACGAAGGAAGCCCACCAATAGCAGCGAACAGACCTTTAGGACCTTTGACTATACATAAGATAAGGAGAGGCAGGGGGAAGGGCCGGGGCAGCATTTTGGGCGACAGCTTGTCTATAAAGGTTGTGGATGTTGAGAAGCAGGGTACAACCAAAGAAAGAATCATACTATTAACCTAAGCTGATTCTCGCAGTTTACCCTGAATTTCCAAAAGATGATTTTGACCTTACGCCTAAAGCTACTCGTCAGCCAGAGCGTGCCGTAAGTGCGGGTAAATTTTTGAGGACCGAATTACATCGTGGCAGTTCTGAAAACGACGTAAACAGGTATCCCATTCAACAGCCTTTGGATGGATCTCCTGAGATACCTAAGAGAAAGCATTCTAAATCCAAATACTCTCTTTTAAGAGCATTCGGCGGTAAGCGTAGCGACGATTTGAATTGTAAAGCTCTCGGTAGAAGCGATTCTTCAGCTTCAACTAGGACAATGAAATCCCAGAATACTCTTCTCCGTAGGCTCTCCCACAGGAAGTCTACAGCGTCTACAATTCAGTCAATCGCTTCCTCAGTACCGTCAAGTTTTGGGACTGTGGAGCTAACTCATCCTTTTGACACAAATAGTCAAGAGATTATTGATGCTACGGTCAGTCCAAGAGAATGTTCATACTACGATGGAACAGTTATAATCTCTAGCCCTCCAACACCCACACTCGGCTCAAGTAGGGACGATAATCTGGTTCTATGCCCACAAATTTCCGTCACTCCGGAGAGCGCTAGTGTGAATGCGGGTGTTTGCACACTATGGGCTGCGGTCGAAATCACAGGCGTACTTCGAAGAGCTGACGGTACATCGACTTCAGATGATGCGGGTCGTACTTATAGCACACAAAACCTTACTCCACGTTGCTTAGGTAGGTAAAAGAGCCTCATAATCCTTTGGCAGTATTTTTACTAATAGTTCTAGACCTTAGAAGTTATGGCAGTCTCCATAATATTGCTGTTGAATTCCAACCAGGGCCAGATTGCATTATAGTCGACCAGCCAGAGGATACCTTTCAAGCGAAGACCATTCGGGTGAGTGAGACTCATCTTATGTTGGTCAAGATTCGATTGAGCGAAGTCAAGGTTTCGGTTTCGCATGCAAAGGAAAAGTCATCGGATGAACTGATCGAAAATCTAAATGAGATCCTGGGAGACATCAGCACTCAGTATCTAACTGTAAAACTTAACTATCGGCATTCAGCATTCTTGAATTTAAGACAGCAGGCTGTCGAAGGAGAGTTCAGGCTTTTGCCGCAGCACACACTGTTGGAGACGAAAGCTACAGCATCAATTAAGCGCCACAATCCAGCGTCCGCTTGGTCACCAAGAAACTCCGGTGCTATGAATTCAGCGGTAGGAGGCTCTGCGCTCACTAAGATTATCGAGAAGCACTTTTCAGCCGAGAAGTCCAGGGAAGCACTCCAGAAACTTGCGGATGATAGAACAACGATTCCATATCCCCGGAGGACATATGGACACTCTTCCGATAAAGAAAATCGGAAATCTACCGCCAGCCCATTATCATACATAGATCCGAGTAATAGTTTACTTTCCCATTCATTTTCTATGACCGCCATTTCAAATTTTAACGCTCGAGGTAGTCCTGTTCCAAAACGACTGGTCTCACCTTACGATCATCCATTGGACATGGTGGATGGTGAAATGGATCCGGCTCGGAAGATTTGGTCACAAATGCGAAGAACCTCTCGACCGGCCCGTAAACATCCGCGGGCTAGCATCAGCGATGGAAATTACTTTAGTGCAGATCAAGACGCGCTATTTGATTGTACTCCACGATATGGAGGCAGCTTAAGAAGTCCGAACACCTCGCTTTTTGAACCGCCTGATAGTCATTTCGATACGTCGCTTGAAGTAACACCAAAAGCGAAGCAAAATCGAGCCTCAAGAGGCAAAAGTACTAGTACCGTAATCGACGATAATAGAAACCAACTGATGGAGGTAGCATTGAGAAACAAGAGGAGTGTGGGACAGGAAACCCTGAGAAGCATGGTACCTAGCACACATAGTGGCAAAGGCTTTGGAATTGGCCGGCAGGGTGGTGTTATGGGGGCAGTAGCGGGAGTAGGGCTAGCAGGTAGGAATTGGGGGCAGTGGTTACCTTGGGGAGGGGGCGAGTAACGATGGGTTGGTCAAAATGCACTTTCATTGTTTAATCTTCGTTGGACATTCAAGATGGCCAAGATAGTTGTATTGTTAGACTTTTTATAGGGTTCTCTCGCTAGGTTTTTTATGATAATTAATGTCTTCTTTCATGAATGCATTCATATACGGATTACTAATACATATCAAAGTTTTTAAAATTGAATATCCATTTTGGTACAACCATTAAAATATTCACCTCTGATAGTAACCATAACATACTTTAATATCCTAGTTCAGATTTAATAGTGAAATCATCTCGAGACTGGAATTCCTCATATTGTCACTTCGGATATCTTAACTCAAATATAACAATCAAAAAGACATACTCTTTCGTGTTAGATGCGTCAGATTTTACTTTGCGTTTGAGGTTACGTTGATTGTGCACATCTGGATCTGTTCGGGTTCTCGTCATGGCGCCGCTTCCTCGCGCTATCTGGCAGTTTGTCTCTCATAACTAGGTTATAGTATAAGAAAGTTGGAATTATAAACCATATATATAGAGGTTTTTAACTAATCAATCATGTAACCTTTTATAATTAAATATAAAAGAAAAGCTTTTGTTTCTTCTTTTTACAATAATCAACTTTCCATATATATATATTTGAACTTATATAATATCAACTTCAAAATTATTGTGAATCTTGTTTTCTTCATAAATAATGTATTACGATGTAATCTAATCAGCTTTCTCCTCCAATTCCCCCTCACAACGTGCTATCGGGACGCACGTATCTCGACCTACTACTTTTACAATAGGGCTATATTTTGGATATCAGGAGAGATAGTTGAGAATAGTGAAGAATAGGTGGAGCACTAATCAGAGGGTGGAACATGTGATATCATGAGAAGTGGGAGAGTGATGATAGGAGGGTTCTTTTTCGTATCTTTCTCGGTTGTTTCTGCAGTGGGGTTCGAGGAATCATTCTATGTATTGTATTGTATTATTGTATTGCATTAAAGTATGTGAGGACTAGATTCTGTTTCTGGTATTAGTGAGACTAACTATTGGCCCTTGGATTGGCTGTTTATGTAGTAATTTACCGTTTTGGTTCCATGAATATAGTAATGATAATTTAATTATGAATTGACATACTCAGGTCATAAATTTCCGCGCCCCCACAGGCAGTCGAATTATGCATTTGCTAAATTGGGTTGTGGTATATTTCGCTATAAAAGACTAGATGTCTGTGTAGTCGTCTATATACCGGTTTCCATACGTAGTCTGTGTCTGAGTATGATGGGCTGCTAATAGTTAATATTATCTCAAATATTGTGGCTGATTGTTAGCATTGTCTTCGCGCGCTTAGCGTCTCTGCAGAGTATTATGGTCACTTCTGTTGCGGCATGACTGTTGTTATCACTGTGTAAGTAATAACGACGAAAAGACTAATGTTAACTTGTGTGTGTTGTTTCTGTTCCATATCTTAGCCTCTTGGGCATTACTGGCTTCGATAAATTTAGCTCCGGCATATCATTATGTTGCATATATTAGAAGCCTCGTCATTGCTAGCTTCGGTACTCCGTATTGAAGTGGCATCATTGGGTTGCCCGAATTTTAAACAGAACACATTAGCCTCTCTCATGTGCAGCTCTAGGAAACCAAGGATGGTGTTAGATGGGCATGAGATCGTTAGTAAATTGCATTTATTTTTGGTCAAGCATGAAAGGAGAGTTGGTAGGAGATACATGTATTGCTGGACTCTAATAGGGTGATTTTAGATCTAGAAATTGAGTAACCCGCCATACCCAAAGGTAATAGGATATTGCATCAAGGTATTCAACAATTTGAGACATTTTGAGATAAATAATCCTGAAACGCCTGTGACTTTTAACATAAAGAAATCTAAAGTCCCACGCTAATTATCACCCTAGAGCAAATCAATCTCAATATCTCCAGTTCCAGGAATAGAGTGGTGTGAGTACAAAGTGGATGACACTAGTACTAGATAATGACGCCATTTAATTTAAAGCAGAACTTTAGTTGCGGACTAACTGCATCTAGTCAAATTAGGTCAATAATCAAGCGATCATTTAGGCGAATTTAGTTCCTTGACAGGTGAATTAGTGCTCTTGGAGATAAATATTTCTTGGATGTCGGAGACATTTAAAAGGGGTTTGCTGGTGGATTTCGGACTGATACTCAGGGCCTATGCTATTTATACTTTTTTTTAGGCAATATTAAGCGTTGGTTGCGATGGAACATCCAGAAGAAAGAAGATTTATGATGTATATGTGATACAGGGACATAATAATTTTTTTTCTATGTCTAGTTCGTGCTATGAAGGGGATTTGGGTGAGGAGAAGGAGCTCGCAGTTTAGATGGGTATATTACTTATTGAATTTCACAAGGAATGTGGTATCGTATTGAATCAAGTGCAGATAATATTTTACAACATCCTTCCATCCTGTTCTTATGACTATGAAATTAGAGGTAGTATATAGAAAGAACCAAATGATATACTACCCACCCGAGCTAGAATAAGATTTTACTTCGCAACAGAGGCGTTGATGAATTTCTATTAGCTCTTCTAACTCTTGGGTAATTAAAGTGATGACGTAGCGATCAGGAGAGACAAAACCTAGACGCTATCGGATACATGGATATTTAAAGAAGATGTAAAAGTAATATGTACAAGACCTTACGATGTAGCCTGCAGGTTTAGACTTATGAATCTTTTTGGAGGTGCAATGACGTTATTCTGGTGAATCTGGACTTGTATACATACAATCTAAGGGAAGTGAATAGTGATATATATGCGACTAGGCGGCCATTGGATGCATGAGAGGTGATGAGATTAGACGAAGTAGACGAATGAAAGTGTAATCATTGTAAGAATGGGAATGAATCATGAAGTAGTACAGTTACGCAACTAATATATGAATATAATATGGGCTGATTCAAGTAGTGAATTAAGAAAGTTAGTAGCACTGGAGTCAAATCAGTCAGCTCACTTTATATCCTGAGAGCTTTGAGATACTTCAAGAACGCTCTTTCAACGGACCCTGGGTTCTTTCTCTATAAAAGAACCACCTCGTCTCTGTAAAATTTCAACCAAGCAGGCTTCCCAAAACTCAAGCCATCCAAGTCATAAACTGAAAATTCTACTACACAATCAGTAAGATAGTTTCTTATATAGCGTCGACATCTTTTGAATATATGCTGATATGCAGTATTTAGTGAAAGTCAAGCATTTGCTCTCTGTCAGGGCCTTCAGACAGCGTTTGATACGCCCTCAGCCCGGTAAAAAGAGAAAACATGTCCCGAATGTGGAAACAATTCTGCCTGACATAGATTCCCAAGTACCAATTGATGCTCCTACCGGCCCTACTTTCACAGTCTTCCCAAATCTCCCTCTCGAGTTGCAACGCAAGATATGGGAATTTGCAGCCACCACTCATCCTCGAGTTATTGAAGTTCATTCCCGAAATAAAGTAAATAAGTATAAGCGAATGCCTTATTTCCTGATAGACTTGGTACTTGGTCCTAGCCACCGATATTATACAACGACATCGCCCATTTCCACCAATCTTTTGCATACCTGTCGCGAATCCCGAAACATAGCTTTGGCAAAGCACAGTTTTCACACTTTCCTTGGCCGTCCCTTCTACTTCGATACCCTCCGGGATATTCTCTGGATGAAGACCAATGCCAAATTCGATGCTGTAACATTGCGTGTGGGAAATAATATGTATGGGCAATTGGATAGGCAATATAAAGAAAATTGCCCTTCCGCCATGATCACGAAACACCAATTCCGTTTCCTAGCCCTCAGCTACGAATTCTGGGTGAAATCACCGGAGGTGCGACGGAGATATTGTGAGCTTGAAGGTATTTGGGATCATTACGCACATGGAGTAACTACAGTGGAGAAGATATTCTTGGTTTATACCGAGCAGGATCAACGAGACGAAGCTGTAAAGGATGCGAAAGCCATATATGACCATGGAATATCTGAGATGAAGTTTTATTCTGAAGTGGTAATCGACTCGTCAGTACCGGACAGAGAATACCTCAAGGGCATCCAATTGAGAAGGAGATACGGGCTAGGATTTGACGTACCTCCTGTCGAAGCAATTTTAGAAACAGATCTAAAGCTCATCCAATGATTCATCTCATCAGCTCATCCCTGCGCATCTCATTGCAACACGCATAACAAAGCTTTACGCATTATCATTCCAACCTCAACATTTATGAGCCTCAACAAGCATCAACAAATATCAATGAAAAAGAAAATAACACATGGACATAAAGGCGATCTCAATAGCAACAAACAGGTTTCTCCACTTTAGTAAAAAATAAATAAAAATCAATGATTCAGAAGAGAAGAGTACAAGAGTCGTAATTATTATAAACGAAATATGAAACCTATGACGTGAAGTAATCTTTCAGAGAAGTGATATATATATATATAAATAAGATTTTAGCCACACCTCCCCCTCACACCCCCACCCCTCTGCGCCCGTCCGTCCCCAGGAAAAGAAATCAGAAAATCAAATACTTTGAAGTTATTATAATAAATAAATAAATAAATAAACAAATAACTAGATAACTATATATTTAAAAAGTTAATAATACTATGATAAAGTTAGAATTATAAATCAAATACATAAAGGTTTTTAATCAATCAATTATATAACCTCTTGTAATTAAATATAAAAGAAGAGCTTTTGTTTCTTTTTTCTACAATAATTAACTTTCTATATATATATTTGAACCTATATAACATCAACCCCAAAACCATTGTGAACCCCATTTTCTTCATAAATGACATATTACAATATAATCTAATTTAGCTTTCTCTTTCAATTCCCTCCTCACAATATACTATCGGGACACACGTATCTCGACCTACCACTTTTACAATACTAATCTAATAAGATATAAAGGTTTTATATTTTTAATTTATAATTAATATAAATATTATTATATATATATATATATATATCACTACAGAGTTAATATCATCTTGTTGGTATCACTTCGGTGATACGATGCAATGCATAGTATTATGTTCTTGTATTTGTTCATGGATGATTATTACCTATCTAGAGGAGAGGGACCTATTTATATTGAAAGGGGTAGGGCCTAGAAGGCACTAGTCGTACGGCTCCCTTTATGTTCGGCCTTCCTTTCGAGGTTGATCACATGATGTACCGACACATCTCAACGATTTGATTATACTCATCAATATATATATACAAATACATTTATACAAACCAGATAGAAATTGCAAATACACATCAGAAAAAGATATCTTATTATATAATAAAATACAATCCAGCAACTAATCATACTACTTCTCATCCTCACTATCCTCCCCAAAAACCGCTCTAAAAACCGCATCAGAAGCCTTCTGACCCTCCAAAGCATCATTTCTCTCCACATCAACTACCACAGGTTGCTCATCTCCTTCATTCTTAATTACCACATTATCCAAATCAAAATTATTATTATCCATCTCCTCTTTCTTGATTTCCTGTTCTCGGAACCCAGTTCCATTTCCAGCTTCAATCATCATCCTTTCGATTTCTCTCCTCGCTACCAAATCTGGTGGCGCTTCTTTTTCCATTCCGCGTTCTTCTTCTGCTGAAGGTTGTACATGTTTTGGTGGTTGAACATTGAACCTCTTACACAATAATCTCGTGGGGAACCAATCTTTTTTCTCCCTAGTCATCGGACCATACATGCCCATTTTCGCAGCCTGTTCGGCTGGATCTTCTTTGATTTCTGGTTTACTCAGAAGGTCTTTTGCTGCACCATCTTGTCCGGGTAATATTGTACTTGAAGAACTTGTGAATCTGGTAGCCATTAATCCAGTCATTGGTTTGAATATCTTTGCGCAATTAGCGAATTCTTTTAATTCTTTTAGCCAATCTTCTTTACTCGTTAGCATCCCTTTTTCCGGTAATGTCGTTACAATACCAGATTGATGTTCAAGGTAAGCACGATACCGAATACGTTTTGCTTCATCTTCACCGTAGACGCTTGAGCAACGCATAAGTGCTGCTTCAGCAGTATATTTATCGATTTTAGGGATTTGAGAAAGAAGTTCTTGTTGTCGTTGTTCCGGGGTCATGGCATATCCTTCGGGAATTTCGCCTAATGCTTGGGGTAGATTGGATCTCCCAGAAGCAGCAGCTAATCGATCCCGAGCAGAGCTGGAAAGGAAATCAAATACTGATTTCCCAGGTAAAGCTGCTTCCCCAAGGATCGATGCTCTCGACGTAGGATCCAGCTTAGATAATTTTGCTGCTTCTGAGGTGGATAGATATTGTGAAGGCGTGGATTCGGATTTTGATTGTTTGGCGGATTTCCATCCTTCAGGAATTATGGGTGGTAGATATTTTGAAAGGGTTTCCGACATTGACGTCGATTCATTACTCAGAATAAATCCATCCAGGGGTAGTCGACCATCGTGACATTTCCGTAGCCCAGCAGCTACCTTTGCCATAGCAGTCTTCTTTGATATAAATACAGGTTTGGATTTCAATAGTGAATTGGCCGCCTGTGATATTGGTTTCTTTTTCTTTTTATCCCCTCCAATTACTCGATTGTAGGATATTCGTGGTCCAATTTCATAAGGATCTTCATCGTCTGAGCCGGTATCATTAAGTATGCCAATACCAATACCGCCTTTCGCAGGTTTCTTCTTCTTCTTTGAAGTTCTGGGCCCTATTGAAAAGGATCCCTCATCGTCCTCGTCCTCTGATTTCTCTTTCTCAAACCCAAGTCCATTTATTGGGGTCAACTTTGTCTCCTCATTGAAACCTAAGCCCTTATGATCATCCTTCCGAACAAAACTAATCATACGGGTATTTTCAGGCGCAAAGAGGTATGTCGCATCGGCATCTGTACCAGGCGTTCCCATTCCATCCAAACGTGCTTTTCGCCGAACTTTCGGGCCTACTCCCTGTCCCTCCTTCCAGCCCATTTTCTTCAATAATTTTACACCCATCGTCTCCCCCTCAACCTTGAAAAGATCAATAAATGCGCCTTTGCGGATTGCATCATCTTGCGTAGAACCAAGTCCAGCGAATCCTTCTGCCGTTTGTACTCGTTGCGCTTCTGCAGCATCCGCGATATCCTCATCATCCATAAAATCTTCTGGTCGTTGTTGAGGTGCTTTGGCGGCATCTTTACTTCGATTCGATCGAGAGGAAACGAAAGTCGAAGGCGTCCATCCTTCTTTGGATCCTACAGTGTTGAAGTATCTATTATCAGTTAGGACTATTACATTGAACTATACTTAATATTGAAAGATATAAAATCCTTACCCTGCACTGAAACCACCAGTGAAAGCACCATGTAATCTTTTCAAGCCCCTCTCATCGCGAACTTCCTGCTTCCACACTGGTACATAAGACCCATCATCTCGTACATCTGCATCTCGTGGCGGTAATGGAGTTCCGTATACTACGAAAGGTGATTGCTGGGCCTGTAAATCTGCTTCATATGTTGCTCGCGAACGTTTTCCGGACATGGTAGAAACATGGAGATGTAAAGATGGTCTAGAACAGTATTGAGGAATTTGAGAACAGAGTCGAGGCTGCACCCAACTCTTGAATAAGTCAGCCTTGTCACGTTTATTTGGTGAAAACGGATAAATTTAATTGGTTCGATAAACGCGGAGTGATCAACATGAAGCTATTAATACTTCGATTACGTAAACGTTTAGTTTTCAATAAGTTCTCCCATTGGAAATCGCAAACGGTTTAGGTTCGCGCTGTCAATTTATTTTTCCGTCTCTTCTTTTCTGGAAACATGACAGACATGTTCTACGGTATTTGCTATTTGTCGATCGTGAGTTTATGTAAGCAGTTAGACTTATAATTATCATGAGCATTTGAAGAACTCGGGGGAGCAGTAACCTTACGATTTATAATTTATTATATGACCATGACCGCAGATGTTGGAGGAGGCGTACAAGGATTACATTGAACTTTACCTGGTTCAATCACCAATCGACATGGAAGTTCATGGGGTTGGTGGTGATGGGGATTGATATGTGATATGTCCTCTTCGGTCAACCTTACCATAACCTAGGTAATGAACAGGATGACATCGCTGACCCTATAGTTGCTATAACATCCTCATTATTATCTATAGGAAGCCTTGGTACCCAATGGATTTGCTTTTGTGCCTTGAACATACCAGGGAACTAGATACTTTTGCTCCCGTTCAGGCACGAACAGAGAAAGTATTTGAATCCTACCTATCTATTGATCAATCAGCCTTACCAAGCTAGCTAGCGAGCTACATTATTTATTTACGTGACGCTTCGTAGGTAAATGAATTTATCTTGATTCTTTTTATCGTATTATTTATTACTATCTCGTTCATTTTCATTCATTCATCACAGCCGTCTTTTAAGCCGGACACTCTTGTGGTGACTCATATTCATTGATATCTAGACTTGATTGATAAATGTCTATGTTAATATCCATTTCCATTCCTATGGAAAGATTCATTTTGATGCATTGATAAAAGTGTGATTGCTCACATATCGAAAAGGAAAAAGAAAAAGAAAAGGAAAAAGAAAAAGAAAAAGAAAGATAGCGCTTGTAACCCCTCCAACATCTTGTTTTCCAAGGTACTTTTACCAGGTTCTAGTACAGTCAGTCTCTGCAACCATCATCCCCCCAGATTCTGCTTGCGCAAACCCAGCCCCCAAACCATCTTGCAGTTACTTGAGGAGATAGGTAGGCTTATCTCAAAATTGTACCTAACCTTAGCCTTCCTTACTCCGTACACCTACTTACACTTACCCTTACACTTACCCTTCCCCCTTACCCTTCCCCCTTACCCTTTCCCTTTACACTGCCGCTTTTTCTTCCTCCCCTCCTTCTTCTTCTCTTTCTTACTTCATTTCAAACATCCGACACGGGAACCTTGAAATTCATCACAAGCGCACTGCTACCCAACCTTGACCTTGAATCTTTATTCCGTTCACCCATCAATTCCATTCACCACCGCGAAATCTTCCCATAACAACAACAAATCAGCTTGATATTACTCTTACGAAATTTCTATTATTTTCAAAGGAAGCCAACAAAATTAATCAAAATTAAAATCAATAAAAATCAATTAAAATCACCCAACAGCAAGAACTTTTCAAATCATTACTTTTTTCAAGGTGACGTTGCTTAAGAATATTGACTAGGGTCCCGCTGCAGCTGGCTCCGGCTCCCTGCTCTTCGGTTGCTTAATTCCTCCATGGCGACAACTTCCGTTTCGCCCGCTACTGTTGAGCGAAATACTTCACGACGAAGTCATAACAACTCCATACCAAGTCGTTCTCAATCAACAAGAGTTAAGAGTAGTACGACAGATTCACCACAGCGATCACATTCACATTCACATCACCATCGTCCCTCATCACGACATGCGGCTTTAGAGGAGTCAATACCCCAGGCAAATTATGAGACTGCAAACGTCGCGCAACAATCAAGAAAAATATCAAGCAGAGACGGTCCGACTCCTTCCAGACACGAGTCTACGAGAAGTGCAACGAGTAACCATCGATCAACTCATCACAGTCGACGCTCCAACGACATGGCAACAGCTGCTGCAAGTGGCGGAGGCCCAGCCCCCGTGGTGACACCACAAGAATCCAGAAATGCTGCACATAGGGGAAAATCGAGAACGACGATTCCAGCACAATCTGGAAATTGGATTTTAGGCAAGACAATTGGTCAGGGCAGTATGGGCAAGGTTAAGCTGGCAAGGCAGGCGGAAGGCGGCGAGCAGGTAATTTTTCCTTCATTCCGCAATCCAAATCTTAGTCATGTCTAATGAAGGTGTGTAGGTTGCGGTCAAAATCGTTCCACGAGGATCAACAGATGATAACCACAACCAAAGTCGAGCTGATAGAGAACGAGCCGATCACTCGAAAGAAGTTCGCACAGCCCGAGAAGCTGCTATCGTTACACTTTTGAATCACCCATACATCTGCGGCATGAGGGATGTTGTGCGTACGACTTATCATTGGTATATGCTGTTTGAATATGTCAATGGAGGACAGATGCTTGATTATATTATATCTCACGGGAGATTGAAGGAAAAGCAAGCTAGGAAATTCAGCAGACAAATCGCCAGCGCTTTGGACTATTGTCATCGAAATAGCATCGTTCACAGAGATTTGAAGATCGAAAACATTCTGATTAGCAAGACTGGAGATATCAAGATTATTGATTTCGGCTTGAGTAATTTATTCGCACCACGAAATCATCTAAAGACTTTCTGCGGTAGTCTCTATTTCGCGGCTCCGGAATTATTGCAAGCAAAGGCATATACTGGACCTGAGGTTGATGTTTGGAGTTTTGGTATCGTATTGTATGTCTTGGTCTGCGGCAAGGTACCTTTCGATGATCAGAGTATGCCGGCGTTGCATGCAAAGATTAAGAGAGGGATTGTAGATTATCCCAACTGGCTAAGTCCAGGTTAGTTCTTCTTTTCCTTTTTTTAACTGATATAGTACTAATGATAGGCAGAATGTAAGCATCTTATATCCAGGATGCTTGTCACGGATCCAAAGCAACGTGCAACGCTACAGGAAATCATGAGCCATCAGTGGATGATAAAACAATACGGCAGTCCACCCGAAAACTATCTACCAGTTCGAGAACCCCTTACACTTCCTCTTGATGACGATATCATCAACAGCATGACCGGCTTTGATTTTGGCCCACCAGAACTGATCAAACAACAATTAACTGATGTGATCAAGTCCGCCGAATATGGGCATGCTGTACGTTTGGCAATGCAGGAACGAGAAAATTCGGGTCCTCCTCGTGATGCTGAGAAGAAGAGAGGAGTATTCGACTTTTACAAAAGAAGAAATTCTACTACGAGCCGAGATACCTTGACCGCGCCGAGCGCAGAACTGCTTCAACTTGGCAACGATCCATGCAATGCATATCACCCTCTCATATCCGTATATTACCTTGTTAAGGAGAAACGTGAGCGTGATGCGCTTGAAGCCAACCCGGGTGCAACCTCGATGCCACGGGCTCCAAATGAAGCTCCACTACAACAAGTGGCAGAAATATCAGCACCAAAGCCAGCATACACAAATGCTACAGCTTATGAGATGCCTGGTGAGAAGGCCACAGGAGGTCGGTCGCGCCCACGTGCACGCACTCATGGTGAGGAGGAAGTCACAGAAGGATTGAAGAATATGAAGATTGCTAGTTCTACTGGCCCTCCATCACCGGCAATAGTCGAGCCTGTGGAACAGACTGCTCGAAAAGAAAGTACTGCTGCTGGTATTCTGAGAAGATTCAGTACACGAAGACGCAAGGATCCTCCACCGTCTGACAAAACTGGCAATCATCTGGCCGTCGGATCGTCGAATGAGCCATCAACGATCCGAAAGAGTTTCAGTGTTCGCCGGCACCGTGATCGGGATGGAGAGGGATCTCTTCGAGCAAGTGGAAGTGAACGCCAACATAGTGATCTTCTCACTCCAAGATCCGCCGAAAACTCGGGTGCTTCTAAACTAGGACGATCGACGAGCGTTAACTCCGCAGAATACAGGCGACGGGAAAAGAGACGAGGAGAAGGAGGAGGGGCAGCAGGAGTTGCCGCTTCGGAAGCAATGCCATCGCGTGTTACCTATAAAGACCCTCCTCCAACTAGTGGTTCTGATCATTCAACGACGAATGAAAAACCAGCTCGAGAGGGCGAAAGGGCTGGCCTGAATCCTAGGGCCGCCACTATGAGAGCCAAATCGTTGGGCCATGCAAGAAGAGAAAGCATACAAGCTAGACGAGCCCGAAGGGAAGAAGCTAGGGAAGCAAATGTACCGGAGGAGACTGATGTTGAATTGGGCGACGCTAGTGGTCTCTCAACCGAACGAGTCGACACCGCAGAAAATGTCAAACCCGTCTTTCTGAAAGGGTTGTTCAGCGTATCTACCACATCAACCAAACCCGTTCAGGCTATACGCATGGATATAATCAGAGTACTGAAGCTTCTCGGAGTTGACTATACAGAAATACGAGGCGGTTTTAGTTGTCAGCATACCCCTAGTATTGACTTGAAGAAGGTTGTCGATGTACCTCCTAGCAGCCATGGCAATCATACTCCAGGGCATAAAAGGAAGATCAGTTTCGGAGGTTTCATGGGAGGTGGTAGCAGTGCGGAAAGAGATCGTGAGGATTTCCGAGAAGCAGAAAGATCACCACCTCAACACCCAAGAACACCACGCAGAACTCGTGGCCCTGAAAATAGCTACTCAAATTCAGATGCGTCTGATGAAAGTGTTACTAGACAAGGTGATTCATCAGCTCGGGCTGTGGGCGAAACCAGCACACATGTTCAAAGTGAACTTGGTGGTAGCATGATTCTTGAGTTTGAGATCTTCATCGTCAAAGTTCCTCTTCTCTCTTTACACGGCATCCAATTTAAAAAGCTTCGTTCAGGAGGAACTTGGCAATTTAAGAATATGGCAGATCAAATCCTTCGCGAGCTTCGACTATAATAATTCTCACGACACACTTGGACACGAACACGCTAGTCCTATGAATATTGCTATTCTCGTTGTAATACAGGAAACTTTCCCATTAGCTGTTCTTTCGTTATTTCACTCGTACAAAAATCTATGGACGGAGAAGCGATTGGGAGAAAAACATACATGCATCACTCTTGAAACGAATTCCTTTTGTTAAGCGAAATTGATGAAGATGGCATGCATTATCAAAATTTTTTGGCCATTTTGTTTTTTACTGAGCACACAATTTTCATTTGTTTTCTTCCACTCAACTAGTGTGCCAATTTGCTTGCGGAACCAATTTGAGGTTCATATATGTAGTAATTATGGGATAAGAATTCTTTTTCAGGGGGAATAAGGGGCAGCATTTGAGATTTGGGATTTTTCTTAATATTTCGGGAAGGGGTTTGGACTTGGGATATGTTATGGTGGAAGGAAGGAGATATGAAGGGGATAAAAGTAGTTGATTGGCTAGGTAGCGGAGTGTATTTGGGGGACATGAGCAGTCAGTCGAGTGTGGGAAGGAAAGAAGGAAGGGAGGAATGAGCTGTGGATATGGCAAGGACAAGGATAGATATTTCGATACTGTATTCCTTAATTTAATTTCCTCATGCAGACTGACAGATTTCTCCTCGGTTGAAGTTTCCTTCCCATGATTTGACTTTTACTCCTAATTTCATCCTAACCCTTTCCTATATCGATATGTCCAGAAGTTTGGCGTGTCAACCATGCAACCAAATTTCACAAAACAGATACACCACGACACAATCAACATGGACACTCCTCGTCACAAATTTGGTCCCTGGACAAGGTCTTCAATACCACATACTCCCGAACGTACATCTTCAACATCGAGCAATTGGTCTTTTCGGTCGATATCGAGTTCTGCGAGTGAGTCAACGGGCTCATCAGCTTTTTGGAGAACACCGAGGAGAGATAAGGTGAGGGAGAAGAGTAAGGTTGGTGGGAAGGATGATAGGTTGGGCAGATGGAGAATGAAGATTTGGGAAAGAGCGTCCTGGCGGAAGGGACTGAGAATGGTGATGGAGAGGTGGAGTGGATGGAAAACATTTGGTGGATGGAATGGGTGGGATAGATTTAAGATAAAACTTAAAACGAGGATGAGGACATTAGAGAGGAATCTTAGGTATTTATTATCTGACCTTTCTCTTACTGTTTTGGACATGATACGAATAGCTGGGAATATATGTACTAATTAATAAATGCAAAAGTACCAGATCACGACGGTTTTTCCGTTTCTTCGCATTTATAATGGCCCTTTGCCTGGTAGCGACATGTCTTCTTTACTTTCATCCTTCATATCTATCTTCCCCCTCATCCTCATTACCGGAAGTTCATTCACTAGGTTCATATACTCCCATCCAACCCTACATACCCGAAGACGCCAACACCATAAAAAAGAAATCCAATAAAAAGAAAAGCGATCCGGTACAATGGTTGAAAGAAAACTCCAACAATCGCTACGCCATAACCATCGGCCCAAAAACATGGAAATCTCAACTCACTGAATGGAGTAATCCCCGTCCCAAAGCTGCGCTTATTTCTCTCGTTCGTAATTCAGAATTAGAAGGTATGCAACAATCGATGCGACAGCTCGAAGCGCGCTGGAATCATAAATATCTATATCCGTGGATTTTCTTCAATGATGAACCGTTTAGTGAGGAGTTTATGGCTGGTACGAGGAATTTGACGGGTGCGGAGTGTTTTTATGAGGTTGTGCCGGAGGAGTTTTGGTCGTTGCCGGACTGGGTTGATGAGGGGAGGTTTATGAATAGTTTGGATTATTTGGGGACGATTGGGGTGGGCAAGGGTTGGATGGTTAGTTATCATCATATGTGTAGATGGAATAGTGGATTTTTTTATCGCATGGATATATTGAGGGGTTTGGATTGGTATTGGAGGGTTGAGCCTGATGTGAGTTTTTCTTTTTCTGTGGTTTACCTACTTGGACCGTCGATACGATTGGGATATGGTATACGAGTTCTTGAACTGGGGAACGAAAAGAAGGAAAGTAGAATGTGGAAGTTGTGCAAAAACTAACAAATGATTCGATAGGTTCACTTCTTCTGCAATATTAACTATGATATCTTTCGCTTCATGCGAGATAATCAACTCAAATATGGGTTTAACATGAATATCCTCGACGATGCCCGTTCCTTTCCATCCCTCTGGTCTAAAACCCGTGCATTCGCCACTGCACACCCTGAATTACTTCATCCTGAAGCAGATCTGAACTGGTTACTTGATGGGGGCGAATATAATAATTGTCAATTCTTTAGTAATTTCGAGATTGGATCTTTGAGATTTTGGAGAGGTGATGATGATCGCCATGTAGAAAAAGGGAAAAAAGGAAAAAAAGGAGCACATGAAAAATACTTCAACTATCTCGATCATACAGGTGGATTTTATTACGAGAGATGGGGCGATGCACCCGTTCATACGCTTAGTGTGGCGATGTTTTTAGCAAAGAAAGAAGTCTGGTATTTTAGGGATGTGGGTTATAGACATGGGATTAATAGTGTTTGTCCCAGGGAGAGAGGGAGTTGTGCGTGTGAGGAGGGGGCTGGATAGGGGTTTTATAAGTTGGTTCCGCTTGAGAGTCCGCAGAGGAAACCGGGGATAATTATGGATTGGGGAGGGTGGAAGGTGGAGGAGGAGGGGGTGGGGTGGATGGGATGGAGGAGGAGGGGGAGGGATGGATGGGATGGATGGGATGGATGGATGGGATGGATGGAGGTGGAGGTAGGCAGAGGGGGCTTTAAAGGGGGATTTGATGGTCCTTCAGGCAGGAATATATCTTATATTAAGTTTTAATGTATACGAGTATCATAATAATGACTGACTTCTTTCCCTTTCAATTTTCATTCCGCTTACACATATCTTTAGATTTCCTTCTTTATTATTTAATATATTCATTATATTTAATACATTTCGACTGATTCTTGATAGCTCAGCTACAGCCGTGATAAAGAATCATCTGTTAGTTCTAGATCACATTGTGAGGAAAAGCTAAGATCTTACTAGCTAGACTGAAATATTTGATGTGTGAATTGGATTGGATGGGATGGTATAGTGTTATTGGGGAAGAGAATGAGAGCTTGTTGTAAGATTATAGGTGGTGGGTTTAGGGGTTACATTTTGTGTAGGGAGTATTGGATATTGGGGATTGGGAAGGGGATGGGGATGGGGATGGAGATGGAATGGGATGGGATGGGGATTGAGTGGTGAATGAAGAATGGAAAATAAAGGAGAGGGAGAGGAGGAGAGGAGAGGAGAGGAGGAGAGGGAGAGGGAGGGAGAGGGAGAGGGAGAATGTGGAATGTATAGATGGAATATCTCAAAGAGAATTTATTATATTGTTAGGTACCTGGGTAGGGGTAGATCGTAGGTAGGTTTGGGAAGCTATAGTGTTGATTTATAGATATAAAGGGAGTCAGGTAGGTAGAGATCTAGAGGAATCTAGATGATTCTTGAATTATTGAAATGTAGATATACAGAGACTATAGTCTATACTAGTAATACTGTATGTATGAATTGGCTCTTGGATTTATTTTTATATTTTCCAAGACAGACACTAGGTACTGGTAAGATCTTTGATATCTATCTCATAAGAAGGAAGGAAATCGGGGAGGATGAATTAAAAAATTGATAATTTGTATGTTCATTACAGATGACTTTATTATCATCTAATATTTCACATCATCCCATCCATCAGATCATCCCATACCTACATACGCACATACATAAACCTCCTATTACGCACATCCATCACGCGAAAGCCCAGTTCCAGACAAGCTCGTAGCAAAAAAAACCCAAGATCCAACCCAACCAATCAGCACTCGCCTATTTGAATACAAGATCCACCCAACCAATCAAAACTCGCGTAATTCTAAGCAATGGTCAGCACTATTGTTAGTTATTGATGATCAGTCATTGAATCAGGTTATGTTAGGTTATTGCTAAGGTTTTTGGTAGGGAGGAATTGGTATATATAGTGAGGGTACCTGCTTCTTCTTTTGTGATGAGATTTTTGGTATTCGGACTTTCAACGCAAAATAATAAATAAGAAGTTACTTCCATTTTTGTTATTCTTTCAATTGACGATTCTATTAATCAACTTGGAAATACTTCGAGACTTTGAATCTTCAAACCAAAACGAAAACCAAAACCCAAACCCAAACCCAAATTAACAATGGCTCCATCAACATGTTGTAGGAAGGGAGATGGTGCTGAGAGTGGCTGTGTTTGTGGTATGTTATTACTTATTTATTTTTTATTTCTTTCCTTCCCTCCCCTTTTCGTTCCATGCCCCCTCCATTCATCACCCATCTTCCTCACTCTACATCTCACAACAACCCTCCTATATTTACATCCCCAAAAACAAACGAAACATAACTAACTCCCCAACAGCAACCCAGGCAAAATGTTCCTGTGGCGAAAAGAAAGCTCTAGAGTGTACATGTGCCCAAGCCGAGAGCGAAAACAAGATCGAAGGTGCTAGATGTAGTTGTCGTATGTCTCCCTTTTGGTGATTCTCGAACACAATAACTAACACCAAAATGAAATAGGTGCTCGTGCAGCTGGAGCTTGTACTTGCGAGCGTTCTACAGAGGAAAATAAAGTTCCCTCGGGTGAACTTTGTGGGTGTGGTGCTAGACCTGTTGGTATGTATTTTTTTTTTGCTTCTTTGATCCGGTTTTTCTTTTCTTGATATGACATTGGAATTAGTCTAATGATGTTTAGATGCTTGTACTTGTGAAAAGGCTACAGATGGTGGATTACTTCCTACAGAGACGGATTTCACTACTAAGGCTTAGATGAAAGTTCTTGGTTGAGTGGGAATTTGGGTGGCGTTTGTGGTTTGGGGGATTGGGTTGGGTTTGATTGGCGTTGAGGTTGGGGATGGGAAGGATGGTGCATGCGTATTTATGCGTATATAAGGAAAGGGAAGGGAAGGAAATAAAAAACCTTTAATTAAATGATATAGGAATCAAAATGATTGATATGAAATGCGAAGTGATATTGGGTTTTGATGATGGGGATGGATTTGGTGATTTGGTATATGGGCGGGAGTGCGCAGTAGAAGTAATTTAAATGATGGCTCCTAGGCGGAGGTAGTAATTGGAGCAATTATGAGGAATGGGGAGAGAAGGTGGAAGAGAATGGGGGAATAGGTTGGAATCTGAAGAAAGAAGGCAATGGAGGAAGATAGAGGAAAATTCAGGACTAAGGAGTAGCGAGTGACTCAGTTGCTCGGCATTGTGTTGTACTGATGATATACTGAAACGCGATAATGGAGGGATTTGACATGGTCTATAGCTATGGCTTGATCGCAGGTTAAAGGTTTTGTGGAGGGTAATGGGGGATGGGCAATGGGCATTATTACGGATGACGGGGTAAAGTTATCGGGGTTGAGGTTGGAGATTTATGCGGACGATGGGTGTGGGATATGGGATGGGGTATGGAATAGAATGTAGGATAAGATAGGATGCGAGATGAGGAGGGAAGAGAGGGGAGAGAAGACTAATAGGATTGAAAGGAAAGAGATGAGATTGAAAGGTCTATTATCTATGTACGTAGTAAGGAATGATCACTTTAGCTTTTGTTTTATCTTATATCTGATGATCCATGGAGGTGGTGAAGGTGATGAAGGTGATGAAGACTTTTGAGATTTTTGAATATGATGGGCAAGCAAGTGTATATAGTTATTTATTCTTTGGCGATGGTCTGGTTTCCAAGATCTATAGGGAAGGAGTTTCGGATTCTGGATGTCTAATATAAGGAATGGTTTATTAGTTGTCAAGTTGATATTCTGCTTGTATTATAATAATTCGATGGTTATTCATTCATATGCATCAACCCGTGTATTTCAATGAGCCACATGTACTGCGCACTGCAATATATGAAAGCTTCTTGACTGTCTAATGCAACGATATTATATTTTACAGATGATACTTCAATCTTATACCCTTAGAGATTCTTTTCTTAAGGATCAAGAACCCCTCGTAATATTTTTTCCATACTATAGCGAAATGGTGGTATTCACAACCACCAGGGGCAGCATGTTGAAGTCTCCCTTTTAAGTTAAACACCACTCCAACACTCCATCACTCCATCACTCTAACCCCCAACCCTACAAACCAAAGAAAAATAGCTCTGCTCTTGCTCAGATTCTGGGAACCAATCGTTCCAATGAATTCTTTCTATGGTACAGGAAGATATATGGAAGTATTACATGAGCAGTGAGAGTAGATTAATGGCTCGAAACTTAACTTCAAGCCAGCAGTTTGGTATTCTTACAACGACAAACTGGAGGGTTAATGATTGCATACTTGTTGATTGCATCCTTGTTGCTTGTGTTACTTTCGTATTGTGCTGTTCATGCTGTTCCGCCACCACAGATTCGAGAGTTTATGAGGAGTCATAGTTTTCTACTTTGTAGAAGGGGTATATGAAGATGGTGAGCTTCACTCACCAAGGTTTGCTGTTTGATCCTGAGTGTAGAGTACCACGGAGAAGGGTCGTTTAACTCCGCGTGTAAATATTTGCGGTAAATGGAATTTGGAACAGTCCGCGGCCACTTTTATAGTGGAATACCGAGTATATCGGATTTTCTTCGAAGTTTTATTATTTTTGTACACAATATAATTAGACCGGAAAATTCCGGTAATTACACATTGCTGATATATTTTTGCCATTTTGGTATAAAAATTGTAGGGAAAAGATTCATGCAGCCGCGCTATAAATATATTATATAATCTAATATTCGTTATCTTCCTTAGGTATTACTGTATTGGGCACTTTTTTGGCTGTAGACATGAGGTTGTAATAGCTAGTATACACTTGTAGAATAGTTATTCAATATTCGAATCCATTTCCTCCCGAATCACACTACACTCACCTGATAGGCGAAAACAAATAGAAACAGGTCCAATGACTTGTTGAGCTTATGTAAGGACCGTATGTAAGGGACTATGCTGGGCTGGCAAAAGCCTTGGAGTTGGAGCTAAGGTAAAGTACGGAATGGACTCTTTCGAGTTAGACCACGTAGGATACCAAGATCGCAGATGCCCCGGAACCTTAAATCCATGAATAACCCAGTATCGCATTTTTGAATACTCCATGAGGAGGTTGAAAAAGTATCGGGAATTTCTAGATTCCGGGCTCTAACCTATTTTCTCGAAGAAGATTTTAAGGTTATCCAAATGTTTGTTGGTCCAAGCTCATAACCCGCGTAAAACGTTGTCCCCATCTTTTTACACCGCCAATAAATGTCCTATGTGTTGCATTTGACTTCAAACTTGCATCGAAGCGCATCGAACCATTTGATCCCTCTCGTTCCATAATATCCACATTAAACATAACCATTTATATCTTCTCCCGCCTTTCAATCTAACCTACAGTACATATCTATCATCCGTATTTGTGTACTCATTATCACCCCTCTTTCGATATCTATTTATCTACCTATTCATCATGCCTTTCATGTCCAAATCCTCTCCTTCGACCTTTGCGTCTTTCCCAACAATGACCGATGTCCAGTTGCCTATTCGTTTGGCTCAGTGTGTTGGAATCACTGCTTCATCTGCTCTCGCTGGAGCTTCTCTCAGTATTTCCTTCATCTCTGTTCCAAGATTACTCGAATCACCACCGCATCTTCTACTCAAGCAATGGAATAACCTCTATCAACAAGGAAAAGCTTTTTTCCCATCCGCTTCAATAATTCCTGCGGCATCTTTCTTCTTCCTCGCATACAAGGAGACTGATAAACTGAAGTTAAAGTTGTTTGCTACGGCTGGCGTTTTGGCCCTAGGGATGATGCCTTACACAATTTTGTTCATGTTGTATACGAATAAAACATTGTTAGAAAAGGCGGATGAGTCACAAGGACTTTATGCCAATCAAGCTGGTGGAGATTTCGATGATGTTTCTTCTGGATCTGGTCGTAAACACAAGAAATCTTCCAAGGACCGCGAGAGAAGTGATAGAAGTTACAAGAAGAGTTCGTCGAGCAAGAGAAAGGAAGTTGGTGAGGATGAGGATGTTAGAACCGCACATGAATTGGTTGATCATTGGTCATTGTTGAACTTGGGAAGAAGTGCTTTGATGACTACTAGTGCTGCAATCGGTACTTGGACCGTGGTTAGATATTCGAAGAACTAAATGGGTTTACGATCTTCTTTGATTCGATTCAACGATAGACGACCTTGCGATGGGAGATACAGATATGAAAATGAATACGGATCGGTCTGAAGATGATGGTTTTGGGTTCTACGACTTTACATTATACGACGGGATGATATGAAATTTGATATGATATGAATTCAATCATGGAATCGGTTTACGGATTGGGTGGATTTGGGTGGAAATGACGGGTAGTATATACCTGAATGGAAAGGAAATGTTCAACCATAGATTTTATATGGGAATTCAAAATCGCGACTATTAGAAACACAGCTCAACCATTGCTATATTATAGACCATTGGTACAGATCAAATACCAAAAACAAATATTATTTTTTTCAACCTCGGCTTTGATGTTTGGCAAATTTTTATATGTCACATATGAGATGCAGTAAGACAGCCTCCTTTTCATACCCACGAGAGGTATAGAGAGATCAGATCATCACGTCTAAAGATTGATAAGAACGGTAATGGTGGGGGGTATCAACAATAATCAACTTGTTTCCCCTTGCATTGTTGACTCATTTATATTTATATATATGGAGCTTTTGCATAATTGTCACTATTTGCCGGATGTTCTAAGCCGAATACTCATTTCTCTTTGTCATAAAGTTCCAAACATCAATTTGTACCTTGGAACAATCAGCCATCAATCGCACCGCCACATATGACGCTTAAGCGGGGGATTTTCAGGGCGATCTGGGGCAGTGTCGTCATTTCTTTCATAAACTCGATACCGGTAAAGGATGGGATTTGCTCTAATGGGCATTCATGAAAGGTATATACGTGCTTCTTACCAAGGTTATGACTACTAAATTCAACATTCAACGTCACTCAATTGCCTGCAGGTATTTGTTGTTAAATAAATAAGAGTTGATGTTGGGAGAGTCTTTCTTCTTCTTCTTCTTCATACAACTTCATACAACTACGTACCTCTTTTGTAAAATCTAAGATTAATATCGATCAATTGAACTCTATAACTTCTTTGTATCCCTTTCTACACATACATATACATATACACTTCCAATTCATATTCAATTGAGATATCCGATATAATACCCTAACGCAACACGACACAACACACACATAATGCTCGCCTCAAGAACAGCATCAAGAGCTGCGGCTCGCACTCTTCGTGCACCAATTAGACAACAAGCTAGACAAACTAGATTTGTTTCGACGACGCAGGCTGAGGGGGCGAAAGCTGGTGGTGCTTCGGGCTTTGCGGCGGGTATTGCTGGTGGTGCTGTCGTTTTGGCTGTATGTTTAATAATCTATTTTCTGGCTCTGGTTCCGTGCTTTTGTATATGAACGTCTTTGCGTTTGTGCACGCCTACAACAATCACATACTAACACAGTTTCTCAGGGATGCTACACCTACTACCAATTCTCTGGCATCAAGCCTATGGTTAACGCCTACAGCTCCACGAAATCTCAATTCCAAAAAGCAACCTCGGCAATCTCTGAGAAAGCTCCAGAACCAAATCAAGCTATCAAATGGCTCCGCAGTGCCACTTCTTCCTATGCTACTTTTATCCCTGGTGCACAATCATTCCTCGATAGTGCATTTGATGATATCGAGAAAGTGCAAGCGAATCATGGCAAGGAAGTCGATGAGATTGTTAATAAAACATATGTGGAACTGAAGGGTATTAGTAAGAAGGGTGGCTTCGATATGCAAACTGCTGTGCAGGGTTACAATGTATTGACTAAAGCATTGAGCGAAATTGCCGAGTTGGGAAAAGATAGTTTGGGGGAAATGTTGGATAATCATCCTCAAATCAAAGAGAAGGTTGGGGGAAACCTTGATCAGTTAAAGAGTATGGCTGAGAACTATGGTCCGGATGCAAAAAAGGAGTTGGATGATACGTATAAGAAGGTTTCGGAGATTCTTGCAGGTGGATTAGGTGTTAGCTCGATTGACAAAGTTCGCAAGTTAATCCAGGAGAAGAGTGAAAAGGTTCAGAAGCTGGGAGAACAAGCCTGGAATAAGGGAATGGAGGAGTGGAAACCTTATTTGGAGAAGAATCCAAAGGTTAAGGAGATTGTGGAGAAGAATGCTGATGCTCTCAAGTCTGGGAATGTTAAGGAGATCTTCGATCAAATTAAAAAGGCTATTGAGTCAGGAAACACAGATGATCTCCAGAAATATATAAAGGATGCTGGGGAGAAGGCGAAGAATAGTGGATTCGGACAAAATTTTCAGCAATATGCTCAGCAAGCTGCGACGATGGCTGGCATCCCTGGATCAGAGAAGATGTGGGAAAAATTACAACATTTGCAGGAGGTAGCAAAGGATCATGGGGATGAGCTGGAGGGTTTGGTCAAGAGTGCTTATGAGGATATAAGCAAGGTTGTGGAGAAGAAGGTTGCAGAGGCTGAAAAATTGAGGGGAAAGGTTGAGAAAGATATTAAGAAATAAACGGGATGATGCATGAGGAATATGGGTTATTCATGATTAACGAAAGAATGATCGGGATTGTATTATAGTACGGACGGCTTGGCTTGGTTTGGCATGGGATGGTGGGATTTCATAAGGCATAGCATGGAGAACAGAACAGAACGGACAGAGTTGAGCAGAGTTGAGCAGAATTGAAAACTAAATAGAAGTACAATTAATCAATATCATATTAATCTTGCATTGTATTGGTCGTTTTATTCAGATATAATCTTTAGAAATATAATACTCTTCGATATTATAATTCGAATTTAATAATCAAATATATGTCGATGCTTTTGTGAGATTACTTTTGATATTTTTTGTTTTATTCTTTAAGTGATAAAAAAAGCTGCCCCTCGTCAGCCTTGCGGTATTTTAGCCTGATGGTCTGTGCTCAAGCTTCCTTCCCATGAATTAACTGCAAGCAGATCAGAATTTAAGTCTTATTTCGCATCACATTCATCAACATCACATCAACATCGCCATGATTTTTTTTGTATTCACTAAATATCTGTTTTTATAAATCTCAGTATCGTCAAATATCAATAAAACTCAATGATATCATTAGAACAAGATGGTGGAACATGAAGGAATACTTCCCTTCATGGATGTCAAGAATCATGATGTCCAAAGCCCACAACAAAGAGTAGGTGATTGACTATAGCTAACCACTCCTCTCTTGTTTGAAGGAAAGGTTATTGCAATGGTACGGACGCTGAGTTGCATACTTGTTCATTATTTTGACAGAATGCTAGGCTCTAGTTGAGTTGTGTCGATGACTCGAGAAGTGAAGTTGGTTAAATGCTAAACTTACATGCCAATTAGATTGTCATGTCTTTCTGGGCCATTCCAATGTTTATTTTCATGGCATACTTACTTGTTATAGTTCTCTGGAAGTGGTATTTCAGCAGAAACCGGCGACTATCAGCGATTAATCCATGAACTCCCAAGCGGTGCTAGGTCGACTTCCTTATATAGCGCGCCTCGGCCAGCATTTTGGAGAATGAACCTGGCAGCGCTGTCGCAGAAGTATAACGTGCGTTTGTCTAATACACTTCTTGGATTCGCGGTACTCATGTGATTGCAGATGTACTTCGTAGCATATCTCGATACCATACACATTACAAAACCTCGAACACTCAAGCAAATTATACCAGGTGTACCAGACTTGATTCTTCGGTTACCAGTATCGAAGCATGCAGGTAGGGGATATCTCAATCTAGCTCGCCCGCACTCTATCAACAATATGATAATTGGCAATTTGGGCAATAAAGAAATATTACTCTTCTGCTGCGATGATGGAGATGTGACGGCATACTACACGGACCTTCTAGCAGAGGAACTTCAACAGGCGGAGCAAAGTACAGCATCATCAATTCCTATCGGTAATACACGACCGTGAGTAACTAACTTTATCTACGTGATTTGGTTCTGATCGTCTCAGGTTTTTTCATGAGAACGTCGGAGAGAGTGCTTGGGGTCTTGCTATTCATCAAAAATCGCGCCTCATTGCAGTAAGCTCCAACAAACACGAAGTTACTGTCTTTGTCCATGCCACTTATAGTAATGAGCCCTGCAACTGCGCTGTAATGGGTACTGTCCTTGACCTTACTTATGGTGAATTCGTTGGACACGACAATGCTCAGAGAGCTTTTCCCCTTATGATATGTAATTCAAAAGGCTTGGTCTTCTTGGATGATGACCTCTTCTCAGAGAGTTTATTCCCCGTGCGACATCTTATAAGGACTCCTATACCTGACGACCCGGCAGCTGAAGGCCTTCTACCAGAAGCACCATGTTCTCGTAACTTTAGATTAATTCTTTCGCCTCCAAGTTCTTACAATATTCCTGCAATCACTTTCGCAGATGACAAGAATGGCTTAGCTGAATTCATACTAGCTACTGATATTGGGGGCAATTTGTGGTCGCTTGAAATATGGCGAGGAACCGTAAAATTGTTTGGGTCACCCGTTATAGACGGACACCATTTAATGTGAGTACTCCCCCTGGTAGTCCGGACTACATCCAGACAATGTGAGTCTTTTGATTTCTGGATCCTGTTGGAATATTCAATTCATTTGAAATACTCAGAATATTGAATTGTTTTCAAGCATTGAAAGCTCACATTTAGTCTGCTAGTCCAGACTATTGGTCACGGTCGCTCCAATGATTGAACTACGATTTCTAACCAAGTTAGGGGCTGGGCGGTCATGACTATACCATTGCGATATTTTAGACAATCCCCAAATTTTCAAGATGCTTTAGGTATGGAGGATCTAAACTATGCTTGGCAGAAATCCATACACAATAGACCTGGGTCTGAGCATTGTATGAACGTTTCTTCATGCTTGGAGCGCCTCGAGCTTGAAGATGAAGCAAATGGCGGGGAGCCGGGTACTCTTTTTGGTGGGAGTGAGCTCACAAGTCATACAAATGGGACTCAAATTATCAACCCTGGAGACAACTCAGACAATGAACAGGAACAATATGGGGAGATCGTACGCAGCAACTCGCCACCAAATAAAATAAAAGGATTAAGCTGTTCTAAAAAAGATAGTCCAAGGCCCAAGAGACGACTAGTTTTACAACCCAACGACTTCATGAAACAAGTTGACGACATTTCACGTTCTGTCGTCAATCCTACCCCCAACCTTAGTGATAGAGCTGTCATCCTTCGAACTTGGAAAGACAGCATCGAACTCGTTCCCTCATTTCCATCCATGCCTCCCACGGTATGCTCGAGTATGTACTTTAGTCGAGGAGCACTGACAGGCTTTGGCCAAAGTTTTCATCAAATATCTAGAATCAACATGATGGCACTAATACCAGAACTATCACTTGTTGTTGTTGCTTCTCAGAATGGTCGAGCGGCTCTATTGACGCTTTCGACAGTGGGACTCATTTCTACCCCGGCTCCCGTTCCTGCTTTCCGCATTGAAGCTCTCCTTCCGCCTGAAAAGTTCTATCAAAAATATATCAAAAGTCATCAGGCGGAAAAATCCCCACTTCTCGGAATGGCCGTGTCTCCCATACAGAACGGGAACGGGATCAAACTAGAGGCTGGAGTATATCCGAGGCGGTGGAGGCTTATTATGCAAAGTTATGATCATACGATTTGGACGTATGAGTTGAGTAGGGATGAAGATAATAATTTGCGTGTTTTTTGAGCTTTAGCGAAATGTGTATAAGCAACCTTTGAGTGGGTGCTCTTTCTTTCGTGGATGGTGTAAAAGGGTTTGTATAAGATACCAAAATTTGATTAGGAGGCATTTGTTGCGGTGTTTGGGGTATAGTAATTTGGGTTATGACAGTACCACGACTTGACCCGTGGAATTCGGAGTCATGGATGTTAAAGCGATTAACATCATGGTTAATTCATAGTGTTAATGAATTATTCCCTAGCGTATAGAGCTACATAGATCAAATTTCATAGTGTACGTGCGTGAAATAGCATTATTTTTCCATTTCGTGTCTAGTGATGTTTTCTGACTATGAGTTCGCGTTTGGAGTGCAGTGAGGATGATATGTTAAGTAGTGTTGGATCAATAATTAGATTAATGGATTACTCGATCAGTAAAAATCGAACAAACAATCTCTGCTTTCATCATCACCCGCTCTCCCCCTGAGCTTTAGGCATCTATCAAAAACGCAGCAGGTCATGCGATTGATCTTGGGATTTGGGATTTGGGATTTGGGATTTGGGATTTGGGATTTGGGATTTGGGATTTGGGGATGCTTGGTTGAGATATTGATTGGTATTAGCAGAGCTATCAGTTTGTTATGCGGGAGGTGATGGGTAGGGCTAGTGGGCTCTTGATTGGGATAATATGAGATAGATGTTTGGACCTCAAATTGAATTGATTAGATTGGAATTCGGCATGCACGCCTATCTATCCGTCCCAGGATCAAATCGAGTTTACTCTCGTTAGGTTTCTTAGAATGTTGGACTAGTTGCTGGGAAATGCTGAGATGAATAATCGGCGTTTTTGTTTGGAGTGTTAAAAAATATTTTGCTGGAAGCAGAAGTCGCAGAAGCTGCAAAAGGGAAAATATGGTTCAGCTACAAGTGTTGCGTGACAAGCTTTTGTGGGGTTGTTGGAATTGAATTGGTAGGGATGTGTATTGGATAGTGACGAAGAATCGATTTCAGTAGCGAGAAGATGTCGAAAATGATGAGGAGGTTGTTGCTCTAGTTAATATGGAAGTGCGGTTGGAGTAGTGCTTTGATTAATTGAGTTGATCCAGGTCAATTGTTGAAATATCGTCAGCCATTAAGGAATCGGCAGGCAGAAGCAGAAGCCAGTCTGGTTATAAAATAGTAGACTGTCGAATTTATGGCTTCCAAGATCTTACACAAGACTTTCAACTGCAGGACGTACTTCCAAGGTTTCTGCAGTAAGAATAGGCTCAGTCAAGGTAAGACTGATAACTGAAGTGGAGTTATTGAGATCGGGCGATGTAGCTAAGTTGGAACCATTTTCATTGTTTGTGGTGACCTGACAGTAGCGCTTCACATTTTCCTTTACAAAACCGCCATAATTTCATCAAAGTCGTTGAAATTCGCACAACTGGTTCTTCGGGAAACTTGCCAGTACAGTAGCAAGACCTGGTTGAGCTCCTACGACAAGCTGTCTCTGGTAACTCGACTGTCCATTGGATGATCAGTCGGAGCGTTACTATCATATGATGGATGGGGATATATGATTATTGGTAGCCTAGAAGACGTGTAAGTGCTCTAGTTCCCATAATGGCTTCTTTATAAACCTCAGCAACTAGCACAAGGCGTGGGATTAGAGTTCAATTCTCAATCTCCCACATACTATGCTCAGCGATCATAGAATCCAGGGGGTAGCTGCAGATGGAGTATTGACAAACGACGGAGACGTGGAGACTCTTGCCAACATTTTAGGGATTTAGTGAAAGCTTTGCTCCATCTCCTCGCTATCTTGGGACTTCTTGCTTGAGGTGAGGACTCCTTTGAAGTTGGAGGCTTATTAAAAATGCTCCTTAGGGCTTCTGTTTTTGATATTAGTGCAAGCTCAAGGTTTTCAGGGCTCGACAGAACTTCTTACCTCCTTATGAAGTCCCGTTATTGAAGCTACGAATTCAAGACATCGAATGAACGTGTAACACCAATCTCCCAAAATCAGCTCAGCTTCTGGCCCATCAGTATGGTTATTTGATCAATTGAGGAAGGCGCTGTATATATCTTTCTGATTTCTTGCAGACACCCGTTTCGAAAACATTAATTAGCAAATACTTATTTTTCAGTAAGAGAATAAGAGTACGCATAATTACCATTCCAAAAGACTCAACGCAGCAAAATGAATATCGTGTTCGATCACAGGACTAGAAGCTCACTCATGAAGCATCGCGAAACGCATGCCAGGAGGCGGCTGCAGGAAACAAGGTTTATTATTGAAGAAAGCTACCAGAAGATACAAGAGGCTCTACTGACCACCCGCACTACCTTGAACTTTGACAACCTTGAAGTTCCGCTTTTCGGTCTTTTGTCCTTCGTTACACTGAGAAGCGACTGTCTGTGCTTCCGCTAAGAATAACTGAGATTGACCTATGGAAACCTAGCATTGCTCTTCTCTTCTTCTCTTCTCTTGACTCTATCTGCCATCGGACAAAATTTTCGATATCAGCGGAGTCATAACCACAGCAAAGAAAGGTGGAAGGGCAAGAATAGATAAAGAAGGGAAGGAGGATGCTTCATAGTAGACAAGATGAAAAAGCTACACGCGTGGTTTGCAAAAGCACTTGAGATTTCAATGAAATTATGTTGGCTTGTGTTGAAAACCCATGTACTCCACGCTATATTCTTTCATCCTTCTCTTTCCCTTTTCCGTCAATCCTCGAGCTTTCCTCTTAAGCTCCCTCTGGTGTCAACATGTCCCCCTGCGATGTCATTTTTATTAGATGACGATCTTTGATTTGGAAAGTTCGACTGTTTGGACATACCTTTGACTCTAGAAAAAGCTGCTGGATGAGCAAATTCTTCACGAATCTTCAAATGAGGTTTCAAGGGCCTGTGAGAATGAGGCAGTGTGTCATTGAAGGTGGTTTGAACGGCGAGAGTGATTTCACGGTCGTATTGAGAACGACGGCCGGGTTGCTCACCATGAAGATGTTGGCCCGCACAGGCATCTGAAGGGTTAAAGTCTTAATGCCAAAAAAGGGAACTTAAATACAGCTCAGTCTCTACCATAAGTGTTGACGGAAGATCTTGCTACATACTCCCCACTTGCGATTTTTTCGCTCGCAGGGGGTCTGGTCACTACCGGATCCTTCGGCGGGGGATGTGCTGCGTTCGGTGTTGGTTTCTTATGTGATCCGAGCAGATAGATAGCCGTTAGAAACTAGTAAAACGATGAGCCAGAGCCGCACAGTTTCGGTAGCAGGTAGCACTGGCAGTGGTAAATAACGGCAAATTATTTACAATTTCTGGCCTCATATGGATTTTGTCAGTAGAGTATCACGAGAGACATCACAAGATGGCAGTGTGCGTCAAGTATTGAATAATTGTTCTCAAAAGATATGACTTACATCACGACTGCAACTGCACTAGCAGAAAAAAGTAATGAAATCGAAAGAAGGCTTAGCGACGACAAATTGATCACCAAGGCTCCATATGGGAGGCACGCCAAAGCGGCTACAGGGAACGATATTCAATTTCTTGCTAAGACTACCTAGGTATGTAGTCATACATAGGAACACTTTAATTCAACGATTGATTGTTTCTACATTGCTCGTAAGTCCACCGCAGATTCTTTCCAGAGCAAGATTTGCCGTTGCAATTTGCTCTCAGCTGCTAAGAAGGACCTAAGAAAATTCATCATCCATGGGAGTTAGGGTACAGCCTCAGATTCTTTGCCACCTTTTCATGAATCATGAATGGAATTTCCAATTATTCTGCAACATATGAATCAGTAAATTGCAGCATAGGGGTTGATTCTAATACCTGGTTGTCCCGGTCTAAATTTATTTGCCTTTACCCTTCGAAATTTGCACTTCAAGGAAAGTTCTCTTAAACTTGGAGCGCTTTAAAAAATTTAGGCCATAGCCCTTTAAATCATTAAGCTTTCTATCAACAAAGACCAGCTTGTGAAAGCCTAGTGAACTCGTTCCTTTCGGGCGGGTCTTAACCAACGGCTTGTCACGGTTCATCTAAACGGATGCTGCTCTATTTTTGGAGCGGACACCGCAAAGAAATATCTTGTGAATATCTACCTGGATTATTAATTTTATTTGAAGTTATGAACAATGGCGGAAAGCCAAGTGTTGAGCTCGCCTCCCGTGGCATAGTCCGAAACTCTATGATGGACCTTGGCGTGACTGAACTCTGCCTCATCGTCTTTAGCTTGGGTCTTCTTGACTACAACCTTGTCCTGCCTTTTGACGCGCGGCTTTTTTGAAGCTGCAGCTAGTTTGGAGAATAACAGCCATTGTTGCGAAAAGATCAAGCCGAACACTTTCATGAGAATTCGGAGTCTCTGGACTCACATGGCCAAAGTTGTGCCTAAAAGTTTGTGGACTAGGAGGGTATTGTTGAACACTTCGCTGAATCGAGGATTCAGCAGGCCTGTATCTATATTAAATTAGCACCATTTCAAAAGAAAACGCTTAAGGTTTCCCGCATACCACGAAGAAAAGGTAAGAAGACAGTGATCACCTTCTCGTCGAAGATTGTACTGAAGTACTGTCGTGACCCGTTGCGGAAGATATTTCCATACAAAAATGCTACAGATATGTTAGCTCGTGAAACATAGGATGGTTTTCAAAAGCATCGAGTTTTTTGAGAGGAGACCTACCAATAAAAGTACAGATACAAGAGACGTCACCATACCATCACATCAACCACGAGGTATGCCCCAATGCGGCTAAGGAAACGAAGTAAATTCTGATTTAATGAACTAATGTACAAAAGGCTGCTTCCATACCCCAAAAAACCTATCATTAATTATTCATCATTCATACCATTCAAGCTCCCATATCACCCCGCCTACCTCTCGCCCCCACCTTTCGCCAAGCTTTCAAATCCCTCTTAAATACTTCAACTCGTTTTCAACCTAGGACAGAAGAAAACGTAACGACCGGTACAACCACTTTTCTGTAGCTAATGAATTCTGATTAAACTAGTGAACTGGGTTATACCGGCCGTTGCCGCTTCGTCTGTCCTAGATTGAGAACGAGTTGGAGTATTCAAGAGCAATTTGAACCAGTGACGGATGCTCCCAACCCACACAAACATCGCGGTAGTTTTATGTCATTTCGGACCAGCGACATCACCCGAAACAACGTTTTGGATATTCCCATAATTCAGAACGCAAGTCCACCAAAGGTCTGCTGATAATCCTGTCAACTTTGAGCATCACAGCTTGCCAGGCGGTAGAGACCCACGATCTCATCTTGCCACAGCAGCGGTGTTCTGAGATCGAAAATCTCCACCGCTCCGGCACTCCTGTTCTTTGGTCTCGGGCG